AAACTTTATATATAAAAAAATTAAAAAATATTTATAAAAATGATAAAAAATAAAAAACAAATAAATATAATTAAATAAATATTTTGTATAAAAGCAAATTTATATATATATTTATATATATATTTATTTTTATATATATATATTTATTTATATATATCTATTAATTTTTTTATATAATATTTTTTTTTTATTTATATAAAATTACATTTTTTTTTAATATGTAAAATATTTTTTTTTCATATTATATTTTATAATACAAATTGTTTATAAACACATATTTTTTTTATTTTAATTACTTTTTTTATTTTTGAATATATTTTATCAAATATAAACATAAATTAAATATAATTCAAATATTAAATATTTTTTTATGATATTTTTTTTCATTTTATTATTATTCAAATTTATTTTTATTTTTTATTTATTAAATTAAAATAATTTTTTTTATTAATTAAATTTCTTAGATATAAAGCATTTTATTTTAATTCATTAAATTATTTTATATTTTTTTATTAAAAAAAGTGTTTTATATTTTTAAATTTATTTTAATAAATAAATAAAATAAATAATTTGTTTAATTTTTTTATAAATATTATAAAAATAATTTTTATGTTACTTCGCATTACTTTATAATAAGCATATTCAATATTTTAGATTAATTTTTATATATATTTATCTATAAAATTGAATAAATTATTTTTAGTTAGATATTAATATTCTATGAATATAATTTTATAATAAATTTTAATCTAATTTAAATTTTTAATACGATGATTATTTATTTTTTACTTATTAATGTAGGCAAAATATTAATTAAAAGTTATTAACTTTTATTCATCAATATTTAATTAAATTAAATATATTTTTTTTTTCAAAAAAATTAAAAGTTTTTAATATTTAATGACTTATTTTAAAAATTAAATATATATATATATATATATTTCTTTTTCCAATATTTTTCTTTTTTGTTATATTTTAAATATTTTTTTTAAAAATAATCTATGAACAAAAAAATAAGATAGTAAAAATTTTCTAAAAGTGTTTTGTTATTGATTTTTTTTTTATAAAAATTATACTAAATAAAAAATAATATTTATTAATATATTATTGATTTTATTACTTAAAAATAATATTTTATTTTAATAATTTTAATAAATATAATATAAATTATTATTTTATATTATTAAATTGATAAATGTAATATATATAAAATAAAAAATAAAAAAATATATATAAAAATAAAATAATATTAAAAAAATATTTCAATATCATATCAAAAATTATAATTTATATATTTGAATTATTCAATATATGCAAATAATTTTATGTTTTAATTTAAGAGAAAAAAAAATAGTATTTTTTATAAAAAGCTATTAAATTATTAAATATTTCTATATATTTGTTATAAAATAATGTATTTATATTAAAAGAAATATTAAAAAAAATAATAATATACAAAATATATATATAGTTAAATAAATATATTTAATATAAATTCGATTATATAAACATAAATAGATTTATAAATATTTTTTATATATATATTTAATATATAAATTTTTATAAATATATTAAATATTAAATATTAAATATTAAATATTTATATATAATTATATATATATATTTTTTTTTTTATATTTTTATATTTTTATATTTTTATATTTATTTTTTATATAATTAAAAATGAATTATTAAATCTCAAAAATCTTTTACTTCCCATAACATCCATTTTCTATCTAAAGAAGTTGTCGCAAAATATTTCTAAGCATAATCTAAACTTACAGAAGTAATTTTTGATTCATGTGACTTATAAGTTTTAGCCAGTGAAAAATCTTTTGCATTCCACAATTTTAATGTATTATCATAACTTACACTAACAAAATAATTACTACCTCCCTTTTAAAATTTAACATCTGACACCAATTTTAAATGCCCTGGTAAAACATGCATACATGCCTTTCTTCTTATATCGAAAACTCTTAAAGTATTATCATCACTTCCTGTTACTAATTAAAACCCATTTTCTGAAAAATCCGCACATAAAATCCCCTTTACATGATGTCCAAATAACGGTAAAATACCCCTTCCGGTTCTCAAATCCCAAATCATCCCATATCCACTTAAATCTCCTGCAAAAAGCAAAGACCCGTCTGGATGTAAAGCATTAGCATATACTGGCTTAGTATATCCAGTTTATGTATATATTTCCTTTTATTTTTCTATATCCCAAAACCTAAATGTATTATCATGAGAAGTTGATATAATATATTTTCCGGTTTAATGAAAACTTAGTCTATTTACTCGATTTTCATGTCCAGATAAAACTACACTTTTTTATAATTCCCTCTAGTCATCAAAACTCCATAGCCTAATATTAGTATCACTTGAACAAGTTGCTAAAACTCCGTAATTTCCTCCTTCTTAGGTTCCTTAAAAAGCAGGATTCCATTAAATGTCATGCACTTTACTTAAATGACCTTCTAATCTTGATACTAAATCACATTAGGGTACTCTCCATATTTTCGATACTCCACTCCCTCCCGCAGTAGCAATAAAATTGCAGTCTAGATTAAATGAACCTCTTGATACAGTCGAAGAATCGGCAAATTAAGACATACAAACATCGAATTTCATTGCTCTATTTATACTTGCGATCTGCTTTTTTTCCTCAATTAAAGGATCTTCGTCCATACGGAAAATCTTAGATTTATATACCCTCAAAGCGGCTTTTTTTAATGAATATTCGGATATGAATTCCCTTATTTCTTTCAGTTCTTTTATTCCTGGGTAATAAAAATGCTCATTTTCTTCATTTTATTTCTATTTCTCCTCAGTCTTTATAAATGTAGGTAATTCACCATGTTACATTATATATTCGGCTTAAATTCTTTTTAATCTTTCTCGTCTATCAACATTATTTTCCCCAAAATAACATATTGGTTAACCTAATTACCTTAATCTATTTTTAACATCTTTATCATTTGTAGGAACAGTCATTTAAGTTGATTTTTTTTTAATTCTAATTTTCGCATATTTTCTTAATGACGTTTTATTGCTTCTTAAGAAAAATCATTTAATTCAAGAATTTCAATATTTTTTTAAGAATTTTGAGATTATTATTGAATGTTTGCTTGTGGTTATTGCTAAGAGGTTTTTTGGGTATCTTTTTCTTCGATTAATAAACGCTGTCTTTCTTGCTCTTCTAATGAACCGAAATATATTCGTTAGTCTTTTTAGGAGTCATCGTGTTATTATTGCATTATTTTTATTTTTTTAAAAAATTAATTTCAAAAAAATCTTTTTTTTTTGAATTGTGTCTCTTATAATTATAGTATTTATTTATTTTAAAAATAATAAATTATTTTATTTTATTATATTTATTTATTATTTTTTTATTTTTTTATTTATAAATTTTAAAAAGAATAAAAAAAATTAAAAAACACAGAATAAAATATATAAATTATAATATTTTAATTACTAAAATACATTATAGCTGCAAAATATACAGAATATTCATTAATTTACATATTTAATATTATTGGTTAACTTATACAATTTTCTATTTCAAAAAAAAATAAATATACAAACATCAATATAAAATAAGAAAAAAAAGAAATAATATTTTTTGACATAAAAAAAGGCTATAAAAAAAGTAAATATAAGTATATAAAATTCTGTATATTTAATAGAAGTTAATTTTATTTGACATAAAATAAAAAAACACTTCATTATAGATATAAATAAAAATATTAGATTAATTCAAAAAAAGAATTATTTTTTTAAATAAAATAAATATATAAATAAATATATATATAAATATATATATATATATATATATGTAATATATTTAACTATATTTTATATATTTTTATTTTTATTTTATTATTTATTATTTAATATTTTTTTTTTTTATAATTATTTAATAAAATTAAAGTAAAAAAAATAGAAAAAGCATATCATAATTTTTAGTAAAAATAAATCTTCCACAAATATTAAAATTAAAGGAAAAAGAGTGATATAATTTAGTTATTTATATAATAAATATAAAATAAATTAAAAAATTATGCAATAGTAATAAAAATTACGTTAATTTGATTTTTAAAATAAATGGCTTAAAGGTAAATATTTTAAAAAAATAAAAAACAAAAAAAGAATATACTAAAAATAAAATCAATAATTAATATTTTTTTAAATTTATAAATATATAGGAGAAGATTATGCTTATATCCTTTAAAATAAAGATAAATATTGCTAATAATTTTAGTTATAAACTTTTCCATAAAAAACACACCCAGAAAATATTTATACATCTCCAGAGAGTATACAAATATATAATATTTTATTAGATAAAAATAACAATATTTATTATATATGTATATAAATGAATATATATAAAAGACGGACAAATATATTATGTGGAAGGAACTTGTATAGGCTCATCTTTTGGGTTTCCTCGAGTTAGTTTTAAAAAAAAATACAGATGGTGTTTATAATTTTATATATAAATAAATTTAATAAAATTATATAAAAAATTTTTATTTAAATTAAAATCAATCATATAATAGAAAAATGTTGACATATAATAATTAAAAAAAAATTTAATATTTAAATATTTATATATTTATATAAATGAATATATAAATTAAATAAATATATATTTATATATATATATATATATAAATACATATTTGTATAATTTTTTTTTAAATCATTAGGAAAAAAATGAATTTTACTACTGATTTACCAAAAGGAAAACCTTTGGTAACTTACATAGTAGCTTCAGCAGAATAATGTTAAAGAAATAATTTATAAAAGGATAATTTTGTATATAGAATGCATGCTGTAATATTAAATAATCAATGTTTAAATAATCCTGAAACAATTTAAAATAATACTTTTATACTTTGTCATGTTAGAAAATTACCTAAAAAAAATAAATAAAATTAAATCCTTTCAAAATGTGATTAAAAAAAAAAAAAAAGAAACCAAATTACAAATGACTTGTTCAAAAACCAGAATTTAATCGAAACTGAAGAATTATAACAATAAAAAATAGAGGAATATTAAAAAAAATTCTAATCTACTTAAAAAAATCATTGTTTTTTACTTAAATAGATTATTTAAAATAATTGCAGAAAATCATAACAATTAACTTTTAAAAATTAGTTTAGTTAAGCATTAATTGAAAACGAACTTTAAAATAATGCAGATATAAACTATATGAATCTATTCATAAAAATTCTTTAAAATTGAGTCTAATTATAAAAAATTATTAAAAAAAACAAGAAATTGAATTTATTATTAATTTATTTTTTATTTAAATGATAAAAAAAATATTAATAATAAATTTAATTTCATCAATTTTGAAAAATAAAAAAAATATATTAAAACATATATATATATATATATATATATATATATAAATATATATATATATATATATATTATAATTAATATAATATTTTATATTTAAAAATATTATAATTATATATTATTTGCCATTATATATTATATATTTTTTACATAAAATTTTGATAAATTTTGAATAATTTTTTTTTTTTTTTTAATATTATAATAATTTTTTTTTTTTAATAAATTATATAATAAAAATACTATTTATTAATTTTATCATAAAATTGTAAAAAAAATTGAATCATAATTTTTTTATATATTTTATAATCCTTTTTTTTTTTTTGTTATTTATATAATAGTAATATAAGTAATATACAATATTTTTTAATTATTTGAAAATTAGATTTTTTTTTTTTAATTTATAACATTAAATAATTTTTTTAAATTGTTCAAATTACATATATATATCTTTTATTAATATCAAATTCCTTTTTTATTAAGATTTAATTAACAATTTTTTATAATTATTTTAACACTAACTACAATTAATTAATTTTATTTGTATTAATTTTTATTTTAATTAATTATACTTTTTATAAAGATTTTAAACTGAATAAATTTCTTACGAATAATTTTAATTAAAAATATCTAATTCTTATTAAATTTTTAAATTATTCTATTCATTGGTATATTCATGTTTTTAAATATTTTTTTATTATAATTTTTATAAAACCTTATATTTATGCATTTTTATTTATATATGAATTTATATAAGTTTTATATATTTTAAATAGAGTATTTATTTATAATTTGAATTTTTTTGTTTATTTTTTTTATATATAAATTTAAAAAGATATAATTTATGACAATAAATCCTATTTTTTTTAATATTTTTATATAATAAATTATAACTACACAATTATTTTTTTTCTTATATAAAAAAACTATAAACATTCTAATTTCTTCTTTATTTTTTAAAAAGCTAATTACATATAGAATATCAGTTAAAAATAAACAAATAACTAATCTTATTGAATTGAATTGAATTGAATAAGATTTTAATCCTTTAATATTAAATTATATTTACGGTATAACTTAAATTTTAAAATATACATTTAAAAAGTTTAAAAACTTAGACAAGTGTACAAAGACCTAAAGTTAAATAAAGTATATATTCTGGTGCGAAGAATTATTATAATTTCTAAATTAATTGCTAAATATGTTTTAATAAAAAATTAGATTAAATTTAAGAATGGATATATATATTTATAATTATAATTAAATTATTATGTTCTGATTATTTTAGTTTTATTATAAATCATAAAAAATATTAATCAATTAAGTAGAAAAGAAACTAAAAATATTTATTAATTTTTAACTAAAGAAATAAAAATGGAAAATATATTTTTTTAAAAGTTAATTATATTTTATATAAAAAGTATTTAAAAAACTAATAACTAGTATACATATATTAATTATAATAATTTTTTAAACTAAATTTAATAAAAAAGAAAAAATATAAGTTAATAATTTTTATTTAATAAAGTGCTAAATTTGTAATAATATAAAAATAAAAATAAAAATAAAAATAAAATGAAAATTAAAAAACAAGTAAAAAAATAATTAAAAATGCCCAAACAAATTAACTAAAACAATAAAGAATAAAACGAAAGTTTTGAAATAAAGAAAAAACAAATACAAAAATAAACAGTAATGAAAACTCTTCTTCCTAATAAAACCAAAAAAATAAAAAAAACAATAGTAAATCCTTTAATAAAGGATTATTCTTTATATGTATCTCAAGAAAATGCTAAATATTAAAAACTAAGAAAAAGTTCAATCAAGCATATAAAATTAGATAAAAATTTGATAAAAAAAGCAGCTAAAGAACTCATCAATTTCTACACAAAATCAAAATAAACTAACAATCTTTTGGACTTATAAGATGATTTTATTTATATAGAGATTATCTTATCTTAAATACCTGAAAATTATTCAATAAGACCATTATAAATGTAAAATATTTTTTATTTAAATTATAAAAAAAATATAGTTCGTTACCTGTACCAATTTATGGAAAAAATTATAATACAAGATTTTGTATATTTTCAAAAGATCCATAAAGAGACTATAAAGAAAAAATAAAAGATTTAGATATTCCTTGTATAGAAAAAATAATTGGATATTCAAAAATAGATAAAAAATACCCAACTTATAAAGATAAACTTAAACTTTTTTATTCATATGATATGTTTTTTGTAGATTATACTATTTATGATTTAATTAGAAAACCGACAGGAAAAGTATTTTATTAGAGAAAAAAGTATATACAAATAAATATATAAATATATAAATATAAAAATATATAAATATATATATATATATATATATATAAATATATATTTATTTTCTATTTTCATATTAGAATTCCTTATCCTATTAATTCATCCAAAGTGCCTGCTCCTTTTGATTAATAATTTGGATAAGATTATTAAGCTTATTTAAATAGTTTAACTAATTATACTTACTTTTCTATGGGTAATGGACCAGTTTAGTATAATATTTAATATTTTTATTTTTCTATTTTATTATATATAGTACTATAAAAGTTGCTAGAACTAATATGAATATACCAGATATTGTTAAAAATGTTATACATTCTATCTATAATGCTGTTCCTCATTTAGTCCAAAACAAAAACTTGTTTGAAAAAGTTAGATAAATTAATATTAAAACTTATAGTTCTGTTTCTTTACCTATTTTTAATTAATTATCAAAAGAAGAAATATAATCTATTGCTAATTGATATTTTAAAAAAATTTATTACAAATGTTTTTGTGTTTTTTATTTTCGTTTTTTTTATTTATTATTTATTAAAAAATTAAATATAGAAATTATTATTTTTAAAATATCTATTTCTATTTAAAATAATTATTAAAAAATATTAAAGTGACACAATTATATATACAAAAAATGGATAATGAAAATTAATTTGTATAGAATATTCCTTTATAAAATAGACACAAAATATAAGTAGTAGAAGATATAGATTAATTAACATATGATATGAGACCTGTAGATACATTCGGGAAATACTTAATATAGAAAATGGGATTTAATGAGAAATCAGGAATAGGAATAAAGGGTTAAATAATAAAACCAATTGAATTTATTCCTCGAAATGCTAAATTAGGTTTAGGTGCTGACCCTTTAAATAAAAAAAACAATTAGTAAGTTAAACTGGGAAGAATTATAATTATATTGGTGAGAAGTTAATAGATAAAAATAATCCATTTAATATAAATGAAAATGTATAAATAATAAGTGGTAAACATAAAGACTTGAAAGGAATTGTCACAAAAATAAACGAGGAAACTAAAGAAATAATCGTCGAATTAAAAAGTGGGGAAAAATTAAAAATCGATAATAAAATGGTAATAAAAATCAAAAAAAAACTAAAAAAAGTTTAAAGTAAAAAAAAAAAAAAAAAACTTAAAAAATTAAAATGGGTTCAAAATAATATTAGAGTTAGAATAATCAGCAAAAAATATAGAAATTCAGAATTTTATAATTAAAAAGTTATAATTAAAGATGTTATTGATAATTTTTCATTTTTTGCAATTACAAATAACGGAATATACCTTGAAGATCTTAGAGAAAAAGAAATAGAAACATTTATTCCCAAATTAGGAGAAAAAGTATTAATTTTAACTGGAGAACATAAAGGATAATAAGCAACTTTATTGTGTAGAGCTAAAAAAGAAAATAAAGTAATTTGTTAGGTTAATGATAATATGGAGAATATTTAGTTAACTCAGGATGATGTGAGTGAATATTTAGCTTGAAATATTCTTCTTTTTAAAAAGAATATTTTATAAAAAATTATATATATATGTATATATAATATTTATTAAATTATAACTGAATTATATAATTTCATATAAATATTTATTTTAATATATTATTTATATAAAATGAGATTATATTTTTAATAAAAATTTAGTATAATGATTTTTTAAAAAATATAAGTATTTGAATATAATATTTAAATTTTTTAATTTTTATGCCTTTAATTGTTAAAAAAAAAGTTTTAATTATTTATTTTAAATACTATCAATAAATATCTATTTTTTTAAAAAAAGTTAAAAAAAAATCAATTTTTTATATTTTTAATTTTTTATTTTTATACTGCATTCTTTTTTATCATCTTATTGCGTATTTGCATAGAATTATTAATCTTTATTTTATTATAAATCTTTAGAAATTTAATTTTTATTTTTTTACAATTCATTATTTATTATATTTTATTATACTTTAATATTATTAACATCAAAGACTAAAATAAAAAATACAATAAAATATTGATAAATATTAATTACCTATATTTTTTTATTATTAAAATTATGAATATTATTATTAATTTTATTATTAATTTTATTATTATTATTATTATTATTATTATTATTATTATTATTATTATTATTATATTTACTATTACTATTTTTTTTATAAACTTTATATATCATCTATTTACTTATAACCTTATTATTCTTATTTATCACTTTTTTTATTAATTTAATTATCATCACATTCAATTTTTTTCTCTTCTTTTTTTACATCTTATTTTAAAAAATCTGGTTAACCATATACTTTAAATTATAACGTATTATTACTTAAATACTTAATAATTTTAATATCAATGTCTGTATAAGTATGCTATTACTCATAATTAAATATTGGATTTTTACATCTTTCTTCGATAATTTTTGTCTTGAATTTATTAATTATTCCTTTTGAGTTCATCAAATAATATTCCACATATATATTTTAATATAAATTTTCAGTTATTTACGCTTCTGTAATTATAACTTTAAAATCCATTCTTTTATTTAAAAGATCATTTGGATCTTCTATCTATAAATCATCATTATAATTATCGTTTTCATAATTTATACTTCCATCTATACTACAAGGAATTAATCCTACACTTAAATTTCCACACTAACCATTATCACCTATTAAATTTAAATTACTTCGACTATCTAAAGCATAAGATAACCCCATTAATTTCAAGAAACTTTAACCTATCATTAAAGATTCAGGTGGATCCCAAAACGGGTCTTCATTTTTTTATAATTTCTATTAAAAATAAATTATATATCTATATAATTAAATATATATATAATTATATATTTATATATATATATACGACTATCTTATTAGATTCAAAATATCTATCTAATAAACCTTTTATAATATAATATCTATTTGAAAACTTTTCTAAATCCCATACATATTCAGTACCTTCTTCAATATTTTTGACTAAAATTTATATATTCTTTTTCAAACGTTACTCTTATAGTTCTATTTCACCTGGCTCGGTGTAATTATAAATTATTTTTGTTGAAAATTGTATTTCTCTTTTTAATTCTTTAGCTATGAAACCAACTTCTTATATTTTCGGTAGTGCTTTTCTTAATCTTTATTGTATTATTTCTTTTTATTTTAATTTATATACACGTAATTGTTCTTCGTCTTAAAGTTTTTTCTTTTCTTTTTCTCTTTCAAGTTGCTTTTGGATACGTTCTGCTTCCAGTTTCGAAATAATTTCCTTCATTTACTATTCAGCTTCATGTTTTTCTTTTTCTAATTTTTATTTTTACGATTCCTATTTTTTATTTAATTATTTTTTTATTTTAAATTACTTCTCTCAATTTATCTGAGAGTTGATTTATTTTAATTTCATATAATTATTTTTAAAAATCTATTTTATCTTAATTTTCTTATTTTTCAGAATTAAGTTTAGTTTCTATATCCTTAAATTTATTTGAAACTATTTAAATATATATTTATATATAAAAATTAAAATATTTATATATAAATTTATAAAAATATACATTTATTTATATTTAGATATTACAAATAAAAATATTAATATTTTTTAAGCATTACTAATATATATATATAAATATATTTATTTATTTTAACATTTTATTTTTTATATAGATATAATTTTTTATTATTTTACGTTATTCTTTTATATCTTTTTCATATTGTTATTACTCTTAATTATTATTTAATTCTATATTTTTTGATATTTCATCTTAAGCGAATTCCCAATCTATATCTTTAGGTATTATTTTGCCATTGTTTCTATCTTATTCGCCTGGAATAATTATTAGAAAAGTAGAATTTGTGCCAAAAATTATTCTATCATTATTAAAAAGTCTAATTTTTTCTCCTACTTTATTTCCATTTACATGAATATAATCTTAACAATTACCATTGTATGGTTTAAGATAAATTTCATTATTAATTTTTTAAAAAATAGCATGCTTTTCTTTTATTCCCATACTTCCTAACACAATATCAGGTAGAGGGATTGCATTTTTTCTACCTACATATGTATATTCTTTATCTAAACTATATATAATTTTATTATTTAAAATCGGATCTTCATTTAAATTAGTCAAATGAACTGTATTTTGCAAATCAATATTCTCTTTTTGTTCTTTATTATCATCTTATTCGTATTAAAACAGCCTCTCCTAATGTGTTTTTTACATATCATTCATTAAATCATCCATTGCCTTTAATTAATCTTCTAAATCTTCTACTTCTTTATAACTTGAATTAGGGTTATTATCTTTAATAATTAAAAAATTATAAAAAAAAAAATTTAATAAAATACTCATTTTATTCCTAAGTTCCTAAATAGTAGTTTTTAAGATCATGTTTTCTTGCTTTAATTACCTTATTAGTTTATCAACTGCACTTTCATTAACTACAGCCTTATTTTTAATTTTCTTAGCCTAATCAGCATACCTTAATGTAGATAGGGTCTCTTAGTAATTATCAAAAGATGGAGAAATAGCACATATCATTAATGTTTTCGAATTGCCACCAAGAGCATTACATAATATTTTAGTTAAACAAGAATCTCTATAAGGAACTTTTATTTTATTATTACCACTTTCGATTTCTGCTAATGTAGAAATAACTAAACCTAATTAAATATATGTATATAAATATATATATATATATATATATATAAATATATATAATATATATATATATAATATATATAATTTATTTTATTTATTATAAGATTAAATTATTTTATATTTTTTATATTTATTTAAATTTTTAATTACCTAATATATGTAAACTTTTATTGATTTGTCCTGCTTCTTTTAATCTATCTCCTTAAGCTCCTGTTTTGCCTACTTTTTCTGATCCTGCTAAATCAACTAAATTAATCATTGAGAATTTTTCTGTTTTTCTTCCATCTATTTCTTATCTTTTTCTAAATTCAACAGTTATAATAGTATGTGCCCTTGATGATGATGCATTCATTTAAGTTGATGCTATAGTTCTATGTTTAGAACCTTCTTCCATTTTCTATTCAATTTATTCATAACTTTTAACTGGATATTTTGTTAAGTTTTCTACATAAAATCCTATTGTATTGTTTTCACGAATCCTTAATCCTCCTGATACTCTCTTATTTATAGGAATTAATAAGTCTTGTACTTTCTCATTGTATATTTCTAACATAGAAACACTTACTTCATATTCTTCATTATTATATTAACTTTTTTCGATTCTTTTAAATATTTCCTCACAAATAATTGGAACAATTCCTCTATTAGGATTATATCCTACCATTGAATAACTTTTACCAGCACCAGTTTAACCATATGCTAATAAACAACAATGATAGCCTTACCAAGCATTATCTAACATCTAAGAACCTACAAGATCATATACCTTTCTTTAATCTGCATATTTTTCATTTTGGGCTATATACTTAAAAAAATTAAATATTATTATATATAAATTTTATAATATATTGTAAATAATATAAATATATAAATATATAAATTTATTTTTATAAATATATATATATATATATTTATTTATATATATATATATTTACTAATCCTTCTTCATTTGTATTGTATTCTGAATGAGACCAAAATGAAAAATCATAATTAAAATCCCGATTTTTTTTATTATCTTCGATGTTTAATAATTAAGTTTAGTTATTTTACATTTTAATACATAATTCAGATCCTAATTCTATTTCTCGTTAATTAAAAGGGCGAACTCTTACTGCTACTTATACACTCATTTAATATACAAATGTTTATATTTTTTATTAATGTATTACGTTTTTTGTTTTTATTTTTAATAAAAAAAATATAAAATTTTTAATTAATATTTATTTTTAAATTTTTTTTTTTTTAATTGATAATTTTGTGCATATATTTAATTAAAATATTATATTATTTAATTATTTATAAAAAAAAGTAAATTTTTTTTTTATACTATTAAAATATTAAAATAAAAAGCAAAATATTTTATATACAAATTATAAAATATTATCTTATGTATACATAATATTGAAAATATTAATATATATATAATTTAATTTTTTATATTAAATAAAATTATAAATATATATATAAATATAAATTTATTTATTTTTAATTTTATTTATACAAAAAATAAAATTTATATAAATATCATACTATTTTTTCACAATAATTTTTAATTAGGAATTTTAATTATTTTTTTCTTACTTTTTACAGGTGAATGATTAATTAATTAATTATTAAGAACAAGTTTAATGCCATTTTTTGAACTTTAGACTATATTATTACCTTTTAATTCATTTATTTCGTTTGTTAGTATGAAAAATAATTAATTACTTTTTTAAAATTCTCCATATAATTACGATTCTTTATTTTTTTAAAATAAAATATTTGCACTTTTTATATTTCTAAAATTATCATTTATATTATTTTCCTAAATATCACTTTTTGGTTAAAAAAAACTTATTTATTAACCTTATATATGTATATTTGGTTAAAAACCTTTCTTTTTTTCTCCTAAAAAATAAATCTCATTTTTTTCTTTTTTTTTGTTTATTTTTTCTTACTGTATTATTATTTCCTTTTAACGAGTAAAATTCCATATTTATATTGGCGAAAACCCTTTAACCTCATCTTAAATTTTTGGAATATTTTACTTTTATTTTTTTTGAATATTTATGTAATTTTTATGTGTAGTTTTTTATGAAGAAAATTGCTTAAAATGTCAATTTTTTTGCTCTTTTTCAAATATTCTTTCACTTATTATTTCAAGATTTTCTATGTTTGGGACTTGTTTTTTAATAAAATGTTAATTTTTATATATTTTGGGGATTTTAATAATATTATCTAATTTTCTTTTGACAGTTTTTGGCTCAATATGGTTTTATTATTATCTATTAAATAATAATAACTAATCAATAAGGTTAATTTTAAACTCTTTTTAGGATTTTTATTCTTTTTATTTGATAGGGGATAGACTAAATATGAATTATTTTTTAGTTTAATTTGTATAAAAATAACGTTTGATTTAATAATCTTTTTTAATTTCCTCTTTCTTACTTGTAAAAGTATTTAAACTAGTACCAAAAGTTCTCAAATCTTTAAATTTGTAATCTTCTTCTTATTCCCATTAAGAAACACTTTATTTTTTTGGGGAAATATTTACTTTTTTCGGTTTTTCTTCTGAAAATTCAAAAATTTTTTCGTTTTCTTCTTCTTAAAAAATTTTTTGCATTTTTTTTATTTTTTTTTCGTTAAAAAATTATTTTTTAAAATATTAATTTTTTTTTATTTAACAATTATAAAAAATTTAAAAAATAATTTAAAAAAAAAAATCCTAAAAAAAAAATATTTAAAAATAAATTATAAAATATTCGAAATAAACTTTTTTTTTTTTTTTAATAAAATAAAAATATAAAAAACCAAATAACCAAAAAAAAAAATGAACTAAAAAACCAGCCTATAATATTTTATTAATGAGGAAGTCCCTCACACAGACTTATCGAAATAACAAATAATCGACGAAATACTATCTTTAAAATTAATAAGATACGTCGACTAGCCTCCTCGTAGTAAATAATCTGATAAATCCGGTGGTAAAAGTTGTTTAAATAGCTAAATGGTGACTACAATAAGATCAGTAGGTTAACACGTAATATAAGAAATAGGTAAAAAATTATTATCTGGTGATTTAAATTTAACTAAGGTTTCATTTCCAATAAAATGTTCGGTTGCTTAAAGCGCATTAGAAAGGGTAGCTAGAGGTACTTGTTTTTTTCCCATATATTTAGGGAAAGCCGTATAAATATTAAATAATGCAGAGAGACTTAAATATGTAATAACAGCTACTATAGCTAATTTTTTTGTAAATTGTACTTTCCTTAAACCACTAAATCCTGTTTTGGGGGAGACTTTTTAGGCATATTATAGAGATGGGACTGCTGTTTATTGTGAATAAATTAGCCATCACCCCCCTATAACTTATTATTTATGTATAGGAAAGGGTTTTAGGTGTTATGGATATTATGTGTACGAGACTAAGGCTGGATTAAATTCTTTGACTTTAAAAAATAAAGGAGTTCGGACTGTGGAATTTCTAGATGATAAAAATAATGTAATATAAAAAATAATTTATAATTTCGGAGAAGAAAATTATTCAGGAATTTTTTTCGGGACAATGAAAATCGAAACAAATGGTATTTTAATTTTCAAAGATATTAAAAACAATATTTTCGCATAGATAGAACTCGCGAAAGTGAAAAATAAACCTTCTGATTATTTCCAAGGAATAATTTAAGAAAACAATATAACTATAAGCAATGTTTTTGGGTCATATATGTCACATATAGAATTTGATGAAGTTAGATATTGGGATTATAGATAGGGTCTACCTCTCAAATTATTACACGAATAAAAACCAATAAAAAGTGATAGTTCTTTTAGGGAAGATTTATAGCTTTTGTCTATGAATGCTGTTAATCAGGCATAAAAAGCTAAAGAATAAATAGAAAATAATTAAAGATAAGATGCTATTTTAAGAAAAAATAATTAATAAAATTAAGAATTGGTTAAATGAATAAAATATATATAAATTTATAAAAAAATAATATATATATATATATAAATTTATATATATTACTTATTATGATTTTTCTTAATTTTTTATTATATTTTTTTCTATATATTAATTTTAATAAAATGATATTATTTATATTTCTTTTTTAATTTATGTTTTTTAATATTTTAAATATATTTTTTTTTTTAATATCTAAAATAAATCATCATTTTATTATAATTATCATTTCTAGTCCTGTTTTAGTTATAATATATTATATACGTTTATTAATTATTTTTTATGCTGTATTTATTAATTTTAATGGGATAATGTAGTTTTTATTATTTTACGATTTTTGCATGTATAAATGATTATCTGTAAAATTACATAATACAAAACCTATTTTTTTTTATATTTTTTTTAAAATATTAAAACATAATATATACTATGCTCAAAATTTGGATTCAAATATAAATTATATTTTGTATTATTTTATTAAATATTTAAGTTTACTGTATTTGTATAAATAAGAGCTATATTATTTACTTTTAAAAATTCTTTTATTTCAATTAAAATCGATGTAATCTCATTTATTTTCTGGAATTATTTATTTGAATTATAACTTAATAATTTTAATATAATCCCATCTAAAACAACTAAATTTATTTGTTTATTTATTTTTAAATATTCAACCAAATTTTTTATATATAATAATCCTTCTTCTTCTGTGCTAATTACCTTTAAAATTATTTTATCTAAATCTATTTCTTACTCATCTTTTATTTGCATAAATCTTTCAATTAAAAATTAATTCTGAAAGTCTACAAATAGGCTTTTTGTATCTTTTTTAAATTAATTTTTTACTAAATAATGCATACAAAGTGTTGTTTTTCCTATTCCATAAATACCATCTTTAAATATAATATGCATTGATATTTTTATATATATTTTTTTTACATATTTATGTTATTTTTCCATATTCAATAAATGTATTTATTTCATCTTATTATTATCTTATTTGTTAATTTTAAGAATATTATGAAAAATATTATATATATTAACTTTCTTTTTCATTTTAATATAAAAATTCTATTTTTTAAAAAATATTTTTTTTTTTTTTTTGAAAAAATATTAAACATTAAGTTAAAAATACTATTTAAAGGTTTTTATAATTCATTCATTATTTATTAAATTATATTTTCAATTTTATTTAAACTTTCCTTTTCTATTATAAATTCTTAATGTTATTCTTTATGTTTATAATTAATGTAATCTTCTATTGTATCGATTCCGCTTAATTCTAAATTATCTAAATATTTTTTTTCATTTTAATTTAATAAATGCGAAATTCCTTAAATCTAAAAATATTTTTTTATTTTATATATAAAAATATTAAATAAATACTTTGAAATATTTCATTTTTTTTAATATCTAAAAAAAAACAATAAGTTAAAATAAAAAATAAAAATTATATAAAATTTGTAATAATAAAAAAAAAAATAGAAAAAATTTATAAATAATTCAATTTTAATATTATTAAGAATCTTCATAATGATTACAATTAATTTTATAAAAATCATTCTAATCATCATTTTAATTTTCTTAAGTAAAACTATATATTTTTAAAGGTTAATACAATTAAGGTTTAAATGAGCATCGATTTAATTCTTATTAAATTAATTTTTATTATTCTTCAAATATTTTATTTTCTTTATTCTAAAAATAAAAAAACATTTTTCAAAAATAAAAATAAAAAAATTGAATAAAAACAAATAATAAAAAAAAATATATTACAAAAATATATATATAAAAAAAAATTATAAAAAAAATATAAAAAAAAATAAAAATAAGATATATATAAATAACATATAATATATTTTTTTAAAAATAAAATAAAAATACTTATATAGTTTCTAATCCATGTTTATAAATTCCTTCAAATTTTTAATAACTTCTTTTTTTCGCTAATTTTTAAGAAATATCGTTAATTTAAGGTTTAAAAAGAAAATTATTATATTCTGATTTTTTATTATCCCATTTTTCTTTAAAATTATGTAATAAATTATCTCTTTAATAAATAGTTAATTAATTCAAAAGTTTTTCCGAAATTTAAAAAAAGCTCTCATAATTCAACTATAAATTATTCTATTGCATTCCATAAAATAAAGGTCTATAAAACTATTATAGATCATTCGAAAGCTACGAAAAATCAATTTTTTCATATGTAATTTACCCATCTTAATCACTATCTAATAAATTAAAAATCGTTTAAATTTTATCTTTTTTGACTTGTTCTAATATTTAGTTTGATCTATCCGATACTATTGGTTAGCTTTATTATTATTTCTACATCTTTTCTAATAAATGCATCTATTTTATTTACTTCTCTTCTTTTTTATTATATAAATAATCCCAAATTGTCTAATTTCCTATATCTCTCTATATTATTTTTTAAAAAAATTATAATATTATTACATATAATACATATAAAGGATCTCTTCCTATATTAGGTTTAAAAGTAGATTAATTTTATTAATCTCCAATTTATTTTAATTTTTATCTTTTTTTACATAAATAAACTACTTTTTTTTTAAAAAAAATACTCTTAAATTCTTCTTTATTATTCATAGGATTTTTACATCATTCTATCTATAAAAGATATTTATGATTCTTATACTTTTTAAGATTATTAATAAAGGCAAATTTTAGGTTAAAATGAATATTCAACTTATTCTCTAAATAAATATAAAATTATTAATATATTTTATTAAAAATATTTACTATTAATAAGATTTTTTTCTTTATTATCTTAAATAATTTTCAGCATATAATTCCTAAAATCTATTACTAATATGTGGATTATGTTCTTTTTTTAATTAACAAATATAATTGCTCCTAAAATGGTATATAAAATAAATACATATATTAACAAAAAATTATATTTTATAAAATAAAATATACATTTTATTTATTTCAGGTTTAAAAGTACAATTTAAATCTTACATTTATAATTAAGTGTTTCTTTAAAATTCTAATTTTTATTTTGTTGATTATCCTTTCCTTAATAAATAGTCTTCTGTAGATTAAAATTATTATCTTTATTGAATATTCTTATTATAAAATAAATTATAAGTAAAATATGATAAAATATTTATAAATATAAAATATTATATATTATAATTATATAAATAATCATATATTTATATAAATTATACTTAATATTATTAGTTTTATTAAATTTTAGGTTTGAATGTTAATTCTTTTTACATTTTTTAATTTTATTCGGCTTTAATTTTTTCTATTTTTTTTTCCAATTTTTATTTTTGTTATTATCCTCTTTAATATATTTCTTCTCCAGGATTATCATTTTTTTTTATTAAAAATCTTATGTTATATTTTTATTGCTCAAACTTATATTTAATTTATTTTCTTAACTATAATTTTAATATTTTTTTTCTCTTAATTTAGCCTATATTTATTAAAATTAAGAAATAAAATAAAAATTATTTATAAAAAAAAAACTTCCTAATATAATCTTTCAAATATATCTTATTGATCTTTTATTTTGTTTAATTGATTAATATTAATATTATTTTTATCATTGTTATTATTATAATTATTATTTTTATTATTATTATTATTTTTATTATTATTTTAATTATTAACATAATTTTTATCATTGATAATATTATTATTTTTATCTTCAAATTTAAATATGTCTTTAGAATTTAATGTATTTTAAACTCTTTAATTTATTAAACCATTTTATTATTAATTATTTTAATAGTTTAGATTTGATTAATTTTCATTATTTATTTATTTGTTACATATATAATTATTTATTTTAATATTTTATTACAATTATATTTATTTTCTTTCTTATAAAACTGTCAATATATTATTTTCTATATTCTATGCTAGTGTTTTTATTGCTTATTCATTTAAATTATGCTATTAGCAAAAAACTATTGCTTTTTAATATGGATTATCATTTTCATAAATATCTAGAATTTCTTTTTAATCTTCACCTATTTCAATTGTCATAGTTAAAAAATGATTATTTTGCTATTATTGTTATTATATATTTTTTTTAAATGGAGACAAAGGGATATATTATTATTATATATTTTCTATAAATTAAGTTTAAGATTTTCCGCATTATTTAAAATTTTATGATTTTAATTAATTTAAAAGTTTTTAGTCTTATAAAGTTAATTATTATTTTTAAATATTCATTTTATTAAATATATTATTATTTTGATTTAAAAAAATTATAATTATTAATTTTGTTTGAACATATGTAATTTAAATATATTAATTAAAAAAAAGTAAAAATAATTAGTAATAATTTTAAATATTAAAAATTTTAATTGAAAAAATTAAATTAATAAAAAAATTTAATTAATAATTTATTTTTTAAATTGTAATTAATATATCATAATAAATTAAAAATTTGCAAAAAAATCATTATAAATAATAATAAAATATTTAATAAATTATTAAAAATTAATAAAAAAATAATATTTTTAATAATTATATATTATATAAAAAAATTAAATTAATTAAAATAATATTAATTAATAAAAAATAAATAATCAAAAAAAAACTAATATATATATTTAAATTATTTTAGAAATATAAATATATATATTAATTAAAATATTAATATATATATATATATATATATATATAAATATATATATTATTTATTTTCTTTATTAACTATAATTTTTATTTTATAAAAACATTTCTAAAAAATAAATTTAATATTTTTTAATTAGTTATTATTATTTTTTAATCTTTTATTATATATAATTTATTAATATTTTTTGATTTTCTAAAAAAATAAATTAAAATTTTTCACTAAAATAAATATTTAAAAAGGTATGTATTTATTTAACAGAATCAACAGATTAAGGTATATGTTATCTAATCCAGCTGGATAATTATTTTTAGGATCTATTGGAATAATTACTGCTTACAATACATTTTATCATGTTACAAAATATTTTAATCTGAACGAATAGTGGAAAAATGTATATAAAAATCTGTCTAATTAAGAACCTTATTATTTATAAGGAGAAGAAGCATTGATTTATCCATGGTTAATAGATAATAATATAAAAGACTGGGAATTCAAATAAGTAAGAATAAGAGGTTATTTTAAAGATGAAAGATTTTTCGTACGTAGAAAAAGAGATGGAAAAGAAGGATTTTTAGTTTTTGCTCCATTCGTTACAGCTGTAAAAAGATTAAATCATAGACCTTAAATAAAAGAAGTGTTACCGGTAGAACATGTTATTTTTGTTAACATAGGTTGGGTAGCACTTGAACATTAAAAGAGTGTAGAATTAGGAAGTGAAATAGCACCATAATTAGTAAATAAAAAAAAATAATTGATATAAAAAAAAATGAATATATATATATAAACATATATATAAATATATATATATATATATATATATTTATATTTATATTTATATTTATATTTATATTTATATTTATATTTATATTTATATATTATTTATCTTATCTAGGATCTTGATGAATCTTAATTTTATACTGATTTTTATACATGTATAATTTCTTTTATTTATTTATTCTTTTTTTTCTTTATTTTAAATAGAATTAAATCCTAATCCGGAAAATCCTAATGAAAAAGAATAAATAACAATGACAGAAATATAAGGTATTGTAAGAAAAGGAGAAACTGAAAATTGGCTTACTGGAAGAAGAAATTGGCCTTAATAAAGTATTTTTAATTGGGTAGATTTAGATTTTATGGCTAGATTCTTCAGAGTTTTTAATTTAGATTCTGCTAAAGCTGCATATATTGAAAGAGTTGTTTCTGAATTAGAAGAAGAAAGCTATCCTATACCATCTACTAAAGAAAACTTTGATAAACCTTTAATAACTCCTTAATATCATTCTTAATAATTAAGCTTAAATATAGCATTATCTGTTTTATCTTTTGCTTCCATATTATTTTTGAAGCGTTGAATTATTATATAAAATATTATAAAAAATTTATTATTAAAAATATATAAAAGATTTCATAAAAATTAAAAAAAAATAGTTATTTAATTATATTTTAAATATATATAAATAAAATAAAATTATATATATATATATATATAAATTTATATATATAAATATTTTTTTTGATAAAATATATATAAATATATTTATGATTTATTCATATTTATAGATAAATATAAATATACATGTTTATAAATCAAATTTTTGAATTTATACCTCTAAGATTTCTTTCTAAAATAAAATTTCTAATATTCTCTTCAATTTCCTACAAATCACATTTAATTCTTGCCACTCCAGTTTTCATAGCTGATTCTGCGACTGCTTTTGCTACTGCAATTGGTACCCTTGTATCTAGACTACTTGGTATAATATTATCTGGAGATAGTTCATAATCTGGTATTAATTATGAAATAGCTTATGCTGCTGCCATTTTCATTTCTAAATTAATTTCTTTCGCTCTTACATCTAATGCTGCTCTAAAAATACCAGGGAATGCTAATGAGTTATTAACTTGATTTTTAAAATCTGATCTTCCTGTACCAACTATATATGCACCTTCTTTTTTTGCATCTGCAGGCATTATCTCCGGTTCTGGATTTGCCATTGCTAAAATCATACTTTTTTCATTCATAGTCTTTACCCATTCAGGTTTAAAGGCTTTTGCAGCCGAAACACCTATAAAAACATCAGATTTCTTAACACATTCTTCTAAGCTACCTATTACATTTTAAGGATTCGTCAATTCAGCAAGTTCATCTTTCTGTTTATTCATATTAATAGGTCTATTTTTATATATAGAACCTTTTGTATCACATATGATGATATTTTTTATTCCAATACCAAGTAATAAAGTAGCTTTTTAAAAAATAAAAATAAAAAAAATAAAAAAAAAAATTACTTATAGATAATCCAGCTGCCCCTCCTCCATTTACAATTAATTTAATATTTTCGGCTTTTTTTCCTGTTAATCTTAAGCAATTTAATACTGCAGCAAGTGTAACAATAGCTGTTCCATGCTAATCATCATGAAAAACAGGAATATCTAGTCTTTATTTGAGTGTATTTTCAATTTCGAAACATTCTGGAGCTTTTATATCTTCTAAATTAATGGCACTAAAGACCGGTGCAATTCTTTCAATAATATTAATTAATTTCTTAGGATCTTTTTCCTAAATACATATCGGAACTAGGTCTACTCCTCCTAATTATTTAAAAATACAACTCTTTCCTTCCATTACAGGTAAACCAGCTCCTGCCCCAATATCTCCGAAACCTAGAACAGCTGTGCCATTGCTAATAATAGCAGCCCAATTGCTTTTAAAAGTCAATTCTCTAACTAAACTAGGCTATAATAATATCTCGTCTTCAATAGCCTCATATGAGGCTTACTAAATCAACTCAAATACATCATCCAAACTTTTCATTTTGATCTTCGATTAAGTCTTAATCATTCCCTAAAACCTGGCGTGTAAAGCCAGGGAGTTTTATTCATGAGAATGTCCTATTAAATGAAAATCATTAGGCCATCTTTAAATCCAGGCTTTATTTCCTTCAAAGAAATAATTCTTAAATCTTGCAATAACACTCTCTTTTGTATAAATAGGTGTAAAAATATTATTTGCATGTAAAAATTCCACACAAACTTTCTATAAAATTACTGTTAATTTAGTTTTATTATTTAAAGCTTCCTTATTTTCCATTATTTTCTCAAAAACATGCTCTATTAAGCTATTTGGAACAAACCCCTTCACAACACAATCCATACATCCTCTTAAAATAATTGAAGAAATAAACCCACAAGGCAATTCCTTATCTAAACCATTTTTTTTTAACAACTATCTAATATAGTTTCTTTAATGAGAACCGAAAATAAGTAAAGAAACGTCATTTCTCTTCGATAAAATATCTTATATTTACAAACTTCGTTCTTCTTTTACATTAAAAAGCTCAACTCCGACATAAGAAGAGCTTAAACTAGTAAAAGCCTCTATAAAATCTTCAATATTTTGGCATTTATTTATGTTAATAACGAAAGGATAAGCATCTATATTTGTATGTATCTTATAAAATAAGCAATTAGCCTCTAATTAAGGAATAGCAGCATCTATATGCCATTTATTAGTTTCAAAAGCATGATAATCAGTTCCATCAGTAACTAAAGCTAATGCATTACCTATATAAAATATATATAAATATTTTATAAATTTATAAATATATGTATAAATATTTTATAAATATATGTTTAAATAAAAAAGACCTAAATTTGTATATTTATATATATTATTATAATCTTTTTATATTTCTAAGCAACTAGCTCCTACACCAGGAGAATATACTAAAGATAAAGAAAATGAATCATAAATAGGAACTTTTAATTTTATTTAAAGTAACCCATGGTATCTTTTTAAGTTCTAACGTAAACGAGCATTACACATAGGAGCGTTTTATTAATTTTATCTTAATTCAGTATTAGCTGCACCCATTATTAATATTATTAAATGTTTTATAATATGTATAATAAATATATTATTTAATAAAATTGATTATTTTTTAAATAATTATATTATATATTCTTTGATAATTCTTTTGTTTTTCTATTAATTTATTAAATAATTATATAAAATAAAACATAATAAAAAATAAAAAAAATAAAATAATATGATAGTATAAAAATATATATAAAATTATATATATATATATAATTAAATAAATAAAATAAAAAAGAAAAATAAATGAAATTTATAATATAATAAATAAAAATTAATATTTCTAAATGTTTCAAACAACACAAAATAAAAAAAAAATTAATATTTAAAATAATTATGCTTAATAATTTAAGAATTTAAAGAATTTGAAAAAATGTAATAAAAAAATAAAAAAATGTTATTAAAATAAATACTATTGTTATTATTATTTTTTATATATTGTTTTTATATTTATCGTTTTTATTTATTAATTTTTATATTATAAATTTTTTCCTTTATTACTTTTTTTATTATATTATAATGATTATATTTTTTCTTAATTTACCTAAATTTGTTTTTTATAAATATAAACCAAAAATTATTTATTATTATAATAAATTTTAATTTTTTTTTTTTATTTTATTTCAAAATATATTTTCAAACTTATTAAAACACGCTATAATAATCATATTTTTAATATTTTCTTTTGTAAATTGATAATGAAACTATTTTTATAATATAATTATTTTTGTTAAAATTATATTAACATTTTTTTATATAATTAATTTAATTTAATTTATTAAAAATAAAAATCAATAATATAATAAATTATAAAATAAAAATATATATAACTTAAATAAAAATTTATTTATATAAAAAAATAATTTATTTTTTTATTAGAAAAAATTAATATATTAAAACAAAAAAACATTTCTAATAAATAATTAAAAATTAATTTATTAAATGTAATATTATTCATTTATAAAAAAAATAAAAACTTATATATCTATAATTTTAATTTTTACATTATATATATAATTTTTTTATTTTAAATTCTTTTAAAACATAAATAATATTATTAATTTAATCAATAAGTTTATCTTAACAAAAACTAATGAAATTAAATTCAATAATTTTATATATATGAATTTATTTCCAAACAATGACAAAGTAAAACTTTATATTTTTGTTTGATAACCCTCTAAAAATAAATATAATAAAATACGAAATATACACTCAAGAATAATCTCAAAATCAAAAAGGCAAAATAGTAACTTAATATATACATTTTTTCAATAAAAACATATAAAACCCAATAATACTATATTTTAGATAAAATTATTATTACATATAATAAATTTTTACTACATGAGTATTTATGCAGAATATAAATTCAAAAAGAATCTAAAACTATATGTAAAATGATGAAAAAATAAATATTATTATGAAAAAATTTACAGATTAAATTAATGTAATATGCTTTAAACACTATTAAAGAATAATGAAGCAAAAGAAGCATTATCCTTAAACCTTATAAAAAGAAATATTTATAAATACTTGGTAATAATAAATAAGAAATAATGTTATAATGTAAATTCGAAAATTCCATTATGAACAATATAATAATTACTTTTAAATAAATTTCAAAAAAATTATCAAATAAATTTAATTTTTATAAAAAATACATATACAATAAATAATGTTTAAATATTATTATATAATAGCGAATATTAATGATAAAATCTTTAATTTTTTATAAAAAATCCAATAAATTAATAAAAGAAGTTTCAATAATAATACTAAATTCTTTAACTATAAAATAAAATTTATTATATTATTTTAGTTTTAACTTAACTTAACTTTTTTTTTTACACTTATAATTGTTATAAAGTAAAGTATTTTTAATTAAAAATAAGAATATATGAATATATATTTTATTTTTATTTTTTTATTAATTTATTAAGTAATTTAAAAAAAAAAAAAAATTAAAAAGGCGAGAAAAAATGCTTATTATCTTTTTTTAATTGAGTATTTTAAAAAAAATTAAAGGAAAAATAAACAATTATATATATTATTATTTTTTGTAAAAAATAATAAGATATTATATTATATTAAAATGAAAATACTATAAAAAATAATATAGAAGCTTAAAAAATTTCCTAATTTCTTCTTAAAAGTAATTGGAATAAAAAACTAATGTTTATTTATATCAAGTTTTCCTTTAAATTAAAAATGATAAAGAATATAAAAAATAATTCGTAAAGCAAAAAATGAAAGAATATTCATAAATAAGAAGTATATAGAATATTTAAAAAAATTGATTTTAAAGAATAAATTTATAAAGATTGCTTAAAAGGATTTAATAAAAAATAATATATAAAAAAATTATTTAAAAATAATATTTTTATTATTAAATTTCTTTTTACTCAGCTAGTTAATATATATAAGTTATTTGATGTGTAAAAATAAAATTAAGTTGAAAATTTATTTTTAATGTAAAAAAAAAAAATATAAAAATATAAGAATATTAAATAGTGTTAATATATTTAAATTAAATAAATAAATATTATTAAAATAATATAAATATGATATATTATTTAATAATTAAAATATATAAAGATAAAAAATATATATAATTTAATAATAAATTTTAGATTTAATGATTAAAAACATTTAATAATATCTATTAAATATCTTATTATAATAAATTAAAATATATATTTTTTAGAACATAAATTTATATAAAATATAATAGTCATTATAAATATATCAGATAATTGGTTTTAAATATATATAAATAGATATATATATTTGAAAATATAATTATAAAAATATATAAATTTAAAAATATATAAATATATAATATATAAATATATAAATATATAAATATATTAATATATAAATATATATTCAGCATAATATATGTTTACTTTTTTTTTTATAAATATTTTTTTAAAATAAATTCATCCTAATTTAAAATAAGCATAAATTACTTTAAATTTTTATAATATTTTTAAAAATATATAAATAATATAAAATTATAAATATATATATATTTTTTATTATTTTATATATTTTTTTTTTTTTTTTAAATCAATTAAAAAGAAAAAAATACATAATTATAAAAAAAATATTTAATGTCAAAAAATTTTTAAAATAGTGAAAATTTGAAAAATCTTAAAGAACTTTACATTTAAAAATATTCCGAAAAGCGAAAATCAAACACTAATCAGCAAATTATATTTTCAATAAACAAAAGCAGTTTAATTAATAATCATAAAAATCCTATTTAATAAATTAAACTATCTTAATTGTAAAATCAAACAAGTAAATTAGAAATTAATTCAAAAAATCAAGAAGTTAATATAATTTTTTTTTATAAATAAACATTAATATTTTTATTTTAAAAAATAAAAATAAAAGCCTAAAAATTTTAAATTTAACATATAAATTGATTCAAAAGAAAACAATTCTTAAAGAAAAAATGAAAATTAAACATTATATAAAAGTTAAGTATATGAAAATTAAATTAATAAATAAAAATATACACAGTCTTAAAATATAACTAGAAACAATTCTTTCCTTAATTAAATTTCTTCACCAAACAATCTAAAAAAAGAGTTTAATTCAAACCAAAATCTGTAAAAAATAAGAAATTCTAGAGGATCATCAGGTTCTATATATAATGAAGGAAAAAATATAAACAATTAGCTATTAGATAAATATAAATAAAATCCTTTTTTGAATTATAAATAGTTCAGTTAATAATAATCATAAAAAGATATTTAACAAAATATAAGCAATTTAAAATTTTCATCAAATTAATTTAGTAATTCTTAAAATAACTCATAAAATAATATAAAATAATAAAATGAATTAAGTCCTTTAAATAAAAATAGATAATTAATAGAAAATAATTATATTAAAGATAAACTAAAATTTTAAACTTGTATTTTATTATAAAATTAATATATATTATTATTTTTTAGAATAATTATTGAATAAGAATTTATTTAATTATTAATATATTATTGGAAAAGGAGGTTTTGGAAAAGTAAAAAGTTAAAAAAATATATAAATTACATTTTATCATATAATTTAAAATTTTATAAGAATATTAATTAAAATTACAAAAATTAAAAAATAATTATTTATTAAACATTTTTTTATATCAATTTTTACTAATTTAAAAAAAATAATATTAGAACAATGATAATATATTATATTAATATATGAAAAAAATAATAATTAATATATATATATATATATATATATATATATATATTTATATATATTTATAATTTATATTTTATTTTTATTATAATAAAAAGGTTTGGCGTGTTGAAAATAAAAAAAATAAATAAGTATATGCAATGAAAGAAATGTTAAAATCAAAGTATATAAATATAAAATATATTTTATTAAATATGTAAAGAATAATTACAAAAAGAAGTATACATTCTGTTATGAGTGAAAGAAATTTACTCGCATAATTAAAACATCCGTATAATAAAATTAATTTATTTTTTATTTGATATTAATAAATATAGATTTATTGTAAATATGAATTATGCTTTCTAAGATAAAGATAATTTATATTTACTTATGGATTTAGTAAACGGAGGAGATTTGAGATTTCATATTGGTTAATAGAGAAGATTTAAAGAAACCTAAACAAGTATAAAAAAAAACTATTAAAAAATTAATTAAAAAAGAATTCTTTGCATGTTGCTTGATACTTGCTCTAGAATATTTACATAATAATAATATTATTCATAGAGATGTAAAACCTGAAAATCTTGTCCTAGATACTAATGGTTATGTAAAATTAACTGATTTAGGTGTTGCAAGAGAATGGAAGGAAGAAAATGCTTAAGATACATCAGGAACTCCTGGATATATGGCTCCAGAAGTAATGTGTAGATAAAATCACGGAATAGCCGTGGATTATTATGCGTTAGGAGTTATTGTATATGAATTTATGATGGGAAGAGTAATTTTTTATTATTTTTTATTTTTGTTTCTTAAAAAAAAGAAAAAGAGACCCTATTTAGGACGAAACAGAAGAGAAATAAGAGACAACATTCTTTCAAAATAAATTTAAATAAAAAAACATGAAATTCCAGAAGGATATTCAATTGAAGCTGCAGACTTTGTTAATAGAGTATATATTTTTATAAAAAAAAAACTAAAAAAAAAAGATGATTTAAAGAAAACCTATAAATAGATTAGGATATAATGGACCTTAAAGTGTAAAAAATCATCCTTGGTTTAATAATTTTTAATGGGAAAAATTATATAATAAAGAATTAAAAGCTCCTTATATTCCTATAGTATTTAAATATATATGTATGAATATATAAAAAAAATGTAATAGTCAATAGAAAATAATTATGAATATAGATAATAAATATCAGTTGATGATATAGATTCAAATGAAGAATTAAATTAATAAAATGCACTACTTTTAAGAAAAGAAAGTGTTTAAAGTATATATAAATAAATATTTATATATATTTATATATATATATATAAAAATTAATTAATATATATATATATATATATATATTTTTTTTATATTTAATTATCTTATTTATTATTAAGATTTGTTTGCTGGATATAATTATAATATTGAAGAATTTTTAAAATAAGCATGAAATAATAAAAAAGTTTTTTTTAATATTTATATTTAAGTATGATAATTTATAACAAAAAAATATATAATTAATTTAAATTTATATAAAAATAATTATTTTTTTTTTAAAAAAAAAACTAAATAATTAATTATTTTTTTTAGTAAATATATAATATAAAAAAAAATATTAATATTAAAAATAAAAATTAAATTATGAAGTAAATTAAATCTTTAATCACTGAAAATTAAGAAAAAAACCTATTTTGATATAAACACATTTTAAAAATAGTAAAAAGAAATAAGAAGACACATCTGATTAAGAAAGCATTCAAAAACATAATGAAAATCTTAATAAACAGGAATTTTTTAAATATCAAGATGAAATACTTATAAAAGAAGAGCAAAAAGAACTTGATAAAATTTAGCAAAAACTTCTTTAAACAGACCCAAATAAATATTTCGAAAAAATTATTGAAATGAATGATTTTGCAGTCCAAAAATTAAACGAAAACTAATAAAAAGATGCACTAATAATATTACAAAGATGTGAAAGAATGCTTGAATTATCAGCAAATGCAGGATAGATAATAGACAGAAATTTGATTATAGTAGTGTTATATAATCGTGCATGTACATAATAAAGGTAATAAATATATATATAAATAAAATGTATAAAATATATAAATATATAAACTATATATATATATAAATATATATATATATATATTTATATAATTTTAAATTGTTAATATAAAAAATAAAATAAATTTTATAATTTATTTAAAATAATAAAATTTATTAAATATACTATATAATTTAATTATCAAAATAATGTAGAACATAAAATAAAAAAAAAATATTTATTTATTTTCTAATTAATATATATAATTTTTTTAATATTTAAATATTTTTTATTTATATATATATGTATTCGCAAACATTATTATACATTAAAAAATTATAATATATAAATAAAAAAATATTTAAAATTAATTAATAAAAATATATATTATGAAATTAATATTTCAATAAATAAAAATTTATACATAAAAATTAATATCTTCTTAAAATTAATTTAATTATTGTATAAAAAATATAATATTTAAAAATATAGATGTATTATATATATAAATTTAAAACAATAATTTAAATAAATTACAATTTAATATTGTAAAAAGTATCATTAAATTTTAATTAAAATAAAAATTATAATTGTTAATTATAATATAATTTTTTAAATAAATTTAATAAAAATTATTTTATTTAAAAAAAAATTAATAATAAATTTATAAATGTAAATTAATATATAAAATTATATATGATTTTAAAAAATATATATAATTTAAATATATTAATATATATATATATATATATTATTTTATATATATTTTTATATATATATATATATTTACAAATTTTTAATACTTTATTCATTTAATTTAACTATTTTTTATTTAATATATCCTTATATTTTTTATTTTATTATTATTTTTTTATTATTTTTTTTATATATTTAATTTATATTTTTGCTTTTTTTTATTTAAATTTATATTCTATTTATATTTTATTATTTTTTTTAATATTATTTTATCTTTTATTACTTTTTTATTTTTATTTTGATAATTTTTTTATTTTTATTATAGTCTATGGATTTTGGATAAATGTTCTAAATATATTGATGGTGTAATATATAATTTATTAATTAGTTTAAAAGAAGATGATGAATAATTCGATAATCTATAATAATAAAATAAAAAATCCTTAAAAGAATATATTTCCTACTGAATTAAAAAAAGGACATTTCTAGTTAAATCTTATCTTTAATGTTGTGCTATTTTATCTTAATAAGGTTTTCATTAAAAAGCCTTAGAAACTGCTTTCGAAGGTGTCAAAATACTTAAAAAAATTCTTTAAAAATGCTATTAATATATAAAAGAATTACTTCTTAAAAACAATAATATAAAACTTCAAAAAAAAACAGAACAAAAATAATATTAGATATAATTCGAAAAACTTGTTCTTTAAAATGCCTTTAATATTCTCTAAACTATATAATAGATTGCTTTTGTTGATGAATAAGATAAATCTTAAATCTATAGTTATAGAGAAGCCAAAAAAAGTCTTTATTTCTGGAAAAATAATCCCGATAATAACGAAAAACATCTTCGAATGGAACTAAATGTCCCCACGAAATTAAATGAAGATGAAACTCGGTCAATTTTAGGCGTTTAAAATGGTTAAGAATGGATAGAAAACTTTAATATAGGTTCTATAATGCATATGATTCCTATAAAATATGACGAATTTATATTCTAAGGAGACTTTATGTATGAAATTTCTAAAAAAATGATTCTAGAAAAAGTTTTTATATAAAAAAATATAAAAAAATAAAAAAAATATAAAAGGTAATTTATCTTTCTATTAATTATTTTACAATAGCTACAGAAATAAGATTTATAGAATTAGAAAAGCACTAAGAAAAACAAGCTTCAGAAAATAAATTATAAACAGAAGGTTATTATTAAAGCGAAATGTATCATTTAAAATCTATTTAAATAGCATGTTAACATATAACAACTAAAAGTCCATATATAAATCATATAATAACTTCTTATCATAAACACTATAACTTAAATTTGGAAACTATTGTAAATTTATATATATTATATTATATATTTTTAAAATATAATAGATAATTTAAATTACAAAAATAAAATAAAAATAAATAAATAAAAATGGAAATTTATATATATAAAAAAATATAAAAAAATAAAAAATAAAATAAAAAGATATAAAAATTATATATATATATATATATATTATTAAATATATATATATTTATTTTACATTCTTATTTTTATATTCTATATATATACTAATTTATATATGATTATTCATAAAATATAATTTGCATATAATAAAAAATATTTTTTTAAAAATAGCTATAATTATTTATTATATATATATACATATAATTTTTTTTAATAAATATTTATATATTTATATATTAGTTAGAAGAAAGTTTAAATTCTTATTAAGAACATAATAATATGTTTAATAAATATTTATAAGTTAAACAATAAAATTTAAGCCATTTATAGAATTTATCATTTAATATTAAATAAGTTGATAGTAATTAATAAGAAGCATAATAATTTGAAGAATTAGTTGATAAATTCATAAGTGTAATGAGTGAAGATGAATAAACACCTATATATAGTAATTTAAAAAAATAATAATGCTTTTAAAAAGGCTCCTAATCTAGTCGCTCATATAACAAATAAGATGAAAATTAATAAAGCGATGTCTAAAAATAAAGAAATACTAAATTTGATTTTAAATATAACAACTTTACTGCATCTAATACCAATTTTAATACACCTAAAAGTGTTTAAAGTGTTCGAAAATCGATTTTAGAATTAACAAATCAAAAATATAATATTAGTGGAAATATTAAAAAAAATATTTTAAGCAAAAAAACTACAAATCCAACAATACAAATAAATAATAACAATTATAATAATATACTTTTTTTGACTTAAAATACTAATAATAGCATAAATATAAAAAATAATAATAATGAGAAATAAAATAAATTATAAAAAAAAGAAAATAAATTAAAAAATTCAAAAGAAAAAATAAAAGAAATATTTTAAATAAACTTAAAAAAATTCGAAGATTGGGAAAAAAAAAACAAAAAAAATTAAAATTCTGAAAATTCTATAAATAATTAAAAATTAATAACTTTAAAAAATATAAAAAAAGAAACAATAAAATAACTACTTTAAGAAAGTAAAATTATACCAAAAATAAATTTAAATGATTTAAAATTTTTCACTAATGTAAAATAATTTTCACCCTTAGAAAAATAAAAAAATAAAAAATGAAAAAAGATATAATTAAAAAAAAATATATATAAATATATAATATAAAATATAAAAATATATATATTAAATAATAAAATATATATAAATATAAATATAAATATAAATAGAAATATTAATATAAATTTAAATATTTATTTTAATCAATTTTATTTTTATTACAAAAAATAATTATGTTTTTTCTTCAAAAAATACCATTTAAATCCTTCTTTATTCAAAATAAAAATTTACTTTTTTTATTTTCATAAATACCTTAATTAGAATAAGAATTAAAGAAAAATATTTTAGAAAAATAATATACATCATGTATTTAAATTTTATAAAATTTGATTTAATAGAAATTTTTAAATTATCCTTTTAATCCATCTATAATATTAAACTAAAGGTTTTTTTTTTTCTTATTTTTTTTTTATTTATAATTAGAATGTTATCAGAAATTTACCTTTATTTATAATAATATGATGATTCTTTTAAAATTTTAAACGAAGCTTTAAAACATACAAAAGATTATGAAAATAAAGAATAATAATCATATGTTTTATGTGATATTGCAGGAATTTATTTTATAAAATAAGAATATTAATAAGCATTAAATTACTATTAATAATCTCTTGAAATCTAATAAAAAAATAGCGAATTTCATGGATAAACATTATTAAATTTTGGTTAAACATTATTATAAACAGGAAAAGATGCAGAAGCATAATAGACCTTTGAAAAAGCCAAAATAACATTTTAAAATTTAATCTAATCAACAAAAGACGAAACTTAAAAAAATGAATTATAAAAATTATTAGGTTAAAAAAAATATTTAAAAAATAATTATAAATATTATTTTTTTGAAATTAAAAAGCTTATACAATTTATATACTTGGCTAATTATATTTTGATAAAAATTAATTTAATGAAAGTGAATAATAATTTAAAAGTTCACTAGAAATATACAAGCATATATACGGAAATGATAATATAATATTAATAAAAAATAAAAAATTCTTAGGATTAATAAATTAAAAAAAAAAAAATCATGAATAGGCCTTAAAATACTTTCAATAAGCCATAAACATATATTCTAAATAAAAATAAATCCATGACTGGAACGATTATTTAAACCTATTATTAAATTGCGCTTAAATATATTAAAATATGAAAAAATACTAAGAAGCAATTACCATAAATAATCTTTTATCAAAATACTTACATTAAATTAAAAATGATAATATCCTTCTTGCCGTGAAACAAAACCTTGCCTAAATTTCAATTTAATAATAATAATACTTTGATGCCAAAATACATATATAAGAAGGACTTAAGTTAATGTAAAGTAAACCTATTAATATTCAAAAAGCTATTTTGTAGTCTTAATTAGCTTTCGTTTTGGTGCATTAAGATAAAGATTATCAATAAGCATATGATTTGGCTAAAGAATCTTATGAGTTTTTTAAAAAATCAGGTTAAAATTAAGAAGCTATGAGAGATTGCTTAAAAACTTTGGGTTTAGCGACAAAAGAATTGGGAAATTTAAATTAATCTTTAGATTATTTAAATTAAATTAAATGAATTTATTTTTAAAAAATATATCTAAAATATTTTTTAATATTTTGATATTTTTTATTTTTTTTTATAAAAATATTGTAAAAATTATAATTTAATTTTTTATTAAAATAAAATTATGTATTATTTTTTATCATAATCAACATTTTTAAACTTATTAAAAATATTTATAAAGAAGAAAAATATTATATTAATAAAAAAAAAATGATTAAAAAGCTTCTCAAATACAGATTTTCATATACCGTTCATAACCAATCTTATATTCATGGTATTTCTGATAAGCCTTTACAATATTAAACAATAGGCTAAAAACTAAGACAATAAGCACATAATTATTCTGACCATCCCGCCTTAATATCTCATCATTAAAATTCAACATTTACATATTCCGATATTTACTAAGAAAGCGAAAAGTTAGCTGCAGCTTTAATAAACATTGGACTTTAGAAAGGTGATAGAATCGGTATATATTCCCCAAATAACTACGAATGGATTTTGACCTAATATGCAGCTTCAATAGCCAATTTAATTTTAGTAAATATAAACCCTAACTATCAACTACATGAATTAGAATATTGTCTATCTAAAGGTAATATAAAATAAAAATAAAACTAAAAAAAAAAAAGTCGGAATTCGAGCATTAGTAACAGCTTCTTAGTTTAAAAAAATGAACTATTTGAAAATGTTAAATGAATTAATTCCCGAACTTGAAACTTCTAAATCAAAAGAATTAAAAAATTCTAAATTCCCGAAATTAAAATACATAATTAAAATAGAAGACTCACCTACCTAAAATATGATTAATTTTAAAAGCCTAATGTAAATTCCTAAAAAAGAAGATTTTTCTAAAATAAATAAAATTCTCAAAAATACAAGTCCTGATGATATTACAAATATTTAATTTACTTCAGGCACAACAGGAAGGCCTAAAGGAGCTTCTTTGACACACTTTAATATATTAAATAATGGATATTATATAGGTTTTTTTTTTCTATTTTATTTTTATTTTATTTATATATACATAAAGCTGATAGATTAGGACTAAATTCATAAGATAAAATATGCCTTTCAGTCCCTTTGTATCATTGTTTTGGTATGGTAATAGGAAATCTATGTGCTCTTAATTTTGGAGCAACAATAGTAATAAATTCTGAAGGTTTTAGTGCTTAAAAAACATTAGAAGCAATAACAAAATATAAATGTACTACTTTATATGGAGTTCCAACAATGTTTTATGAATATATCAAGGAATACGAAGCTTATCCCCATTAATATAATATAAATAGCTTAAACAAAGGAGTTATGGCAGGTTCTTTATGCCCATAAGTTTTAATGGAAAAATTAAAAAATTAATGGAATATAAAAGACCTATAAATATGCTATGGAATGACTGAAACCTCACCTGTTTCTTTTCAAACTTCTAAAACAGATTCATTAGAAGATAGTTGTAGTACAGTAGGTTAAATACTACCCCATTTAGAGTCAAAATTAATAAATAAAAAAGGAAAAATAGTGCCAAGAGGAGAAATAGGCGAAATATATATAAGAGGATATTCAGTAATGTAAAAATATTGGGATGATATAAAAAAAACTAATGAAACTATCGATATAAACTCATGGATCAAAACAGGAGATTTAGGAAAAATGGATGAAAGAGGATATATGTAAATTGTAGGAAGGTCTAAAGATATCATAATAAGAGGAGGGGAAAATATATATCCAAAGTATATAATAAAAATTTAAAAAATTTATTAATATTATATTAATAATTAAGAATTTATATATTTACAAAAGCTCTATATATAAAAAAAAAAATATAGGCTTTTTGATAATGTAATAAAAATTTTAAAATTAATATATAAAAAAATTAATTAAAAAAATAAGATATTTATTATATATATATATAATATATTATATTCAAAAAATATATTTAATATAAATATATATATATAATATATATATATATATTATATATTATTTATATATACATTTTTTTATTTTTAGGGAAATTGAAGAATATCTTAGAAAGATTCCTAAAATTATGGATGTATAAATTGTTGGTATACCAAATAAAAAATATGGAGAAGAAATATTTTGTTTAATCATACTTAATCCAAATGTTTATTTTGATAAGTAAGAAGTATATGAATTTTGTAATCGAAAAATTGCATATTTTAAAGTTCCAAAATATGTAAAGATTGTAGATTAGTTCCCTCTTACTGTTACTGGAAAACCTTAAAAATTTATTATTGTTAATGATTTAATAAAAGAAATGGATGGTAACGAACATAATCTTCTTAAATATTAAATTAGAGAATATTGAGTATTATTTTTATTTATCTATTATTTTTTTGGAAAATATTTTTTTTTAATTTTTTTTTTATTTTATTTAATATATTTATTATTTAATTATTATTTTGTATTTAATAAAAAAACAATTAAGAATATACTTATTAATATTAAAAAACCTTATAATAAAATAAAATTAATAAATATATATTACAAAAATAAAAAAAAAAGATAAGATAATAAAAATATAAAAAGAAAATGAATGTACTTATTTTATTAATTTATAAAAAAATACATAATTATATATATATATAATTAAAAGATATTATATATATTAAATATATCAAAAAACTAATTTTTATTGAAAATAAGGTCTTAAAATATTAATAAAAATCAGAATAAAATTATGATTCAGATGAAAAAACACAAGCATTTGATTAATCATCATCCAAAAATGTAAAAAATCATATACGATTGATAAATGTAATAAAATAAAACTAACTATATAATAAAAGTAAAAAATAGACTTTAATTGATCAAGCTAATTAAATTTTAGGCGGATATAATAAAGATGTAGAATTTTTAAGATAAGAGATTTCATAAATAAAATAAGAAATTACTATTTATAATAAAGAAATAGTCAATACTACAAAACCAAGTATTTCATCATTAATTAAATCTTTAAAATTAAATACTGTTTTATAACGAGATGAAAATTTCAAACTTTAAACATAAATAACAGAATTAAAAAAAGAGAAATGCTTATTATAATAGCTTATTATATAATGCATTAATAAATTAGGTATTTTAGAAGTTTAAGTAGGTTAATACCAATGAAAATTAAATTTATTATTTGGAAATATTTATTTTATTTATATATTTTTTTATACTTATATAAAATCTTTATTAATTTCTTAATTATTTTATTTTTTTAATTAATATTAGTTTTTTATGAAAAAAAAATTATAATATTAATACAAAAAAATGTTTATATATATCTAAAAATAAAATATAAAAATTTAACAGTATTTATATGTATTTTTTATTAATATAAAGAATATTTAATTTAATATATGTGTTTATTTTTAATTACTTAATATAAAATTATAAGAAATTTATTAATATTTTTATTATACCCCTGAACATAAAAATTATTTTTATTATATTATATATTTTACAATATTTTTTAAATAAAGAATAATAAATTAAAATTAAGATATATTTAAAATATTTAATAAATAAATTTTAAACTACCACTAATTTTATTCAAACTTACAAAATATTAAATTAAATATTTATATAAAAAGAAAGTTTATATTTTACAATAAAAACATAATTATTAATTTTTACAGCAAAAATAACATTTTTGATAATATATATAATAATAAACCAATACGAAAAATCTAAATTCTTTATTTAAAACAGAAAAAAAAAAAAACTTTTGAATATAATTTAATATAAAAAATAGAAATCATTAGAACTTTAAACTTGAGGTAATGAAAATAATTAAGATAATGAATAATACATAAATGAAACTTTAAATTAATAATAATTTAATTTTTAATGTTATTAAAAGCATAAATATGAATGCTTTAAAAATGAAAAAGTTCATAAAAAATAAAACAGAAAAAATATCTATTTAAGAAATTTAAAGAATTTTTTAATAAGTAAAATATTTTGTAAAATAAAAAACTAATATAAATAAATAATAAATAATTAATTATGAGATTTTTAAAATATGTAAAATAATAAATTTAAAATTATTTCATTTTTTTTTAAATTATTTTAAAGAAAAAATACAGGAAAAAAAGCAATAAAACTAAGAAATTAAAAAATTAAAAAGTAGAATATTAAAAAAATAAGGATTTTTGTTTGAAACATATATTTATTGTGGAGTTTTTCTAACATTTTGTCTCAAATTTTAATCGTTTTTTTTTTATTTTAATTTTTACATTATATATTTACAATCTCTATTTTATATTTTTAATTATATTCTATATTTTTTTAGGTTATTCTCTCTTTCAAAGCGAAAATGAATAAGATTAAATTGTTTTTTTTTTCGGAAATTAAATGTAAATTTAGTAAAGAATATTTAAAGTTTTTAATCGTTTTTTTTTTCATATATATATATATATATGTTTATTTTATTTTATAGAAATTCGTGGGATAAATATATTTTTTTAATGAATATTTATTACCAAAACAAATTGTAATAGTTAAGGGAAAAAAAGATATCTAAATAGTAAAGAATTAAATTTTAAAATCTGAAATTTAAGAAATTATCTATTTTCTTTTTCTCTTTATAATGCTTAGTATGGTATTATTTAAATAAATAATTCCTTACTAAGCATTAGTTTATACATGAATTTTATAAGGATTACTAAATTAAATAAAGGAATAACATACTTAAATTTAAAAAGAATTGAATAAATTGTTTTTCTTATAGTATAAAAACGTATATAAAAAAAATTAAAATATTATGTTGAATAAAATATATAAAAACAGAAAATTTAATATCTTTTTTTTTTTTTACATTTTACAAAATTAAATTAAAAATAATTGTATTAATAACGAAAATATAAAAAATTATTTAAATATTCGCTAAACTTCAACTAAAAGAAATACAGTAGAAAAAACGTTCAATAATTTATAAGATTTAAATAATTTATATTTAAAGCATTTAAATGATAAATATTATTAATTAAAATATAATAATTATAAATACTTTAACAAAAAAGAAAATTAATAATATAAAAACAAAAATTATATAACTATTATTATTAAATAAACATCATTTTTTATAATGATGTTTCTATCAAAAAATAAAAAAGTTTAAAATATCACATATTTATAAAACAATGACGTAAAAATTAATTATATTCTAGTTTTATATTCATTATTAGGCATTTTTAAGCCTATCAATTTCTTCTTACTTTTTATTTAAATCTGTTTTCTTATATAATTTATGAGGTTAGTAATATAAAACAATTAAATATCTTCCACCAACATTAAAACCATTTAAATGTTCTACAGCAGTTTTCGCATCAAAAATATCATCATAAATTACAAATGCTGTTCCTTTTTTATCGCCTACAACTCCTCTATTTTTTATTTAAAATTTAATTTTTTACATATTTTTTACTTTCTTATTTGTCTGATTGGACCATAATTTCCAAATACATCATACAACTCTTCGGCTGTTATTTTATATGGAAGGTTTCTTACATAAACTACTCTATTTACTTCTGGTGGCAATCTTATCTTTATATTTGTTAAAAAAAAATATTAGTTAATACTTTAATATATATAAGCATATATATTAACATTTTTGTTGGTGTACATTTTATTTATTTATTTATATTTTTTTATAAAATGATTTATTAATAAAATTAATTTTAAATTGATAATTTATTTAATATTATATAAAATATGATATATAATAAAAAAAATTAATATATACAAAAAAATAAATATTAAAAAAAAAACATGGATTATAATTATTAATTGTAATTATTATAAAATACCAAAGAAGATTACGGCTAAATGTTAATAAAACTCGACAAAGATTATTACTATATAGGTGAATAAATAAATGGAAACTTATTAATAAATTTATTATAGCCATTTCCATCAAATGAGGTAATTTTGCATATAAAAGGTGTTGAAAATATTTAATTTTTTTACTGTCATTAAAGAAATAGTAACCGTATTATATTTGAGAAAAAAATAAATCTTAATTATAAAAATGAATAAAATTGTTATTAAGATTAATTAGTAACAGAATTGTAGCATGGATTCCATAACTTTCCTTTTTCAATTTAATTACATTATAATATTCCTGGCTCATTATAAACGGATTTTAAAGGAGGAAAAGTAAAAGTATAATATAAAATTAAGTGTTATTTAGAAAATAGAATATTAAAATAAATATTACAAACAAAAAAGCGTTTAAAGTTACGTGAATTAATAGACACTTAATTCGATAAAATAAATGAAAACGAAATAAAATAAAGTATTCACTCATGTTTTGGTCTATTTAGTCAAAAGGATTGCTATGTCCAAGCACATTTAGACCGTTTTTTTTTCTAAAGTGGTGACTTAGGAAAATTATACATAAAATTGTTAAACCAAACTTAATTAGAAGCTGTGACAATAGTAGTTTAACTCCAAAACCTGTTTTCAATAAAAGACAACAAAAAAAATTCATAAGTAATAAGCAAGAAAATAGTACACGAACAACAATACTATTGCGGTGCTTAAGGAAATTCTTAAGACTATATATATTTTGAGCATGATTTTTTATTTGCAAACGAAAACGTTTCGGAACCTTTACAACCTTCAATTTAAACCCAATAATTTTCTAATTCTTATATTATTGAAGTCCAAGTACATTTCTCAGGATGCTACTCTAGTTTATTATGTTTGTAAATTCCTGTAAGTATAGTCTTGACTCTTAGGCCTAAATTGAAGAATTTTAAGGACATTCAAGAGGCTATAAATAATATAAGCTATATGGAATAATAAGAAATTGAAGTCTTATAGTAGGAGTTTAATGAATTTAAATAAAACTTAAATTGTGCATTCAGCTCTTGATATTGAATTAATTAATGATACAGTAAAAAGTACGAATAATTTAAATTAAAAATTGAGTTATACTACATATTAAAGAAATTTTGATGGTAATTATAATAAAATTAATGAATTAAATAATATTAATAATGATTATAATAATTATTATTATTAATCAAAAATCTAAATGGCAGAAATTAATAAAAATTTCAATTATGAGAATAATAATAATTATAATAATGCTCTTAATTAATAATTTTATTCTTAAAAAATTGGAAATATTAAGCCTGCAATATAACTTAATAGAGGTTTTTAATTTAATTAAATGAGTAATTAAAATGTTTATTGATTATTTAAATTCCAGACTATTTTTTTTTTAATTTGTTCTATTTATTTATATATAATGTAAAAAAATTATTTTCAATAAGAACAATTTTTAAAAATATATTTATTTTCATTATAATTGTATATAGAAGCACTCAAATTTAAATATCTTTATATAATTTACTGAAATTCTTTGTCCCATTCCTCATTTATATTTTAAATATTTTCATCTCATTTTTTATTAAAATTATTGTATAGAATTCGAATATGGAAATCTTCTAATTAATTTGCCAAATTTTTTTTAATGTAATTTTTCAAAAGGTAAATATCTTATTTATTACAATCTATTTTATAATACCAAAATAAATTTATATTATTAAAAAAATATATATAAGTATTTACATCTATTATTTTCTGTGTGTTTAATTTCAATCAAAGCTTTTATGTTTATAATAATTTATATATCTTAATTTTTTAAATGCTTTTTTATTTTAAATAAATTTATCTTATTAATTTAATAACTAAATCTTCTTGAAAAGATGTAAAAAATTTTAGTAATATAATAAATAATTTTATATATTTTATAAAAAATCTTTAAATTAATATAATGTATTAAACTTATTATTATTATTATAAAATTTTATTAATAATTATTTCATTGTTTTTACAGGTATTTATGATAATTTTATATCTATTTATTTTTAAAATTAAGCAAAAAATTATTATTTTGTTATTTGATTTCATTCTAATTTTTTTTTCTAGATTTAAGACATTATGATAACTATTTATATCATAAAAAAAGCATTCCTTAATTCTATTTAAAAAAATATTAATTTTAAAAACTATAAATAAATATTGAATAAATAAAAATTAATATTTAGTATTTAGTATTTATAAAAATATTTATTTAATATTTTTTTGTAAATTATATATTGGAAATAAATAAAAAATGAATTAATCTAATAAAAATAAAAATAAAAATAAAATTAATTAAATATTATTTTAAAAATTTAAAAAAACATTTAAATTTGAACTTTAATTTTTATTTAAATCTTAAAAAGTTTAAAAAAATTTCTATAAAAAAAGAAAATATAAAATAATATTTTAAATAAAATAGGAAAAAAATAAATTTAATATAGGTTAAAAATTATTTATTTAAAAAATATAAATATATAATATTTACTAAATTTTTATGATTTTTTTGTTTATATAATTCAAAATAATCATTATAATAAATATATCTAATTAAATAATAAAAAAAAAAAAAAAAAAAAATATAAAAAATACAAAATGGCATTCAGAAAAAAAGAAAAGACCGTCAAAAAAGTTAATTTAGATTTTCACATAGACTGCTCTTAACCCGTAGAAGATAAAGTTATTGTTTTAAATGATTTCGTAGAATATTTAAGACAAAAGACTAAAGTTAATGGAAAATTAGGAAATTTGGGAGAAAACGTTACCATTTCTTCAACTGGATCAAAAGTAACTGTTACTTCTCATATTCCTTTCTCAAAGAGATACTTGAAATACTTAACTAAAAAATACTTAAAGAAATAAGACTTAAGAAACTATCTTTATGTCACCTCTTCTGATAGAAAATCATACTAATTAAGATATTTCAATATTTAATAAGACAATGCAGAGTGAGACATTCTTGGACTTTTTTATTTAAAAAAATTATTAAAATTTTTTATGTAGTTTCCTTCTACATATTTTTTTATTTTAATTATTTAAACAACAAAAAATAATATAATTTATTTATATATAACTTATATGTACTTCTAAAAAACTAAATAAAATGCCTTATTTAACAAATATTATTTTAGTTTTTTTTTTTTTCACAATATTATTTATATATTTTAGAAAAAGAATAAATTTATTCCTTGATATATTTTTTTAATATATTTACTTATTTTAAGTTTCTTTCATAGTATTAAAAATAAATTTTTTTTAAAATAATTTTTTTTTTTATTAATATTATATTAGTGTTTTTTTTTTAATATTTTCTTTTCTTTCTTTTACTTAATTTTTTTTTTTAAATTTTTTTTTTTTAAAAAATAAAAAATACTCAAAAAAAATATTTAAAAATTAGTTTGATAATAAATATCTCACAAAAAAATAATAAATAAATTCTAAAAAATCAAAATCAATAAAAACACTAAAAAAATAATTAAAAAAACAAAACAACAAAAACTTAAAAAATCATACATAAATAAAAAATGCATTTAGAAATGGAATACGACGATCTTTAAAATGAGCCAAAAATTAAAGTTTGTATAAGAAAAAGACCTTTAGGTAAAAAAGAATTGGCTAAAAGCGATATAGATATAATAGAAGTAAGGACACCTTAATCAGTAATTGTCAAAGAAATGAAGTAAAAAAAAAGATATAAAAATAAAATAATTTCCAAAAAGATAAAAAGTAGATTTAACTAAATATGTAGAAGAGCATTTCTTTAATTTTGATCATGCATTTGGCGAAAATTGTTCAAATGAATTTGTATAAAAAATATACAATAGAAACATATAAATATTAATTATGTTTTTTTTAAAAAAATAATAAATAAATAATATAGGTTTATAATACTTGCGTTCGTCCAATTGTTTAAGCAGCATTTTAAAAAGCAAGGGTTACTTGTTTTGCTTATGGTTAAACAGGTAAAAAATCAAATATATAAAAGAAAAGAAAAAAATATTAATTTTTTAATTAAATATTTAAATTTTACTTATTATATTTATTAATATAAAATTTTAAAAATTATATATTTATTTAAAAAAAAATATTAATAATAAACCAATTAATAAAATTTTTAATTTTATTTAGGAAGTGGTAAAACACATACAATGCTTGGAAGTGCAGAAAAAAGGGTTCCTGGTATGTATGTATTAGCAAGTCATGATATATTTTAAGCTTTATAAAAGGTATTATTTTAGATTAAGCTATATATATAATAATAAAATTAATTCTTGTTATTTATTTTTTCTATTTTTATCTATATTATTAAGGAAAATATAAAAATAGAGAAAAAAAAATATTATTTTTTTATATTTTCCTTAATAAAATAAATAAAAATAAATAATTATAATATTAAATTTATATAAAGAAATATATATTTAAATTTAATATATTTTTTTTTATAAAAATAAAATAAAATTTAAAATAAAAATTATAAAACTAAAATTTAATTTATATTTGTAAACTAATAAATAGCAAGAATTTTCTCATTTATAAATATATGTATCATTCTATGAAATATATTGCGGAAAATTATTTGATTTATTAAATGAAAGGTCACTTTTATGTATAAGAGAAGACGGTAAATAAAATATAAACATAGTCGGAGTTGTAGAATAAAGAATTTACAATGTAGATTAATTATTAAAAATAATTGAATTTGGAATGTCATCCAGAGTTACATGTAATTTTTTTTTTTAATTAAAATAAAAATAAAAATTAGCTTAAAATAGTGCAAACTCTGATAGTTCTAGATCTCATGCTATTTTATAAATTCAATTAAAAGAATAAGCCAATATATATGGTAAAATATCATTTATTGATCTTGCAGGTAGTGAAAGAGGAGCTGATGTGATAGATTAAAATAAATAAACGAGGTAAAAATAATAAAAAAATTAAAAAAAAAGAAGTATATATATAAAGAAAAGATGGTGCTGAAATTAACAAGTCTCTTCTTGCTTTAAAAGAATGTATAAGAGCACTTGACTAAGGAAAAAATTATACTCCTTTTAGAGGAAGCAAATTAACATTAGTAATAATATAATATATATAAAAGAGTGTTATTTTATTTATTATTAAAAAAAAAAAAGGTTTTGAAAGATTCTTTTGTAGGTAATTGTAGAACTGTTATGATAGGAAATATATCTCCAAGTTAATCTAGTAGTGAACATACATTAAATACATTAAGATATGCAGATAGAGTAAAGGAATTAAAAAAAGGGGGAACAAGTGAATTAAATGAATAAGTAAATAGTTTAGATTAATTAGCTTAATAATTGATGTTGCCAAGATAAAATAGTAAAAAAAATAAAAAATAAAAAATAAAAAAATAAAAATAAAAAGAAAATGTTGTCAGAACACCAATTGTAGAAGTAAATGAAAATAATTTACCAGGCACTAATTTTAAATTGGATTAATTAATGAAATAAAATAGCAGTAAAAATAACAATTATATGAATGAAAACATTCAATATAATTAACAATTTACTAATAATTAACCATCATATAATGCTTAACCATAATATGGAAACAATAATATTTTTATTTAAAATGATAATTATGATAATGATTAGAATATTTATAGTAAAATTCCAAAACAATAACCTTATTAATAATTATAATAATAACAATAAAAAGAACAATAATAATAAGCATTTTAATAGTAATAAATATAATAATAATATTAATAAATTTAATAGTAATAATAATAATTATAATAGTAATAATTAACAATTTAATAATAATAATTATATTAAGTTCCTTAAAAAAATATACCTTATTAATAAAAATAACCTACTTAATAGCAATAATAGTAAGTATTTACAAATATTAATAATGGAAATATAGCAAATGTATAAAATAACTATTAATAAAAGCTAAGTAATGGAAGCAAAAACGGAAATAATAATAATATTCTTTAGTAGCAATAGTAATAGTAATACAATAATAATAATTAAAACAGCAATATAAATTTAGACGAAGATCCGATAAATTTAAACATCGAACAAATAGAAAATTGGACAGCCAAAAATGAAGAAGATCTTCAAATAATATCATAAAAACACGAATAACTAATAGGCCTTATACTTGCTGAGGAAGAGGAAGTAATTTCATATCATAGATCTCATATTGATGATATGGTTGAATTAACAAAATAAGTAAATACAAAAAAATATATATAAATGTATGAATAAAAATAAAAATAAAAAAATATGTAAATAAATAAATATATATATAAATATATGTATATTTATATATATATATATTTTATATATATATTTATATATTATTTTATAAATTTATATATATAATTACAGGAAATGGTTCTTTTACATGAAGTTGATAAACCTGCAAGCGATGTCGATTTATACGTTTAAAATTTAGATAATATTTTGATGCATAAAAGTGATATAATATAATAATTAAGATAAAGATTATAGAAATTTAGAATGCATTTAAAAAAAGAAGAAATCCTTTCAAAGAAATTCTATGAATAAAGAGCTTAAATTATGGATGTTTTCGATCTTAATTCACATACTATAAATAATAATAATGATGAAATGTAATTGCTAGATGATTTGCCAGATTTTTGAAAAAAAAAAACAACTTTTTTTTTCTTAGAAAATAATATTTTTATTATAAATTAAAGAAATAACATTATTGTAATTTTTTTTAAGAAAAATTCTTTATTCTTTTTTTATTTATTTTTAAATATTTTATTTTTTTAATGTTTTTATATTTAATTTTTTCAATTTAATAACTAAAAATTATTGTTTAATGTTTGTATTTAATTCCAAATTTAAATTATAATAATTTTTATTTTTACATAATATTAATTTATAAACTCTTTTTTTTATTTAAAATTAATAATTTATTTAATTAACTATATTTAAATAGAATATTATTTTTTTTATTAGCTTTTTAATTAAATTTTATTATAAAATTATGTTATTTATATAATTTCTATATTCAAAACATATGGATATATTTAGTAAAAAGTAATAAATACATTACTTTTTACTAATAAAATGAAATAAATTTATTTATACTTAATAATTTCTCCTTGATTTATATTATGCAATATTAATATAATATATTTTACTTTAAATAAAAACAAACTGTTAACAAAATAATTAATACATTATTTTTATACAAAACTATAAATAACTATTTAATTTTACTAAAATAATAAATAATACAGTTATATTGAAATTATAATGAAAGAAGAAATAATTACAGAAATATTTATATATTTAAATAATATTAATTTAAAAATAACATATATTTAATGTAAAATTAATTTTTATATTTTCTTTACTAATTTATTTTTATCATTATAGAATAAAATATTTATTTTCAAATTTTGATAATTTATTTAACTTTGTAGGCAAAATTTTTTAATAAAGTACATAATCCTGTTAAACTAAATGTGAATGAAAATTTTTATCATTTACTTTTTAAACAGGCTAAATCTAGAATAAAAAAATATATTAAGCTTGTTTAAAAAAAACTAGAATGTTAGATTTATTTGTACATTTTTACAATTAAATTTAACAAAATTTGTAATATAGTAAAAGGAATAAAATATTATTTTTATTAAAAAAAATTAAAACATCGAAAATTTAAAAAATAGTTTAATGGATGTAAAAGTTAAAAATAATTAAGAATATTAAGAAAAATAGCCTTATGATTATGATAGACTATTTTTAATGGTTTTATAAAAATTGATAAAATATTTAATAATATATTTTTTTTTAAATATTTTATATAATATTCAAATCAATTTTTCTATATTGATTTCTCTAAATTTCGAAAAAAAATATATATCCAAAAAAATCAAAATTTTGCTTTAGTATTAAAATTAAATATATTTATAAAAATTATATATATGGGAGTTTTTGGATTATGGACAATTTTATCCCCAGCAGGTCGAAAATTAAATATAGAAGCATTAACAGGTTAGAAATTAGCAATAGATGTAAGCATATGGGTATTACGATTAATATATGGTTCATTGCAAAGCAAAAATGAGAACTTTAAGAATATTCATTTAATATGTATATTTAAAAGACTTTGTAAACTATTGAGTTTAGGTATAAAACCTGTATTTGTATTTGATGGACAGCCTCCAGAATTGAAGAAAAACACACTTTATTAAAGATAAAAAATGAGGGAATATAGAGAATTAAATTTGAAAAAAATGGCTGAGAAATTTGTACTGAAATAATTGGAAGGAAGAGTTTTAAAGAAGAAAAACTTCAATTAAGGTGAAGAAGAATAAGAAAATAGCATATTAAAAGAAATCGAAGATGATCTTGAATCTATGAACAGTGAAGAAATAGATGAATTTGAAAAAAACATAAAAAACTATTAAGAAGAAATAGTTGATTTATAATATAAATAATTAGTAAAATTAGTACAAAAATAAGACTATTAAAACCTTTTCAAAGGCATAATTGAGAATAAAGATGAGTTTTATGTTTTAGACATTGATTCAAAAATAGGAATAGTATAATAACTTAATAATAAAGTCTAAAGTATATAATAAGGATGCTTAAATAATGTCAAAGATATGGAAAAATTTTCAGTTTTATAATAAAGGTAATATGTGGAATATGTATAAAATAAAAAAGAAGTTGAATTGACAATAATTAGTAAGAAAAAATAAATATAAGACGAATAAAAGAATTAGATTTTGGAAGAATTAGATGAAAAAAATAAAGAGCTTGTCGAAAACGCAAACTAGAAAAATATTTTATGCGGATAAATAAAGTCCGAAAAGGAAAAAGTATTTCTTTTTGTATAAAAAACTAATATTTAAGTGAATAATTAATTTGAGAATTTTAAAAAGAAAAAAAAGATAATAAATAAAATCTACGAGAAATTAATATTAGGTTAGAAAACTTGGTCAAATAAAGAGAGGAAGAAATAATTAAATGGAGATAATATAATTAAGAATAATTAAATATAGAAAAATAGACAGAAGATTTATTACCAATATAATAAAATAATAATATTTAAGACTAAATTTATAATAATTAGTTTAGTGATTCTGATCTACATTTTGAAGATGATGATGACAATGATAATGGTAATTTTAAAGAAAAAAAAGATTAAGCAAGCACTGATATAGGTTTTGAGGGTGGAAATAATAATGATTTCGAATAATAAAATTATATTTTAGAAAATCAAGAGTTTGACATTGAAACATTTGAATAAACAAAAAAAGAAATAAAAGATTCTTATATTAATAATATGATTTAATTTACTGAGGAAAAAAAAAAACTTAAAAACTTAAAAATAAAAATTTTAATGGAGTTCAAGAAAAATGTTAAAATATTTTTTATAAAAATTAATCAAATAACTAAAATTATTTTAATACAAAAAATGATAAAAATTAAAAAAAACAAGAAAAAATTGTAAATGAGTAAAAATTAATTTAATAAAAATAAGAAAAAAAACAATAAATATAAGAAAATAATGAATGTATTTAATAAATATAAGAAAATAATAAATGCATTTAATAAATATAAGAAAATAATGAATTTATTTAATAGATATAAGAAAATGATGAATATATTTAGTAAATATAAAAAAATGATGAATATATTTAAAATATTTAAGATAAACAATATGCTTAATAACTATAAGAAGAAGAATATATAAGAAATTTGGAAAATGACGAATTTTAAAAATATGAAGATGAAAATATAAAATAAAGCAAATATGAAAATAATAAAATATAAAAATAAGAAAATATCATATAATAAAATGAGTATAAAAATTAAAAAAAATATTAAGAAAATAATAATATTGAATAAAATGTTGAATTATTTACATAAAAATTAAACGAAAAAGAGAAAGAAAATTTCCAATAATTAATTTAATAATTAAAAGGAGAATATGATGAAGACAAAGACGAAAACAATAATAAAAACAAAAAGAAAAATATCTAAAAAATAGATGATAATGAATAAGATGAAATGACTGAAGAAGAAATAAAAAAACTATTATAATACGTTGAAAATATAGAAGAAGAATAATCAAAAAACGATACGAACGATTAATTTTTAGGAATGACAGAAGAACAACTAGAAATTGAATCCTAAAAATTTATAAACTTAAACGAAATAAACTCAGAAACCATTCAATTTAAATTCTAATAAATAAAATAACTTCTTATATTATTTGGAATTCCATGGGTCGAGGTAAACATATAAATATATTTCTTGTTTTGAGATTTTTATATTTTTTATTTACTTTTTTTTTAAAACAAAAACTAAATAATCAATAAAAAATACAAGAAAAAATGAATATTATTTATATATAAAGTCACCTTCAGAAGCAGAAGCTTAATGTGCTTTTTTAGAAATGCATTAATTAGTAGATGGAATAGTAACAGATGATAGTGATGTATTTTTATTTGGTGGTAGAAAAGTATATAGAAATTTATTTTCACAGAATAGTTAATACGTTAGGTAAATTTTAAATAAATATATAATTCTAATATTTTTTTGTGTATATATATACAGATATATTAACATTGAAAATATAGAAAAAGATTTAGGTTTAGATAGATAGAGATTAATATTAATGGCGTTATTTTTAGGTAGTGATTATACATTGGGAATAAAAGGAGTTGGCATAGTAAATTCATTTGAAATAGTAACTGCGTTTGATAATATGGATGCATTAAAAAGATTCAAAATATGGGCTAGTAAAGCCGATATTTTATTGGAAGATCCTTCTATCCATTATACAAATATAAGCATAAAGGAAAAAAATTATAAAGAATACCATAAAAACTTTAAAAAAAACTGGGAAATTCCGAATGATTTTCCTTCTTGTAAAGTTGTTAATGCTTATTTAAAGCCAAAAATAGACGAATCTTTAGAAGCATTTAAATGGGCGAAACCTAATTTCGATTTGCTTAAATTATATTGCAAAAGCATGTTTGGTTGGGACTATGCTTTAATATAAGATACTATAGAACCTCTTGAAAAAAAAGTTAATAGTGAAATTGGAGTATAGGTTTAAATGAGAATAACTGATTACTATAAATAAGCTAGTAAATTTGCTCTTATTAATAGTAATAGAATTTAAAAAGCTATTAGTTTATTGAAAAATGAAGAAAATTAAGAAAATTTAGGAGATGATAATAATGAAGTTGTGGAAAGATTGGTAAGAAAATAAGACCAGAAAAAGATTATTAAAAAAAGTGTTATATAAATTTAAGAAGAAGATGAAGAGTTATTTGAAAATGATTAAAAAGGATTTTATGGGAAAGGAAAAAAAAAGAATATTTAAAGAAAATGAAAAATATTTTCTATATATATATATATATTTTGTTTAAATCTGGAGTATGTATAGCATTAAGATGTTTAAAAAACTAAAACTAAATTAATTTTTTTGTATTATATATAATATTAAATTTATATTAAAAACATTATATTCATTCAAAAATGCTACGAAAATTAACATTATAACATTTTTAGTAATAATTAATCGATTTAACAATTACTTCTATTTTTAATATAATTTCGGTGTTACAAATATTTTAAAAATAGATATATATATATATATATAATTTAAAAAAACATTAAATAAAAAAAATATAATTTAAATTAATATAAATTATAATGTTTTAAAAAAATAATATAAATTTAAATATTTATTATATTAAAAGATTTTATTTTAATTATATAATATTTTTTTTATAAATAAACTAAAATATTAAAATATAAATTATTTTTATAAATAAAAATACATTTAAAATGTAATAAAAATATTTTATTAATTATATTAAAGTTCAAATTAATAAATAAAAAATATATTAACTTTATAATGAGAGAAAAAAAAAAAAAAACCTAATGTAATTTATTTTATATTTATAAAATCTATTATATTATTATAAAAATAAATAGTAGTATAAGATAATATTATAATTATTATTTTTCAATAAAGATAAATTATTAAAGAAAATATTAATATATAAAAAAAACTAAAAAACTAAAAATATAAAACATTAAAAAATAAATATCTTTTTTATATATATTTAAATAAAAATAGGTATAAATTATAAATATATATATATATATCAATATAAATAAATAAATAAAAATGGAAGATAATTAAAATTACATACCAATAGCAAATAAGTTATTAGAAAAATACAAAATAAATAAAAAGGAACTAAAAAATGATTTAATTCCTTTAATAAATCAATCCATATCAATAGAAAATTCCCAAAAAACCGACCAATTTTACAAAGATTTTCTCCAAACAATAAAATAAAAAAAAATCGACTATAAATCTTTACAAAAAATATTACACCAAATGAAGAGATAAATAACATCTTTCTAAAAATCGAAAACCAAGCAAGAAAAATCCCAAAAATGCCTCTAAAAAAAACTCTAATTAAATAAATTTGGAGATTTCCTAATAATCATTGAATAATAATACCCTCGAAAAAATAAAAACTATTCGCAAATTTCCAACTTATTAAAAGGCGTATAAACCGAAATAATCAAAACTCGTTTTGAAAAAGCTTTAAATTCATCCCAGATTGAAACCATGACTCTATGTGCGGTAATTCTAAAGGAAAGAAATGAGCAAAATCTTGTAGAAAATGTCCTTTTATAGAAGTTTTTGACTGATTATTTCGTTGATTCTAAAAAAAGAACTACTTCTTTGACTTTCAATGAATATTTGGCTCCTATATTTTGCTAATAAACTTTCTAGGATCATTTCTTACCGAAAATTCTCCATTTAATAAAGCGTACGGAAGATAATATTGAAATCGCCTATAATACTTTGAAGCATTTCCCAAACAAATACTACGATACATCATCTTTAGCTTCTGAAATGATTCTTGAACACCTCAAATAATATTACTTTTCCTTAAATGGGTAAGAAGAACCATCATTAGCAGCTAAGCATATACTCTAAAAAGTTAAAAATATACAAGTTTTAGCCAAAACAGTAGATGGGATTCACTTAATAATTCAAAGTACAAATGACGAGAAGAAAAAAATGCCTATTTTAAACATTTTATAGGGACTTTGCGAATCTTTCGAGTTCTTTGGTGAAGAAAAAACACCTATATAACAAAAAGCAATGCTTATTTTTTCGGAAAATATGAACGCGATTTAAAATACTTGTGATTTGGAAAATTATATTAAACTCTTCAAAACACTTTTTGCTTTCGGTTCTTAAAAAATAACTTTGCAACCTATTGGTTAAATTATTAAAAAATAAATGACTATTTATTCCCAAAATAAGTTTCTTTTTACCGCAGTTCCTTATTTAGCCTTTCTTTTTGTTGAAAAATACGCAGATATTAAAAAAGATGCACTTTTTGAAGAACTAAAAGAAATATAAGAGCTTATTTTAACCCAAATATATAATCCAACATTAAAAAATTTGGCTAAACTAGTGACTTTTTCTGAACCCTTTATTGCCTCGTTAGCTTTCTTAAGTAAAATGGCCCAATTAGGAGATAAAAATGCTGAATAAGAGTTAAGAAAAAACTTAAAAGTTTTATTTAGTAGCTAACTTCATATAAATAAAAACGATTTTTTGTATATGAAAATCAATAAAGTCGAAAGTTTACTTTTTGGATAAACTGTAGTCCAAATTTTGAGTATAAACAATTTTTTAAGTGAATTTAATTCGGAAATTTTGACTGTTTTGGGAAATATTTTAAGTTTTGTGTTTTTTGGAGGAAACTAAAAATGTGATTTAAAATTGCTTTTAGAGAATAAAAAAAATTAAGTTTTTGTTAAAAACTTTATTTAAGTAATCATTTAAGCCATTTATAATTTCCTTTATTATTTCCAAGATTCTGAAAGGAAGTTTAATATATAAAAATTCCATTAATTATTAATTTTTTTAGTCTAAAATATACATTAATTACCTTTAGAATAATTATAAAACATTCAAAATATAGAAACTTTACCTTGGATAATATATAATAAGTTAAGCTCTATGAATATAAGAAAAATTTATTTAAAATAAATCGAAAAGGATTAAAATTTAAAGGACTTCTACCATAATATGGTCCTTTAAAAAAAAGTATTTTATCCTTACTATTTAATAAATGAAAATAATATGGAAGGAAAAAATAAACAAAATACTTTAAATTTAGCCTAGTTTTTACTAGATTTGGGATTTTGGGAGTTTTTGGATGCTTTTGAGTTTGTTTTAAACGAAAAAAATTTCGAAAGTTCAAAAGCCTTGGAAGATTTCGAAAATTAAGTTTAAAATTTACAATTGGAATTCGAAGAAAATGAAAGCAAAAATTCAAATTTATTGAATTCTTTAGGATATAATATATAAATAAGTGAAAAATAATAAAAAGAATAATAAACTTAATAATAATAACAATATGGAAAAAAAAACTATTAATAATAAATTAAAAAAAATGCTCCAAAATAATAATAAACATAATAATAATAACACAATCATTTTTTAGATGACGAGGAATTATAAGTAAAAAAAAAAGAAGATTTAAAGTAGAAAATGTTAATGTACTTCCGCAAAATAGTCTAAATTTTGGATTTATATTCAAATATGGAACACGTTTCCGAACATTTTTTCAGACATTTCCATGAGGGTTTTTTCCAAATCCTAAAGATAAAAGAAACGAACGAAAACTACCGAAAAGTGATGTCTGGTATATTAAAAAAATATAACAAAGCGATCAAAAAATAACAAGCAATTCACTTAGCTGAATTTGCTATTGAAATAGGTCAAGGAATAATTCCAGAAGACAAAAATATAAAGGAATTTAAACAATTTTAAATATTAGTAAACAACAATTTAAGTGAAAGTGAATACATAATAAAATTCTTACATAAATTAAATTTACATACAATAACTCATGATGGATTTGATTTAGATACAAGAGTAAATGCTTTAGTTTTCTATTTAAAATTAAGTAAAGAATATAATATTTACCTAGAAGAATTATATGAGCCTTTTAATGAGAATATAAATACTCTAGCTGCAAACGAAAGCACTTCACATTTATTAGAAAAAATGCTACTTCATGCTAATATATATGTATCTTTGTTATTCAGAAATATCCTAAATAATACTAATTCAGCCAAAAAAATAGTACTCTAATCATTAGTTAATGTAAAAGGAAAAATAAACTATATACCAGAGTTTGATGATATTATTAAATTAAGAATTCTAGAAATGGACATAAATGAAGATGTACGCAAATTAAGTTCTAAAGTCCTAAAAGAATTCCAATATGTAATAAACGAAGAGAAAATAAACAAATTTGACATCGTTTCTTTTGTGACTTTACATTCAGTAGAAAATGTAGAAAAATTCAGTCAATTATCCTTGGATTTTATTAACGATAATCCACTTTTGTAGGATGTATTCTTTAAAAAATTTACAGGTGCAGCTGAATAGTGTTTTGATAAAAATATAAGTGAGGAAGCTTTAACTTTTTATCCTAAATATATTAATTTACATATTAACAATATTAAAGAAGAATAATTATAGCATGTATTTAATTTACTTGTCTAAAAATATTGTGCTCCTTAATTAAATATGCTAATGGATGAATCTCTGTAGTGTGGTATCCAACTTATTAAGAAATTCGGATAATAACATGCTAATCAAATAGTTTAAGTTTTCGATAAATACCTTAAATCAAACAACCCTGAAGATGCTAATAAATAAATATCAGCAATTGTATTTTTAGGAATATGCGCACCATTTATTAAAAATAAAGCTATTATAGAAACAGTATCGATTAAAATTATTCTGTTATTCAGGTATCATTTAATATATAATATATATAAATTAAAATATTTAAATATATATATAAATATATATATATATATATATATATATATATATATATATTTATATTTATAATTTTATAAACATTATTATAATTATATTTCTATTTATTATTAAATAAAAATAGAAACGGTTCTCATGATTTATAAAAAAGTCTAGCAAAATGTTTGTATGATTTAATGAATTTTTTTGAAAATTCTCCTGCTTTGATTGAAAAGACTGTTTAAAATCTTCCCTTTGAGCCCACATATGAATAAAAACGTGGATAAGCATATCTTATTTCTGGTTTATTAAAAGGTTTAGGAATAGCCTAATTTGAAGCTTTGAATATGTTTAAATATTTAGAAACCGATAGCTTAGACTAAAAAAAAGACATTCCTTAAAAGGAATCCAGATTGTTATTATTATAAGCTTTACTAGATGTATTTGGCCGTTTATTTGAGCCTTATATAGTGAAAGTAATGAAAATACTAATGTTTTTCTTTGGCGAAACTAACGAGAAACTTAAAGATTTGGCTGTTTCTTGCACTAAATTATTAATGTCTAGACTAACAGGCTATGGAGTTAAAATAATTCTTCCGACTTTACTATGTGGACTCGATGAATCTTCTTGGCGAGCGAAATATAATAATATATGGGCTTTAGGAAATATGGCTTTTTGCTCTCCGAAATAAATGTCTTAATGTTTACCTTAGATAGTCCCTTCACTTTCAAATGCAATGTCTGACACTCATCCTAAAATACGAGAATGCGCCAATGAATCCTTAACCTTAATTGGTTCTTCAATTAAAAATCCCGAAATTTCAGAAATCGTAGATATTTTAATTAAAGCTCTCTCAGATCCATTCGATATGAATAAATACGGTCTAGAAATTTTACTCTAAACAAGATTCGTGCATTATATCGATGCACCTTCTTTAGCCCTTGTAATCCCCATAGTAGATTATGCCCTAGCCTAAAACAGAGAAACCAGACCTAAAGAAGACGCTTGCTAAGTAGTTGGAAGTATTTCTACTCTAATAAAAGACCCTAAAGACATCTTACCATACATGGAAATTCTTGTAGGAGGTTTAAAAAGTGCTTTAGCAGACAACAATAACGAAGTAAGGCTTTTCGCCGCCAAAGCAATAGGTAAGATCTCCAATACAATCGGCAAATAAAACACTGAAATATACTTCAGATTCATAAAAGACATTATTGAAAGTAAAACCGCGACTTCCATCGAAAGATCCGGTGCTGCTCAAGCACTTTCTGAAATAATGTGCATTCTCGGCCTAGATTACTTCAAGTCTTAACTGCCTATTATTTTCGAGAAAATGTCTGATAAACAGCCTTGGGTAAAGGAAGGATACATCGGAATATTTGTCTATGTACCCGTTATATTAAAGGAATCTTTTAACGCTTATATAAAAGACGTTTTGGACGCCACAATAGAATACGTGAGTGACGAAGAAGAAAAAATAAGGGAAATTTCTCTCCGAGTACTCAGAATTCTTATTTAAAATTTCGGAGAAACCTAAACTGAACTACTCTGTATGCCTATTTCCGAAGGTCTATTTTCCTCTAATTGGAGGAGAAGAAATAGTTCTGCTATCCTATGTGCAGAAATGCTCGAAATTCTCCAAAAAATAGTCCGTTAGGAAAGCAACGAAATGTTTGAGGAAAACATTAAAAGGGACGAAAGCACACTCACTTATAAATAAAAGGTTCTTCACGAAAATTTCATGTCCATCTATATACTCAGAGCCGACGAAATGGAATAAATAAGACTCTAATGCGCCCAAATATGGAAAAACTTCGTTTCCAATACCCCTAGGACACTAAAATTAGGTCTCCCAATATTAATGTAGAAGCTCATCTATGCAATAACTAAAGGAGGGGTAGTTTAAGCCATTGCAAGGACTGCAATATCTAATTTCTGTTAAAAATACGGAGAAAGTTTCTTCCAAAACGTTGTTGATTCATTAACTTTATGTATAAAAGAATACAAGGAAAAAATAGATAATCAAAGTATGAGAGGAGCAATTCTTTTCTTTGGTGAATACTGTAAAAACCTTTAAGGCTTATTTTTAAAATAAAACCAGGAAATTTTAACAAACTTACTTTTAGAAAACCTCTACACAAAAGACGCTCTTTTAAGAAACTCAGTTTTTTCTGCAGTTAAAATAATCACTGAAAAAATAGGAGATAATTTAGTCCTAAAAAGTCTCCTTTAAGTGATTTTCGAAAAAGTTAAATAAATTAAAGACGAAGATCCTTAATATGAAATCTTTGCCAAAATATTTGATACACTCTCATAAAGTAAATCTGAAAGAATTCTTTAGTTTATAGTCCCTTAAATATTCCAAAAACCTATACCTCCCTTACTTATTGATGTTATTACCAACAACGCCGAAATATTCGCCTAAATAATATATAAATACTTCAGATAATAAGGACAAAAATCTCAGCATATAGCCAATAATGGAGGAATAGGTATTATTTTAGAACAAATATTTGATAAAAATACTGATTAATCTACGAAAGAAGCTCTAATTTATGCTTTAAATTAAATAACAGTGAATCTTGATGAAAACGACTCAAATACTTTCCTACTTTTTATAATTGATAAAATTCAAGACTTGAATAAAACTTATTTTAAAAATTCCCTTGATGAAGATTAGCTAGAAATAATTTTATAAATATCAAAGTTTTACCTATTAAATACCCCTATACATATAAATGAATACAATAAAGACTTAATTAACTTAATAACTCCTTATATATTTGATTCATCAAAAAAAAATATAATCAAATAAGCCAACCCGATTTTAGGAAGCATTTTTGCACCCATAAATAGAAGATAATACCCTGAATTGTTATCTACTTTTGTACTTTCATTACATACTTAATTAAGTTTAGATAAATTTAAAGATATTGAACTTATTCCAGGCTTCAATTTAGGTTAAGAAGAAGGTGAAGGAATTTAAAGTATTGTAGAATTTCTTACTTAAAACATTGTTTATAATCCTAATAAAAACTTTAATGATTCAATGGATTTTTTCTATTTATTATTAAAATATACTTCTTTAAATAATTTATAAGTAAAAAATATTAAATATATATATATATATTTATATATATATATATATATATAAATTTAATTATACTTCAATTTAATAAAAACATAGCCTTTCAACTTTAAATTAGCAGGTGCTTTAATTAGAGTAGGTAATTATAGATTAGAAATATCAGAAAAGGAAAGAATTCTAGAAACTTTAGTACATATTTTCAAAAAAGGTCTCTAATTAAAGCCTTTCTTTTCTCAAATGCTTTATACATTTTCTAAAATAGCCACTGAATTTCCTCGGGAAAGGTATTTATTGAAAAAACTAAGCGAAAATTTAGTTGAATTAGCACAAGTTTAATAATAAAAAGATCCTATATTAAATCAAATATATTCCAGATGTTAAGAATACGAAGAATTATAAGTCAAATATGAAGCATTTTTATATATTTTATACAGGTTAATAAAGGTTTCTTGTAAAAAAGCTATATTTTCATCATAATTAATTGAGTAAATCTTATAGTCAATTCTTAAATACTAATCAGAATAAAAATAACTTCCCATAAACACAATATTATCATACGGAAAAATAATAGGATAAGGAAGCAAATTTTTTGAAAATAAAGAAAAATTAAAAAATTATATTAAAGACTGGAACTCAATTTTGGAAAAATCAAACGAAGAAAAATATTTATTTGAATGTTTAGTAAATCATTTGAATGTTTTGGAAAGAAATCCAGAAATATACGACATTTAGAAAGATTTAGGACAACAAATAAATAAATGTTTTGATAATTTTTCTAAAGAATATTAATATAATATAGCTGATTTAGTTAAAGAAGTTATTTTGAAAAGAAATGGAGATTCTATTTCTAATTATTTGAAAGAAAATGTGGAAGAGAAAATTCTTAATTTTAGTATTGAACTAGATGAAGAAACTGTACATTAAGAAGAAAATTGATAACCTTTTTTATTAATTATCTAAAAAAAAAAAATACAACAATATATTTTTTTAATATAAAAACATTTTTATTTTTTTAAATATAATAATAAAAATAAAATTAAAAAAAATAAATAAAAATTTTGTAAATTAAAAAAAAAAAATTATCAAATTACCATTTATAATTCACAAACATGATTTATTTTAAATTATTAGTATTGCCTGATCATCCAAATCCAAATAAAGGAAATCTAAGTTTTCACAAACCACTATTATTTGTCTTATATTAAATAAATAAAAAAATTATTTCTTTTTCACAAATCTCTTCTAATTATTAATTTACTTTTAAAACTTTTAATTACCACATTTAGAATAAACTTCCTAAAATTCTTTCAAATTTAATATTTTCATTAATAATACCTTCTACGCATTATTCTAAAAACACTAATTGTTCAAAAATAAAATCTTCAAAATCTTTATAAATCGTATAAAAACACAACTAAACCCTCAAATTTTTTAAAAAAACATACTAAAATCCAATCTTCACAATTATTTCAAAATCATTAATAAGCATCTTATTATCCATAGACTTAATTTTTATCCTTATTTTTTTTACAAATTCTTGCATTATCTCAAATTAAAAATAGCATTATAATTCATAAATGTCTAAATTTCTTCAATTTTCAATCAAAACAAAACCTTATTTAATGATTCCAAATTTTCATTCATCCCTTCAAAGCCTCTTCTTAAAAATTAAAAAAATTATTTTCGGTATTTTACATATTTTTCAAAGGCATAAAATTGTACTATTTCATTTTAATTTAATTTATTTTTTTATTTAATCATTCAAAAAATATATTTTTTTACTTTTTTTGTGGTTTTTCTCTTTAAATATATTATAAAAAGTCGTTAAAGCATGATTAGGCCATATTATTTAAATAGTCAACATCCAATTGCCGTTTCAAGAAACTAAATAATTTAATCCTTTGTCGTAACTTTTCCACATTTTAATTAATTTAATTTTTGCATTTTACAATTAAGTTTATCTCGCATTATTAAGTTTCACTTTATATAGAATTCTAAAGTTATAAATACTATTGACATTTTTATTTATTATTAAAATAAATTCATATATGAGGAAGCATATGTGTAATTTCAATTAAATTCATAATCTACATATTCTTTCTTCTTTTTTAAATTACATATTCTTCACTATTTATAATTTAAGTATTTATATATAGCATGTTTATCAATTTTTTTATGCCTTTAATTAATTCTTTGTTTTTTTTTATTCGCACTCATATTCTTCATAATCAGAATCTATATTAAGTAGATTTATTTTTAATTTTTGTTTTTTTTATGTTTTTTATATAAAAAAAAAGTAAAAAAAATTAAATAATTTACTATTATGTATGTAATTTTTATATAAATGGCAATGTTCAAAATAAAAGAAAAATAATAAAAAAAAAAAATTAATGATATTTATATATATATAAATATATATATATATATATATATATATATATATATATATATATATATATATTAAATATATAAAAAAACAATTAATTCTTTCATAATTAATATTTTTTAATAAAATAATTATGAAAAATAAAGATATAATAAAATAATTAACTTTTTTTATGTTTAAATTTATTGACAAAAGTAAAAATTATCGAAGTTTTATAATTGTAAATAAATTAATATAAATAATTTTTTTATTATATTCGTTTTTAAAACAAAAAATATAAAAATAGATTAAATTTATTAAAAAAATCTTAAAATAAATAATAAATGCAATAATTAAAACATGATATTTAAAGTTTAAAAAAGTTATTAATATCAATAAATAAAGACATAAAAAAGTGTTAAGATTTAAAATCATAAAACAAACTAACAGGAATGATAGATTCCGAATTATTAGGCTAATTTACTCGTTTTGATTGTGATTTAGAAACATTAAAAAAACAAATAATATAATACGAGAAAAATCCGTCTTCAATTTTAAAAGATGTTGAAAATATTCGAAATATGTTATGTGAAGTTGAAAACTAAAAAAATGATACATATAGATTATTTTAATCATAAAATTAAAAGATATTTGAAATAAAGAATACATTTTAGAAAAAATACGATATAGAAAATATGGATTAAAATTAAATTTATTAAGCACAAATAAAGGAAAAGGTATTTCAAGAAAAATCAATTACTAACCTTCTAAATATAGCTGGTAAAATAAAAATGGTTGGAGGTTTTATAAATAATGAATTATAAGACCAAAACTATCTTTTGAACGATTTAGATTATGGTTTAGGTAAAAATGTTAACTCAATCGACAAAAATGCAAATAAAATGAAAAAAATACTCAAAAACGCAAGCAATTGTTGCTTATTGACTTGCATATTAATTGAATTTTTTACACTTTTTATATTTATATTTTTATTATGAACTATACAAAATAGATATTTATATAAACAAATATATATAATAAAAATATATAAATATATATATATATATATTTATTTTATTTATATATATATATATATATTTTTAAACTATTTTTCAATTATTAATTTCTTTTATATTATTAGTATTTGAAATTTTATTACTCAGTTATTTTTAATAAACAATTATTGTAGAAGATCTGCCTTAATTTTTTTTTCGTTAAATTTTTTAATTTTTCTTATATTTTTATTTGAATATTTTTAACTTTTTAATAACATTTTAAAAATTACTATATTTAAAATAAAACTCGTACTCTTTCATTATATCGAAATCGTAAATAAACATAGCATTTTCTAATTAATTTATCTATTGCAAATCTAATGTATTAGAAACATCTATATTTTTTTTAAATTCTTTCATGTACTTATTACCTTAGTAGTTCTTTTAATCTCTATAGTAAATATTCTTCATTTAGTTATTTATTTTATAAATTATTATTTTATTATTGTTATATTTATTATTATTATGCATTTTCTATTTATACATTATTAGATATTATCGAAGTATTTAATATATTATTATTAATCTTATTATTTAGTAACGATCCTTTTCTAACATTAGAAATTGAATTTGATAATGAAAGGAGATTTTTATTGTGCATTTTTGCAAAGCTTATATTTAAATTATCAACATCGCCTTTACTTAAAGGAGTATTTGTATTTTTAAAATTTATCAATTATAAAGACTTTACAGAATTCCTATTATTTTTTTTAAATATACTTTCTTGTTCAATATCTAATTTAGAGCCTCTTTACTTTTTTTCAAATTTCCTATTTATACTATTTTGTTTATGTCTCATAGTTTTATCAGTATCTGCATAAGAAATATTATTATCATTAATTAAAATTTATATATTCGGCATATTAAATTTATTTAATTCTTTATATTAAGATAAATTTTCATACTCTTCCTTTTTATCCAAATTAAATTATTTAAGATAATTATCTTAATGTTCTTAATTTTCTTCGATTACAAAATTTCCCAAAAGTTCACAACTTTCTTCTATTTCCTCCTCTTTTTTATTTTTTTAATTTTTCTCTTTTAAATATTTATCAGTAAACTAATATGAATTTGAAGGAGATAATTAATTTTAATCAAAACTTGAAGAATACTTAACAATTTTTTTAGTAATAAAATTTTAATAAAATACTGATTTTTTCTTGTTTAATACTGAAACATGTTTCGAGTCATCGAAATCTTCTTCTTAAATTGAATAAATTTATTTATTGTCATCAAATTAATCATCTGAATTTTCCACATCGTCACTATCGCTTTAAGAAAAAGACTCATCACTTAAAACAATCACCTGTTTATTAACATATTTAAATCTTTTACAATTTAAAAAAAATTATTTATCATTAAAAAAATTAGGTTCTTCTTTTTATGAAATCTTTTCCAAATTATCTTTTAACGCTTCATATATATAAGAAAGTCGTATTTTTTATAGATTTTATCTTGTCTATTTTAGATTTGTTAATGAATTTTTTATTCTTTTTCGTTTTCTTCTGAAAGGGACTCTATAAATATTCGGAGCACTATAAATATATCTCATAATAATAAGTTCTTTGCTTCTATAATAATGCAAAAAATGACAATCTTTAATTGTATGATTTGTTTCTCCACAACTATAACATTATGTATTTACTTTTTATTAATAAAATATCATTTCATCCCTTATTTAGCAAATATTTTTCCTTTTTTTTTTTTATTATTTTTTTATTTTATTTTATTTTTATATATTATACATACAAAATCTTTCGGGTATTCTTTTAATATTTAAATAAATATGTTTTAAGATAAAACTAACAAATGAGAAGCTGTTATACTTTTAGCCGAGCTTTCTCTTGATCTCGAGCTAAAAAAAGCTTATTGACCGAAGAAATTTCCCTATTTAACAATTGCTAATTATGTTTATTTACATCCGCTTTCAACATAAATTTCTATTTACCCTTTTTACACAAAATAAATATCATTATCCCCAAAAGAATTTTATTTAAAAATAACTTCTCCCGGCGTACAAACTTTTTCAACGAAAAATAAAGAAACAGAATTTAAAAATTACTAAGAAAAAACAGAATCAAATAAGCTAGATCCCTAAAGAGTTCTTCCATAAAAATCTCTAAAAACCTCTTCTTTTAAATTTTTTGAAATAAGTTAAAGACTATCCAACCCTTTTAATGGGTTATTATCTTCTTACATTTTAATATACTCGAAATATTTCATAACTCTAATAAAAACATCACCTTTAATCTACCTAGTTCTCATAAAAGAAGAAAGTTCATATTTTTTTTTGTTAAACTAATCTTACTTTTATTTAATCTACTAAAATATACCTCCAATAGAGTTAACAGTATATGCGAAAGTAACTGACCCACATAAAGCCATGAAAATTATAAAAATTTCTCAACATTAGACTAAGGTACTATATCTCCATATCCAATAGTAATCATAGTAATAACAGAAAATATAATGCATTTAAATACTTAAACTAAATTTCTTAAAGATATATATCATTTTGAAACATCCACGAAATTTTTCCTCCTTTTTCAATTTCTTATTTCGCAATATAATGAAATATGCATCCACATACATGTGCTGTATAAAAAAGCATTAAAAGTAATTTTATTAATATATATAAATGCTAAAATCTTTCACTTATCTAATAATGTACTTTTATATCCTCTTTTAATTCTTACATTTATTCTACTTTTAAGTATATGAGTATATTAAAAAATGGGTTTCCCATTAATTTAGTCAAATAAACTCCCAAAATAATTACTAGATCAATTAAAAATTATTTTTTGTAGTTTTTTAGAATTTTTCCTCTTTCCATTTATTCAAATCCTTATTCATAATACCCAGTATTTGTTTGCCTAAGAACATCTAAAACATAAATTAATAATGGTATATAATAAAAAATAATATTTCCTAAACTTCCTTCTTCAAAAAGAACTCCAAAACTAATTTAAAAAGGAATAAAAAACATCTAAATTATTAAAAAAAATAATAAAATAATTTTCCAAGCAATAACAATATTTTCTGAAGGAGAAAAGACTTTAACTTTAATTTACTCGAAAAATTTATAAATTAATATTATTTTTTAAAAAAAAATATTTTTTTTTTATCCTAATTTTGCCTTATTCATCTCCTCTTAAGTTTAATAAAAAAAGCCTTAATCATTAATTAAATCAAAATGCCATTTTTTGAGTTTTTTCCAATAAATATTTCTTGTTTAATTTCTTATTTTTAGCATGAATCGGTCTATTAGTTATACTTTCCATTAAAAACTTTATTTTTGAATTAAACTTTTGCAATCTTCATTGTTTAAACTTTATGTTTATATATTTGTCTCTTAAATATTCTATATAATTATATTTTCTAATTACTATTATACTGTTTTTGTATTTGGTATTACTTATTTTCTAACTTTAATTCTACGTGCGTTAACTGGAGAAACGTAAAAAAAGAGGGAATTTAGATTTGATTTTGATATATTTGAGTTTATTTGCGGCGAATGAATATTTGAATTTCGTTAAAGCGATAAATGATTTGGTAAAAATAACTCATCATTAATTGTCCTCTATTTTTTAATTGTTTTATATTCTTAATTCATAATATTTTATTTTATTTTTATCTTTTTAATTAAAAAATATATTATTATAATAATTAATATAATAAATAATTATATTAAATTATATTATTTATTCAATTTATTAATTATATTTAAAATAATAATAATTAATATTTTAAAAATATATAGGTTTTATTTATATATTTAATATTTTAATTTTTATTTTTTATTGCATTTAATTTGATAACTTCTTTTTTTAAAAAAAATTAACAATTTTAATTTGAATTAATACTAACCAAGTTTTAAATTTGAAAAAATTGTATATATATATATATATAAATATATTAATTTTAAAAATATTTATAATTCATAGCAAATGAACTTCAATAAAATAAAATTTTTCTCCTAAAACAAACTAAATTTTCTATTCTTTATAAATATTATTGATTTCTTTTATTTTTAATTATAATTTTGTAAAGGTAAAAACTTCAAAATCTGTCAAATCAGGTTTTTTAATTTAACTTGTTATAAAATCTACACCAATTACAATAACTCCTATACATAATAATCCAATTCCTAAATAAAAAATCGCATTAACCATAACAATATTAAAAATTCTTAAAATAAAAAGCAAAAAAGCTAATAAAACAACTGGAATATTCCATAGAAGTAGTTGTTTTTCTAATTAAAAAGGATCATTTTTTTCTCTTTTTAATTTTTTGCCATATTCTATACTACATATTGCTGTTAAATTATGTAATATTTATTAAAATTCTTTCTTTTAGATTCTATCTCCTAACATATCTTCTTTATAACAATCAAATCTGAAACCTAAACCTTCATTATTAGGTAATATTATTAATTTATTTTATGTTGTTTATGGAAATTTGTATTTTTATATCAATTCTGATCGTGGTAAAAATTCTTTTATTTCTTAATTTATATTTTTAAGATTTTCAATTACTTCTTTTTGAATTATTCTTGCCATATTTAGTTTCTAAATTTATTTATTTTATATATATAATTTATTTATTTTATTATCCTTTTTTAAAAAAAAAATCAAATAAAATATACTAAAGTTAAAATTTAATATTTATTTAAGAAAATAATAAAAAATATTAATTAAGTCCAATACAAATTATAAAAATTTTAACTAAATATTTTATATATAAAAAAAATAGTTTATTAATAAATATATTTATTTAATTTAATTAAAAAATCTACACTTATTTATTATAGAGTATCCTTTAGGTATTCCAGCTGTAAATTCGAAAAATAATTAGAATCACAGATAACACATTTTCTAAGAAAACTATCACAATACAACATGCATAATACAAGGGAATATTTAACATATTTTTTTTATAATAAAATAAAAGAATCAATGCATTCGAAAATTTGAAAAAAATACGTTTATAAGCACCTTTTTTGTAATATCCAGCAAAAAATAATAATATTACGAATTCGTAAAATGTAATTAACCGTTGATTTATCCGAAATGAATATTAGTAATAAGCTCAAAACTTTTAGGCATCTGCAGTATTATTTTTGTTATTAGATTTAATTTAATTTGAAAATTTTAATTGTCCACAAAGCTTAGAATAATGACTAAAAGAACCTATATATGATATTAATCAAGGGTATATTTATGAATTAAAATTCATATGTATATTATCTGTATTATCCCATGAATCAATAAAATAAATTTAAAAGTTTATTTATATTGAGATAAGAGAAAATACAAGTAAATTTTGGCATTAGTTTACATCCAGTCTCACATACTGAATATGTTCCCAAAATAGATTTTTATGCATATTTATTTTGTTACTTAACTTTTCTGAAGTAGCACCTGTTACAATAATATTGCGAATTTCTATTCACTTTAAATTAAGTCAGATGAAGGTAAAAAATCAAATATCTTTTTTTTTTGATATTTTAATTAAATTATTAAAATAGTAAATAATTTATTTATTAGAAGCATTTTTATAATTAAAATATATAATTATTTTTTATTTAATTTATATTGTATTGTTTTTTGTTTTTATAATTTATATCAATATTTATTAAATATTTTCTTTTTTAAATATGAAATAGATTTATAATTTTAAAATATTTTATAAAGTTTTTTTTAAATTCTTAATAAAAAAAATAAATATAAAATATTGTTCTATTATCATTAAATTAAAATTATTTACTTTCTAAAATGTAAATTTTAGAATGTTAATTCATAAATTAAGTTAAATTTAATAAGTAATTTTTTAAAAAATCTATAAATACGATTTGTTTACTTTAATGTAAAAGAGTAAATTTAGATATTCGTATTAAATCATGAGTAAATTTATTAAAATATTTATGAACTTTGTAAATGTTTTAAACAAAAAATATATATTAATATAACTTCTATATTAATAAACTAATAAAAATAAAATAGAATATTGAAATTTTTAAATGAAAGAGTAAAAAATATAATTTATATATTGTTTTTATTTATATAAATTAACAAAATTATAAATTTATAAATATTTAAAATATTTATTTATATGTAAAATAAATAATTAGTTTTAAATTTTTTCAGGTATTATGCATATCATTTTATCCTTAATTTAATAATAAATAAAATTTTCTTTTTATTAAATATAAGTAATTCTTCACCTATATAAAATTAAAATAAGTTATAGTTTTATATATAATTTTCTATTATATGATTTTTTAGAAGATAATAATATATATAATGAATTTATTAAAATTAACAAATAATTTTAATATATATATTTTTTTTTTTTCAAGAATTGTAAATATAGTAAAAATAAATAAAAAATATAATAGTGAAATTTTCTAAAAAATTATAATGCGTAATTAATATCATATAATAAAAAACAAAACATAGGAAAAAAAACCAAATTAATATTTTTATTATTAAAAAAAATAATTAAATTTAAAAAAGTAAATATTAAAAAAAGAAATCAATTAAAAATATAAAAAATACTTTTAAATAAGAAATTTAGACAATAGAAAGTAAAAATGACACATTCAAATACAATAATATAAAATTTATTCATATCTCCACCACCATGTAACCACAAATCATGTTTAATATCAAGCTTTAGAGGACTAAGAAATGGAATATATTACGGCGGAAAAGTGAGATTAGTTCATGCAATAGTAATGACATTACTATTCAAAAAAGGGACCATAATGCACAGAATAAAGCACATTTTATAACTAACATATGAGCATGCAAAAAATTTGGGTTTATATGTATTTTTATATAAATCCCTAGTTTGCATATTGAATAGAATACGTTAAAAATAATCTAAATTTCATAATTTTATTTCTGGTTTTATATGCGGTAGTTATATATTTGGAGAAAAAACAAGCATTAATCAATAAATTGTATTGTATTTATTATCCAGAGTTTTATATGGAGGAGCCTAAAGTCTTTCTAAAAAAGGATATTTGCCTTAATGGAAATTTTATAGAATCCTGGCTACTATTTGTTGGGGTATTGTTATGTTTTTATTTGAAGATGATTCAAGTACTCTATAAAGTTCTTTAACAAGTTCAATGGAATTTTTATATAAAGAATCTGATAAAAAAATATATTATTGGACTTAACTTTTACCTTTTAATGTTAATCATAGAAAATGGTCGAAATTCTTCGGATTAAGATAAATTTTTTGAATTTTTATATATTTAAATGTTGGATTTTTTAAAGAAAGTAATAATTTTTTTTTTTTTAAAAAAAAAATTTTATTTATTTTATTTTCTATATATATGAATATGTTTTACCTTATCTTAATTAATATATTCTTACTAATTTTTTAATATTTTAAAATTTTGATAATAAAAATTATTACTTAATTACCTTTCAAATTAATCAAAATTTAATTTTTTTTTTTTTTTTAAATATATAAAAATAGTAATAATTTTTATTTTGCAAAAATAATAAATATTTATTAAAAAATAAAATAAACATGAGTATTGTTGAACTAAGAGTATGTGGTAGATATAAATTAGCTGAAAGGATAGGCGCGGGAGCATTTGGTTAATTATTTATAGGCAAAAACGTTCAAACTTATTAAAATGTCGCTATAAAAATAGAAGAAATAAAATCTCGATATCCATAAGTAAAATAAAAAAAAAAACATAAAAAAAAAAAAAAAAAAGTTATTATATGAAGGAAAAATAATGTAAAATTTATAAGGAGGAATAGGAATATCTACAATGTACTGGTGTGGATAAGAAGGAGATTACAATTTTTTAGTTATGGAACTATTAGGTGAAAATTTAGAAGAATTATTCGAATTATGTGATCGCAAATTTTCATTAAAATCAGTACTTATGTTAGCCGAATAATTAATATCAAATATAGAATATATACATTTTAAAGCTTATATTCATAGAGATATAAAGCCCGAAAACTTTCTAATTGGATTAAATAAAATGCATAAAACTTTTTATACAATAGACTTTGGATTATCTAAAAGATATAGAGATTTTAGAACATATGAACATATTCCATTCCGTGAAAAAAAACCATTGATAAGTAAAATATAAAATTTAAAAATATTTATATTTAAAAGGTACTGCTAGATATGCAAGTATTAATTCACATAAAGGATATGAATAATCAAGAAGAGATGATATGGAAAGCATAGCTTATATTTTAGTGTATTTTTTAAAAGGAAAATTACCTTGGTAGGGCATAAAATGCCAAAATAGGGAAGAAAAATACAATAAAATAAAAGACATGAAAATAAATATTCCATTAAATGAATTATGTGCAGGTTTGCCACCTGAATTTGCTTATTTTATTACAGAATGTAGAAATATGAAATTCGAAGATAAGCCAGACTATTCTTATTTTAAAAAAATTTTTAGAGAAAGATTCATTAAAGAAGGTTTTATTTATGATTACATATATGATTGGCTACTTATTCCTATAAAAAACAAAAAAACTGAAATAATTCCCATGATACCCATTAATTTTGAATGTGGAGAAAATGAAGAAGAAAATAACAAATATATGCAATAACTAGATTTTCTTTCTGACTTATCTTCTTCTTTAAATGAAGAAGATGATGAAATTGATGAAGAAAAAGTATAAAATTTAGATGAATAAACATAAATTGCACAATAATAAGACATTAATATAAAATAAATAGATGGGTTTATACTTTAATAATAATTAAAAACTAATGTTTTGTAATAAAATAATTTACAAAAAAATTAGAAATTTTAATAATCATAAATTCGACAAACAAATCAAATTTACAAAAACACAGCTAATTAGTAAGAACTTCTAAATAAAAGATATAATAAATAATAAAAAAAAAACGATTGTTTTATTTTTTGAAATATATAAAAACATGTACGTATGTTAATTTGTAATTTAATAATAAAAATAAATTATTATATAACATATTTAAAAAAAATTTACAAAAAAAAAAAAAAAAATATCTTTTTTCACAAATAATTTTAATATATATATTATTTATAAAAATAAAATTAAAATTAATGGATACTATTCCTGTTCTTCCAAATCACTTATTCAACTCAGAATCGCTCCGAAAATACTTAGACTAGTCTTTTAATTTCTCAAATTCTTTCCAATAACAATAATAATCTGAATATATAATTCGTTAATTCTAACATGGTTAATCAAATCCAACATTTTACATAAAATATTAAGAAAAAGAATATGTTCTTCGGAAAAAGCCACCTGGTGTTCTTTTAAAAGGAGCCCATTTAATAGATCGTGAATATAAAATAATAAAGGCATTAAAAAGTGTGGATTTCCCAGTTCCAAATCCCATATTATATTGCAGTGATGAAACAATAATTGGTACTGAATTTTATTTGATGGAATATGTCCAAGGAAGAATATTTAGATCAGATGATTTTAGCTTAAAAAGCTTAAATCCTTAAGAAAGATAATAAATATATCTAGAATTTTTAAGAGTATTAATAAAATTGCACAAAATAAATCCCAAACAAATTGATTTATAAGATTTATCATAAAATCCATTAAACTTTATCGAAAAACAAATTAAAACTTGGAAATAATAATACAAGCTTTCAGAAACTGAAAAAATTACAGAATTTGAAGTTGTATCCAATTTTCTTGAAGAAAATTCATAAAAGCATAATATTCCTTTAGTCTCAATTGTACATGGCGATTTCAGAATCGATAATTGTATCTTTCATCCTACTTAACCTAAAATCTTGGCTGTTTTAGATTGGGAATTGACTGCTTTAGGCAATCCAGTTACTGATTTGGCTTACATATGTATGCCTTATTACATTTCGATAACTTTAATAGGATTTGGTAAACAAGATTTCACTTACACAGGAATTCCTTACGAAATTTAAATAAAATAAACATATTGTTAAATTATGAATATAGACTTATTTCCAGACTCATAATGGTATTTTTACCTATGTTTATCTTTTTTTAGACTTGCATCAATTTCGTAAGGAGTTTACAAGGTAAAAATACGAATATTATTCTATTTAAAAAAAACAAGCTAAAAATAAATTAAAAAAAGAAGATCTCTATAAGGAAATTCAAGTAGTTAAAATGCCTAAAATTTTTTAGCAAAAACAAAATATTTATCAAAGAAAGCTTTAGAAATGTCCCAACGTTCAACAGGCGAATTGACGAAAAAGCTTAATTAATATAAACATGGATCTTTATTTTAGGACAGTTTTTCATAAAAATTTCATGATATATATATTAAATTAAATATTTTTATGAATTAACATGTATATCCTAATGAATAAAAATTCTTTCAGTAAATTAAAACAGGAGAGGATAGATGGAAATATGTTCCGTAAATTCTTTTTGAACTTTAAAAAAAAGCTAAAGAATAAAATCTTTGGAATCTCTTTTTACCATCTATTTCTGGTTTAACATTAACTGAATATGCACCTTTATGTGAATTGATGGTATTTATTTATTTTAATTTTATTTTTTAAAATTCAAAAAAAAGGGTAGATCTTTTGTAGCTCCTATGGTTTTTAATTGTTCCGCCCCAGATACCGGAAATATGGAAACCTTGCACCTTTATGGAACACCTGAATAAAAAAAAGAATGGCTTGAACCCCTTTTAGAAGGTAAAATCCGCTCTATGTATGGTATGACAGAGCCAAATGTTGCATCTTCAGATGCCACAAACATAGAAACAACGATAATAAGATGCGAAAAGGACCCTGAAAATTATTATATTATAAATGGCAGAAAGTGGTGGAGTTCAGGAGCTGGAGATCCTCATTGTAAAATAGCAATAATAATGGGTAAAACCCCTAACAAGAAAAGAGGATATCATTAATAGCATACAATGGTATTAGTTCCTACGGATACACCAGGAGTAAAAATTTTAAGGCCTTTAAATGTATTTGGAATGTAATATTTTCTTTAATTTAATTTTATATTAAATTATATTATTCAGTGATGATGCTCCTCATGGACATATGGAAGTTGATTTTTATAATGTAAGAGTTCCTGCTAAAAACATACTTCTAGGAGAAGGAAGAGGCTTTGAAATATCTTAAGGAAGATTAGGACCAGGAAGAATTCATCATTGTATGAGACTTATAGGATTAATGGAAAGATGCTTTGAAAACATGTGTTATAGAGTTGAAAGAAGGCATATTTTTGGAAAGCTTTTAAAAGAAAACGATAATGCTTTATAGATTATAGGTAATTTATTTAATTTTTTTTTTTTTCTTTAAAAAAAAAAAAATAGGTGAGTGTAGAACTAAAATAGATTAAGCAAGATTATTAACACTAAATGCAGCAAAAATGATAGATAAATTAGGGGCTAAAAATGCAAGAGTAGAAATAGGTAAATAAATAAGTATTCAATTATTTTTAAAAAAAAAAAAAAAGCTATGATTAAAATCGTTGCACCCAGAATAGCTTGTGAAATAATTGATTAAGCGATTTAAATTCATGGAGAGCAAGGAGTTTCTTAAGATACTCATTTGGCATAAGCCTATATAAATGCAAGATCTTTAAGACTTGCAGATGGACCTGATGAAGTTCATTTAATGACAGTTGCTAAGTTTGAACTTTAGAAATAAAATCCGAAATTTTGAAAACTATATTTTTCTTTTTAATATTTATATATATTTAACTATATATATATATATAAATATATTTTCAATTTTTTAAATTTATATCTATATATATTTGTTATATTAAGATTATTTTATTCTTATTTATCTAAGTCTATTTTTATCAATAATATGAAGGTATTATAGCTCTACAAGATGGACATGCAAGCTTTATTTCTGTCCATTGTTAAAAGCATTTTATATGGAACATGTGGTTACAAGGTGTTTTTAAAACTCTATTTTTTATTAAAAGTTTTTTAGTTTATTATTATTAATCTTGTTATTATAATTCATTTGAAGATTATTCGTTTTCATGTAATGGATTCAAGCAAATTGCACAATCATGCTTATTTTTTTTATTATATATATATATAATTTATATTATACTTTTTCGTTTTCCTCGGGATTGTATTAATATAAGTAATGATAATTATATTTGTTTGGATTTAAACAATCGGGAATAAAGAATCTAGGCCCATATTAACTTTATAAAAATACAATTAAAATCTATAAATAAATTATAAATGATAATGTAAAAATATATATTAAATTTATTACTTGAATTGAAAAAGAACCAATCCATAAATAGCAAAACTATTCACTTGGTTTAAAATTAAGTATATTATTAGGACATCCTCTAATATAAAGCTTTTATTTATAATTTAAAATATTTTTTAATTTAAATATTATACTGGCAAAATTATCTTTGGTAATACAATACCAAAAATATAGCTTTTATAAAATTTTTTGGAATTCGATTTAATGGCAGTAGAAATAATTTAAGGAATTAATATGAAGCTTAAAAATATTAAAAACTAATTATAGATAAAAAAGTAATAGCATAAAGTAAAATAAGAAATTAAACTCAAATCTTAAAATTAAAAATAATATATCTAAATAAAAATAATATATATATATATATTACAAAATAAAGAATAAAAAATTGCGATTCCTTTAGTTATTTATCCAGCACGCATATATTAATAATACATTTTTTCTCTCCAAATTAAAACAGTGATTCTCATTTCATAAATAGTTGAAATAATAAAATAAAGTAATCCAGGTATGCAATATAAAATAAATTGATTTTACTATTTTTTACCATAAAAATTAAATATTTAAAATTAAATTACATTTTGTGATTATAAAGCTATATATAAATAACATAAAAATAAAAAAGAATCTTAAATTGTACAAAATCCTATAGAAATAATAGAAAGCTAAATTATTTATATTTTTATATAAAAAAAAATATATATTAATTACATTCTTGGCTTCCGTTTCATTATTTTATAAATAATTATTTAAATAATGACATCCTAATATTCCAATAAAAACAAAAAAGCTTGCAAAAATAGAAATGTAAATTTATTTCAAATAATAATTAGTCTAATCTAATTCCAAATCGCCACTAATTCTTATAACATTGTCAATATTTTTTTATAATAAAGTAAATTTAAAATTTATATCTTCTAGTTCATATTCACTTGCAGAATTAATTGTTATAAATTAGTTATTTTTTTTATTATAAAAACCGCCCTAAAAATTATAATCTTCACCTGTAAAATATATTATAATAAAAATGATTTTTTTTAAAAAAAGAATACTTATTTTCGATTAATATTTTAGATTATTTTAACTTATGTGGACAACTTATTTTTCTGAATAGCTAGATAGATTTTCCTATACATAAAAAATTAGTTTTATTAAATCCACTTATTAATCTTCATAAAATTAATCTTCGTACATATAAATATATAACATTCTATCAATTGATGCTGCCAAGCTATTGAATTTAACCTTTGAATTTTTATATTATTTTTAAATCGAATCAACTTAATAATCGGATGTTTATTTTTTATTAGTTTATTATTTCAATTTTATTTTTTCATACAAACAAATTCCTTTAAACTATTACTTAAGTATCTAATTAAATTTATCATACATAATTTCAATATCAACAGTTTAGTTTTCATTTTTATTTTTATTTACTATAATTTAAAAAGAACTTTTCTATTTTTTAAAATATAATAATGTTTATGTATTTATTTATTTGTAAAATAACCTGTATAAATTGCTTCAAAAAATCGATATTATTTTTATCACCTAAATAATCATGCAATAAAATAGTTATTAATATTGCTGAAAACACGATACATTATATAAATATATATTTTTGACCCATTTAAAGAAAAATAATATTTTTGTAATATGTATTATTTATTATTATAAATTAAAAATTATTTAATTTTATTATACATGTGATAAAAACTAAATATTTTCCTCTATTTTAATTTTTAACAACTTTTGCAAGTTTATTAATTTAAATATAGGAATAATATAGGATTTTTTTAAAACAAATAATAAAAGAGAAAAAATTATAGATAGAGGATTATGGACTAGTTTTAAAAGTACATATAAAATATTTATCTAATATATATTTTTCCTTTTTTATTAAGTCTATTTGGTTAATAAATTAACAATTATATTTTAATATTATTAAATTAGTATATTCATTAAGAAAATAAAAAAGAATATTATTAGATTTTAGAAAAATAATAAACATAAATAAGATTTATAATTTTAAAAGATTTAATTTAATAAATAGGCTTTTATATTAAATTAAATAAAAATTTATAATATATTATATATATATATATATATATATATATTTTATATTAATTCTATTATATATTTAAAAAAAATTAAAAAATATTATAATTAAATTAAAAAATATATAATTAAATATCTTAAAAATTATTATGTAATTATTTATTTTACATTTATATTTTTATATTAATATATTTTCTATATATTAATTAAATATATTCGAAATTTAATAATTTATGTTTTAATAAATTTTTTATTTATTTATTTCATTTTTTTAAATTATTTCAATTTATTTTTTATTATTTAAAAAAAAAAAAATTTGAACATATTTATTACAATTTTTTGATAAAATATAAAAAAATATATATACACTAATGTAGTATAGAATTTAAGAAAATTTATTTGCAAAAGATAATGATACATAAGATGCTACTTGTTTAGATGAAGATTTTTTAAAATAATTGTAATATATAATATATATATATATATATGGTTATTAAAATTTTTGAAAAATATTATATTCAAAAAAATTAGAAGAGAAAAAAGAAGATTAGTTGAATAAAGAATGAAAGAAAGGCAAAAAAATTATAATTTATCAAATGAACTTTATTAAAAGTAAAATAATTTTAAACGATATTTTATACTAATAATAATTATTAATTAAAAAAGGTAAATATAAAAATGCATAGAAATTTAAACAATACATAAATAAGATTCAGTAAAAAGAAATTAAGTATTCTCAAATTAAATGAAAACATATATTGAAAAATATCATAAAGAGTTAAATTAAATACATTTAATTTTTATAAATAAAAAAATAATTATTATTGAAAAATTATAAATTAATTAAGAATGTCAAAAGTCTATGCAGCTGATGAATTTTTAAGAGAAACAAAAAAAGTAGTTTAATAATATTTAAAAAGATTTAAACCAAAGATGGCTTTGGATTTGAAATAAATTTTATCTGTAAGTAAAACAGCGTTTGAAGCCAAAATTTTTAATTATAAAGGGAATAAAAGTCAAATATATAAAAATGATTTATTTTAAATTTAAGAACTTGACTAATTTTAAGAAAATGATATGAATTTAGAAAATCTATAAAAATAAAACTTTTTAATAGAAAGTTCAATATAAAATAAAAAAAACTTAGATTAAAATAATCTTTGAAACAAATGAAAATAATGTTTATTAGAATATTCAAGCATAAATTATCTGTTTTATAATAAATAATAAAAAAAAACATATATTTAAAAAGAATGTTATATACTATATAAATATCTAAATTAAATATTATTCTAAAAATAAAATTATTTAAAGAGGCTATTAGTTTATTGATGAATTTTTATATAAAACTTAATCAATATATTAATTCCTTTAAAATAATAGTATTATCATTTTAGCTATTTTAGCTTAATTTATCTCTTATTTTTTTATAAAAAATAAAATATATATATTTTTTTTTAATAAAATATTTTTACACTTTAATTAGTTTCATATTCTTGAAAATCTAAAAAGCATTCATAATTTACTTATTATACTTAAAATAGACTTTAATTTTATATTTATTTTTCATAAATAATAATAATATTGTTTATTTTCAAATGTTCAAATTAATTCGCTTCACAAATTTTTATCGTTTTATAGATATATTATGTTATCATATTATTTATTTTAATTTAAATATGTTTAATCTAATAAAAACATTATTTTATTTAATATATATTAAATATTAATATTTTAATTAAATATACATATAATTAAAATAAATAATTATATTTTTAAATTAATATATGGTACAGATTCAATTTTCTTTTTTATATAAATTTACTTAATTATTTTTTATTTTAAACATTATTATATAATATAGAAATTCAAAATTTTGATTGAATAAGTATATCTTATAAATACATAAAAAATTAATTATTATTAATATTTTTTATTTTACTTTTTTATGAAATATTAAACAAACAAGTAATAAATATAATAAAAGTATCAAAATAATTTAAGGCCTATTTTATTATTTAATGAGTTTCTTAAAAAAGAAATTCGATAATTTTTTACTTTTCATACTTTGGATTTCATATAAATTAGAATTTAATATAAAAAAATATATATCTGCTTATTCATTAACTGTTAAAGGCAAAAATAAAAATTTAATTGAGATAATTATATTTGATAAAACAAAATAAAAAAAAGGAAATATTTTTCTTATGACACGTTTTAAAATTTTTAATTAAAAAAAATCAAATTTGAGAGGAAAAAAATATTTGTTTATATTCTAACATACTCAAAATCACTAATAAAAAATAAAAAACAGTAGAAGTGGAACTACAGAGAATTTTATTGATTGTATCAAGAAGATCTAATGATTTTGAGAATCTAAACCAGTGAGGATTGTCAACGGTAAAGGAAAAACCTTCACACAATAGGCATATTGGCCTAAGACAGAGGGAGGGACAGTATTGCTTTACAGGATGTCTTTGGACCATCTATACTATAAGTCTCTTTAAAGCATGTAGAGTACTACACACAGGAAAGAGTAATATCCATAGCTTTGCCATCTGAAAATCGTAAATCTTGAGATGAGACTAGTCAAGCAAATTAATTATTCTTAGATAACACACCAAAGCGTTATCTTTATTGTGCCTTATATTGCAAATTGTGACAGGAGACTCATTCAAGATCCTACATCAAATCAAGGAACTAATCGTTTCAAGAGAGGGACACGAGATATAAGGAATAAATCTAAAACACAACTTTTTATTTTTCTTTTAATATGCTATTAAGCTATTATTATAAAAAGTGTTGCTTAAAAATAATTTTTGTATAAAAAAATTACTTACAAAATATATTAGAGTTATAAAATATAATATAGACGGCATTCTAGAACAAAAATAGAAATGCAAAAATAAAAAATAAAAAATAAAGAATTAATTATTTTTGTATAAAAAATATAATTCAACATAAAATTTTAAATATAAAAATAACATAAAACATAATCAAATTTAATATTTTTAAAAACTGCTATATTTTTATTATAATAGGTTTTGATTTATAAATGAATTACTAAAAAATAAATTTAATTATATGTTCAAATATGAATAAAAGTGTTTTTAAATTAATGATTTTAATGTGAGTATAGAAATCAAATATGTTAATATTAAATTGAATTATTAATTTTTACAATAAAAATTCTAATTTTTAATAAAAATATATTAAAATATATATATATATATATATAAATATATTTATTATTTTATATATTTACTAAATACATTTTCTTTTCACTATAAATTAAAACTTAATATAAATAAATATTTTATATATATAATATTAGAATTTATATTTGTTTTAGAAAGTTTCTAATATTAACTATGTTTTTGCATATACTTAGTTCTTCATATATAATGCTCCAATATTCATCTTAAAATAATATATAATTCCAGAAATTTAAGTCATTTTACATATATTTTAATAAAAATTTATAAAAATATTATTTTAAATAAATATATAAAATCTTAAATTTTATGGCTGATAAAATATAACAAAAGAAAAAGATTTTTAAATTTTTTAAAAACCTGTAATAAAATGTTACAATTAAACTATATTTTATTTTTCTCATTATTTTTTTAAAACAAAACAAAAATCAAGATTTATAAAATAAAGCATTAAAGCTGATTTATTATTTAAATTATTTTCTTATTATAAGGATTTATTAAAATTTTCTTAATACATAATTTTAAATTAAATATTTCGAATTATATAAAAATCTTTTTTATTAATTATATAAAGGCAATTTATAAATTTTGATGTTTTTCTATTTAAAACAAAAATTTTTTGATTTCATTTTTTAAAATTAATCATTTGATTATTTATTTATATATATTTTATATTTTATATTAAAAAAATAAAAATCAAATAATTATTATTATTATTTATTTATATAATTAATTAAATTTTAATTATTAATGATTATATAATTATGTCAAATTTTAAATTATAATATAATTTATTTAAACATAAATTAAGGAATTTAGTAATTATATATAAACAAATTAATTTTTTTAATATAATATATAGTTTTACTTAAAAATTTTTTTTTTTTTTTTTTTAAAGAAAAACCAAATAAAAAAAACATTTCAATTAAAATAAAAAATTTAAAAATAATTACCTATTATATTATTAGTATAAAATAAAAAATAAATTAAAAAAATTTCTCTCTATATATATATATATATATATATATATATATATATATATATATATATATATATATATGGAAAAAAATTCTCCAAAAGGATCAGGTGTACTTTTATGGTCTTATTATTTTTCAAAAGAGATTTAATAATAAGGTTTATGTGTGATTTTATTCGGATTCTACCGCAAATCAGGTTTATCATATGCAGATTGTGGTGGAAAATTAGAAAATAAAGAGCCTCCATTAGAATGTGCATCTCGCGAATTAAAAGAAGAATCTTTAAATTTATTAAATATATGCTAGAAGGATTTATAATAATCAAAAATGATTAAATATAAATAATATTTATGTTATAATATATTTATAGATTTCCTTTAAGAAAATTATTTTAACCAAAACATTTCTGTTTTGTAGAAAGTCCAAAATATTTTACCTTTATCATATAAAGAATCTAAAAATATTAAATATTTTCTTCTTAAAGATTTATTAAAAGCAGGAATTTAAAATTTTAATTAATACAATTTCAAATGTAATGATATTCTTGAAAAAAAACCTTATTAAATTCATAAAAGAACAGTGGGAGTAATATAAGAAATACTTAAAAATTCACTAATTCTAGCTTAAACAATTATTTCTTTGCCTTATTTTGAAATTTCCCCTTCTAAAAATTAAACAGATCTTGATTTTCTCTAAAACACTATATCTTTCTCCACTTAAAATATACTAGATTAAACAAATTCACTAACTAAATAATTAGATAATATTAGAAAATGCCAAAAATCAAATTCTTTAGGCGCTGGAATTATTATTTTGGGTAAAAAAGAAGATAAATTTTATTATATATTAACTCAAAGTGCTAATAATAGTAGCTCATACGGAGAAATGGGCGGAAAATTCGAAATTTAAGATAATATATTAACAAATACAGCAGTAAGAGAATGTTAAGAAGAATCTTTAAATACATTTATTTTTAATAAAAAAAGTATAAATGAGAAATATTATGCGATAAATAATAATTTTTAATGTTTTTTTGTATTAATAGATATAAATTTTGACTAAATAAAATAAACATTCGATTATAATTTAAATATCTTAATAAATTAAAAAGAAACTCCTCAATATTGGAAAGAAAAAAATCATATAAACTTCTTTCCAATTGAATAAAATATAATAGAAAAATAGTTGATAGATATAGAAGGGAAAAAACATTTAATAAAAGAAAGAACAATAAATTTTATAAAAAAATTTAAAAATAAATTCATGGTTTAAGATTTAAAAATTATTCAATTAAATTAAATATAAAATTAATATGAAAAATAATAATAATAAAAAAATTTTTTAAATTAAACAAAATCATTTATATTATGTGAATGATTATAAAAAATATAAAAAAATAATAAATAAAAAAAACAAAATTGTTAAAAATAAATTTATATTTTAAAATTATTTTATATATAATTAATAATATATAAAAAAAAATATTAAATATATAAAAAATAAATATAAAAATAAGAAAATATAAATATATAAATATATATATATATATATATATATATATATAAATATTTATATATATTTATATTTATTTTTTAAAACTATCTATATTATATTTATATTTTATTTTTATATTTTTTTATATATTTTTATCTTTTTTTTATATTATTTGTTATATCATCCATCTTCTGATTATTGATCAGAACATTTATTTATACTATTTAAATTTTAATTTTTATTATTTTGATATTCTTTTATTTACTATTCGTCTTTTATTTCGCTTTAAGAATTACTGTTTTTGTCATCATTTTAAATAACACTTAATTCTGAAGCTTAAAAGACATCATATACTTATTCTTATTAGTTTCCGTCAACAAGTTTAATTTTTGCTAAAAATTCAGGTAAAATACCAAAAATATTAAAATACATTCCAAAAAAATGTAATGAATTTAAATAAAATTCATTAACTCCAATTTACCTTATCCATCTATTATTTACAATATAATCCTAATAATGACACAAAATAAACGAAGGTATAATAAATACTTACAAAACACCAATTCTGCATATTTTTTACTTCCAGGTTCCCTCATACCATTTAAAATTTCTCTTTCCTATATTTCTATAACTGTGCGCTACACCAAAAACAAACCCTATAAGGCCAAAAAGACATGAAATTTATAAAAATGTAAACCAATGTCCTATAATCTCTTCATAAGGGCTTTTAAATGTTTAATTTTCCCCAAATTATTCGTTACAATATACAAAATTTCTAATCCATTCTGCAGAAGAATAATATGTTTATTATGTATAGATCATAGTTGCAAAAATAATTGATATAATTACCATTAAAAACCAATAGAAAATATATTTTTTGGCAGACCTTTATTAAAAAGATGATTTAATGATTATATTATTTATATTTTTATCCTAAAAAACTACTAGAGAGTATAAAACTAAAAAATAAATGATTCCTAAGCCCATGTTTATTAAGTAGTTTTAACCAGTTAGAAATTTTAAAAAACAAGTATTAAAAATACACAACCTAGTAAAAGTTTTAATTTTTTTAAAGAATAATCCTTATTCTCTTCTCTTTTTTTCTATTCATAACAATAAATGCTATAAAATCCTATAAACATAGATATAAATATATACTTTGAGGGATGTCCAAAGCTTCTTAGACAAACAGGAGTTGTAATTGTATTTACAAATATATTTTTTTATTCTTTATTTATATTTTCTTTATTATTATTAGAATTCCAAAATGGACGAGGTCCTTCGTAAATTAATTATAAACAAATTATACAATAATACATATATAATGTTAAATATCCCACCTTTATGGCTATTTCTGGATCTATACATATGAAAAAAATAGCTATATAAACAGTAAATAATAAGAAACTATATTTAAATGTATTTAAATGACAAAAAGAATCAAATATAAAATTGGAATTAAATTTTCTAATGTAATTATTATCCTTTTTTTTATATATATATTTTATTTTATATATTTAGAAAATAATCTTACTTTATTGATTATTTATTATAAATTCAATTTATCTTAGACTAAACTTATCATAGAGTTTTCTTTTTATAAAATTAATCCGTAAAATAAACGTTCTAACATTATAAAAATTAAAATTATAGATACAAATATTACTACTAATAATAATTTTTTTTTGTATATTTTTATTTAGTTCTCGTTATTAGAGTAAAACTAATAATCTAACTGTTTAGAATTCATATTATCATGCCTAAATTAGTGATTTTATTTAAGTAATTATTACCTTTTTATATTTTCTTCGTCATCTTCGTCTTCATATTTTTATTTTTCTTCTTCTTATTTCTCTTTTTCTTTTTCTTTTTCTTCTTCTTTTTTTATTTCTATTTCTTCTTCTTTTTCTGTTTTATTTTGATTTTATTAATATTAATTTGCTAAATTTTCGTTCATTTTTATATATTTTTTTTTATTTTATTGTAAAAAATTAAATAAAATATTTTAATTTATTAATTAATCTACAAAAAAATATATGTCTAATTTAAAAATATAATAATTAAATTTATATATAAATATAAATATCTTAATTATGGAATAGTTTTTTTAAAAAACTATTAACCCAAAACAAAATAAAATATTAGCAATAGGAAAAAACTATATAAACCATGTCAAAGAATTAGGAGGAACCGACATCCCAAAAGAACCAATAATATTCTAAAAGCCTATTTTCCTCTATAATCTAGCCCAAAAAAGGTTAAAAAGTTACTTTTTTTACCTAAAATGAAGTACATCATGAAATAGAGTTAGGATTTATGATAAACACTGAATTATATAATAAGGATATTACTAAATCAGGGAATTGGTAAGATTATATAGCTGGATATTTTTTAGCTTTGGATTTAACTGATAGAGATTACTAATGGTTTTTGAAAAAAAACAGTTTACCTTGGGATTTAGCAAAAGGATAAAATAATTTTCTTCCTTTAAGTACTTTTGTTTCTAAAACTTAAATCCGAGATCCTTATAGTCTGATTCTTGATTTGTAAATAAATGGAAAAACTGTCCAAAAAGACTCTACTGGAAATATGCATTTTAAAATTGATTAATAAATTTCTTTCGCAATTAAATTTATGACTCTTAATTAAGGAGATTTATTCTTAACTGGAACTCCTAGTGGTGTTGGACCTATCAAAAATGGAGATGAAGTATTTGCCTAGCTTTTAGATGGTGATAAAGTTCTTGCTTAAATTCATTTTTTTGCAGAAATTGTTAAATCTTCTTTATGACGAAAAATATTTTTTATTCAAAAACTCTATTTCTTTCTTTTTATACTTGTTGTGTTAATTTTTATTATAAATTTACTTTTAATTAAAAATATTTTTTTTTTTTTGGATATTATAAATTGTTATTTAATTTTTGTTTATATATATATATATCTATATATATTTTTTTTTTTTTTAACTGTTTTATTTTTTTTCTTTTTTTATAAAAATATATATTTATTTGAAATTAAGAATTATTAATTTAAAATAAAGAAATTAAAGAAAAAAAAATGGAATAACTAATACAAATGTAATAATAAAAAGATAAAGAAAAAATAATTAATTTTTTTTAAAAAAAATTAAGCTTCATAAATGAAGTTAAAAGAAAATTAGATTAGAAATATTTGGCAGTCTAAGCAGAATAATCTTTGTTGAAAATATTCAAATTCTTTGATTTATAAAATTCAGGATAATTAAGCAAAACCGAATTTTTTAGAGGATTAGCAAAATTAGGAATTATTCTATAAATATAAGTAAATATAATAAATACATTTAAACAAATATAAATTATATTTTTATTTAGGAAATGGATTAAATATTTTCATTTTTTGAAAATAAATAAACAGAGAAAATAGATTACAAAAATTTTGTTTAATCTATTTTGTAAACAAATAATGTTTTTAAATTATTTTCCGAAAATTTAAATAAGTAAAACAATATATTTTTTTATCGAAAATTATATAATATATAAAAAGTTCTAATAAATAAGATAATACTAATTAATAAAAAAGCAATCTCTCATAGAACAATTAATAATTGTAATTATAAATGTTTTTTTTTTTAAAAAAAATTACATACATAAAAAATAAATAGTTTAGAATAATTTTCTTAAAAAATTTAATAGTAATTAAAATAAAGAGGATTATAAGGTTTAATTGCTTTAGCTTTAATGTTTAAAGTAATTATAAATACAAAAAAAAAAAACGAAAAAAAAAAAACAAACAAAAAATAGAGCTTCACAAAAAATGGAAAAAATTAAATTAACTATGAAGAATTCGAAAATGCATTAAAATAATTTAAAATTTAAGAAGAACCACAAATTCTTAATTAAGTTTTTTTATCTTTTAATAAAAATAATGATGGATATATCAATTATGAAGATTTTTTAAATTTAATTAAGGTAATAAAAAAATAAAAAGCCAAATTTAAACTAAAAAAAATCTAATTTAATTAAAAAAAAAAAAAAAGCTTCCATTAAATTAATTCAGAAAAAATATAATAACCTAAATATTTAACTCTATAGAAGGATAAAATAAAGGAATTATAAATACCTAAAAAATTAAATAAGCATTTAATCCTTTTAATCATCCTCAAGTATAGTAAAATGTTAAATCATAAAATGATATAAATTTTGAATTTAGAACTTGTATTGAAAGTTATTTAGACTTTAGAGTAAAAATAAATAAAAAATAAAAATTAAATTAATTAAATAAAGGATTTTCATAATGATAAAATGACATTAGAAGATTTTCTTGAATTTTATTCTTTCTAACTCCATAATTGGCCAAAAGACGAAGAATTCTAAAGCTATATGATTTCTGTGTGGAAAAAAGATTCATCCAATAAAAATAACTAGAGATTTATATAATTTTAATAATCAGAAAATACCTCATAAGATTTATCACCATTAAAGACTCCTTAATAAGATAAATAATTACCTTTATAATAATAAATATAAAATAATTAATTAAATAAAGAAACACTTTCTTAAATCTCAAAATAAAGTAAATACGATGATAATCTCAATAAAATGAGTGCATATTCGTAAGCAAGTTATTAAACTTCATGTTCCTAATATATGAAATAAAATAACGTTTCTAAAAGATAAATAGAACTTATTTTAAAAAGAATAAAAAACAGACTTGCAAGTAGAGGACCTAAAGGATTTTTATAAATTGAAAAATTATTCAAAGTAAAAAATAAAATTATATATATCCATATTTATTTTAAATTTAAAAAATAAAAATAAGATGAATAATAATAATAATGAAAAAATAAAATTAACTGAATTTAAAAAATGTATAAATGATTATAGAATCGATGTAGCAGACTCAGAAATTAATATTATTTTTAATTTATTTGATTCGTAATAAAATGGATTTATTAACATTTATGATTTTTTAAATACTTTAAAAGGTTAAATGAATGAATTTAGATTTTAAATTGTAAATAGTATATTTAATAAAATTGATTAATATAATTAAGGAATTATTACCACTCAAGAAATTCAAAAATAGTTTAATCCAAGAGCTCATCCGGATGTAAAAACAACAAAAAAACAATGAGGATGAAATTTATAAAGACTTTTTTAATGCTTTAGATTTATATAATATGCTTAATGTATAATATTTTTTTAAAAAATATTAATTAATATATATGATATTTTTTTAAACACAATAGAATTAAAATTTAAACGAGAGAATTTCAAAATAATAATTTTTTGATTTTTTTAATAATTTAAGTGCTTCTATTTCTGATGATCACTTTTTTGAAATAATACTAGTAAATACTTTCAGTTTATAATAATAAAACTCTTATCTATAAAATAATTATGCTGGTAAATAAAATTATAAAAAACAATGAAAATACTAAATTAATAATAAATAAAAGGACACAAAAATATGTTTGATCCAAATAAAAAAGGATTCCTCTAAGATCACCATAGGAGTCTTACAAACGGAGGAACAGTAAGCTCAAATGCTCCTTTTGGAACCTCATAGGAACCCACAGAGTATAGTACCCAATTAAGACCTTATAATGTATAGACTTAAAGTAGATAAAGTCCTTATAAGCAAAAAAGTTTATACCAATAGCATAGTTCTATATCGTACTTTTTATAATATTTATATTTTAAAAATATTTTTAATATTTTATTTTTCTAAGATAAAAAACTGGTATTTAACTAGAAGCAACTCCAATAAGTTAATTGAGAAATAAGTTAAGCTAAAGGGGTATTAGAGGATTTATAAAATTATATAGTAATTTAAAGAATGCTTAATATAAGAATAAAATTACATTAAACATATTTTAATAATGTTTGTAAGAATAAAGAATTTAATTATAAGATACAGAATTTATTTTTAATAAATATTATAACTATTAACAATTTGATATATAAATCTTTTTTAAAGATTTAAAGGGAAAAATTAAAGATTCAAGATAAGCTTTAATTGTATATGCTTTCTAGTAAATAGACACTAAAAGATGTGGAGAAGTATACTATAATGATATAATATGTAATAATCAATTATAATATATTAATAAATTAATATATATATATTTATTTTTGTTAAAAGAAAATTATAATTATTATAAACATCCTTTCGTTTAAATGGGTTAAATTACAGAAGATGAAGCCTTGTTTGACTTTACAGATTCTTTTGAATTTTTGATGGCAGTTTTTGTATAAATAATATTTATTTCTTATATTAATAAAATATTTTTTTAAAAAAAAGAATTAAAGTAATTTAAATAAATAAAGAGTTCATTTTAATGAATTTTATGAATATTATCATATTCTAAGTACAACTATCGATGATGATTAATTATTTGAGAATATAATGACTAATTGCTGGAATATATAAAATACATATAAAAGATGAAAATAATATATAATAAAAATATATATTTTATATTATTTTTATGTAAAAAATTTTATTTTTATTTTTATTATTATTACAAAAGTTTATATATTTAATTTAAATTATTTTCGCATAAATTTTAAACTGATATACTTATTAGCACTATAATCTAAATTTTTTATTATTTGTAAATTCTTAGATTTAACATAGGCTTAAGATTATGATTATATTTTATTTATAATTAAATAAGAAAATTGTATAAATCTAATTATATTATTATATAAAATCACAATAGATTCTTTTGTGTTTAAAGTTTTTCATATTATATTTAATTATATAAATTCTAAAAATATATTATAATATCCTAAATTCTAAAATATAAATAAATTGTTTTTTAATATTTACATATAGGATATGAATATATTTAAAAACATTAATTAAATTTTTTATAAAAACATATATTTTTCGATTAGATTAGATTAAAATTATTTATTTGAAGAAAAATGAAATTTAATATAAGAAAATTTATATTTAAAAAAAAAAAATTATTATTAAATTCTTTTATTATAAATAAATAATTAATGTTATTTTTAATAACCTAATATTAATAATAAAAAATAATAAAATAATTGAAGTATATAACTTTTGAGTCATAAATTTTTGTTATTAACTTATCTTAAAAAAAATTCAAATTAAAAAAAAAAAATATATTCTGTTTTTTTTTTATTACAAATTGTTTGAGAATAATTTTTTATTAAAAACAGATATTATTAATTTAATTATTATTTCCTTTATTTTAAAATTTAAAAATTAATAATTAAATTATATCTAATAATAATAAAAAAAAAATGGATATACAAAACAACTAAATAGTATTTTTTTTAATATAAAAATAATTAAAATAATAATAACTTTATATATACATAGAACAACAATTAAAATAATGATTTTGAAGCAAAATATAAAAAATTGAAAAAAAGTATGCACTTTTACTATAAGTAAATATAATTATTTTTACTAAAATAAAAATACAATTAAGGAAAATCAAAAAATATTGAAAGTATTCGATAAATCAACTGAAGAAATAAAAGGTCTTTATAATGAAAAAATATACTTATAAAATAAAATATAAGAGATTTTATAAAAAAATGGCTTTTATGCCAATAATAATGACACATTATAAATAAAATAAGATGAAACTAAAAATTTAAAATAAGATGATTAATAAATTAAACTAGAATGAATTAAAATAAATTTTTTATATAAAAATTTGTATAATTTTTCATTTAAAATGAACTAAATTATCTAAAATAAATAGTTTTAGATTTAATATATTAATACTTTCTAATTATTCATTTTTCTTATAGTATTTTAATTATATAAAATTGAAAAAAAAAAAAAAAAAACATTTATAATAAATTAAAATATTTCTAATTAATATTATATTTATATATATATTATTTTTTAAAAAAAATTAAAATCAAACTAAAATTTCATCCTATTTAAAATTAATATCAGGAGACCCTTGTTTTATTTTTGACTATTATTGCGAAAATTTAGGTGAATTATTGTTGAAATTAGCTTTATTTTAATATACATTAATAAAATTACATTAAATATATTTATCAACTTTAACTAATTTATTTTAATATTTTTCTTAGAATTTATCTAATCTAGAATTTAAGTTTTAAATATCTATTATATACTATTTTTCTTGATTTTAGAGTTATTCAATAATACATTCAGCCTAATTAATTTTTTAGGAATTGATTTTTTATGAATTATTAAGTTCCTAAATTTCCTATATTTAATTTTAAATAATATTATTTAATGTTTATTATTCTTATCTTTCGACCTTTAATTAATTAATATGCATTTTACTCAAATATAAATATTATTATTTTTATTCTAAAAGTTGACTAAAAGTCATATAATTATATTTTTAATAATATTTAATACCAATTTATAACTGTTAACATATTTATCTATAATTTTTCACATCTAAATACTTTAGATCATCTTCTACTACTTTATAAAGCATGGTTGTCAAATCTCTATATTTTTACAGATTATCCTAATTTTATTCAAACAAGTGTTTTTCCAATTGCTTAACAACAAATAATAAAATACTGGAAAAAACTGAATCACTATTGGCTATATAACTAATCACCCTTAAAAGAATTTCTATTTATTAACCAAAATCTACTTTTTGTTTATTCATTTCTGCATCATCTACTTTATCATTAAATTTCTGTAATAAATTAAATATTCCTGAATATTTTGCTCTTTTCCAAGATGGTTATGCATTAATTTAAAACTTCTAATTGCTCTAAAAAAATTAATTTGTTTGAATCTAACGTCCATATCTTCTTTCATTAGAAAGATTTGTCGATATAGTTGACTTATCTATTGTTGATTTATCAAATTACAATGTTTTTGTACTTTAAGTTGAAGTCAATATTAATGACTTGTTTTTTTATTTATTTTCCACAAATTTACGTGGAGATTATACTCTAGAAAAATGTTTTTATTTTGGTGTTTATTAATCAGTTTTAAGTACAAAATTATTTTTTTTTAGTTTATTTTTAGGAGATTAGAAAAAAAACTTTTATTAAGGAGATTTTTGGGTTGATTTTAAAGATCTCTATTAATTGTTTTCTTTATTTTTTTATTCATTTAGTATTTACTTTATTATTTTTATATTATTGTTCCTTTTTAATTGCATTTTCTTAAAATAACTTTATTTTTATTATATAAATATTATTTATTTATTATTCAATTTTATTTCAGTTTAATTTTTATAAAATTAATTTTTTATAATGTTAATATACTAAAATATTTATTTATTTTTTTTGTATTATTTTAATAATAACGTAATCAAAATAAAAAATGGGTACAAAATATGAATTATAAATCGCTTTTTTTCATTTAGTAAGTTTTAAAAAAATATTACAGGAAAAATAAAAGAACAAATTATATATTTTAATTTTATGTTTAAAATTCCTTTACATTCATCTGAAAGGCATTTAAAATTTTCAATTTAATGATTTTATTCATCTATTTGGTTTTATTTATAACATCTTATACAATTTTCACAAAATTCCAAACTACAAACTAGAACATTATTATAAATTACATTCATTATTAAAACATATATATATATATATATATATATATATATATATATATATATATATATATATATTTATATTTATATATATATATATATATAAAGTTTTTATTATTCTATTTAAATTTATAGTTATTTTATTAGCTTAATACTTTCGTAATTTTCATTATATTTTTTGTTAAGTCTTATATTATTTTTTAATAAGTTTTTATATATTGTTAATTATTTCATTAAAATATTATTTTTATTTATCAATTTCTAAATATTTACATTAAAAAATCTATATTTTTTAAATATCTCAAAATCAATTTTTCATTTTTATGAACAAATGAGCTTTTATGCTGATCAAACGCATTTAATTTTATCTAGCCATATATTTATTGATTTTTATTTAAATATTTTATTTACGAATTTCTTATAAACTTTTGTAACTTCTAAAAGCTTTTTATTTTACCCAAAATAATTCATAGGGTTTTTTAAGTAATTATTTATTATATTTAATTGAAAATACGATTTTTTTTTTTATTATTTAATTTTTGTTATTTTTTTTTATTTTTATTGCGCTAAAAAAAAATATATTAATAATTATTTTATTTTATTTTTAATATAATTTTACTTTTATATAAAAATAATTAATATTTAAAAAAATTTTTAATAAAAATTAATATATTAAAGAAAATTAAATAATCATTCAATATTAATCTATATGATTTTTTATTCAAAATCTTAATTTTAATCCAAATTTTATATAATTTATCTACTATACTTATTATTATCTGAATCAGAATCTTATTTAATATAATCGAATTCTTATTTTTATGCCAATTTTTCTTTAAAATTATCACTTTTTCTATTTTCAAAAAAATTATTACAATTTTTAAAAGTATTAATTTAATCATCAATATTAATATTTTTATGTTAGCTTCCTTTACTAACTTATTAAAAAATATTAAATTCATTAATAAACTTATAACTTTTCATAATTTAAGTTTTTGAATTTAAATAAGAATTATTATCAATATAACAAAACCTTTACTTATTTGAGTTTTGTAAAAATCTTGTAGAAAAAGATTTGTTTATTTTTGTTTTATTTTAAATGAAAATTTTATTTTAAGTTTAAAATTCATTATGTAAATCTGGCATAGATTTTAGCTGTTTACTATTTCTAATATAGAAATTTGTTTACTAAATATTATTAATTTAAATAGGTTAATACATAGGAAATTATATATATTTTATTTTTTATTTTTAATGCATGATTATTTATCACTGTTAATACTTTTTTTCAATTTCATAAACAATTATTGACCAACTTTTTCATTTTTTATTTATTTATTGCTTTAAAATACTCTTTTGTTAATTTATAGTTTTTAAACACCTATACAATTTATTAGACATTATTTTTAATTTTTAGATGGAGCTAAGTTCTTAATATATATTTTTTTTTAATGTTCTGAAGTTGTTAAATTGTTTATTATTAAAAATATATGGTATATTAATAATCCTGATGTAAATATAAATGTCTTTTTTTTTAGTTTAATTTAATTTTTTTATTATTACTGTAAATGTTAATAAAGCTATTATTATAGTTGTTGGATATTTCTTTAAAATAATATTTAGAGAATATTTTTTCAATGCGTTTTCATAATTTTTAATTTCCTAGTTTTTCCATTAATTTAAATAAAATAAAACTGAATCAACAACCATTTTAATAGATAAAAAATTTAATAAAGTTATAAAAACTATAAAATATTAATAATTTCTTTTTCCAATACAAGTGCCTAAAAAATAAAATATTACAAATAGGACATTTTTTTATAAAATATTAAATTTATAAATATAAAAAACCTAACCAAGGACAATGATGATCGAAATTCTCAACACAATTATCACAATAGACACAATGCTGACATCTTAATGGCCTATAAATTTCTTATTTTATAAATATAGTAATAATATTTTATTATTTTTTAAAATAAATGTTATTAAGTATTACAGCATGTCTTACATTTTTTAATTCTAAAAAAGTTGCTTTAAATAACCAAATTTTTAGCAAGGTTATATTAACAATTTTATCTAATCATAAAGCTACTTGGTACTTATAAAAGCTCACTTTCTACAGATATGTATTAAACCTAATTATATATAAAAATTATTTTTATTAATTTTTTTTTACGTTTTTTGGTATTATACCAGGATCTATAGCAGATGTAAAAATCATAAAAAAATTACACAAAATATGAATTATAATAGTAATAAAAATTTATATTTAATCTATATTTTTGTTAAGCTCTTTTTTTTTTTTAATAAATTTTTATTTTATTTAAGTAAATAACATTTAAAGTAAAAATATAATGAGTGCAGCAAATTATGTTCAATAAAAAGAATGAAAATAACAAATACTTAGGCTGTGATCTTTTTTATTTTTAATATAAATATATTATTTTTTTATATTAATTACATGATTTTAATTCAATTTTTTACCCGAGGAAGAGTTTACCATCAAAATAATATTTGTTTTTAGTTATCCAAATATCTTTGTATTTTAAATTTTATACATTTATATGATCTTTATTTAAATTATTATTTTTCATATTTTTATTTTTTAATTTTTATTATATTAATTTATTTTAAAAACTAAAATAGTGTGAAATTTTATAATATACTTATTAATTATTCTTAAAACTAAATATTTAATTTAAAAAAAATTATTTAATTATTTTAAATAAGTTATTAATAATTTCTTATTTTTATTTTTATGTATTCATTTTTTGATAAATTCAATAATAATTAAAAAAAAGCTCATTATATATTTATTCTGTCTTTATTAATGTTTTTGATTGAGATTTTTGAAATATTATTGATAAGATATAAAAAATATATAAGCTATAATATTTATATAAATATATTCTATAGAATTTTAATTTTTTTTTTATTTCTTTTAAAGGGTGTAATATTAAAAACAACATGTATTAAATAGTAAAAGTTAAAATTAAAAAAAATGATCCGTATTTTTTAAATTATAATATTTTTTAAAAAAATATAATATTTATATTCGATTAATAAAATAATTAAATTGTTTTATATTAATATATAATTTAAAAGAATGATTTATATAATATAAAGTAAATATATACATTAAAATTAAAATAATTGAGTTGTTTAGAATAAATTTATTTGTTTATTTATTTGAAAAATAATACTTGAGAAATACATTTGATAATATAAATATTAAAAACGAATCAGCAAAATATAATCTTATTAAATTAAAAAAATTTAAATAGATAAAAGAAATCATTAATTTAATAAGTTTTATTATTTATATATTTAAATTTTATTAATAAATAATAAAATATAAAAAATAAAAAATTAATAATATGTTTTTATAATACTAAAATATTAATAAATTTAATCACATTTTTCAAACAAAATAAATTATTATTATTTATTTAAATACTATTAATAGTTTTAAATAAAAAAATATTAAATAAAATTTTATTTTATTTTATAATATTATTTTTTTTTAAATAAAAAAAGAAATTAAATAATTGAAAAAGATATTTTTTTTATATAATGAAATAAAAAAAAATATGTTTAAAAATATAAAATATATAAAAAAAATTAAAAAAAAAATTACATTAAAATTATATATAAAAAAAAAAATATATGAATAAATATAAATATATATAATTTATATAAATATATATAATTATATATAAATATATATATATTATATAGTTTAATTTATAGAAATATTTTTTATTAATTATTTATATATATATATCGTATTTTTCTTAATATTTTTTTTAAAAATATTATTTAATTTTAAATTTTTTTAATCACTTCTAAAAAAAACTAAATATCTAAAAAAAATATTTTATTAGAATTAAAAGAATGAGTCATTTTAAGTATTATTTTATTTTTATATAAAAAAGTATTTTTTTTTAATATTAATATAGTAATAGAAATTAAGTAACTTGAAATCATCAATTTATATTTATTAAATAATATTAATAAATTAAATATAATAGTATAATAGCTAATTTTACGATCGAGGTTATTCTCGATTTGGTAATAAAAATATAACAAATTAAATTTATGTTGTTAAAATAGAAAACAATTTACAAAACAGAAGACCTTTTAAAAAAAGATCAACTGGACATAAACATTACATGAAAGATAACTCTCTTATAAAATATAAATTAAATGAAAGTATGGAATAAAAGGAAGATTAATTTACTACTGATCCGAAAACTTATTTTACATAAAAGCCCTCCGAATAAATAGAAAAAGATCTTGTCAGCTTACAGAATTATTATTCAAGTAAATATAAAAAAATTTTAGAAAGAGAACCATTGAGAAAAAATATAGAAGAAAATATTTATAGACACGTAAATTTTAATTAAATAATAATACTATATATATTTAAAAATATATAAGAATTAATAATTAGACAATTATAATTTGAATAGATTAATTAAAATATAATTAGTTATAGTAAATAATAATTAAAAAAATAACGAAATTAATAATAGAACTAATAATTCTAATAATAAACCAGATGAATAGTATGAATTTGATGAGGTTGATTTAAAAAAAGTATTTTCTGTTTTTGGAAAAATCGAAAAAATAAAAATTAGAGATAAAGGAGTGAGCTTTATTTTATTTTAACATTTATTTTCGGCTTTTAGTGCTTAAAAAGCTATGAATAATTTCTATTTAGAAGATTTAAACGGTAAGATATATTTTAATTTGAATATATTTATAAAATTTAATTATATAGCAAAATTAGAAATCTAATTATGCCTAGAAGATCCGAATGAAATAAATGAAAACAAGCTAATAGGTCACTTTATGCATGAATTAATAAAAGATTAAGATTTTATGTTTATCATAAATAATCAAGAAGTAAGTTTTAATTTCCATTTTTATAATATTATCGAAAAAAAAAAAAATAGGATGAAAATAGTTTAAAGTAATATATAAACAAATTCAAATACACAAATGTATTCTGTATGGAGATCAAAGACCCTGAATTTTATTTAAAAGAGCGAATAATGGGAGCATCAGTATAATATATTTTAAAGTATATTTATAAATATTAAATATACAATATTTTTTTTTTATATATATATTTTTAAATTTAATAATTTTCGAAAATCTAATATTATTCTTAAAATTAATAATTATTTGAAGGCTTCTAATTTTTTTAGACTTTTTTATTTATGTGAAAAAAACTGTTTGGAAACTGATTCTGATGTGTAAGAATAATTTAAATAATAAGAAAATAGTAACAATGATATTTAGGAAGGAAATAAATCTTTTAATTATAATCCAGAAGATATAACTTTTAAATTGATAGTTAATAATATTAGTTAAACTGAAAATGAAATTATGATTGTATCTAATCATTTACACAAATATAATACTGCTATTAGATATATGCATGAATTACTTGGCTAAGTAAATGAAGAATATAGAAGATTTTGTGAATTCTAAAAGAAATAAAATCCAGGTCCTTTACATATTAAAAGAATTGAAAAGTTTAATATCGAACCCGAATTAACATTTATTAGTACAAGAGATTAAATGAAAAGTCAAAGTAAAGAAAAAGTGATTAAATTTGATTGAACAAAAAATTACTAATCAAGTTATTTGGAAAAAAAATTAATAGATTAGTTTTTTATTTTTATATAAAATAAAATAATTATAAGGTATTATATTATAAAAAAAAAATTTAATTATATAATTAAATTTTTTTAGAATTAAAATTTATTTTAAAAGCATAGATTTTTAATTTTTTTTTTTTAATTTTATGTTATACCTTTTTTAATTTTATTTTCTTATAAATTAATTAATAAAATAAATTTTAATTTTTTTTTTTTTAAAGAGTTTATTATATTATTTTAAAAATATATTTTAATTTTTTATTATTTGTGATATAAATTAAACCAAAAATTCTTATTTTTATGTTTTTTTTTAATTTAATTTTTTTTATCAAAATATAAGTTGATATGAAAAAAGTTTTATTTAATTAAAAAAATACATTTATAAAAAATGATTAGTAAAGAAAATTAGCAAATAAAAGTTTGGTAACACAAATCTAAAATAAGAGAAAATTTAAAGAATTCTTTATTTAATAAAATAGCTAAAAAACTTCCTAGTGAAGAGCATGAAAATACACTTAACTTTTATCCTTAAAATCAAGATTTAAAAGATATTCCTTAGATTTAATAAAATTAATAAAACATAACTGAAATACCAAAAATTTAAATTGATACTAATGAATAAGTAGAAAATTAAAATAGTTAAAGCTTATTGTATATTTTATATTAATAAAATTAATATTATTTAATAAAATAAAAATATAAGATTATCTCCTTAATAAGCAAGAATAAATAATATTGTAGAAGATTTTTATGAAAAATACATTTTAGAAAAAATATTAGGTCAAGGATGCCATGGATTAGTCAAATTATGTAGACATAAGAAAAAAATAAAGCATACGCAGTAAAAATAATAAGAAACGGTGATATAGAAATAATTTCAGCAATAATAAGATCTTTTAAAATAGCTTAACAGTTAAACCATCATAGTATAATAAAACCTTATGAATTATTTATAAATTAAGAAACGGAAAATATATTTTATGTAATGGAATATTGTCATTATAAATCTTTACAAAAAATAATTGAAGAATAAAAAGGAGGAATTATAGCTGAACATAAGTCGAAAATAATATTATATAATATATTAAGCGCAGTAGCTTATTTACACAACGAAGGTATATGCCATAGAGATTTAAAACCTGATAATATATTAATAGATGACTAATTTTAGAATGTTAAAATTTTGGATTTCGAAGTTAGTAAGAAATTCAAATCTGATAAATATCTTAACTAATAATTAACATAGCCTACTTATTAAGAAATGTGGACTCGTACTGGCACTTTATATTACTAAGCTCCTGAAATATTTATTACTGGAGGATATACTGAAGCAGTAGATTTATGGTCTATGGGAGTAGTTGCTTTTCAACTTTTTACAGGTTAATTACCTTTTTTTACTGAATATGTAAGTGATACTATTGAACTAATAATTTAAGGCGAATTAGACGAGGAGAAAATGAAAGATATAACTTAAACTTAGAAAGATTTTTTAAGAAGAATGCTGAAAAAAAACCCATAAGAAAGACTTACAGCTAGCCAAGCAATAAAGCATCTTTGGTTTATTGTAAACAAAGATTTAAAAGGAAACAATGTTTTATAAAAGTAAATGAGTTTTAGTCATACTTTAAATACTAACAGTGCTTATCATTCACCTTAAAACAAAGCTAAGAATAAATAAACAAACTCTGATGAATAATAATTTTCAAATTTTAGAAATAATAAAAAAAGCAAAAGCAAAACTTTAATTTAATAAAAAAGCTAAGATGTTGGAGTCAATTTGTTAAAAAATATATAAATTTAATAATTCAAAGAATAAATTACATAAAAACCTAAAGTTGATAATAGTATACATATTACAAATAAATCTAAATTTAGTTTAACATCTAAAATTAGATTAATATTATTGTAATAAAAAGATGCTAATAGTTCTCCTGAATAAAATAGTGATGATTAAACATTTATTCGGTCTAGGTATAATACTAATGATAATTTAAAACATGATATAGGTGAAAATGATGATTAAATTATTAGAAATAAAGGATTAAGCGAAGATTATAGCAGTATTAGAAAACTTTAAATCAAAGAAGAGAATTAAAGTAATAATAAATAGCTGAATTCTTTTGGCGACAAAGATATAAAAAAATAAATATAAAATTGAAAATTATTTTATATTTTATTTATAAATAAAGTTTTATTAAATTATTATTATTAAAAAAAAAAAAAAAAAAAAAAAAAACTATTTTGTTGATGAATTTTTATTTTATATATTTATAAAAAAATGGGAAAAATAAATTTGTTTAATAAAATTATATAAAAATATAATTATAAAATTGTTTATTATTATGTTATTCAAATGCTTTTTATTTTAAATTATAATTAAATTTATTATTCTAAAAAAAAAAATATTAATATAATTTTTATCCAAAAATAAAATTAAAATGCTTGTCCATATTATTTTTTTATTTTTATTTTTTGTTTTTTTTAAAAAAAGGAAATTCATTATCATTTTTTTTTATATTGATTAATTGAGTTTTTAAAAATAACTTTACATAATAAAAAATTAATTAATAAAATAATATAACAAAAAATAAAGTAAAAAAAATTAATCTATTAATATTATATTTTAATAAAGAAAATTAACAATTTTTTAAAGATTTAATTGTTTTCTTAACTTCTCATTGTTAAATAAATAATATTAATATTTTCAAAAATTTTATTGATAATATTTTTCAACACATATAATACATTATTAATTATTATCATCTTTTAGTTTGTTTTTCATACATTAAATTTTATTTTCATTAGAATTACAATAATTTCTTATTTTTAAAAAACTAAATTAGCATTATTTTATAAGTTTAGTAGTACATTATTACTCTTATTTATTAAAAAACTATTTAAATCCATCTAAATTGTTTCCAATAATATCTTTATACTTCGCAATATCACTCATGCTTATATCTAAATTGTCTTAAAATTAATTATTAGTTTCATTTTATTGTTTTATTTTATCTTGAGTTTCTTCACATTTAATGATATTACATAAACAAAGTTTGCATTATCCATTTAAAATTTCTTGTTTGATACATTCAATTTAATTTTATTAAGTTATACATTTAACTATTAATTAAAAAAAATTAGAATTAAAAAAGTTAAAAGAAAAATACTTGCAAGGGAAGGAAGTAATTTTTTGCATTAATTAATCAATGTTTCATCACAAGAAATTGAAGAAAGAACTATTTTCTCAAAATTTAAATAATGAGTGTCATTTTCATCTGATTTTAAGCTTGAAAATGGATTATTTTCAAACTGTTAATCTTTTACTATTTCTCCAGTTTTTTCTGAACAATATTAAGGGAAAATTGCACATATACACTATTTTATAAATATAAAATTTGATTTATTTATTTATATTTTTTACATTTAAGCATTATTTTTTCTCATTAAATTAGCTTATAAAGTTTATTGGGTCTTTTTTCTCTTTAAAATTATTAATTATAATTGTTATATCTGCAGAACATTATAGACCTGTTAAAAAATCACATTTTTAAGGATTTAAGCATTAATTTAAATATATTAAATTAATAAACAATAAAAATTATTTTATATTTTTTTTAAAAAACAAAAGTTATTATTTAATTTTTTCCCCTTTTATTTTAAAAAATTTATAATATAATAAATATTTCTTTTTTAATAAAATAATTAAGATTACATAATATTTTATATAAAAAATATAAGAAGTATTTATATTTAAATAAATTAATTTAAAGAATAAAAGTATTTAAATTTATATAAATATATTGCAGATAAATATATTAATATAAGAATTTTAAAAACATAAAACTAATAATATTATTTTTATGGAAAATTAAATATAATATATATTAAATATTAAAATTAAAAAATTTATATACTTATTAAATTAAACAAATTAAATATATAATATGCATAAAGCTTTTTTTTTTACATTAATAAATTTATAGGAAAATATTTATGTCAATTTAAATAAAAATAGTTGAATTTAGAATTCAAAAATGGAATATTAGAACTTTATAATCTGACATTTCGTCCACATGAAATGAACGAACTTTTAAGTAAAAATTAAATTCCTTTACAAATGAAGGCAGGATTAATTTCCAAAATAAATATTTAATATGGTTCAATTTTAGATATGGAAAATGTAAAAATACAAATTGATGAATTAATGTTAGTTTTAGACGTATAATAAACAAATTAAAATAAATAATTTAATAATAATGAAATATTTATAAGACTATGCTAAAATTATTAAAAATATTAGGAATAAATAAACTAAATGTAAAAAACTACTATATTTAAGAAGTTTTTAATATAAAAATAAATAAATGAGATAATAAATGATACTACTAACTTTAAAAACACAATATTTGATAAATTTTAGGAGGAATCAAATTAAAAAGATAATATGTTTAAAAAGGCAATAAATGAATAAATATAAGATGTATTAAAAAATATGAAAATAGAAATCTAAAAAATACATATTAGATTCGAAAGTGAATAAGTTATTTACTAAAATCCAATTTCTATTGGAATATTAATAGAAAAAATGCATATAAATTCTTTAAAGAAAGAAGAATATTTTTAAAAATTAAGTACATAGAAAATAAAATTAAATAATTTTTAGAATATATAAGAAAAATTATATTAAATAATAATTGAAAATATAAAAGTATATTCAAAATATAATTCCGAATAAATAATACCTTAATCATTATTAAATGAAATAGATTATTAAAAAGAAGGTTTATTAGAAGCAATAACATTTGAAGAATTGAGAAATATATTAATAGATTCTTATTTTTTGAATTATGAAACTAATCTTATATTTACAGTTTGTAAAACAGAATAAATAAAAATCATTTTTATTGATAAAAACAAAACTAATTTTTTTATTTCTCTTTCTATTGAAAATCCTTATTTATAATTTACTTAAAAATACATAAAATTATTATCTGAAATTGTTTAATTTTTTAAAAATAAATTTAGTATTTCTAAAAATCTTAAATATTTTAAACCACATATTAAACCTTTTTATTAAATCACAAATACTTAAATAGACAAAAATATATAAAAATAAGTTAAAAAGTTAATTATTTAAGAATGGTATAGATTAATAATTTGGTATTAAAGATTACTAAAAAACTAAAAAAATTAAAACGATGTCTATATCTAATTTTAATTAACAAGTCCTTTAAATTTTTTAAATAAGAGTTAAGATATCAATACATAAAAACTAATAATATATAAGCTTGAAGAAAAAACTTCATAATTAACAATTTCTATTTAACTTAAAGTAAAGAATTTAAATACTGAATGTTTCTATTAATAAGTTAAATTTATTAATTTAACTATTTAACAAATATATTTAGAATATGATTTAAATAATTTTTTTATTGATATAAATTTAATTTAAATAAAAACATTTTAGACGATATTAAATGGATTAAAAAAAAAGTCATAATATTCTAAAAGAATATTTGAATAAAATGATTAAAAATAATTTTAAATATATTCCAAAAAAAATGTTATTTTCGAAAAGCAATAGAATTTTAAAGATGATGATTGCCATTTTAAAAAATATTTAAATATAGATAAAAAGGATGAAATATAAATAATATTTATTAAAGATAATATAATTTTAGAGTGTTTTTTTTCTAATAATAAAGAATAAAATAATTAAAAAACAATCATAAACTTAAAACTTCCTTAAATTAAAATAATATAAACAACTGAAATTATTAAACAAATAAAGGAATATTTCTATAATTGTTTTTCTAATAATAAAATTTAAATTTAAAATAATAATAATAAATAAAGTAATTCTTTTTAAGATTTAAGCTTTTAAATATAAAAAGAAGTTTAAATTAATAAAACCATTTTACAAAGTCAAATAAATTAAAATAAATATTACATTAATGTATTGATTGATTATTTAAGAAACAAAAGTTAAAAATAAAAAAATAAAATATTTTTAGATAATATAAGTTCTTTTATTGGAGATAATCTTTCTTTATAAATAATTAATGAAGAAATAGAAATTTAAAGCATTGATGATTATATGTATCCTAATTAATCAATAATAACTTTACATATACCTAAAGGAGATATAATAGTTAACTTAAATCAAGAAGATTAATAAAACTTAGTCAAATTTCATAATATTAAATTAGAAGCAAACTGCAAAATTAAAGCTATTAAATATATGATTTAGGTAGTTTTTTTTTTTTTTTTTGAAGACAAAAAATTACATATAATATAATTATTAAATAAATAGAAAATTTAAAAGATTTTTTAGTAAGAATGATGAATTCTTATTTTTTAATAAAGAAATTTTTGATAAATTAAATATTTATAAAATAAAATGAAAAAATATAATATATTTAAAAACTAAATTTTATTGTATTATAATTAAATTTAATATATTATAATAATCTTAAATATATTAATACATTTATTATAATGAAATTAAATAAATTATTATTAAATTTTACAGGTTTATTTTATTTCAATAACTATAAAAGTGAATTAAAAAAATATAGTGATTGGTAATCAACACTTGACGCTTTATATTTTTTGAATCTAAATATAATGCAAATAATTTTAAAATAAAAAAATTAAGAGTATTAATATATGAGTATATTAATTTAAGAAGTTACATAAACTTTAACTTTAATAATAAATACTTAATTGAAAAAAAGATATTAATTAATGAGAAATCTTTAGAAAATTTAAGTAAAAAATTAAAGTAAAAAAATTAAGGTTATAAAGTTGAAAAATATAATTAAAATTTTTTGAATTAATATTACTTTTTTCATATTATTTTTTTGTGTAATTTTTTCAAATAAAAAAAAAACCTTTTTTTTTTGTTGATTAAAAAATTAGGCAAAAATTACAATCTATATGAAAGATCTAAGTTTATTTTATAAAAATAAAATATTTATAAAATAAATATAAAAATCTAACCCAAATAAGAATTTTATAAATAGAATTAAAGAATAAATAACGAAATATGATTTTTTGTTATTATTAAAATGAAAATAAGAACGAATATCTTTAAGATTTTGTATTAAAAATAAGATAAAGAATTCTAATATTTATAAATTATCTGTTCTTTTATTTTAAATACTAGAATAGTAATGGTGAAATAAAAATGCTATTATCTCTAATATGTTAATCTATAACAGATATAAATATAATTTTATATAAAAAATTATTCTTGTAAGAATGAATAAGAAAAAACTTAATAATAATTAATTATGAAAAAAAATATTTATATATCAATTTTTATTTAAAAAATTTACAACTATTTTAATATATTTTATTAATTATTTCATATTCTTTATAAGGTTATGTAATAAATAAATATTAATTGACTATCAAATAAATATTTTCTAATAATTTTATTATTCAATATATAATATTGGAATATATCTGAAATGATTGAAAATAAATTCAAACAGATATATGAATTTTATTTTTGAAAAAGTCCCAACTTGAATATTAATTTGAAAATGTTATTTTTTATTTTTATTTTATTATTTAACAAAAATAAAAAAAAGAAGTATTTATACCTTAAAATAATAATAGAATAAAAATAAAAAACGATTTCTTTATTATTAAATAAATAAGAATAGAATTATATAAATTAGCAATAATATTTGTTATCTAAATTTATGTTTAAATATTTCTATTACTTATATTAATTAAAAACAACAAAAATTCAAACAACTAAAATAAATAAAATAATAAAATTATCAAACTTTTTAAAATGAAAAATTGCAATCATTAATAAAACATATCAATTTCCAATTGCAAGTTTATTTTTTTATTATTATTTTCTGGTTAATTTTTTAGTAGCTTCTTTGTTTGCTTCCTTTTTAACTTATGCGGCTTTTTCAACTGCGAAAATTTCAACATGACATCCAGAATTCAAGTAAGCTATAATAATAAAAAAATAAAAAATTAAAAAAATTATTAAAATACGTCCGATTCTTCCATGAGCTCTATAAGTTCTTCTTCTTCCTTTTTAAGCTTTATTGACTTATCCATGAGCTAAAACTAAGTTAGAAGAGTTAAGATTTTTAGACTTTAAATATAAAAATAAATATTAGGATATAACTTAAATTTTAAAATTACACTTGCGTTTGCTACAAGGTTATCTAATAATCCCAATATAACTTTTACAGATTTTACAGGCCATCTTCCTAAATTTATGTTTTATTTTATCATATATATATATATATATATATATATATATATATATATATATATATATATATATATATATATATATATATATATATCTATATATTAATTAAATTAACCTTATGTTCTGCCGAATTCTTTTGCTTAAGCAGTTCTACCAATACATCCTGTAAATCTTACAAATGGAACACATCTTTTGCGTTCTAATACATCTTTAAGATATCTTTAAGCAAAATTTAAATTCATTCCTTTAATTGCGTTAACTACTTCATAGGTGTTCTTGAAATGAATTCTTAAATCTTTTGCAGAAGCTTTTACTGCTTTAGTAGGCACTTAAGGTTCTCTTGAATATTTTGTTTTACCCATTTCTTTATTTTTTTTCTCCTTTTTTATTTTATTTAATTTTTTTATTTTATATTATTATGTATATATGTATATTTTTTTTATTTATAATTTTTAATTTTTTTTTTTTAATTTTTTTTTTTCCTTATTGTATATGTATTAATAATATTTTTATACTCGAATTTTAAATGTATTATTTTGTTTTTTTAAATATCAATTTTTTTATTAAAATATACAATAAAAAACCAATTTTATATATATAATTATGATTAGATTTATATTAAAAATAAAAATATTTAAGAAAAAGCACATTTAGTTTTATATAAACTATTTTTAGATAAACATATTATTAGAATATTAAAATTAATTAAAAAAAAACTAAAATTTGAATATAAAATATCAAATAATTTGTTTTTAAATATTCAATAAGCTTAAAAAATTTAAATTTAATTTAATCATTACTCTCTTTCATTGGCAGTAAAAGTAATATCATTAATATTTAAATTATTAACTACTTAAGTAATTATCTTACTTTATTTGAGATTATTTTTTTTGTTTTAAATTTTAGAAAAACAATATTATATATTATTTTAATATAGGATATCATTCTTAGTGATATTATTGAAAGTATTATATCTCTATATTTATATGTATATATATATATATATATATATATATATATATATATATATATTTACAATTGAAAATTAGTCTTTCATTTCATCATATTTTTTTTCATTTTCGAAATCATTTTTTACTTTAAAAAGTATTTCATTTAATTTCTACATTGGCAAAATACAATGAAAAATTCCTAAAATGAATCCAAAAATTGATAATGATAAAGAATCATTTGTTTTAGAAACATAGATAAAAAATACCATATTTGAAAGACTATACAAAGGTAAACCATATTCAATACTTTCAGTCATTTACAAACAAACATTATAACTTATATTGCTTTTTACACATGATCTTCTGACTAACTTATACTTAGTTTTTTTTTTATAAAATTGAAAATACATAAATAAATACTTTATCAATGAAGTATTTTAAACTTAATGATATTATTGTCCATATTAAACATAAAGGAGATAAAGGTGCATAAAATAAAACTGAATACATAGTTTCTAAGATATTTGCATATTGTTATTCAATATTAAATTCAGGATATTCATAAAGTCTTATAAAAATAATAAAAGAAAAATTATGATATAATTATTTATTTACTAATTCAATTTTTCTTATGTATTAAATAAATTCTTGACTGATTTGTGTTTTTCATAAATAAATTTTATAGTCATATATTTTTATAAATAAGGAATATTTATTAAAGAAACTAAATTATTAACAACCATTTAAGTTAAAAAAATTGTATTCATATTATAAGTTAGCCCTCCTATATTTTTATTAATTAAAAATATTAATTTAAATTCTTTTATTTTTAAAATTGACCTTTCTTAAACAACCTTCCGTATACATCTCCTTCTCTATAAATGTTTATTTAGATAATGAATAATATCACACTTGAGTTAAGAAAATTACTAACACCTTTTTTGAAAGATTTAGAAATAATTAATGAAGAATACGTAGTTCTAACTTCATAATTAGAAGAAGCATCAATAAAAAATATCAAAATAGGTTTTAAACAAGAAATTAATAATGAAATTGCTAAAGACATAGCATTTAAATCTGCATTATATTTTTAATTATTATCTTTTACATATTATTAAAGAAAATAAAATAGATAAATTAAACCAAAAGATCCTCCTAATGCTATTAAAGTGACAATAATTAATAAAACTCTTCTAATAAATTTTTAATTTTATTAATATTTATAATTTTTCCATAAAATATCATTTGGTTCTGGTGCTTCAATTATTTTTAATTCATTTCCCATAAATTTACTATTATTATTTTTCTTACCAGCAATCCAATTTTCAATAAAACTAGCTTATTTATAAAAATCAATAATTTATTATTATTCAGTTTCAGTAGACAAAATTATATATGCATATCCAGTAAAATTTTACAATTCCCATATATCATCAATTAAATATTTAAATTCATTAAAATAACGTTATTTTAAAGATTTTAATTTTAATTTTTTAATGTTTCTTAATGTTTATTCGTTTAATTATTCCCCGGAATTTTTTTAATTATTTAAAATAGTATTAAATTATTCACTTAGCTATTTTTTATATTAATTTAAATAAAAAAGTATATTTATTTTATATATATATATATATTATTATTATTATTATTATTATTTTTAAAAAAACTTATATTTAACAATTATATTTTAAATCTATATAATTAGTATCATTAAAACACAATATTATTCTAGATATTTTAACAATTTGATCTGGAAGTAAATTATTTGCTAGAAATTCCTTTAGAATAAATTAATAACTTTAACCTTTTGATCTATAATCTAATTTTAGTCTTTTAGGAAGATTAGAAATTAATATTGCGTAATCACTTTCTCTTACAGCCATAGAATCACAATTAATAATTAGTTTTCTAATTTTAAACCGAAATCTTTAAAACCAAATTATTAAAATTATAATTGTTCCCAAATTAAAAAATGATTATGTTGTCATAAGTTCTTACTGGCTTCTTTTATTTCCTAAACTTGCAACTGTCATCCAATATTTTAAACAACTTTAATTTTACTAAAAATATAAAATAATTATAATTTTTTTTTTAAAAAAAAAATACTTATTATTTATCTAGATTTTAAAAAATTTCAAATTCTAAGCAATCTTCTCCAAAAGCTATATTAGTAATAATATTAAAAAACCCAGAAGAAAAAAATACTACTATTAACATTTAAATACAAAACTTTAAAAATTCAAAGTATAAAGTATAACCGCTTCCTAAAAAACTCAGTTCTGTATTATTGAAATTCACATTTAATAATTATCTATCTACTTAACGGTTACAACATTTGCATTTGTTTCCATTTTATAAATTTAGTTCTTTACTTACAAGACTTGCTTTTTAATGAATTATAGCATCCTATTGATTTGGTTCATAATCGTTTATAGTTTTCATCATTTTAAAAATTTATATCTGATTTTCCTCTTAAAAATATTACTAGTTTAACTGGGTCTTTTATTTGTTTAATAATATTGCGTTTGTTAATTCATCTTCTTATTTTGAATAAAATGGTAAAAAATAGATAGTTCTATTGCCTATATTTAAATTTGTTATGATTAGTTTTCTTTTTACTAAAAGCGTATTTTTATTTTAAAATTTATTATAAGAAAAAAAATATTTACTTAAATAAAAATTATTTAATTTAAATAAAGAATAAGTAGAATGTATAATATTTTGATTAATTTACAATAAATTTAAAATATTATTTTATTTTATTTTTAAATAATTCATATTTATTAATATTTTATATTTTATAAGTTTGATTATTTTAAAAAAACATTATAATAATTTTTTATTAAGAAATACATGAAAGAAATAGTAATAATAATATTTTAAAATTTATCGTTTTTAAAAAGATAAATTATCCTAATTTTAATAAAATAAAATAAATATAGCTACTTTAAAAAAAATTAATACTATATTGTAAATATAATTAGGATACTATATTATTATAATTTTTTAAAATTTTATTTACTATTTACATAATAATTAATTTTTTAAATAAAGCAAAAAGAAAATAGTATGTGTTTTATAAATATTGGTTTAAATTTATTTTATTTTAATTGCATTATGTTATATATGTATTTAAAAATTTTAATTTTTTTTTTATATTTCATATCATTTTTTTGTTTCATTTTTCTTAATAAAATTCTTAGATTATGTTTAATTTGTTTTCATTAAATCTTAAATACTTTCAGAAGATAAAAATAATATAATAAATAAATAAATAAAATAATATATAAATGTATAATTAAAATACCTTTTTGTCTAAATTATAAATATTGATTGTTCCTCTAGAATCTCCTGTAGCTATTTTTAACCCATCATTACTCCATTTGCATTTATTTAATGCATATTTATCTTTTAAATAAATATACTTTTATTAAATTTAAATAAATAATATACCTTCCTATTCGTGATATTAAGGATTTTCAATATCTTCACTTAAATCAAATATATCTAAATAGCCTTCGCCATCAACAGAAGCAAATATAGTTGGATTAACCTATTTTTTTAATTATAAATAATAAATTTAAATTATTATTTCATTCTAAATATAAAAATTACAGTATTCCATTATACATCAAAAACATAATCTTCTGAGTAATCAAAAGTTTATATATGTTTAAATTCACCACCCTGTTTAGGATTCCATAGTTTTACAGTCCAATCAAAAGAGCTAGTGAGAACTAATCCAGACAACTTTTTTTTTTTAAAAAAAAAAAAATTATAAATTTTCACAATAAAAAAAAAAATTAAAAATACTTAATGAACTCCATTAGGATCATTACTAATACTTAAAGAAGAAATCATAGCATCATGTGCTTGGCATTAAGAAACAATATTTTGACTTGAATTATTTTATTTTTAATGCAATTAAGATCTATATATTTAACCATCTTCAGCTCCTATATAAAAATTATTTGTATCTCCTTAAGGAAATTGCATGCAAGTCACATTAATATCTTGCTTTTATTTAGTACTATTTTGAGCATTTTGAAGTTATTAATCAACTGTTTTTTGTAACATAGTACCCATACTTAAATTCCAAGTACATAATTTTCCATCATTTGAAACTGAAACTATATTATGAGCATTTAAAGAGCCTACAACATCTAAGGAATAAATAGGATAAGAATGCCCTACTGTAAAAGATGTTCTTGATACAGGTAAAGTTTTTGCTCTTAAATCCCATAATACAATTTATCCATTATATAGTCCTCCTAAAATCAAATTCTCTTGATAAGGATAAAACTTTGCTACTGTAACTTAAGATTAACAAAAGCAATAAAATTCAGGTCTAGATTTTAAGCCTAATGACCATAAAGCTACTAATCCTACAGGGTCATTTATGTTTCCTTATTCGTTTTAAGAATATGAGGCAAGGAGCAAATCATTCCTCTTTTTTTTTTTAAAAGAAGAAAAATAAAAATAAAGGTTTAAACATATTTTTTATTTTTATTACGTTTGGAGACCACTCTAAACTTGTTATAACTCTATTTTAGCTATATTATGTATCCTTTAGTTTCAAATAGTGTGTTAAGTATGATTTTCTTTTTTTTAATTTTTATATAAATATTTTTTGTTATCTTACGTGACATTTTATTCATTATGAACTTATTATCCTATTATATCTTCTAAAGCGCATATATCTATTTAATCTTTTTCTAACACTTTTTCAACTAGCTTTGAACTTCTATGGAAAAAATCTAAAAAATTTTTGGATTTTGTTATATGGCTTATATCTTCTTGAGAAAGAGTTACTTTAAAAAAAAATATTAAAAAATAAAATAAAATATTATAATAAAATTTATATAATATATTTTTTCTTTTAATAAAGTATCTTTAAATTCATTATTTATATTTTTACCTTTTTCAGGTTAAGTAAATATTTATTATTTATTGCCAATTATTTAAGTCGGACTTTTAATTATTTCTTATTGTTCTTATTTTTAAGTATTGCTTGTTTAAACTTTCATACTTTAAGTTTTCTCTTTTTCTTCTACATAATCAGGTTAATTATGAAATTATTTTTCCTAATCTAAATTACACTGAATTTTTACTTCATAGGTTTATTTCTCTTTTGAAACAATATTTATTTCTCCAACAAATTAGACAAATTCCATATTTCTTATTTTTTAAGGCTAAATGTTAGCTTGCTATTATTCACATTATTTTTATTAATTTTATTATTATTATTTTATTGGAGATGTATTTTTAATTTCTGTTTTTTATTCTTCTTCTGGAATAATACTTTTTGCTTCTTTTTAACGGACTAAATTTTCTACAGTTTCTTCAATATTAGATCTATGTGTACGTGCTTATCTCCTTTATTTTAATTCTCTTAGTTTCTTTTCAAGTTCTTCTTTTTCAGACATTTTAATAATTTCTCTTTTTATGTTTGAAAAAAAATTATTAAAGATAAATATTTTATTTTTTTAATTTAAAATATCAGATATATTATCAAAACAAATTGTTTCTGAAATAATTATTATCACGTATTTAAAAATAAAAGAGTATAAAATAAATTTATATAAATGCATTTATGTTTTAGTTTTAAAATAAAATTCCAACTAAATTATTAAAAGGAATATATAAAAAATAAGCATTTAATTAAGCTTCTTTTTTTGTTTATTTGATTTTTTTATATTTTACATATATTTTTTTTTTAATAACTTAAAATAAAAAATTATGTTGATTAGTAATAATATGAATTTCATTAAATGTTATTCTTTTATAATAACTTTTTAAAATATAAAAATAAATTATATTTTATTCAATAAAAAGCAATCATTTATAGCTATAAGTAGATACTCTTATTTGATTCTAATTGTTTAGTCCATTGCTTAAGACATAACTTTATTTATAATTATTTATAGCATTTTTAGGTTTGTTTATAATTTCGTTGTTGAGTTCTTAAAATCCAGATTAAACAGAAGGATTTCCAATAATTTAAGAAGTGACAATATTACCTTTATATTTATTTTTATCATTGTATTAAATAGAGCGGTTTTAATCCATCTTGACATTTTAAACTACTTGATAATTATTAATTTCTTTTTATGGTAAATTACTAACTTAATGCTATTCTACATTGTAAACTCCTTAAGTTTGTAGTTAGGAAATTAATTATTCTAATTTTAGTCTAAGCTCTTTATTAGCTTAATCAAGTTCAAGGGATCTAGATTCATTTTGTTTATGAAAAATAACCTACTTTTATAAATCATTCATTTAAAATTTTATATCTTTATTTTCTTAAACATACTCTTAATAAGTTTTAGGTTTTCTTCGTTAAACTCCATCTTATCCGAAAATTGCTTATTCGATTTTAATAGCACTTTACTCATCAGAATCTCCAAATTCCCCTTATTATTATAATAATTTAATTTCTATATTTAAGTTTTAAATTTATTATTTTAAATATTAATTTTCTTTTTCTTTATTTTAAATTTATAGTGTACAAGATTATATTTATTATTAAAAATTCTAATTGAAAATATGAGGATTTTCTTTTTATAACTAAATCAAAAATTAAGGATTATTAAATCTCTTTTCTAATTCTTAAATTTGCATTTATTTTTTGTAAAGTTCCTATATTAAATATTTGATTTTTATTCTTAAATCATTTCCATTTCCATTTCCACTTTCACTCCCATTTCCATTTCCAACATCAGATAAAAAGTCATCATAATATATAAATTGTCCATCTTTCCAAAAGCCAAATTATTTTTTATCACCTCCACAGTTACCTTGTATAGTTCTAGTTGTTTTTCTTGACTTTATTATTTTATCACCTTCTTGATTATCATTTTCATCTTCTACCCCGAACCTTATTTACAGTTCTTTTAGCTTTTATTTAAGTTTTTAGTTTTCTAAAGCAAATTATTTCATTTAAATTTAAGGACTTTAATAATCAGTTTAAATTTAGATAATTTATTTTTTTAAGTCTTCTTCTTAAAAAGCTTTTGAGATATTTATTTCTTTTAATTTTTTAATTTCTTCTTATTAGCGATCTATATTTTAAACTTTATCTTAATAATTGCCTATATAAACATTTTTTAATTTTAATTCTTTTTCTTTATTAGTTAAAACAGTAATTAAACCTTCAATTTATTTTTACAATAACTAAATTTAATTTTCATATTTAGATTCTTTATCTTAATAAAGGTTTTAAATTTTTTAAATTTACATTTATTTTTTTTATAACTCAGTATCCATTTCTTAAGTTTTTCCAATTAGTAATGATTATTATTATTATCTTGCAAATAGTTCTTATTCTTTATCTTTTAACTTATTTTAAACTAACTGTATTTCTAGTTATTTATTTTATTCATAATTTTATTGTTATTTTTATTGTTCCTCTAATAACATTTATAAATATTAAATGTTTACATTATCTTCTTCTATTTTTGATTAATATTAATTATTTTTTAATACTAGAGATTATAATTAATATAATATTTTTCTAAGTTCTTCGCTTTCCTAAATTCTGGCATTTGTTAATAGTTGTAGCCTATCTAATTCTTCTTAATTATCTATTTAAATTTTTTAAATTCTTTATTCATATTTATTTGTTTCTTTCTTTAGTTAATCTATTTACATTAAATAAGTTTAAACTTTAGAAGTTTATCCTTATAAATCTTACAATAGTTAATTTATTTTAGATTCATATTCATTAATTTAAGATATATTTAATTAATTTTATTATATTTGTTAATTTGAACTTTTAAATTAATTTTATTGAGATGATTAAATAATAAAATTATTGTTATTTTATTCTAACATTTTAATTTTTGCATTTAGTTCTTGGTTTTCTTTGGATTTTTATTATAACAATTCTGATAATTATTGTACATTATCAGCAAGCTATTTTAATTATAAATTATAATCATTTTTACTAATATACAGATAATTAGAAGAGTGCATATTTTTGTTTTATATTTAAATTTCTTATTTTAAAGAATTCATTTAAATAACATAATCACTAAAATATGTATACATATATATATATAATATATAATATATATATACATATATATATATAAATATAATTTATATAATTTAAAATTATATTAATTTAAATTTTTTTCTTAAATCTTTATATTTTTTTTGTATTAAATTTATTTTATTAGTTTTACTTTATTAAAGAATCTTTTTATTAAATAGTCTGTTTCAAATTTTCTATTTGATTTTAATATTCTTTAACTATTTAGTCTTAGTTTTAAATAAAAATCAAACTAATTTTTTTAAAAAAAAATATTTTTATCAAAATAATATTTTAAAAATTTCACTTGTTTCTATCTGTACTTGTTTTAAGATCTTATTAGGGTTTTTATAGTTTTAATATCTATATTTCCTTATCTTTCTAAATAACGATTTCTCTTAAATTACAAATTTATATAAGTAATTCAGATATTTCGTTTTTATATTTATTATTCGCTGATTCATTACTATTATAAGAATATATAAAGTATTTATTTTTTTATTTACTTTTTTAAAATTTCTGTTTTTACTATTTCATTATTTTAGTCACTTTAATTTAAAGTGAATTAGGTTTGATTTTAATATTCATTTTAGTTTTTATTATTTTCATATATTTAAATTTTATTATCCTATATATTTCTTTGCATTTATAATTATTGCTATTAATCCCACTAAACTGTAGTCTTAAAATTTCTATCAAAGTTTTCTAAATTATGAGTAGAAGCCTAACCTGTAGCATTATATGTTTAATATTTTTATGGAGAAAGTGCTGCATTCTAAATAATTATTTAGGATGAAGTAGATTATTTCATAATATTAGGGTTTTTAAATTAATAAAAAGTTTATGATTAATTATTTTAAAAGTTAATTTATAGAGTTTCATCATTTTTTTATTCTGTAGATTTAAAATATTCAGCCATTGTTTTTAATAAAAATAATTTAAGAAACAGAAAAAACAAATCTAATAATAATTATTTATTAAAATAAAAAAAAAAAACTTATAAATAATAATTAATTAAATCAATTTATTAAATAAAATTACTTAAATATAATATCAAATTAAATTTTATTAATGTTTTGATTTATATTATAAAAAAAAAATATTTATTACAAAAAATATATTTACTAATTATAAGAAAATATTTTTTAAATTAAATAAAAAATTATATAAAATGTATTCAGCCGGGTGGCGCAATGGTAGCGCAGCAGACTTCTAATCTGAAGGTTGTGGGTTCGAGTCCCACCCTGGTTGTCATTTTTATTTTTTTTATATTAATTAAAAATATATTTTTAGAAATGAGATTTTCCCGTTCCTTTATTTTTTTCAGAAGAAAAGTTTTTTTAAATTAGTCTTTTTTGAAACCTTAAATATATTAAATTTTAAAGGATTTTCATTTAATTTATTTTATTCAAAAATCAATATCTTAACTAAAGATTAATTTTCTTTAAGTAAAAGGGGATATACTCTGTGTGAAATACAGTATATTTTTGCTTTTATTATTTATATTGAGATTTATTTCAGTTATTAATATTAAAATTAATTATATTATTGTAATATTTAAGTTTTTTTGATTTAAATACATTACTTAGTCATAATTATATTTTTAAAAATACATTTAATTTTATATAATTTTAAATTTCTATGTTTTATTTAAAATGAAATTTTAAAATATAAATAAAATTTATAAGTTTATATATTTTTAAGTCTAATGTAAAAAATCTTTAATATCTATAAAAATAATTTTACATTAAATTATATTTATTAAATTATTTATTTTTACTTATTCCTTTAAATTATTTATATATCATCTGATTTAAAGGAAAAAATAAAATTTCTAATATTTTGTGAATAAAGCTAATTATATAATTATTTTTAATTTAAAATTAATAATGTTTTTATTAATAAATAATATAGAAAATAATATCATTTAACATAATTCTTTTAATTTTAATAACAAAATATGAATAAATTAATAAAAATTTTTGGTTTAATAATTTTTTTTTTTTATATTTTAATTTTTTTTAAAAAATTATTATTATAATTTTTCTAAATTTAAAAAATTTACAATATAAATTTTTATTTGTTAATTATATTTTTCCTAAAAATAATTTTTAATCTAAAAGTGTAAATAGTAGAGAATTATAAAATAATATATACTGTAACGCTTATATTAAATAAAATAATATTAAAAATTATTATATTATTATGATAAAATTTACAATAATAAATATTTTTATATATAAATTATTTTAAATTTTTTATAAAACCTAAAAAATTTAAAAATAAAAATATATTAAAAATTATTACTAGTTTTATTTATATAAATAAATTAATTAATAACATATGATACATGTTAATATTCAATAATATTTTTTTTTAAAAAAAAATAAAGTAAATAAAAATAAAGAATATGAGAAATTAATAATTAATATTTTAAATAATTAAATTTAAATAAAAATATAAAAGTTTTTAATAATTAAAATATAAATATAAAAGTAAATAATTTTTAAATAATAATATTATTTTTATAAAAAGCAAATATTATATAATATTAATATTTCTATCATCGTTACTGATATAATTCTCAAGGTTTAAAAGGAGGAACCGTATTTAAATGAATTTCAGGGCAATCATTACCAGGTGGAATTCCTCTATTGACAGTATAAGGAGTTTTCCTTGGTACCATTTTAATAGCATTTTCTACTGGACATGATGATACACAAACAGCACAACCAGTACAATCGTCTTCAATAATTCTCGGAATAGTATTAAAACCATCAAATTAGATAGCTTAATAACCTGAGTCAGTACAAGAAACATAGCATCTTCCGCATTCTAAGCAATGATCTTTGTTTATTTCTGGAACTTCAATAATATTTCTTGACATTTTTTCAATAGGAGATACATTATTTAATTTACTAGCGACTAATTATAGAATTTTAGGGGGTTTAACAAATTTACTTGAATTAGGTTCGTTATTCATTTTTTAGAAACCATAAGGAGGATATTATCCTTTCCATCCTTTTTATCTTGCTTTTTCATCTCCCAATAAATATAAGTTAGCCTATAAACTTGTTTTTAAATCATAAAATACTGTTGCAGCATCTAAATTTTAAACAGCTGAACATATTTAAAGAGCTTTAGCACCATATTAAATGTAAGAAAGTGCATGATCTCCACTAATAATACCTCCACTTCCGAAAATTTCAATTTAGGGAACATATTTAGCAACATCAACACATTTTCTTAAAGCAAAAGGTCTCAAAATCGAGCCTGTAGAACCTCCAGGAGTAACTTATTTTTTAACACCAACTCCATTAGAAAATTCTCCATCAGGATAAGGATCAATTAAACCAGGCATAGTATTTGTTAAGGTAACTGCTTTTGCCCCTCCTTCGTAAGCTGCCTAGGCTAAAAGTTCTGCTTGACCATAATTTGGAGTTATTTTTATAATTATAGGAACTTTCGTTTTAGAAGTTACCCATTTTGTTATTTATCTTACTACATCTGGATCTTCTCCACAAGCTCTACCCATTCCTTTTTCATTCATTCCATGAGGACATGAGAGATTAAGTTCTATCATATCAAAAGGTGCTTCTTTTGTTTTTTCAACAATATCATACCAATCTTATTCGTTATTTCCGGCCATCAAAGAACCAATAAGAATTTTATTTGGGTAGTCTTTTTTAATTTAAATTGCGCCTTTTACCCAATATTCTAGAGATTTTTCAGACACTAATTCAATATTACCGAAAGAAGGTTCAAGCTTTAAAGGATCACTTGTTAATTTATAAATTCTTGGGGAAATATTTGAAACTGTATCCTTGTCCAAAACTAAAGTTTTAATTACTGCAAAGTCATATCCGATATCAAAAGATCTAGAAATCATAGGGTATGATGTTGTCGGAGGAGCACTTGCCAAACCAAAAGGATTATTCATTTTTACTCCACAAACTTCGGTTGAAATATCTACAAGATCAATTTCAGTATAGAAGCCAGGTAATATAGGTTCTGTAGGAACTTAATATCCAGCTTTTTCTTAAATATATTTGTGCATAAACCAAGAAGCTGTTTTTCCATCATTTACAGCATCGACTAAGTTTTTAGTTCCAATTGCATCACCTCCTACAAAAAGCCAATCATAAGCTTTAGTTTTATTTGTACTGTAATCAACATCTATTAAAGAATCTGATTTTTTAATTTTCTTTACCCAATCTTGATCAGGAAGTTGACATCCGAAAGACTAAACTATATGATCACAAGGTAAAGAATAGTTTTAGTCTGTTTATTTATATTTTAAGTTATCAGGATCATTATTTTAAGGCAAATATTTATCAAATTTTACTGCTTTTACATTCCCTTTTTCATTGAACTCATATTCTAAAGGAGATGAATAAGCAACAAAGTTTATTCCTTCTTGTCTTCCTGGTTCAAATATTTCATCGTTTGCTCTCATGTCTTAAAACCCTCTTCTGAAAACTACAGTTACTCTTTTAGCGCCCAATCTAAAAGCAGAACGAGCACAATCTAAAGCAGTATCACCAATTCCTAATACAACTACATGTCCATCCATTTTAGGTAAATCAATTACTGCTTTAGGTTTTGTTTATTTTATAACTTCTCCTACTTTCAATAAGAAATGCTTTGAGTAATGAAAATTATTTGCCTATCTAGCTCTTTCAGCACTTAATGCAAATTCTTTAGATGCTCCTTTAGTCCCTGTATTAGGCTCAGTGAGACCTATTCCTAAAAATATAGTTTCAAACCCTTAATTTCTGAGATCTTCAAGAGAGAAATCTTTTCCTAAAGCCTTATTATAATGGAATTTGACACCAAGTTATTCAACCATTTAAATTTCCCACAAAGCTTCTTCTATCGGAGCTCTGTTTTAAGGGATTTCATTTGAAGTAATACCACCTCCACGACTTTCTCTTTCAAAAATATTTATATTTTCATAACCCATTCTTCCAAGAAAAGTAGCACAACTTAAAGAAGCTGGTCCTGCTCCAATTAAGGCTATAGGTGTTTTATAAGAAGGAGGAAGATTAACAAGAGATGGATCTTTAATTTATTTGACTCCCATTTCTTTAAATATACGCACTGCTAATTCTTAGAGTCTGTTTATTTTTATTGCTCCTTATTCTGTGTGGCTTACGTTACAATTTCTTGCACATAATTCACTTATGGGGCATAATTAACCACAAGTTAAACCTAAAGGATTATCAGAAAGAATACATTTGGCAGCTCCATACCAGTTTTTATTTTATATATTGTATATAAATGTCTTGATATCTATGGATGTTGTACATCCTTTCTAACATGGAGCATCATTACATTTCAAGCATCTTATAGCTTCACGAAGTGCTTCTTAGATTGTCATTAAAGGAATATCACGCTCCCAGTTATTGCATTTTTAGCAACCGTTACAGTGAGGTGTTCGATCATATTCTTCAGAATATTTTTCTCTTTCTTTTGTTGGACGGAGAGTTGGTTAAGAAATATGTGTTTACATCTTTTTCAATACTTTTTCTTAAACATCTTTTGGGTAAATATGAAGTGAATCTATATTGCAAGAACCGAAAAAATTGGAATGCTTGATATATTATTAAGGAACTTTGTTGAATTTCTACACTAATTTTATGAACATTTTTTTTTTAAATTATAATTTTTTTTTTATATAATCAATTTTATAAGATAAATTAATTAAAAAATATGTATTATGTAATTAGTTTTTATCTTAAATTTTTTGAAAATATTAAAATCTTACATGAGGAAAAATGAAAAAATATATATAAATATCAAATAAATTAATTATATATTTATAAATTTTACACGTAATAAAATTCTAATTTTGACGTATATATTATCTAATTTTAAATAAATATTTTTTTAAAGATAATTATTTAAATTTAAAAATAAAAATATTATAATTTTTTATAATATATAAAAATATTTTTAGTTAAGTATAATAAATTGATATAAAGAATAGTCAATAGCTTTAGAAAATTTAATTATAAAATCACATTAATTATACTTTTATATTTTATTTTTAATTATAGAACAGAAATAATATAGTAAATATAATTATATAAATTTAGTTTTATTTTTAAATATGATTTTAATAATTTCAAATTTCAATCTTGATCATCCAATCTTAAGTTTAAATGGGGATCTTTAACTCCTTTTTCAATATTTTAAATCATTTTTTATCTGAATTTTTTCAAAGCAATTCTAACATCTCTATATTTTTTATTAGTAACAATTTCTGTATAATTTCATTTTTTTAATTATTTTATTTAAAAATTTTTTTTTTTTTTTTATTTAACCTTTTAATAATGGAGATAAATCAAATAAGGCTCTATCATCAGGATCACCAAACCAGCTTTATATAAATATCCCATTGTCTGCTTGCAAAATAAAATTTTCAGGTAAATTATCAATAATAATAATTTTAGATAATTCTCTTCCGATTTTAGATAAATCCTATTTTAAATTAAAATTTTATTATTTTTTTTAATTGATAATATATTATTTGTTAGTGTTATTTTTTAATTTATTTTTCTTTAAAAAAAAAACTTCAATCAAAAATAAAAAAGGCGGATAAAAAAAATAATAATATCCTTCTTTTGATTGAGTATTTAAAAAAAATACAGAAAAAATAAAAAAAATATAAACAAGAAAGAAATATGATTTAAACCTTAACATAAGAATTTTCATAAGCGACGGTATGCTGCCTGTATAGTTTATATGATATGTTCTATTTTTAATCTATTATATCTAAAATGAAGTTTGCATATTCTGGTAATGCAGCCGTAAAAATTATTATTTCATAATATTAAGCCATTTCCTCTAGAAATGTTTCGGCATAAGGTCTTACTAAAAATTAACCGCCATCCTCAAGCTTAAAAATTTAATAATTAAAAAATATAATGTATATATATATAGTATTTAAAAAATATTAAATTTAAGAATTTTTGTTTTAAATATAATTTATTAGTTTTTTTTTTTAAAAAAAAAAGAATAGAAATGAAATTATAATTATAATTTTTTTTGTTTTTATAAATTTTTATTATATTTTAATTTTTTAATATTATTTATATTATATTTATATATTTATATATTTATTAAATATTTATGTATTTACTTCTTAGTAATGAACTAAAGTTTCATCTAAATCTAAAACAAGAGTATATTAATCAGGATTTTTTAATGAAGGAACATAAGGCGAGGGAACTGATCCAATCTAAGGCTCTTATTCTTATTCTTATTCTTATTATTATTCATCTTCATCATTATCGATTTATTATTATTATTTTCTTAACTTTATTAAGATTTATTCTAATTTTATTATTTTTATTATTGATCTTTTTTTTTTAATTACTATTATTTTTCTTCTTATTCTTTTAATATTTCTTTTTCTTTCGAATTTTCTTAATCTTTTAACTTTTCTTTTCCTTTTCCTTTTCCTTTTCCTTTTCTTTTTCCTTTTCTTTTTCCTTTTCTTTTTCCTTTTCTTTTTCTTTTTCTTTTTCTTTTTCCTTTTATTTTTCTTTTTCTTTTTCCTTTTATTTTTCTTTTTCTATTAATTACTCTAATTCTTTTATTTTTTATTACTTTTCTTATGTTACTTTAGTTAATAAATCACCTATCTTTAAAAATTTATTAAAATAATAAACATATATTTACTTACTTATTTTTATAAAGTATTAATTTTTTTAATTGAAGATCTTGATATAGACTGTTTCTCAATGTCTATAATAATTTTTTAAATTGTTTTGTAAGGTGAAATATCATAATTGAAAATGAAAGACTTTAAAATAGGAATAACAATATCACATTAATCATCTATGATATTTTATTTCTTTGTTTTATTTAAAATATTCTAAATTCTTTTTATTTATTTTCTTTAGTTTATAATATTATTAATTTTTTCATCTTTTTAACTATCTGGATTTTATTTGCTATTATTTCTATTAAAACAATAAAATTTTAATGAATAAATTGCATACAATTAGTTACTGAAAACAAATTTTCTTCTTAATCTTAATCTTCTTTATTTAAATATTCATATAAACATAATATAACACAAATTCTTTCCAAAATATGCATTTTAAGAATACTTTTTTGAAAACTAAAATCCATTACTACTTTTTCAATATTCTCTAAACTGCTTTCTTAAATTAAATTAAGGTATTATTAACATAGATTAATATTTTCTTCTTAGTTTTTCAATTTATTTTTTTATATACTATATAAAATATTCTCTATTTCTATTATGATTTCGAAATCTATTTTCCAAATTACCGTTTTTTATACTTCTTCTCCTATAAACGTATTATTTTCAATATCATTAATGTTTTCTGCTTTCTTTTTCATTTATTGATTATCTATTTAGTACTATTTTATCATTTCCTGATTATATTAAAAATATGAAGCATCCATATATTCAGTAGAAATTCTTTTTGCTTTTATTTAATTTTATTCTAAAAGAGGTTTTTCTGTCAATTTAAAATTTTTTTCTTTTATTTTTTCTTATAAAGTTTTTAGCATTTAATTTGTTTAAGAATCTATTTTTTTTAGACAATTTTCTTTCATTTCCATTTAGACTATTTTTTAAGTTTATTTTTGGCTAAAGCTGATTGCATGTGCTTTATTTAATATCTATTATATTTGATAATTTTAAGAAGAATTGACTTATCTACATTATTATTAAAGTAGAACAGAATTAGGACTTTAATTACGTTCTTTTTTAAATAGTTTTTATTACTATAGAATATTCTATAAAGATAAATGGCTTTCAAAGAATTCATTTGATATATTATCGTTTGCATAATCTATTTTAAATGGAGAAACAGGAGTTTTTGATCTGTTATTGTAATTGGAAGTAATTTAAGAATTAATATTATTTTCTTTAGGAGTAGTTGAACGAGATTTTTTATAAATTTATTAGATTATTTCTTCTTAAATTCGCATTTTATTTTCAGTATTAATGATTTTAGAAAATGCTGTTATTGTTGAGCTTTTATGATTATCATTTTAATTTTTTTTTTAAGAAGAAGATATATTATGTTCGTTTCTTGAAGGTATTTTTTAATCTTCAAATTAATAATTGGTTGTAAATCTTTTATTAGGTGAAATATTTTAATTAATGTTCTAAGAATTACTTTCGAATTCTTAAATATTTACTCTTTGTCTTTAATTACTATTACTTCTTAAATTATTTAAAGAATCATATTAATTATTTTTTGATATTTAAAAATTTTACTAAACAATTCTTTAAGGAGTCAAATTTTAACAATATTATTATGGCGATTTTATATAATTATTTCTTAAAGGATTTTGACAATTATTTTATATTTGTGTTTGAGTATCTTCAATATATTTTTAAGAATAATTATTATATTAAAAATGTTGCTATTAAAAATCTTCATAATTATTAATATATTATTATTGGGATTACTTATTTAAAATAGCTTTAATATTATTGTATTTTTAATCCATATTTAGTTTACTTTATTACTTACTATATTCTATGAATTTTTTAATTTTTATTTTAATAAATTATTTTTTTATTTTTAACGGAATATTAATGAATAATTTTTTTTTTTTTTATACTAAATTAATTATTTTAAATATTTTTATTAATTAATTAAAAGATTTAATAATTTATTTATTAATATTTTTATTTATAAAAATAAATAAATGAAATAAATAAATAATTATAATTGTTTAAATAATTAATTAAATGTAAATCTTTTCAATTATAATTGCTTATTAATTCTAATCCTACAGATTATATAAACAGTTTTTTGGAATTATTTTTTTAAATTTATATTTATAAAAATTATCAAAGGCATCATAAATTACATGATAGAGTTTAACTAAGCAATTGAAATTACAGAGAATTCTATTTAAATAAGTCAAACTTTTGCAATTTAAATTTATATAATTATATATATAATTTTATTATTTTAGTATAAAGATTTAAATAAAAAATAATAATAATAATAAATAATTTTGAAATGAACATAAAAATATTTGCAATTTTTTATGTTATTTATACATTATCATATAAAAAAATTAAAATATTAAAAATAATATAGAAATATTCTATGAATTTATTATCGAACATATTTAAAAATACTTTATTTTTTAATTTCATTCTTAAATATAAACAAGATACTTAATTATTTAATAATTTTATTAATAAATTTTTTATCACTATTTAAAATAATATATTTTATAATAGAAAGTCTTTTATAAAATACTAAATATATTTTTTACAAAAGAAAAAAAAATTAAAATCTCAAAAAATATTAGTATATAGAAAACATAATATTCGATTAAAAGATAAAATAAAATAAAAATATATATATATAAGAAAAGAAAAGAAAATATAATAAAAATAAAAAATAATTAAAAAAATTCTGATGAATTTCAGCTAATAAAATTTTCAATAATTTCAATAAAAAAGTTAATATTAAGATATTAACGAATTATGGGAAGAACAAGTTTCAATTGAAGAATTACAAAAATATCATGAGACTTTCAAATAAATAGATATAGAGAAATGGAGAAACACTTAAAAAATAATATATTTAATAAATTCACATAATGAGAAAGCAACATAGAACGAAATGAGAACAGTATTAAAGTTTTATATTTTATTAAATAATAATCATATTTTACATAACAACTAAAATAAATGGCGAGAAATATATTTATATGATGATAAAGTATATGATTATTTTATGAATGATTTTTTTCCAAGTATTGCAAAATATTTAATAGACGAAAAGAGCTTTTCCTATGAACAAACTCTTTATTTATCAAATTAGATACTTTTATAATCTGTGTATTTATTTATTACTACTTTCTAAAAATAAACACTTGCTACTTCGGAAATGCTTTCTTATATATTCGATTACTAAAAAGCATACTTCCAAAACAATAACAAACTCTAAATGCCTTTTTAAATTTAATAAATTCATAAATTTACATCTTAATATGAAGAGTTCCTTTAAAACTTATAAATGGGATAATATGTAGATGCTATAAAAGTAGATCCACAGTATAACAAATAATGTTATAGAAGAGCAAAAATAATTAATATCAGTGGCGATTATATTTAGGTATAGTTTTTGGCTAGTTCTTAAATTTTTAATAGATAAATTTATAGATTTAGTTCTGAAATCAGACCTTATAAAAGCGTTTGTACTGATGAAGAATGGGATTGGATGTTTCAACTTAAAAAAGGAGACTTAATTGATTGTTGTGATACATCTCATATTTGGTATAAGTGTACTGTATTGGATGTCAAGTAAATAAGTACTGGTAATAATTTTACTAAAGAAGAAGATGATAATGAAAATATTGATTCTAATTCAAAAAATAATTATGATGATGTTATTAGAGCAATTTAAATAGGTTGATTTTTTTATTTTTATTTTTAAACAAAAATATTTTTATCTAATTATAATAGGATATAGATATTATGATCAATAAGGAAATAAAAGTGATTAAAAAGGCAACTTTTTTGGTTATACTTCTTAATATGATGAATATTTAGAAGTAACACATCCTCGTGTTGCAAAACTTAATACATAAGCTTAAAAACTTTATACAAAATCTACTTAGAATTAAATAAGTGATGATTTAATAGATGATTATAACGACAATACATAAATATTAGACGACCAAAACTTAAAAATATATGCAATACCTCGTAGATAATATAATACATCACTATTTTTGGTAGCTGCATTGAATAAATTTGGCAGAAAAGGAGGATTTAATTTAATTTTGAACAAGATAAATAATTTTAATGAATAAACTTGGTGTCCAATAGATTTTTTAGCAATTTAAATGCATATAATAAATTAAATATAATGCCTTTTTGTTAGATAATTTGCCTAAGAGTTCGCCAAAATCATAATTCCTATAGTTTAAAAAAATATTTTGGATAGTCCAGCTTCTAATTTGAGAAATTTCACAAAAGAAAAAATCGATTTAGTAAACAAAGGATTAGGAAGCTTGATGAAACGCATATATTCGGTAGGCTAAAAAATTGAATTATTGGAGAAGTTTAATCTATAAATGGCTTTATAATCTTTTAATTCGGAATTCATAAAAACTTAACTTTAAGGTCTGAAAACTATTATGGAAATTTTAGGAACTAATAGAAATGAAAAAAACACAGAAACAATGCAGCCTGAATAACTAAAAGAATGGGTTAAAGAAAACTAACTTTTTAAAAAATTATTCACAAGTTCTAAGTATTAATTGATTTAAAAAGCAGGTGATTTCTTTAAATATATGTTAAACGAAAATATGGTTTAGGATGAACATTTGGAAATCTTATGGAATTAAACTAGAAAAAATGATATGGAGTTAAAGCTTGCTATTTATAAAATTCTAACTGATAATTATTACTTACCTGCTTTTAATAAATAAATTATCGAATTTTTCTTGAAAAAAATTACATAAGAAAGCGATATAAATAAAATTTCAACTGAAGATATAGAATTTATTCAAAATTTAACTAAAACTAATTACAAAGGAATTGATTTGTAAAATACTGTTAGAAATTTCTATTGGAATTTGATTAACAAGAGTGATCAAATTTCTTAGGATATACTAGAAGAAGTTATTAAATCCTATTCTGATAGTTTTAATTATGAAAATTCTAAAGAAAAAAAGCAAGAAGTTCTTGAGAACTGTGTTAATAGTATTGCAGAAGTAAACTTATAATTTTTTAATTTTTTAATTTTTTAATTTTTTTCTTTTAGGGATCATCAGGCACTTTACATTTATTAAAAATAATTTCAAAAATAATTGATAGTTTATTTGGAGGGTAATATTACTCATATTCTAAAAAAGATGCTATTCTATTTTTATACTAAGAAAAGTAAATTGTAAATGTTTTAGTTTAGAATATACGTATATTCAAAGAAGAGCTTAAATAAAAGGTAAGTTAAATTACTGAATAAGCTTTCGATTAAGTTTTGGGAAAGCCTACATATATTGAACATCTAAAAGCCAGAATTGACTTTTTGAATTTCAGTAATTAAAGAAAAGAAAAAAAATTAAAAAATAATAATTTTTAAATATAGTTTATAATAATCTACCTAACGATTTAGAGCTAAGCTTTGATGTTATTTCTATAGTTTGGGATGCTATTATTGTTGAAGGATTAATTCCAAAAGAAAAAGATATTATCTATAAATGGTTTGCTGAAATAAATACTTCTAATAATACAAATTTATAAATAAAATAATAAGATTTGAACATTTTCTTTATATAAAAATTATGTTCTGAATAAGATCTTAGGGAAATGACTTTAGAAGGTTGGAATTGTTTCAAAGGCGTATTTTGTATAATAAATGAATAAATTAAGAATATGAAAAAATACAATACACAAAAAAGTTGGCAATAATAATAAACATATAATAATATGTAATCAACATATAATTAATAATAAGAAGATAGGAGAACTAATGTAAATTAAAAATAAATAAAAACTAATTAAATATTTTCTTTTCATTTTAATAATATAAATAGATTGACTTTGATTATATAATGTTAATAAATCCTTCAAATTTAATAGGAATGAATGAGCTATGGAAATTAATAATGATAAACGAAAACAATGAGGTAGTAAATAAAGCCTTAGAGTTCTTGAATAACTTGCATTCTAACTTTGATTAAGTTATAGAATAAGAAGAAATCGAAATAAAAAAATGCTATTATTAATAAGCTTATGGATAATTAGAATAAATATTGACTTAAAAAGAAATTGATAGTTAAAAAGCTTGTAGATGTATAATTTTAATCAAAAGTATTTTGGATGAAAGTGAAAAGAAAGGAAACGGAGGTTTAAAATCTCTTATTTCATTATCAAAAGGAGAATTAATAAGTTTACATTTTAATTTATGTTTTTCTTAATATGATGTGCCAAACAATTTCACAATAAAAATTTACAGTAATGATTCTGTTATTGATTTACTTTAAAAAGTAGGATTAAATATAAAATGTACTTGGGAAGAGGTTTCGCTTTATATAATAGATTCCTAAAGGGAAATATCAGTAAAGGAAAACGGACGCTCTTTAGCAGAAATAAAACTAAAAAATGGACAAAAGATAAATGTGTTTAAAAAAAAAGCTCCTTTAGTGAAAGAAGAGCCTATACTTCTAGAAAATGGAGAAGTAAATCCTGTGGCAATAAATATTTTTAAAAAATGGTTCTGGATGTTTGCTAAAGATGGTAAAATGTTTTCTGAAGAAATTGCAAAGTTTATAAATTCATGTACTCATGATAATTGCTAAGCTAATGATTCACGTGTTGTAAGTACTTTAAACGCTTACGATAAAGAATAAAAAGGATATTTATCAGAAGAAAACTTTATTCTTTTTTATTATTAGGCTTGTAAAACAAAACCATTAGTAGTAAGAAAAAATCTAGAATCTTATCATTATAGAAGAGATTTGAAATTATATGATGAAGTTGAAATCGAAAATGTTAATATCGAATAAATGCCTAGATATTTACTTTCTAGGGACGAAAATTTTTTTTAAATGATCTTCTGTTTATTGGATAAAGAAAGCTTAGCAGAAGATGCCTGGATGTTGTTGAGTAGATTGCCTATAAGTCCAATCTTATATAATTAAATTTTAGACTGTAAAGGAGCTGATTGGGAAATTATACTTGGAAATAAATCAGTATATAAATAGCTTTATAATTTACATTTAATGGAATACTTAATGGAAGACTAAATAGATAATAATAAAGAAGAAAATAAACAAAAAAATGAGGACGATTAGGAATTCTTAAAAAAAAAAAATTGGCGAGCAGACTTTATTAAGCTTGGAGGCTTTGAATTTTTATTTAAAATGTTTAGTAATTTATAAAACTAAATACAAATATAAAGTCCTTCATACTAAAAATATATTTTTGCATTCATATTGAAAATGTTTTTGAAATATTTGGTTGTCGCATTTACCATTTTATAATAAGGAAATAAAAATATCTATAAGAATGTAGCCAGAATGTAATCTACGCATGTAAGTTTGCCTGCTTTAATACTTTCTATTAGATAAGATAGTAGAGGATTGTAATTAAAAAGAAAAGAGTCAGAATTTAGAGATAATTTTTTAGAAAACGAAGTAAAAAAATTTGAATTAATGGATGAAGTTTGTATAAAATTAAATGAAAAATTATATGAGATTAATGTAGAACCTTCTGAAGATTTTAATGCCTTAGTAAAAAGCATTGAAGAGTAAAATTTAAGTGAAATTATTCTTTCTAAATTTAATTTTGAATAACTGGTTTGTGAATTATGTAAACTTTGCATTAAATATACTTCAGATTCTAATGAATTAGAAAGTGAAGACAGACTTATTATTGAATATTCACTTTAATTAATGGGAACATTACTTTTATCTAATAATTCAGTATGTGATTATTTTTTCAAAAATGAAATAAGCTTATTTAATTAATTAATAATTAGTTGTATTTTCTATAATTAAAATTAAAATGTGAGAAAAAATTTTAATAATTGTTTTTTTATAGTAGCTAAAATGCGCAAATTTCCAGTTAAAATCATACTTGAAATACTAATTTAATAAATCCCTAACATTAGAAATTACACTTAATATTGTACTTAATATTTTGAACTTTTTTGTGCTCTTTTAGATTGTTTGGAAGATTCTTAAAGTTTTGATTGGTAAAAACTATTAGAAACTTTGACTTAAAATATAAAAGAACACAAAAGTACAGAGACTCGTATAAAAACAAAAAATGATAAAATATTAATTGGATTAATTAATTTATGTGACCGCATTTTGAGCGTGAATGAACATATTAAAATTAATTCTGGAGAAATACTAATTTAAGAGATTTTCCATAAATGTCTTTTTGATATTTCTGATCATAATTCGATTCTAGTAGACTAAAATATATAAGAGTATGATTAAAAAGTTGTCAAATGTAAAGGAGACTAAAGTAGATAAGCCGCCTTCAATTTATTAAAATCATTATGTAAAAATTGTCCATAAAACTTACATTTTTTGATGTCAACAGGCTTAATTAAACTCCTTGAAAATCTTCCCGTTGTCTAATATAGATAAAAGGAACCAAGAAGTGATCTTGGCTATGTGGGATTATATAATCTAGGTTGCATATGTTATATGAATGCTATGATTTAGTAATTCTTTATGACTCCTACATTCAGAAATGCAATTTTAATGGCTGATGACAACAAAGAACTTAACTTTGAAGAAGTTGAATATAATAAAAAATAAATGGTCACAGATGATAACGTACTCCATTAATTTTAATAAATGTTTGCTTATTTATTAATGAGTGATAGAGTTGAATATAACCCTATTGAATTCTGCTTTTCATTTAAAGATTATATGGGAGAACCTGTAAATACTATTGTTTAATAGGATGCTTAAGAATTCTTGAATATGATATTCGATAAATTAGAAAACAGCTTAAAAAATACACCATTTAAAAAAATATTGGAAGGTGTTTATGGGGGAAAGACATGTACTTAACTTATTTGTTAAAATTGTAAGCATTTAAGCAATGTTTTTGAGACCTTTTATAGTTTATCTGTTGAAGTTAAAAATTAAAAAACTTTAAATGAATCTTTAAATAAATTTATTGCAGGTGAAACCATTTCTGATTATAAATGTGAAAAATGTGAAAAAAAGGTTGATGTAGTTAAAAAAATATTCCTTAAGGATTTACCTAATGTACTTATAGTACATTTATAAAGAATCATTTTTGACATTGAAACAGTCCAAAATATTAAAGTGAATTCTAGATTAGAATTTCCTGAACAACTAGATTTAAAATCTTACACAAATGATGTACATGAATGCAAAAACAATGAATATTTCGAATATTAATTAGCCGGAGTTGTCGTACATACAGGGACAGCTGAATATGGACATTATTATTCTTTTATTGATACTAATAGAGAAGATTAAACCAATCAAACTTATGGAGAAACTTGGTTAGAATTTAATGATAGTAAAATAAGGGAATTTTAAAAGAAAAATATTGAATCAGAATGCTTTGGGGGACAAAGTAATGATTAAGATGATAATTCGAATTTTAACTGGTTTAAAAATAGGGATAATAGTAAAAATGCCTATATTTTAGTCTATGAAAAGAAAATAAAAAATAAAATCGAACTTATTTTATCTAATGAATAAGAATTGAAAGATACTGTAAATAAATTTAACCTTAAAAATTATGAATAAGATTCTAATAATCCACTTATTATTAAAATTAATTATTATGAATTTAAATAATAATAAGCATATAATAATACTTCTTTATATAAAAAAGTCTGGATTGATAACCATTAGTTTATGTTAGAAAGACATATCTATAATGAATCATTTTATTCCTTTATAAATGACATAATTAATTCTATAAATTTACCTGAATTAGATCAAAGTTAATGTCCGAAAGGTTATTATCAGAAATTCAATGAAATTTCTTAATAAACAAAAGAACAATATTAAACTCTTATAAATATTCATGCTAAAATAATATTTGAACTATTAGCTAAATCAATAGAGTCAAACGTAATGAAATATAATATATTTTATAATCGAAATAAATAACATTAATATATTTAAAAAAAATGTAGTTAATGTGTGAAAATATAACTAAAAGATTAAAAATATTACTTTAATTAAGTCCTGAATATTGCAGTGAATTTTTCTTTAAGCATTTTTATACTAAAAATCGTAATATAGATAGCTATATACTAAAATGCTCAGAGTCATAAACACGCTAGTTTTATTCAGAATTATATTCATTATGCACATAAATAATAATAAATTTCCATAATATATCTTTATAAATAACTGAATAAAATTAAATGGAATTTAAAACTAATAATTAAAGTTCTTAATAAAGTTTAATTTAAAAAGAACTTTTTGGATTTTTAATGAATTAGTTATCTTACCTTAATGATGTTGCAGTAAGAAATTGCTTTAAAATAGATTAATATTTTAGTTTTTGGTATAATTTTACATCATAGAATAGCAGTAATAATACATAAATTTGCCTTTCTATTTAATTTAAATTGACTTAGTTTTTCATTAACTTCTTTCTAGGAGAAAACTCACCAATTAAATATCTATAAAACATCTCATAAATGGGAAATAAAGTCGCCTAGCCAAATTATAATAATTTATTAAAAACAGTTTTGAATGTTTTAGAACATCTTTAAATGATTTATGAGTTTGATGATTAAGAAAAATACTAAATGCCTTCTGATTTAAAGATTATGTTAAATAATAATTATTTTTGGGAAAAAATATTGACTGTAGAAAATTTAGATAGTGATATTTTGCCATCTTTTGTACATAAATTAGCTTATAAAAACTTAGTATCATCTGAAATAATTGCTTGTGCAATACTTTAAGGTCTTTTCAGAATTTCAAGTGAAGAAGCAAAGTCTTATGTGAGTGCAATAGAACATTTTCTGATAATAGATGATGAATTTTAAAATTAAAGGATAGAATGGATATTAGGATTTCCAGGATTAAATAAGAGTTTTTCGAAAAACGATACATTTGGAGAAATAAAAGATGAGCGTAAAATATAAATAAATAACTACGGAACTTATGGAATGAATAATATTTGTGATTGCCTATATAAATTTGAAAGTAATTTATGTTTAGAACAAAGCAGAAGTGTATTAGATTGTATTTATTATAATAAAAAAATGCAAGAAAACGTAAGTATTTAATTTGTACTTTTAGTTTTGAAATTAGGTAACTAAATTCCTTCATTATTACAATATTTAGCCTTTTTACCATCTCCTTCTTATGCTTATGCTAAATATGTTGACCTTTTTACACCTTTTATTTAAGACTATTATTAAGATTCAAATAGAATTAAGTATTTTTATTTCCCAAAAAGTGAATATGCATAAGAATGTTTAAAAGAACTTAAAAGCTTTAATTAAAAACTCAAAAATATTTATGATTAAAATGGATTTGAGCAAATGCCTATTTATGATTAAGAATATGACTTTAGAAATTTTAAAGGATTCTAAGGTTTTTCAAAATTATACACAATCGGAAAAACACGAAGTATTTCTATTATTAAATAAGGATAGTTTGATATTTCTCAACTTTTAGAAAAAACTTAAAATTATTATTAATAAAATTCTAATAATTAATTCAAAAATAATAACGTTTTAAAAGTCTATGAAAGGGAACTTAATTGTTATATAACTGATAATATTCCTTGTTTAACAGAAAACAAAGCTTATGATAATGAAATTATTAAAGATAATATTATACTTTCTAATTATATTTAATCAGATTCGCCTTGGAATGCCTTCTTTAAATAAAGATAATAAATTGTTTATCCTTATATGAGTTAATAATAACTAAAAGAAAATAACACTGAATTAAGTATTTTCATTTTTTATTTTTTTATTACAAAAATTATATTTTTTTTTAGATAAATTAATGGATTAATAATTCAAAAACGATAAATGCATTCGAGAATTATAAATAGTAAATAATAGTAATTATAATGTCTAATTAGTTATTTCTTTCAAGATTATTAGGCAAAATATAAATAATTTAATACTACCCAAAAATTCAATTTAATTCTTAATAAAACCAAAAACAAATTAAGTTGTTTTTGCTTTTGCAAAAACTGATATTGAGTAAGATTTTGGGTAATACTAAATTGATTTCGAATATGGATTATTACTAAATTATTCCTAAATTAATACTTAAAGACATTTAATTTCTAAAATCACTACTTTTGATCTACCTTTATTATATGATGTTTCAAATATTGATGAAAGTCAAACGTAATTATTATAATAGATAGTTGATTAAATGTAGGAAAATAACAAAGGTTAAGGAAATATGAATGAAAATATTGAAAATGATGCATAAGAAAGTTTATAGGATGAAGACGAAGAATTGAAACAGGAAAAAGTTATTGAAGAAAATGTTAGAAACCTTCAATTGGAAAATTAAATAGAGTAAGAAGAATTAAAATAAATGGATATTGAATAAAACAATTAAAATGATCAAAACAAATTTATTCCATATAGTAGTGATGAATATTATTGAAATTTTATTAAAAAGCTTCTTTATTTTTATTTTTAAATCGGAAAATATTCTATATATAAAATACGAAAAAAAAAAAAAATATTATAAATAATTTAAATTTATTTTATTATATTTAAAATGTTTTATTTTAATTTTTTATAAATTTCTTTATAATCATTATTTTTTTAAAAAATATCAATCTTTTTTTATCATCATCTTTTCTAATATATAATAGGGTTCTGTAATCAATTTCCAAAACATAATTTTTTTTTTTAAATAATTTCAATTAAATAATATATTAAAAAAAGGGAGTTTATATAATGAATAATTAACAAGAAAAATGTCATATTTTAGAGAAGGATATATAGATTCTTGACTTTTTTGCGCAGATTTTTATCTCATCTGCCCATATATAACCCCTTTTTGTTCATAAATATGTTTTATTTAATTTTAGGATGATTAAGTTATACTTGATGAATTAAGTCTTCTATCGGATTTGACTATTTTTACAATATCTGTACCTATTTAGAGCCTATTTTCTATCACTATTTTTTAATTTTAGGGCAGCTTGTAATTTCAGGATGTTTTTATAATTGATTTCTTCGGTTATATATTATTTTATGCTTTTAATAGTTTATCTTTAAGAATTTCCACTATTTTTAAATTGACACTTTATCCTGAAATTTTTAGGACGAAAATTATACTTGTAATAAATATTCCTTTTGATATCCTTTAAATTTGAAATTGTAGAAATTAATAAATTAAAATTTATAATTAATAAATATTATTTTATTATTAATGAATGTTTAAAAAAAAAAGTGATTATTGCTTAATTTTTTTCGTTTTATTTATTACTAAAATTAAATTTTGATATAGAAGATTTAAAAAATAATATTAGTATGATGTTGTTCAGATTAATATTTATATATTCATTAAAAAATATTTTATTTATTAAATAAAAATACAAAATATTTATTTAAAAAAAAATATTTATATATATATAAATTGTTTTAATAAATTAAAACGAAAATAATATATTTTTAATTATTTGTTTAAAAAATAAATTAATATTTTATTATTTTTTTAAAAAATAAATATAAATTATAAAACTAAAAAAAATATTTTAAAATTAAAAAATAAGAATGACTTAACATTTATGCAAAACTCCATAAGTTAATATTATAGGCAAAATAAAAGGAGCATACAATTTTGAGTATTAAACTGCATATGTTAAATACAGTTTCAAAGTTGGAGAAAATTGGACATTAGTTTCTGGAATACATGAAGGAGATACATTTTAATCAACATCATCTCATAATAAATATATTCCATTAGATCATCCTTTTGATTTAAACTATGCAAGCAAATCATTAAGAGGATGGCCTAAACTATTTATAGAAGTATGGTTAATTGATAGTTATGGAAGAAATAGTTTAGGAGGATACGGAATTATAGGTTTACCTATGGCTTCTGGATTTTATAAATTAGATATTCCATGTTGGCGTCCAAAATCGACTTTTTCTGATTATATTATAGGCGCACATCCAGAACTTATACATAGAGATATACTTATTGCGAGTGACTCTAGGTTCAATTTTAAAACAGAAAGTACAGGAAATATATAAGTGGAAATAGATATTTTAAATAAAGATTTTGGATTACATGGAGTTTAATTATAAGATAAAGAAATTGATGATATGGAATGAAAAAATTAAGATTTATTTGTAAAAATAATAATAATTAAGAATATATATGTTATTAAATATATTTATTTTAAATAAATAATTTTTTATTTTTTATTTTTTATAAAAAAAAAAAAAAAACAAAAAAAAACAAAGTTAATATATTAAAATTAATTAATATTTTTTTTTTTTTATTATATTAAATTATTTTTAATAAAGAATTCTTTATTTTATTAAGAAATTTACATTTTTGTTAATCCATTTTCATTTATTTTGAATATTTGATATTCTATAATTTAAACTGAAATATTTTTTTTTAGAAGAAGTATGCTAATCTTCATAAATATTTTCAGCTATTATTTCAAGTTGTGATTGATATTTATTGATTTTTTTATATGAGTTTAATTAAATTTATTTATTTTCAAAAAATTCTTCTTGTATATTATTTTTTTATTAATTATTATTTTATAATCTTTAAAAAAAATCTTCTTTTTAATTATTATTGTTTTTTTTTACAGGAGATAGTTCTAAATTATCATCAATTTTGATACATTAATTCTATTTAATATTCTTTTCATTTTATTAGTATTCGAATTGTTGATTTGATTTTAAAATTTTCTATTAAATTAAATCTTCGTCAAATTAATTTTATTCAATTATTAATTCATCTTTACTTGATTCCTAAAATAGCATATTTTCCTAATTTTTACTTTTTTCATATTAAAAATTTTGTTTTTCTTGAAGTTCATTTAAATAATTATTATTTAAGGAAATATTTGAATTATTATTTTAATTTTTTTTTTGGAATAAATCTAAATATAACAAGTGTTCTTCATTTTTTGTTTTTATTGATTTTTATGAAATTTTTTAAATAGAAGCCAATTATTATTTAATATTTAAATTTATCAATTACTAATGTTAAATTTTTAAACAATTTTATGAAATATTATTTTATTATGTTTTACTTTTAAATATTTTATTCGTCTTTACTTATTTTTGTATAGAATTTGCCAAATTTAACCGTATATTCGAAAAATTATTAAAATCTACATTTTCTTTTGTTTAATAGTAATTGTTTGATTATAATTTAGCTTTTTAATAATTTTATTACTAATATTATACAAATTGTGGATAATTATTATTTAAAATTTATTTTTATTAAATAACTTCTTTTTATTAGTGATAACTTTAGCTCTTAAAAACTACTTAAGAACTATATATATTCTTTTGATTATTTTTAGGCGAAGAATAATCTAAAGTAGATTGTTTTTGGAAACTTTAACTTTTTTAAAGTTTATTTTAATTAATTGGTATTTATTAATTAAATATTGGAATATTAAATATATCATCATTTAATTTTTTATTCATGAAGTTTTGAGATTTCGAATGTTAAAAATATCTGAAAATTACTTTTTTATAAATATTTATTTTTTCTTTTTCAAAAAAAAAATACATCTAAATTCTTTTTGAGACCCTAGACCACTTTGTTTTATTGTTTATATGTTGTTTTGATTGTAAATGCCAAATTAAAATTAATTCATTTATTTATTATATAGAATGCCTTCGCCACAATAATCCCCTTTTAATAGATTTCCGTCATAAAAATCTCCATTTTAATAATTCTTTATTCCTAGCCCACTTAATAATCCATTTTTATATAATCCACAATCTAATTTATTATTAGAGTAATGAAATAATCCTAAACCATTCGGAATATTATCAATAGTAACTCCAATATAAAAGCAATTATCAGAAAAAATATTTTTTTAAAATTGAATTAATTAATTTTTGTTGTGTTTTTATATTAATTTAAGAATTAAGTTTTCATAATTAATTAATTTTATTTCTTTATTTAAAAAATAATAATAAAAAAAAAAATATTTTCATAATTAAGTATACCTTTCTAATTTTAAAAATCAATATTTTTAACAAATATTCCATTCCTATATTCACTATAAATCAAATTCTATTCATTATTTATTTATTTAATACATTATCCATGTAGCTTTCCTTTTCTCCAATATCCAATATATTTTGTATTATTAGATAAAAATAAACAGCATTTTCCTTAACATTTATTTTTTTCGAAATTTCCTGCTAAATATCCTCCTTAATTAAAATAAATTATTCCTTGTCCGCATATATAGTCATCTTTAAACTCTCCTATTTTAATATTAATATCAAAAACATACAATTTATTTTTATTATATTTTATAATACCTATATAAAAATTTCCATTATCCCATAAAAATATCCCGAAAATCTCTTTTTTTTTTGTTATTGGATTAAAATAACCTTGATACATTCCATTTTAATATTCAAAGTATTTTATTTCTAAATTCATATAAATTTAATTCTCTTACTTTTATTTAAAAAAATAAAATATTTTATATAAATTAGCTTTTAAAATTTAAAATTTTATAAAATAATAATGAAAAAAAAAAAATATCTAAAGTTTTTATACTTTTATAATATTTATATCAAAGTTTTTTCATTGAAAAATTTAAAGAAATAAATATCAAAATTTAATAAGATTCCATTTTTATTTAAATATGTAATTTTTATATTTTTCAAAGATTATAATTGAATATAATATTTATACTTTTCAAATATTAATAGTTTAATACTATTTTAAAAATAGTAATTTTTATAAAAAATAGACAAAATATAGAAACTATAAGATTAAAAGACAGAATATGCTTTAACATGATTAAAAAATTAAAAATCAAACAATTAATTGAAATGAAAATAAAATTAAAGTTATAATGTTAATAAACAAAAAGTAATTTTAAACATTTTCTAATTTAAAAAAGAATAAAAAAATAATAATTTTTATTTTAGAGATAAATAAGTATGATATTAATTAAATAAGAAATAAAGTATTTGTCTTAGTTATAATAATATAATTAATTATTATTCTTTTATAGGATTATTAATTGCAATAATATAAAACTATAATATACTAAAATGAGAAATAAATAGAAAATAAATAAAGAATAAAGTTTTTTTTAGTATATTAAATATAAAAATAAATTTAAATATTATATAGATTGGATATTTTAATAAATCTAATTAGCAAAACTAAGATAAAAATATTTTGAAAGATAAAAATAAATAAAAAAATAATATATGATGATTTTACTAAGATTAAATAAAAAATAATTATGATTTTTCTATTCTTTTTTTTTAAAAAAATAATGCAATAAATGAATAAATTAATGTTAAATAATTAAGTAAAAATTATATTAAACGTCTAATAATGTGAAAATTAAAACTATTCAAGTATTTTTAATTTAAACTGAAAATTTAATATTAAAAATAAATACTAAGTAAAAACTCTATATACTATACTTAAAATGAAAAAGATAAAAATTATTAAAAAATATTAATAAGTTAATAAAATATATTTTTATTTTATTTATTAGAAAAATATAACAATAATTGATAATTTTAAGTTTTTATAATTATTTTTATTAATTAATTTCATTTAAAATTTATATTACATTTATTAAATATCATTTTTTTTATTGATTTTCAATTATTTAAAAATTAGTTTCTAAATATTAACCTATTAAACATTATAAATAATTAGCTTCTTTTCCTGCATTATTTTTCAATTTGATTTCTTGAATAAAACCAACATTAATTTCTCCAAATATTTTACTTGCAAAATTAAGATTAAACAAATTTCTAACAAATTATCTTATATTACTGTTAATTTTTTCAAAACGTTTATTATTATAATCTTCTTTAAAATATTATTTAATTTTTTTCATTTCAAGTTCTGATTCAAAGTTAATATAAGCCCTAATATTAGGAAGAAAATAATTTTTAAAGAAATTAATCTAAATTAATCTCCAATAATTCTTAATTTAAAATATTTTTCGTAATTTACTGTTAAAATTAATTCTTAAGACTAATTAAAATTTCATCTTAATTCGAAAGCTTAATAGTATTATCTATAGTAAAAACTCTTGTAAAAGAGAATTCCATGAATAAATATGTAAATGATTTTCTATATTTAATTCTAGCCTATGAATATTTTTCATTTTAAGCTAAGTTTAGATATTTGTTTATTTGATTTTGATCATTTATAATTATTTCTTCTCGAGCACTTATTCGATATACTCTTTCTTAAAATTGAATATCTAAATTGTTCTTTTTATTTCTGTCTTTATAATCTAAGACTATTTTATCAGCATTTTGATGTATTTTTAATCTATATCCGTCTTAAAAATTATAATCTATCGTTATTTCACATGTCGTCTATTTTAATGTATCTAAATTAAGAATTTAATCATTTAGAACGTGTTAATTAAACTTAGTTTTTTTATCTTTTTCATCTATTAAACACTTAAAAAACTTAGTTTAGTTTAAAAAATCTCTTATTTAACATGTACTTTGAAATTTATAAATATCCTGAAATTAATTAACTATTTAGATTTAGTTTAATGATAATTATCTTATAGTATCTAGTTTAATAAAGTCTTTTTCTCGTTAGTTTACATTTGTGCTTTTTAATACTAGTAATCCGATTTTGCCTTCGATTTCAATATCAATGTTTTTTGTTAATACTATTTCAATTTATTTAAATATAAAATTTTAAATGTTTTAAAGGGGAGCAGATTGCATTTGAAAATCGAAATTCGGATCTATTGGAAATAATTGTTTTCTTAAAGAAACTTATTACATTTTTTTTTTTTTTTATTAATGTTTTTTTTTTTTTTAAAAAAAAAAAGAAATTTTAATTAAAGATAAAATATAGAAAATAAATATATTTATAAATTATTTTAAAAAATAATTATTTTAAATAAATTAAAAGATATATTATTAAATATATCATTTTTATTAAATATGAATATTTTATTTTAAAAAGTTAATTCTTATAATGAACAAATATAAAATTTAAAAACTTCTATAAATTCTAAAGTTAAGCCGTATTTTTTATATAAAATAGTAAAAATATGAAATATTTTTTAATTAAAAAAAAATAACTTAAATAAGAATTAATATCTAAAATAGTAATCATATTTTAGGGAATCAAATAAAACTATTTAATTATTAAAGCAAAAGTAAATAATATTTTATTTTATTTTCTATTAAATATTTTGATTACTTTTTATTAAGTTATAGACGATTAGAATGCATATTAATTAAAAAAGAAAATTATATCAACCAAAATACCTAGGAATTGTAAAATAACCATGTATTTATATACTAATTTTATATAATACTAAACATATTGAATTAATTAGAATTGATTAAAAAAATATAAAACTTCAAAATGTAAACTATTCAATAATATTTAATTTATCAAATATATTTCAATTTGAAATAAAAACACTTGAATAAATATAATTTTTGAAAATACCTATTATTTTTTAAAAAGAAAAAGTTACTTAATTTTTAAAAAAATAAATAAATAAATAATAAAATTACGTTAAAAAAAGATTGATATCATCAAATAAGAAATATACAAATTAAATTAATAATTATTAAAATTATTCTAGAATCAAAATTCGATAAAAGACTTTGATTAATACTAATTTATATTTATAGATTATTTAATTAAATAAAAGTTTAGCGAAAATATTATATAAAATATAGCTAATTAAGTAATAAATATAATTAATTATTAATTATTTATTTTATTATTAAATTTATTTAGTCTTATAACCTACAAAAGAAACTATTTATAAATTTTAAAGGTCTTTAATAATTATAAGTATTTGAAAATGGTTTAAATATAATGAGACTATAAATTAATTTTTTATTGGAATAAATATTTAATAAAAGATTATTTACAATTAACTTTGAATATAATTATTTTAATGTAAATGAATATAATTATTTTGTTAGCATATATAATCAAAATCGTTTAAACTATATAAATTATCCTAATAAGTTTGATTGTATTGATGTTTTTACAGATTTTAATTTAGACTAAAATTATTTATAGAAAATTTAAAGGTTATTCCAAATTGAAAATAATGATTCTATTTGTTTAGTCTAATGGAGTACTAGTGGTAATATTTTAAATGATGTATATGAAAACTATGAAAAATTTTAAATTAAAAATTTAAATAATTTATATGCTTTAAACACTGATTTTTTTTTTAAGAAATTTAAGAAAATTTAATTAACTAATTTTTTATATAATTTTTAATCAATCTAAAATTAAAAAATGATGAAAGTGGATATTAAAATTAAATAGAATTGTTTATAAAATTAAGAACTAATACATTAACAATATAAAGGTTTGAATAGAAGTCAGGAATTCCTTCTTAAATTAATGAGTTATTTATTTTTCTTATGTAATAAAACATTCAATTTAGTTGTGTTATACTTTTAGAATATTCTCAAAATGGTATATATATATATTTATTTTTAATTTGATAATTTATATAAACTTAAAATATATAATAAAGAATTTAAAAAGGATCACATGTATTTAATTCCATATATTTAAAATAATAGAATGATTTATTAAATACATATTTCATTTTAAAACATAAATTTTATTTTAGATAATAATGAATAAAATAGTTTAGTAATATTTAAAATTAAAAATTTATATTACTTGTTCATAGTTTTTTTATTTTATTTTTTAAAAAACTCATGAAAAAAAAAAAAAAGGAATATTAATTTTTTTTTTTTGATTGAGTTTTTAAAATAAATTAAATAGAAAAAAAAAATAATATGAACAAGTAATATTTTACTTATAAATTTCTTATATGAATATTTTTTATAATAGGAAAAAATTTTATTTGATTTTTAAAATCATAAATAAAATAAACTGTTTGAAAGCTTTTTAAAATAAAAATGCCTTGAAGTTCTAATAAGATAAGCAATATATTAAACAAATTACTTTAGCATTTAAAAAGTTGAAAAAGTAAACAATATTAGTTTTGTTATATTTATAGATACAAAATAAGACTTCAAATAAAAATAATTTAATTTTAAAATGCAGCTTTTAGTTAATTCTGAAAATTTTCTAGATATTAGTGCTTAAAATATATAAATTGAAAATAGTAATTAAGAAAGTTTCAAATTTCATTTAAATGATTTTCGAATAAGTAAAATATTTTATATTAAAAAATTTTTAAAAGTATAAAAAAAAAATTATTATTAAAAAAGAAACAAGATATATAATGACTAATTAATAAACTCCTTTTTAAATAATATTTTAATTAATAAAGCCATTTTTAAATTATATATAAAATAATTATTATATATCTATAAATTGTGACTCTACTTATTATTAACATGAATTGAAAAAAACATTTAGTGTAATAAATGATAATAGTTTAAGTTAATTTATTAATAATAAATAAATTTAGTAATAATTTTAATAATAATTTTATATCAAATTAAGTTAATAAAATTGAATATATTGATATATAAATATTTATTTTTGTTTAAAATAAATATAAAAAAATATAAAAAAAATAAAAAATAAAAATATATATATACATATATAAATATAATTAAATTATTTTCATTATTATTAATTTTAAATCAAGTTTTTTGATTTATAATATATATTTCTTATTTACCAAAAATAAATAATAAAAATTAAATAAAATAAAGCATTATAATATTTTTTTTTTCGTTTCATAAAATTAATTTATTATTTCAATATAAAAATATACTTCATACTTATCTTTGTTTGATTTTAAATTTACATCGTATAAATTATGAAGGCATAATATAAATTTTAATAATTATACTTTATAATGAAAAAAGAACTATAATTATTATTAAAAAAAATATATAAATAAATTCTATTAAATGATAAATTATAATATATATTTATATATATATATTTAAATATATATATAAATATATAAATATATATATATATATTTAAATATTTTCTTTTAATATAAAATTAATTTTTTTTTCAAATAAATTATATCATTTTTATTTTTATATTTTTTTTATTAAATCTTTATAAAAAAAAATTAAATATAAAATATAATTTTAATTATTTATTATTGGAATGTTTTTTAGTTTTTGAGATATTTAAATTATATATAATTTTATTTTAATAAAATATTTATTATAATATTAATATGCCGATGCATATATTAAAATCTCTAAAAATAAAAAAATTATTTGTAAAATAAAATAAAATGAATATTATATCTTTATTACATATATTTTTTATAATTTTTTAGAAAAATAATATTTTAAATATAAAACATTTTTGTATCTTATTTTTATTTTTGTAATAATTATAGTTCTTTAATTAAATTAATATATAATTATTTATTTTGTATTATTTAAACTACTTTTTTCCTCCTTATAAAATATAAAATAAAATATATTCTGGAACTATAAAACAAAATATTCATTATTATTAAATTTTGTATTAAGAATAAATTATCTAAAAATGAATAAAATATATTTAGAAATAATGGTTTATCAATAAATATTTCTGCATATATTTTATATTCTTAAAAAATATATATATTTAATAATCTTAAACATAAAATAAACAATATTCAGAAATGAATAAAGTTATTATTAATCCTGTAATATTAATATAATACATATATTTATTAAAAAATAATTTAAATTTATATAATATTTAATTGCTTTATAATAAATATAATTACTTTTATTAAAAAAATAATAAATTAAAATATTTTAACTTTTTTATTAAATTTTGTTTTAATTTCTTTATTAATGAATTAATAAAATATTAATTAATATATAACATATATTAGTTAGAAAAAAAATTATAATATAATTAATCACTTTATAAAGAAAAGAAAAAAAAAAAAAAATTCTACAAATTTATTAACAATATATTTATTCATGAATATTTAAAAGTTAAATCAGTATATTACCACACTTAGCTTAAATATAAAAGCCTAACCATTAAAAAATCTCTCAACATAGTCACTGAAGCATCAATTATATTCAAATGGGAACCGTCTACATCTTTCCAATTTACAGGAACTTCAACAATAGGAACTTTATAATAGTTAGCAATCATAAAAAGTTCAACATCAAAAGCCCATCTTTCCAAATGTTAAGTTTAAAATATTTTTAGAGCAGTTTTTTAAGTAAATAGTTTAAATCCACATTATGTATCATTTAATTTAACTCCACATATTTATTACACTATAATTTTCGAAATCAAACTCAAGACTAATCTATACCATTTCCTTTCCAATTATGTATCTTAATACATATGACTTCTTGAACCTACAGATATTCCTAAATTATTGATTTCTATTTATTAAATCTTTTATTAAAAATAATAAAAATAAATATATTAATTTTTAAATTTACTTTATCATAAAGTTTTTAAAAATCGTCAATTTTAGTTGCCCCATCTGCGTCTGCAAAAAGTCTATATTTTCCTTTTGCTAAAAGTATTCCCTTTTTTTTTATTATATAGAAGTTAATATATTTATAAATTTTAATATTGTTTTCTTTTTTTGTTTTGTTTTACATATCTAACTGCCCCTCCTTTACCTATATTTTTCTTATAGCTAATTATTTTTAAGTTTATTTTTTTTCCTTAAAAATTAAAAAAACTCTTTACTATTTCAATACTATTTTGTTATATTTTCTAATGATTTTTTTTAATAAAATAATACGTTTTATCCTTTGAAGCGTCATCTACAACTATAATTTCATAATTTTTATTTTTTTAAGTATACTATTCTTCAAAATACTTTAGAAATAAAATTATATCTATTATTATTAGTAATTATTTTTTAGTTTACATTTATAGTCTAAGTAAGCATTTTTCCAATTCTATTTTATTCATTGTAGGCAGGTATTACTATTGATAAGTCATAATTTTAATTTTAATTTTAATTTTGGTATTCAATATATGATTATTCCTTTTCATTAAAAATAATTATTATGTCACTATAATTTTTAATTTCTTTTTAATATGTGTTTATATTTATTAATACTTATGGTTAGCATTTTTAATTTATTTTTTCCAAGCAAAATAAGGCTAAAATATGAATTTTAGTAATTAAATCTATATTTTAATAATAATATATCACATATTTAAATTTTTTTGAAAATTAAATATTTATATACAAAAAGTATTATTAATATAATGAACAAAATTATGAGTAAATCCATTTTTTATTATTTGCAGAAAAATTAATTTTTATTTAAAATTTATTTATTTATAAATCATTTAATCTAAAATAAATATTAATTATAATTTTTTAATAAATTTGGTTTTTTATAAAAAAAAAATGGATTATTTATTTATATAATAATATATAAATCATAAGTTTATATAAATTTCACCATTTCTAAAAGGATTTCTCTTTTTAAAAAAACTAAAAAAATATTTTGAAAGAATATATTTTAAGTTTAGATAATACAATTTTCATTCATTTATTTGTTTTTAAAACATAAAAACTAATCAAAAAAATAGAAGAGAGTTATTTAAATATTATTATTTTTTATTTTAAAATTTTGTGAGCTTTATGGAAAATTATTTTTATTATCATAGTGATAAAAAATATAAATGAATTTACTCCAAGAAATTTCAAAATATTCAATAAATAAGATGTTTAAAAGTAAATCTAAAATATGCATTAAAAAATAATATATAATTTAAATTTTTTCTTAATAAATAGTTAAAAATTAGTTTAAAACTACTAAAAATAATTTTATAACTTTACATATAAAAAAAAATGATATAAAAAAATTTACAAATCAAAAAAATTAATTTTAGAATAAAAAAAAAAATCATATAATAATAATAATTTCATAATAAAATAACATATATTTCTAAAATTGCAATATCAAAATTAATATATATGTGAAATCACAATAACAAAAATAATATATATATAATTTATAGAATTAAAAATTCGGTAGATATAATTTAGAAGTTATTTATTTTTCTCAAAATTTTATAAATGAGTATAAATTGTAATTTTGTTTAATCTTATATAGGATAACAAATTAAAATACTAAGATTTTATATTATTTTTATAATAAAATAATATATTTTATTTCTCTAATTTATCATAATAAATTTTTAGTAATTATTTATAATCTTTTACAATCTAAAATAATAAAAGTTTGTAAAAAATATTAGTATTTAATTTTTTGTTTGTTTAAAAAATAAGTTTATTATTTTAATTACAAAAAAAAATATAATTATTTATAATTTAAAACAATAAATAATATTAAGAATGTTATAAATTTTTACAATAAAATTCAATAAATTAATTTATAAGTGCAATAAATAAACTAATTATTAAATAAAAAGAATTTGTTTAATATACATTATAGTAAAATTAAAAAGTACTTATTATAATATTTTTTAACTGAAAATAAAAAAAAAAAATTAAATGAATATATAATAAAATTAATTATTAAAAGATATAATATAAATAGATAGATTTATTAATATTTATGTATCATTGAATATAATATTTGTATATTCTAAAAAAATAAAAATATATACATATATATATATATATATATATTTATTAAAAGAAATTATTAAATTTTTATTATTGTAATAAACTTTAATAATAATAATTAAATTTAAAAAAATTTAATTAAGTCATAACAACGAGCAGGCTGTATGATTTTTAAATAATTTATATTTTTTATGATAACTTTTAACAAAAAAAAATAATAATTGAATTTATTTGAAAAAAATAGTCGATTTATATATATAAAAAAATATTATTTTAAAATCCATATTTTAATTATTTATATTCAAAATATAATAATTCTAATTTACTTCGTTTAAGTATTTTTTTTTAAAATAAAATTATCAAAAATAATATCAATGAAAAACTTATGCTTTAAAAATAATGATTTTAAATCAAAATAAAAAAAAATAAATTTAATATAATTAATTACTTAACATTTAAAAAATTAAAAATATTCTATCTATATTTTAATAAATAAATTAATATATATATATATATATATATATATATATTATTACAAAGTATTTTTTAAAAAAGCTTGTTATTTAATTATTAAATAAATAAAGAAAGAGTATTAATTGAAAAAAATTTAATAATAAAAAAAGATTTCGTAATTTCATAAAATTATTTATATGTTTATATAATTTTAATAAAATAAAATTTTTAAGTAAATAGAATTTTTTAATTATTCAAATAAAATGGTATTAATAAAATTATATTTAGAAAAAATAAAACAAAAATTTAAAAATATAAAAAGAAACTTAAAAAAATAATATATAAATAAAATATATTAATTATCTTTTAATTAAAAATAATTAAAAAAAAAAAACGTTCCTAAAAAATTAGAAAAAAATAAAAATAAAAAAATGAAAAATTTTACAGGCACACAAACTTAGTGCTATAATATAGACAATAATACCTTATTATAATTTAAAGCAACAACAGATTTACATAATTCATTAATAAAAGAAAGAAAGAAAACTGAAAATACACGTACATTTATAAATACAGGAAAAGAGTTATTAAAGCAAGCTCGCATAGAGAAACAAAATGAAAGAATTAATCCAAGGAAAGAAATGACAATAGAAAGCGAAATTATAGCTTTGTCGAATTACGGAAATCCCATAACAAATGAACGAACATAGAAGCTAATAGAATAACAAAGGGAAAATAGAAGAGAAAAGCATTTAAAAACTTTAAATGACTTCGAAAAATGGATCGAATCTTTAGAAAAAGATGTTTTATTAAATTACAAAGAAATAAAAAATGATATAGATAATTATTTTATTATAAATGATAAATAATTAGACGATTATTTTGAAAAATTAAATGACGATGTTCTTTTAAAAAGAGAAAAAAATATTATTTAAGAAATTAATGATATTGTTAAAGTAAATTAATATACATTTAATATATTTTTTTGTTTAATAATAGTAATGTGAAGTAAAGAAAAAAAATAAAGTCAATAATTTAGATGAGAAACTAGAAGAATTAGAAAAGGAAAGGGAAAATAATTTTATATTTTTTTGCAATAAATTAGAGTTTTCACTAATTGAAATAGCCTTTATGTTAGAACCATAAGTAAAAGAACTTGTTAATATTAAAAGAGATGAATTCCAAAAAAGTGTTAAGGAAAATAGAATTTTAAATGAAGAATATGTTAAAAATACTGAAGAATAATAATTGAAAGCTTTAGAAAATTTCATTTAAAAAAGAGACTAAAAAATTTTAAGATGGAAATAATTAAAACATGATGAAGCTTTGAATATTTTTAATGTAGAAATATAAACTATGGAATATGTTAATCCTAATTAAAGAAAGGAACTTTATTAAGAATTAAAAGATAGATAAGTTGAAATATTTAAAGGAAAAAATGAATTTTTAGATAAAGTAAATAACATAGATATGAATGCATTAAGTAAATCCTATTGCGAAAAATAATTGGAAGAGTTATAAAAATATAACAATACAGCCTAATTATATTTTGACTAGATTTTCGATAAAATAATGTAAGAAAGTGAAGAAAATAAACAAAAATGTACACAAAGAGTCTTTTAATTATAATAAAGATTAAACTACATTGAAAATTTGCCTGAAAATGAAATAGAAGTTCTTTTAAATGAATAAATAAACCCAATAATTATATAATTATATGAGAACTCACGTTAATAAATAAAAAAAAGTATGTAATTTTAAGAAGAGTAAGATTTTAAACAAAATGAGTTAGTTTAAAATATTTTGAAGGTTTTTTTAAAGATTGGGGAGAAAAATGATGATAGTAAAAAAAATATGTAAAAACTAAACTTCGAATTTGAACTAAAAAAAGCTACTGCAGCAGATGAAAACGATGAAAAATTAGAAAAATTAAATGAAGAATTCGAAAAAATCAAATTTTTGTTAAAGTAAGCCCTCCACCATCCTAAACTCAATGAACTTTTGGAAATTTCATTTAATAAAATTGATGATATAGAAAAGGAATATAGAGATTTTCATGAAAAAAACATTCAAATAGCAAAATAATAACCTATTCTTATCTAAAATTTGTTTTTGGAATATGAAAAATCTATATTGGAATATTTCGAATTAATTCCTTTGTCATAAAAAAGCTAAATTGAAACCAGAAATCTATAAAGAGCTTAAGAAAAGGCTTTAAAAATAATTCAAAAATAGGACAAGCTTAAAGAATTAGAAGAGTTAAAGGCATAAACAGATAATGCGAATAAAAAATAAGCCAAAAAAGCACCTCCTGCAAAAAAAAACGATCCTAAAAAAGGATTATCGGAAGCTGAAGTACGTTTATAAAATGTCATAGATCAAATCGGAATTGAACCTGTTTAATTTTTTAAAACTCCACTTAATAATGAGTATATTATGGGAAGTTCTGAAGAAGAGTTAGCAATTAAACTTTATAAAATCGAAGGAGAAGATGAAAAAAAACAGCCTACTGTTTAATAAATTTAATAAGGTAGTTAAATTGATCTTCAGATAAGTGAAGAAGTAATTATTCCTGTTGATTTTAAATAAAATCCGCCAGTTGATCCCGAAGGAAATATTATTTTGGAGAAAAATGTTGTTGTTGAATTACAAAAAGTAATCGAAATTGTTTAAAATTGTAAAAGAAAAGCTTTTGAATATATATAAATAGTATTAGATGAAACATAATCATAAAATAAAATTAAAGAAAAAGAATTCGTAACTATTATATTTAAAATATATATATATATATTTATATTAAAGATAGAAGATTCGATTCTTAATTTAGATGAAAGGTTAAAAATTCACTACCCTTTAAAAGGAAAAGTAGAAGTTGAAATTTATTAGGTAAGGTCTGCTTAAATAAGTTAACATAAAAAGAGATATGAAAGATTTGCTAGATCTTCTATTGAAAAGATTGATTTATAAACTGAGCATTTCAACTTTTTAATGGAATAGGCTTTGGAAGATATGAAAGAACATGAAATATAATAGAAATAATATAAAGATTCTTTATAGACAGCTAATAAATTGGCTAAACTTTAAGGAATATAAAACCATGTTAAAGAGAATTCTTTTTAATTTGGAGAAAGTATTTATATATTATTATTTTCTTGCTTTTTTTATATATAAGAAAAATAAATAAAAAAGAAATTAGATATTTGGAAGAAAAGTTAAAAAGTTTAGCAAATGATGAAATAGAGTTTATGCTTTAAAAAAATAAAACTTTTATAAAAGAAAGTAAGCTTTTCTCTGAAGGAGGTGAATATGCAGAAGATGAAGTTTAATGGTATTAAAATATGATAAAAGATATAGATTAATAATTAGAAAAATCTAGAATTAAAAGAAACGAACGTATATAGGAAATTATAGTTCATATGAATAATAAAAAAAAAGAATTAATTGAATAATTTGAAAAAACTTATGCTATTGCTATTGAAGAATTAGCTGCAAAAGTAAACTTGTTATTAAAAATAAATAAAAAGATTTCAATAAATAAAGGATGGAACAGGTACAAAATATGGAAAACCACGTCGTTATGTCTAAGAAAGAATGCGAACAGAAATGAATAAATGTGAAAAAGCTTAAGATGCAATAAACGAGAACTTATGTAAGTTAAAAGAATTATATGAAGAATACAAATAAGATGAAAATAATATTGAAAAACATATAAAAGAACATACATAAGTAAACAAAATGAACTTATTTTCAAATAGAGTTAGAAGAGTACTTATGGTACTAAGAACAATAATGAAAAGGTAATTTTTTTTTTTTTTTTTTTTTTTGGAATGTTTATTTATAAAAAAATATAGATATGCAATTCATATAAATGCTTTAAAATAAAATTGTCCAATAATAGATATTTAGAGAATAACCTATATAGAAAATAAATTTGATATACAAATAACTTAATAAGAATATGAGAAAGATAAGATTTTATAAGAAAATGAATTAGAAGAAATCGGACCTCTTTTTTTTTAAAAAGATAACTTAAAGTTTTCTGAATGGGTACAAGAGATTTAAAAAAATACAATATTGGAAGCTTAAAAAATATATTAAGGAGAAAAAGCAAAATTTTTAACTGGAACTGATAAATGTCCTGATTATTTAAGATAATATGTATAATTAAATGCAATAAAAGCAGAAGAATTTAGAATTTAATCATGTAGAAATTTAAGAAATTCATGTGAAGAATTATCTAAGTTTTCTCCTTTTATCAGCGAAATGATATTCGTATCAGTAAAGTGGAGACATTAGTAATTTTTGAACGAAGAAGAGAGAAAAATACTTGAGAAATTTAGTATAATAAAGGAATAAAATGAAAATTAAAAAGAAAATCATATAAAGAAACTTAGACCAAATCTTTAAAATCCTTAATGTAAACAAGAATTAATACAATTAGTGAATGAAGAAAAAGATAGAATGAAAAAATATATTGAAATATTAAATTTTTACAAAAATAATTTACTAGATTTGCGCTTTAAAGTAAGCTCAGATTTCTTTAGGGCACTTTTAAATAATTTTGAGTTTTTATTAGTTTATTTTGATAATGAAATCTTGTTTGAGGATTTTAATAAATTACCTGGAGATGATGAAATTTAAAAACAACATGAAAATATTAAAGTCCTTTATAGAATTAAATAAAAAGGAATTAATATTGACACTTCAAGTGAAAGATCTTTAAATAAGGTTTGGGTAGGATTTCCTATTGATTCATTTAATATTGATGAAAGAAAAGTTGAATATAAGTAAACAGTTGTCTAGGAAGATGAGAAAGGGAAAAAAGAAAATAAAAAAGGTAAAAATCCACCCAAAAAAGGAAATGAATTGGAGGAAGCTAATTAAACAAATAATAATTAAACTAAAGATATCAAATCTTTTAAAACCTATAGGTAGAAAAGTGCGTGCTTGTAGAGAAATAAAATGTTTGATGAATTCAAGAAAAATTTTTGTTATTAGATAGAGAAAATTAAGTAAGAATTCAACGAATTAGAAAATATAGAGTATAAGTTTGAATTTAAATGGGAAAGTATTGTTAAATCTTTAAATAATTTATGATTTATTTATTAAATATTCTTTTATTTTATTTTATTTTATATTATTGTAAAAATAATTATAATAATATAAATTAATATCATTTTTACTTTTATAAATATTTTACTTTTATTTTTATATTTTATATCATTTTTATTTTTATTTTTATTTTTATTTTTAAAATATTTTTATATTTAATATATTTTTATTTTAATATAATTTTATTTTTATTATTTTAATTATATTTTTATTTTATTTTTATATTTTTTTTTTTAATTTTATTTTTATAATCTTATTTTACTATATTAAAATATAATTTTTAAACATTCGACTTGATTTAAAATTATATTAACTTTTATATTTAAAATATTCTTATAATTTTTTTTTTTCACATTATATCATTTATTTTTATAAAGCAGTTTAGGTCATATTAATATTATAAACTTCTCTATTATTTAATTTAAATTTAAGTGAGAATATTCATTCAAATATTTTCATCTTATTTACATTAGATTTGTTTCTTATTATTTATAAAAGAAATTATATATTCCTATTGCAAAATTTTTTAAATTAATATTTATTTTTTGCTATTTTATAATCTAATTTTATTTTGTATCTTTTTAATTGATATTAATTTTTGTGTAATAAATAATATTAATCATTTTTTTATTTATTAAATTTAAATTTTTATTTAATATTTTATTTTATATAATAATTAATAATAAGATAAAAAAATATATAAAAAATTAAAAAAGTAAAAATAAAATAAAATAAAAACATATAAAATAATATGAAAAAATACAAAAATATTTATAAATTATAAATATTTTTTTTGATTTAAATATATTTTAAAAATATTTATTTTCATTTTATTTTCCATCCTAATTCTTCTCTAAGTTTTTTATAAACTGGTTTACATTCTCTTTTTCTAACGTTATGTAAATCTTTGTTTTTAGTTTTAAGTTTCTTTGTTTTTTTTTTTTTAAAAAAAAGTTATAAATTAATAATATTTTTATTACAACATATTTTTCAAGAATAAAAATAAGTTTTTCAGGATTCAAATGAGAATATTTAGTATATCTATTATTACCTTCTAAATAATCTAATGGATTATTTAATAAAAATAAATCTAAAAGTTATCTTAACTCCCTTAGGCATTCCATCAAATCTAAAAAATAAAGAATAATATATATATATAAGATAAAAAATAAATAAAAAAATATAAATATATATATAATTATATATAAATATATATTATATAATATATTTAAATATATATATTTATATTTATATATATGTATATTTTTATATTTATTGTATTCTTTAAAATTAACTTTGTTGTTGTTTTTAAATATTATTTAATATATATATATGCATTATATATTTTTATTTTTAAATTTTAAAAAAATGTAAAAAAAATCTAATTTTTATAATTTAATATATATATTTATTTTATTTCATATATATCAATTTTACTTGTACAATGATAATAATTATTATTACAAACTTCAAAAAGAGCTACTAAATCTGTCTATAAATTATAGAAAGCCACAATATTTAATTCTTTAATTTAATTGCTTGTAATAATTTCCCATATTTTTTCATTTATATGCTTAAAGCTTAAATATAAGCAAGCAATTAGCTAATCAGACTTAATAATACTCATAGAACTGAAAGTTCCGACCATAAAATTAATCATATCTTAAATAAAATCATTAACTTATATATTTCTTTCTTTAGGGGTCCAGTTAACTTAAAAATATGATTATAAAAAATTATCTACCTTTTCTTACATTTATTCGTTTATATATTCTATACATTTAAATCTTAATTGTTCAATCTATTTTATGCATTCCATGCTTTTACTCGGAGATATGTTCATTAATAATTGAATTTATTATACGTAATATTTTGTTGATTTTTATAAGTATTCTAAATTTATATGTGTTTAGGCAATTTAAACTACACTTTATATATTTTCGAATAATGTTTATTGTATAATGTTTTTAAACTTTATTTTTTTTAATTAATTTTCAAATTTTTTTTTTTTAATTTTACTGTTATATATAATTAATCTAATTAAGAAAAAATCAAACTATTCTATTCTTCAGTTCCTTATATATATAAAATGCAATTTTCTATAAACTTATTGATAATAAAAGATATTTATTAAAGAATCTAAGAAAATGGTAACTCATAGTGTTTTTCTTTTTTAATTTTAAGTTATCATCTTTTTCATCATCTGTAATATTAAATATTTATGCTAATTACTCTTTATATTAAATTAAAGTTATATAAATATTAAATATTAAAATATTAAAATATATATACAATAATCATCTTAATTATTAACTTTCATATGTCCAAAACTTTAATTTAATAAAGTTTCTTTATTTAAGTTTTTTATATTTTCTATAATTATATTAGAATACTGAAAAAGGGAATCTTAAATAATTTTTAAAATTTGTATGGAAGAACTTTCTAATCCTAATTTATTTAAAATATTAGAAAATAATAAAATGTCATTTTTTGAAGGAAGAAATTCTAATTCATCTTTTAAATCATTAAAATAATCCTTTTTTTTTTTTTTTTTTGTTAAATTTAAAAAAATATTCTTATAAAAAAATATTTAAAAAACTTTTAATTTTTTTTCTATTTTCTACATTCCTTCTATAGATAATTATTATATATTATTTATATCTATAAAAAAGTTTTAAATTTCTTTTTCTAAAATGAAAAAGCCAACTGCATTTTCCAAAAAACACCTTAATTATTTTGAATTATTTAATTGTTCACATTCACATATTTAATATAATTATCTTTGCCTATTTAACTTTAAAATCTCATTGAATATTTGTTTTTCTTACATTGTTTCATATATACTTTAAGGCTATTTTAATTGTAAAAAATCTAAATTTGTATCAATTTTTAATTATCCTTTTATTGTATTTCTTTACTAAAATTATCCAATTTTATTTGCATTAATTTAGTTTTATCCTACATCTATCATACTAACTTTATTTGCAATATTAGAAATTCTTAAAGTGCTTTTTCGGACTTCCATATCAAATAAAATACTATTTTATCTAGATTAAATGCTATTTTTAATATTAAATCCATCCAAATTTTAAATGTTTTATAAATTTTCAAAATTCTAAAAATATATATATCCTAACTCTTTTTATTTTATTTTGAATAATCAATCCATTTCCTAATAATTTACTCAAGTTCTCTTATTAACAAAAAAAATAAAAAAATAAAAAAACAAAAAATATGTATATTTTAAATTACAAATGAATTCTTGAAATAATTAATGGAATAAAAGATAAAACAAAATTTTATAATATCGGGACTATTTGATTTTCTTTACTTTCTAATATAATTTTTTTTATTTATATTATATTTCTCATACAAGCTGGGTATTTTTGCCTTTTTAAATTGTCTATTGTTTTTTATAAAATATTCATCATTTATTTCGAAAGATCTAACAATTTTAAAGTATTTTCTATATTTTTTAACATTGTTTTTTTTTGTTCTATTTCCAATTTATCATATTAATTTTTTTTTCTTATTTTCTTATTAAATTTATTTTATTTTATTTGTTTATTTTTTTTACTTCTATTTTTATATTGAATATCTTCATTCTTTCTTATAAATTGTTTAATTATTATTTTATATTGAAAAATATTTCGAATTTTTATATTATTTCGTCCGATTTTTCAAAACATAATTTCTTTTTTTTATATTATTTATATATTATTTAATTATTTTACTTTAATTTATTCATCTGAAACAGAACACATTTTTTAAAGTTCTTCTATATATTCATCTTCCTTTTATAATATATTTATTATGTATTATAATATTTATTTTTTTATTCTTTTGAAATTTTACATTATTGTGATCAATTATGTATTTTAAGTTTGAAACTTAACTTTCGTTTTCTTAAATTAATTGTTCTTAATTCAGCATTAAACTTAAATTAATTTATGTGTTTTTATTTAATATTAATTAATAGTAAAATTGTATGTATTTATAAAATAAATATATTAATTATTTAAATATATCAAAATGTTAGAATTTTATAATTATATTATATATTAAATATATATAATATTTTAGAAATATAATTATTTCTATTTAAAAATTATATATTTAAATTATATATATTTAATAATAATATAATAATTATTATTAAATATCTATTTTCTGGCAAGAAAATAAAATATATATATTTTATTTTTTGATAAGCCATAAAATAAAATAAATAAAATATAAATATTAAAAAAATATTAAACTTTATATGAATAAAATATATATAAATAGCAAATTGATTTTAAAGTAAATTTCTATAATATTAAAATTTTATTTTAAATATTTTATAATCTATTATATTTTATTTTCATTTTTTATAATTTAAATTATTAATTCATTTAAATTAATCTTATTAAAGAGTTTTATAATCAATATTATGTTTTAATTTCATATGTAAATTAAGAGATACATAACTTCCATAACTTTTTTAGCAATTTTCTTAATAACACTTTAAATTTTTTTTTAAAAAAAGATAATTTAATAAAATTATAAATATTTTATTATTATAATAAAAAAAGAAATTAAAATACTTATAATTTTTTTTAATAATATTTAATGAAAAAAATTTATTTTATATATAATTATTTTTTATTACTTTGAAAATTTTATTAATGTCCTAAAAGCATCTTCTATTTCTTTTTTTTATTCTCTTATTAGCCTATTCATTTTAATCTTTTAGGCTGTTTTTCTATTTTAGGTTTTCAACTATTTACTATAATATATAAATAAAAGTTATTTTATTAATAAAAAAATTATCTTTATAATTAAGCAAAAGAATTTTTATATATAATATATCTATTTTATTTTTTAAGTAATTTTATACCTCTAGGTTATATGCTTTATCCTTTAGCTCTTAAATTTCTTAAACATATTACATTATATAAGAAATAATCCATTTATTTTATAAAAATATTTAATCAAAAATCATTGAAACATCGTTTTTATTTTAAGATTCTACGTTTTCAGAATTTTAATTTAATTATTATTTTTATTAATTTTTTAGATTTGATTATTCTTTGTTAACTATATTTTATTAGTTAGTTGTGTCAATATTTTCTTTCATATTTAATATGTTTTATTATAATTATGTTTATAAGTTATCTTTTTAATTATTGTTTTAGATATTCTCATTTACTAATATTATATTATTTTTTATTTTTTGTCCGCTATTATTAAATATAGATTTTCCGTTGTTTTAATGGCTCTTAGAAATTTTCATTTTTTTAATTAATCAAAGTATATAATTTTTTTTTTTATTTAAACGCAATTTTATTTGTATTTTATTATATATATATATAAAATAATAATTTACTTATATATTTATATATATATTACAAACTAAGAAATTTTATTTATTATTTATTTATATTTTTAAAAAAATGAAGAAGAAAAATAAAAATTTATAAAATTATAATAAAATAAAATATAATTTTATAAAAAATATATAATAAATTAATAATATTAAAAACATTATTTTTATATATATATTATTTTTTTATAAAATAACAAAATAAAAATATTTTATCTTTTAATAATGTTATAATTATTCATATATTTTTTTTATTTTTAACCGCGTTAAATGCTACTGAAAGTTTAGAAAAAATGAAATAATCAGATTTAAAATTAGTAATCGAAGTGTTTAGACACGGTGCTAGGTATCCTATATATGATGTATATGATGCTCCTTAATAAATATATTATTTAGGATAATTAACATCTGTAGGTATGCGTTAACATTTTTAATTAGGTTAAATTCTTAGGTAAGAATATATAATCGAAAGGAAATTTTTACCTTAAAATTACGATCATAATTAATTATATGTTGTATCAACAGAATCTAATAGGTTAAAAATAATTTATATAATCAATATTTATTTTTTATAAAAAAAAAGAACATTAATGTCTGCGTAATCCTAATTAGCCGGATTATATCCTTTAAATTATGGATCATAAATAGAAAATTCAATATTAAAAAGTCCAGAATTAATGAAAAAAATATTAACACCTCCATTCGAATCAATAATTTAGTAAATATAAGATTATAAAAATTATACTAATTACGCACTTCCATAAGGACATTAACCTATTCCAATAATTATAAATAATAAAATTTTGAAAGCTTATACAACTTCTAATTGCCCTTAATAAAAATATTGGATGTAAGAGAATTCCAAAAGTGATGATTGGAAAAGAATAAAAGGCCATTTTTAAAATAGTATAGATAAGTTTTGTAAAATATTAGGTTTAAATATTGATTAAACAGGCTTTGAAGAAGTACAATTATATTTGGACACATTTATTTCAGATAAATTCTAGAATAGAAAAATTGTATAATAAATAGAAGAAGACTAAGAACTTTGGAATGATTTGAATTTAATTTATACTATTTTACCTCATTTATAATTATATAAAAAACCTGAATAAAAAAAGGCTGTTGTAACTCCTTTTTTTAAATAAATCATAAAGAATTTCGAAGATAATATTAAATAAAAAAGCACATATAAATGGTATATGAATTCTGCACATGATACTACTATTGAAATGATTTCTTAAGGATTAAATTTAACAAGTTGGGAATGTATGGAAAAGGCTAAATTAGGTATTTTAGAAAATAACTCTATTTGTATTTATACTTATCCAGGATTTGCATCAAACATTATATTCGAAATGTACGAAAGTTAGAATTTAGAAAGGTTTATTATGGTTAGATATAATGGAACTTATTAAAGAATATGTGATCAAACAAGTATTTATTGTAATTATGATGTTTTTAAAGATTATTTATTAAACTCGGTTGTTGAAGATTATGATTAGGTTTGTGGATTAATCGATAAATAAATTTAGGTTTATAAAACACCGACTTCTACACTTATTTTGTTGTATTTTTTAGGACTTTTATGTTTAGTATTTTTAGCTTATTCTATTTATTTAAGAATTAGAATAAGAGAATATCTAAAGAATAATATGGATAAATAAATTGAACATATTAAGTTTGAAGATATTACATGATAATATTTGATTCTAATTTTATATAGCAATGTTTTAATTTTAAGTTTTTTCTGATATTCTATAATATTTATTTATAAAGATACATATTTATTTTATAAAAATTATTTAAATTATAAATAATTCTATATTTAATAATAAAATATTATTAAATAAATAATTTCTATATTTAATATAATTAAATTTAAAAAATAAAAGAAAGAATTGTGGATTTATGCTAAAAATAATTATAATTTTTAATAAAAATATAATACTACTCTATATTAAAAAAATAAAAAAAAATATTAAGAATTAAGTAAACCAAGTTCTATTGTATTGAGAATTAATATAAAATTAAATATAAAATTTATTAATATATATATTTATTTTTAACAGATAAATAAAAACTTTATTAAAAATATAAGTAAAAGCAATAAGCCTTAACATTCTATTAAAAAAAAAAAAAAAAAAATTAGAATGCTAAATAAGTTAAATAAACTGAAAAGTTATTATTCTTAAAACATTAATTAATATTATATAAAATAAATTTTATTTTTTAGTATATTTTAAATTCAAAAATTAGTATGCTTATATAATAGTTTTTTAACAAAAAAAAATATATGATTGCTTGATAAATAAAAAGGAATTTGCTTAGTAGACCAATATCAGAATAATATTGTTTAAAATGTTTATAAGGATTAGTATTAACTTTTGTTTCAAAAAATGTAACAAATTAATTTTATATCCAAAAAGTCTTCTTTATTAGAAACATTTTAACAATTAATATAGCTTTTAAGAAGCATATCTAAAGGTTTATTTTTTGGTTTTAATGAGAAGTTACTTTGCTTGATAAATTTTGGCTTTAAATGGGATTTAAATTAGCTGATCATAAACAATAATTTCATAAAAGTAAATCAAATATTATAAAAAAGCAAGAATTACTTGAAAAATTTGATGTATAAAATCTATTTTCTATTTATAAAAATAAATAAATTAATAAATGTGAATTTATAAACTTGTTTCTTTGTAATAATAATAATAAGGAATATTTAAAATTATAAAAGAATATAAATAAATATTTATTATAAAAAAAACAAACCAATGAAAACTAAAAAAAAATATGAACTATTATAAAAAAGGTTATACAAGCAATTAATAATTATTAAAAATTTTAGAAGTTTTAAATTAATAATGAATTTATTATTTTAGATTCATTTTAATTTTCTAAGAAAGATAAAAAAAAAAATCTCATAATTGAATTTATACATATATACAACAAATTATGATGAAAAAATTAATAGATATCTTATATTTATATTTATTACCATAAATTGATTTTTAGTTTTTTTTTTAAAAAAAAAAAAAATTAAAAAAAAAATATAAATCATAAATAATATATTAATATAAATATTTTTTCATTATATAAAATTTTAAAATTATAATATAAAATTCATAAAGATAAAATAAATTATAGCTAAAAAATATATAAATAATTTTTTTTAATATTCTATTTGACATTTTGTTTGAAATATTATTCAATATCTATTATATTTGATTAAGAAATTTATTTACATGATTTACTTTTAATTTTTTGGTTAATATTTAATTTTTATTAATTAATAATTTTTTTATCTTATGAAATATTATTTTAAGAAATTAAACAAAATAATTTTTCGAAAAAACCATAGTTATTATGAAAATAGAAAATTTAAAGTTTTTTTAATATATATAGAATATTTAATTGATTTAATTTTTTTTTTCTTTTATTAGAGTAACTTATATTTGAGAATGTAATATTTATTTTGATTTATTAGTTTATTATAACAAATACAAATTAGAATTTTTAAATTATTTTAATAATTACTAATTACTTATTTTGCTATATAATTATAAATCGTTATATATTAATTATTTAATTTGAATACAAAAATAACAAAAATAAATAAATCCCAAAAAAAAAAAACATTTAATAATATTTAAATATAAAATAAGACGTCATTGTTTTATATATATATAATAATTTAATTAAAATATAAATTTATTATTTAATATTTGATTGATTTCCTTTTAATATTTTAACAAACAAACTAAAAATTACTTTAAATTAATTATATCTCTTTGTTAATTTTTTTATCTATTTTAATAAGAAAGTAATCAATGTTAATTATATTATATTATTTTTACAATAGTAAAAAATCTATCAATAATATTATAATATATTTTAATAAAAAAAATCTTTTTTAGTTATTAAAAAATTAATAATAATTATAACAAAAAAAATTGCTTTTTATCATATAAAATATAATGAGTTAAAAATAAGTAAATTTATAAATGCCTTAACCTCTAAAAGTTAATTAAATTAAGACTCTTTATATTTTACAAGACGTTATTCTTTCTCGAACTCAAATAATTCTACATAAAATTCAGAAAATAATATACATAATATGTATTTAGAATAATTAGATAATGGTAAAGATAGTCTTTGCTAGTATGGTCCTTTAAAATTAAATGAAATTATAAGCTTAAGGGCTGACTCAATGAATTATCATAAAAATTAATTAAATGAATAAGATAATAATAATAATAATGATGATGTAAATATTGATTTTAATGATGTAATTGGATAAATAGATTAAGTGTTTCTTAACTTTTGTAAATAAAATTGATTTTATAATAATAAATGTTAACAAATTAATAAAATTTTTTATTAATAATAATATTTAGATATTTTTATAATTTATTAAAATGTTGTTGTTGTTGTTGTTATACATTATATATATAAATAAAAAAAAAAATATTTTTATATTGTATTTTATATGTTTTTATATAAGGTTTTTTTTTTAAAAAAAAAATAATTTTGTGATTTTGGAGCTTTTATTTTCTATATTATCGAATATTATATTTATAGTATAAATATACTCATTAAAAAATAATATTTTAATTAAAAAATGAATTTAAATTATTTTATTTTTTTCTTTAACAATTTTATTACATTTTTATTTAATTTATATAATATTTTATATAGATTATATTTCTTACATAATTTTTAAATTTGCATTTAAATAATTATATATTATTCTTAAACTCCTAGAAACTCATAAACGTTTATATTTTTTTTATTTTTTTAAATAATTTAAAGAAAAAAATAATTAAAAAATTACCAAATATGTTTCATAAATTTATATTTAATTAAAGATATATATATATATATATTTAAAATGTTATAAAATTAAAATATTTTTATTTTTTAATTAATAATAGTATTGTTATTTATTAATTATTATTAATGATATTTAAAATAAATTATGATTTTATTTTTTTTGAATAAATTATATGTTGGTAGGTAAAGTTTATTTTTTTTAATTTTAATTTTATATATTTTACTCTTTTTAACAAAACTTTATATTTATATTAAATATCTAAGGTAATAGCATAATGTTTATAATTAAAAATTCATAATTAATTATTTGTTTAAGAATAATATATTTTATATAAAGTACAAATTTTTTATTCTGTAGTAATGTTAAATTCAGATTCTTCAGTAAATTTTTAATAGAGATACTACTATTTTTTTATTTATTTTGATTTTGAAATAAAAATTTATACTTTTTTATTTTAAATATCTAATAATTTTATTAATTTATAATATTTTTTTTATTCATTTATTCATTTTAAATTTTTTATTAATTTGTTCGTTTGCTTATTATATTGAATTCCTTTTTATTATTTTTTGATATATAAATTTTAATTTCTATTAATTTATTATCTACTTTTAATATTTCTTATATTTTTGCGAAATTTTAATCAGAAAAATCGTGTTTATATTATATTTGAATATTATTTTAAAGTTAATTATTAGAATTTCTTTTATAATTTATTTTTAATTAATTTTATTTTATTTTTATTCGAAAATTTATTAAAACAATCATCTTGATATATCTTAAAATTTATTGTTTACTTTGTTTTTTTGGATTTTATAAAAATATAGTTTGATTTAATACTTTTTATAAAAATCTATTTGCTTATGGTTATTCATTTATTACCCTTTTATTATTGGAAGCTAATTTTTTGGTTATTTAATTTTTTTTAAAATACATTTATGAGAAGATAAAATAAGTATTTTATTAGCTTAAAATATAGATTTAAATCTTGTCTTATCTTATCTATTTATATAAAAAAAATATTTAATAATACTATATTTTTTTTTTTTTTCCATTTTTTATTTTCTAAATTAGTTTTATTAATAAAATATAAAAATAAGAAACAATTAATTTTTTGATTTTTAAAAATATTATTTATAAAAAAAAGAAATATATAAATATTAAAAATAAAAAATGGACAAAGAAGAATTAATAACATATGAAAATATATTATATGTAATTAAAAAATTCCAAAAATAAGGTTTTGAAAGTTTAAAATTGGAAGATTTGGCTATTGCCATATCCGTTTCAGATTTTCGAATTCATTTTTTGAAATAGACAGGTATAGATTGGGTTTAAAAATATGAATTAAAGGCGTTAGAAAAGCTCCGTAAATGTAATTTCGATATGTAGTGGATGTAGTCAGAAATTTAAGAAGAATATACTCCTTTATTTAATTATATTAAAAAGGGCGATTTATAAAAAACAAAAGAATTTATATAAAATCATTCACAAATAGAATTAATAAGGAAAGCATAAGATTCTCATAATCGTTCAGCTTTGCATTTAGCTTCAAAACTAGGTCATACAGTAATTGTAGAATATTTACTTTTATAAGGATTTAGTGTTTTTAGTCGAGATAAATAATTGCAAACTCCTTTACATCTAGCTGCTTATTATTCTTAGGAATATATTTGCGAATAATTAATTAAAAAAGGTGCTTCTTTGGAGGCTACAGACATAAAAGTTAATTTAATTAAAATAAAATATTAAATTATATAAAAACTAAGTTTTAAAAGTAATAATATTAAAATTAAAAATATAATAGGGAAGAGCTCCTTTTCATTATGCATGCTGTAGCTCAAGCTCAAGAATAGTTATTATGTTTATTGGTTTATGCCCAGAAATAGTCGAAAGTGTTGATAATGATCTTTTAAATGGATTACATTATGCTGTGTTAAATTCTTCTTAAAAATAAGTAGAAATTATTAGGGCGCTTTTGGATTACGGTGTAAAAGTTAATTAAAGAGATAAGGATGGAAAGACACCACTTTATTTAGCTTCAGAAACGGGGAAAAGTAGAGTAATTCCGATTTTATTGTAAAAAGGAGCTGATTTATAATTAACTAATTATCAAAATCATAAAAATGCACTTGATATTGCGGCTAATGAACGTGTTAGGGAACTTTTGATTGTTTATTCAAATATAAAAAATGAGAAAAATATTAAATAGGATGATATTTAATGGATGGATAATGCAATTAAAGGATAAAATTTAATTAAAGAAGTACCTTTTAAAGAAAATATAAATACATAATAAAATACTGTTAAAAAAAATAATACTTAGAAAAAATTAAAAGAATAATAAGGAACTATTTAAGGTTGGGTAAGAGAAAAGTAATTTTTTTGTTTAAAAAAATAAAAAATTATTTATGTGTTATTTTTCTTTTTTTTATAAGGTTTTTTAAATTAATGAAAAATGTATAAGAAGAAGGAATAAAAGTAAACTAACATTTGAAAAAGCCGTTTATTTATACAGGAAGTTGGATGGAAAGTATATAAAATGTGGAAGATTTGTACAATTTATTGAGTAATAATATGAATTCTACAGAAGCTACATTGTGTGCTTTTAATATATTATGTCCATATGAAGGAGAACTTCCAAAAGAAGAATAAAATAAAGAAGTTATTGATAACTTTTATGGAGATGCATGGGGATCATGCTTGAAGGTTACTTTAGAAACTAAGAAGAAATAAGATGAAGAATTATAAGAAAAAGTTTTTCAGGTTGATGATTTAAAAGAGAAATTAGAAGTCTATGAGAAAATTTTAAAGGAGAAAACCGAAGAAATGAAAAAGTTAAGATAATAAAATGCAGAAATGAATATAAAATTAGAAGAATATAAAGGAGTTTAAATAAATTAAGCGAATTTATAATTACTTTAGGAAATTTAGAAGGAAAACGAGAAGCTTAAATTAGAAATCAGGGTAAAATCTAGAGAATTAATGGAAAAAGATATGGAAATATAACTTTAAATGCTAGAAGGGAATAAAGATTTGGGAGAAAAAAAAGACGAGAAGAATAAAAGGGAAGTTTAATTAGAAGAAGAACTTAAAATTTTAAAAATTGAAAATTAAATGTAGAGATTTAAAGCAGGATAAATTTTCTTAAATGCATTAGATAATAATAATAAAGGAAATAATAATAATAGAGGAAATAATAATAATAATTAATAAAAAGTCGATGAAGAATTAAATATTTTTGATGACGATGCAATTATTAATTTATATAAAGCTTTAAAAGAAAATCCTTAACCGAAGTTTATTTAGAGATTGAAAGATGTAGATAAAGACAAGGATGGGTTTATTAGTTAAAATGAGTTTGTTAAATTTTGTAATTAATTGAATCTTTCTAATTAAGATATTGTTTCTTTATAAAGGATTGTGGGCTTTTTTGATTAAAAAAAAAGCCTCGGGATAAGCGAGTTTAAGGAAATATTGGAAAGTAGACCTAAATAAAGGTAAATTTAGGAAGAAATTTTATTCAAGAAAATCCTTTAATGTTTTTAAAAAGATAACATTTCTTTAGAAGAAGTTTTTATTTAGTTAGATTAAGATAATAGTGGAGATATATCTCCATAAGAGCTGAAAGAAGGGCTTTAAAATATGAATGCGGATCTTAATTAAGCAGATTATAATTGTCTTTTCAATATATTTGATAGAGATAGAAATGGGAAGATTTCTTTATAAGAAATGAAGGAGACTATGTAGATTTATTTAGAAAAAATGGAAAAAAAAGTGGAAGAAGAAGTAATGGAATATGAAGAAATTTGGATAAAAGAAAATCAGTAATTTTTAATAGAAGAAAAAGATTTAAATTAGAATTAATTTTTATCTTTAAAAAATTAAATTAAAATTCAAATTCCAGGGTTTAGAGGAAGAATTAACTCGAAAAATGTTTTCTTTAAAATTGCATTAAAAGGAAGTGTAGAAAACTGTATTTTTAAATAAGGAATTATCTAAAATAATTTAACTTAAATTGCTTTGAGGTTCACTTTTGAGGAAAATACAAAAATATGTGATATTGGATAGTTTATTAATATTTAAGTATTTTCAAATGAAAAAATTTCAGAAAATTCCTTTTTAGGAGAAGTTTTTGTGGCTTGGAAATGTTGTTTAAATACTAAAAATGAATGGAAAATTAATTAAGAATTTAGCTTTGTGAATAATGAATATAAAAGAAATAAAAATATTGAAACTAATGGAAGGTTTTTGACAGTTTAATTAATGATTTAGGAAGAACTGGAGCTTAAATAAATTGTAGGAGGAGGAGGAGTTATTAATGGTAATATTGATGATGTTTATAAAGAATTTATTAAAAAATAAATATTGGAATATATGAAAATGTTAAATAAAAAAAATAATTTTAAAGAAATACAAGAATATGAAAATGCCGATTAACTTTCTTCTAATGTTGATAATATTTTAAGTATATAATATAATAAAGAAGATATAGATAATATTGATTCGGAAGTAGTTTTTACACAGAGCAGTATTTTAGTAGAAAATGGATATTAGAATTAGAATAAAGTATAATAAGAAATCGATATTTTAATGAAAAGTATGAATTCGGATATTAATGGTATTCTTAATGAATCTGATTTTAAATAAAATATTTAAAATATTAATTCTAATATTAATTCTAATGTTTTAAAGTTTTGATATTATTTTTTTATTCAAAAAGTAAAGAATATATATTATTATATTTATATTTGTAATTTTTTATAATAAAAATAATTTTAATCTAAAAATGAATATAAACAAATTTATTTATATATATATATATATATTTAAAATGTTTCGTATTTAATTTAAAATGTATGGATAATTAATTAAGCAATGTAAATATTACTTGCTCGGATATTTAATGTGGATCTATAAATACAGAAATAATTTAAATATAATTAGGAAAAGATGACGTTTCATTATGTTTTCCAGAAAAATAATCTTAAAAAACCACTATAAATTTAAGAAATATAATATTTAAAGGAAGTTCTGAAAATATATAAGCATTCTTTTAAGCTAGTATTATAATGTTCTAAAATATATAAATGCTAAATTTTAATAACTTAAATATTGAATGCTTTTAAGATTGCATTTTTTCCTAAAATACAAAATTAGATATAAAAAAAGAGATTAATATATATTCAGGAGGAAATATATAAACAGAAGAAACATAAATAGAATCAGAAATATGCTAAATATTTGCATAAATTGAGACCAAATTGAAAAATAATTCAAAAATAAATATAAAATAACATAAATGTAAAAATTAAAGCGATGAAAACAAAAAAATTACAAGTGTTTTAACAGAATAAAATCAATTCGAAATTGAAAAAATTCTTTAAAAGTATAATGTGAAATCCATTAAAGATTTTTTATAACTTTTAAAACAAGATTTCACTTTTTATATTTTCTCAATTTAAGCTTTGTCATTGGAATAAAATGTTTCAGTATTATCTAGTAATATTGGTATTTATACATAGTTATTAAATATTTAACCGAATTCTGTAATTTCGGCTTCCGGAAAAGGCTGTAAAGGAACATAAGGACCTGGAGGAGGCACAATAGATATCTCTATGAGCGAAAATCTACATTGCGGTGGTGCAGGTGGTTCTTTTGGATCAGCAGGGGGGTCTCCTGGATCTCAGAAGGAAATTTATAATGATTTATGTGCTAAAATTTAAAGTAAAAAAGGTTATGGAAACCCTTTGTATCCAATTTTCGAAGGAAGTGGTGGAGGAGGATTTATTGTTGGAATGGAAGAAAAAGATGTAGTACTAAATGCAGGATTCGGAGGGGGGTTTATATATGTTGAAAGTATAAAAATAATGCTTGAAGGGATAATAAAAGCAGATGGAATTAGTCCTGAAAAACCCGAATATATGCATTTAGGATCAGGTTCGGGTGGATCAATTTAACTTCATGGAGTTTTTATAGAAGGAGTAAATGGAATTATTAGTGCTAATGGAGGAGAAAATACAGGAATTGGGGGAGAAGGGGGTGCTGGCAGAATTCTAATTAATTAAACTAAATGGTATAGTGAGAATTTTTATCCAGAAAAAATAGGAATTTTAGTATCTGTTTAATAAGGGGGAAGAAAAAATGTTATAAAAAATCAAATATAGGTTTTCAATGGAACTATTTTTAGTAACCCGTGCTTGCCTGGATACGAACCGTATAAAGGACTTTTTTAGTGTAAGAAATGTAGTTTAGGGAAGTATAAAAAAAGTGTGGGAAGAGATATGTGTTTGGATTGTGAAAATGAAAATAAGGAGAGATTAGAGTTTGTAAAAGAAGACTTTTTGTAAAAAAGGGAGTGTAGTTATGTCTGTAAGAGTGGCTTTAAGAGTATCAAAAGGAATAATGATAAGAATATAGTCTGTTTAGAAAATTTCGAATATTTTTTAGCAATAATGGGAAATGAGAATGTCGTATATGGGTTGGGAATGGTAATTTTGAGTATTTTAATAAATATAGGAATGTATATTTTGAGGAAAAGAAAATAAGGGAGAATTCTTTAGAAATATCAAAGAGGTTTTGGGGAAGAAAATAGTTTTGAAGAAGATTTTGAACATTTTAATCTATAAGATATTACTTTTCATGAAAAGAGAATGTTTTTAGATGGAAATAATGAGCCTTCTTGCCCTTTTAAGATAAACGAAGCTTTAAAAAAGGATTGTTTATGTTTTTTAAATAGAAAATTTTTTTGTAGAGATGAAGACTTGGAAAATGATGTTTTTGAAAAAATAAATTAAGTTTTTTAATTTGGGAAGGTTAGTGTATTTTTATTGGGGTTTTTGAAGATTTTTTTCCCATTTTTTTATTATAAGATTTTACTTTAGATAAAAATGAGAAAAGTTTTAGTAGCTGAAGGGATTTTCTTTCAATATTTAAGGGAAAATTTCACAAAAAGGGATTTTTGGATCAAGTTTACATACAATAAAAATTTCGATTAGGTTTTTTTGGATTATATAGACTATACGAAGACTAAATTATAATGGAATATAGAATAAAAAATGCCGGTTTTGATACTTTTTTAGGGAAATGGATAGTTTATGAATCCTTTTTGTATAAATATGGAAGATTCTATGTTTTTATATTTAATTTAATATCTAAGGGCGTAGAGAGATAAAGGATTTTATAATTATGAAGAGGAAAATGAAGAAATAGAAGAAAATAGAGAAAAATGTGAAGAATTGGTAAAGCTTGAGAGGTTTTTTAAAATTTTGGAGATAAAAAGTAGAAAAATAAACATTTTAGAGACTTTTGAGAAATTCTGTGAAAGCTTTGAGGAATTTTTAGATGTTGTAAAGGAATATGAAAAGGAAGTTTTTGAAAAATTTGGGACCTTTTTATAAGTTTGTGTACATGTTTTAAATGAGGAAAATGGGAAAGTGTTTGTTTTGGGAAATGAAGATGATGTTAAAAAAGATAAATATTTAAAAAAGTTAAAAAATAATTATGGGATAGAAACTTTTAGTGGAAAATATCTATTATTTTTTCTAAAAAAAGAATCAATAATTGTGGGTTCTTTTATGAGAAAAATCTGGATAATATTAATGATTAAATTAAATGGGTTTGCTTTGATGAACATGATGATTTGAGTATGTTTAAATAAAAAGTTGAAAGAAATAGAAGTACTTCTTATGATATTTAATATTATGAAGATTATTATTAAAATTATTTAGGATAAGAAAAGTAACATTAAGGATTTTGGGAAGTATTTTAGGGTTTTGCGACATTCTTTTATTATTATTTAGTTATTTCTAAGTCCTTCTTTTTAAAATATAGGGAATTTAAAAAAATCGAAAAGGTTTGTGTATTGAAGATTATTCTTTTTTTAGTCTTTATTGTTAAATTGGTAATATATTTATTCCATTATTTCATTTGTTTACTAATTTTTATTTTTTATATAGTTTTCTATTTATGTTATATTAATATTTCCTTATAATGATTTGCAAGATAAAAATAATTTCTATTTTAGTATTGCAATAATTTAAATGTGTATTTATCCATTTGCATGTATTTTGTCACCTTTTTATTTGATTTTTTGGATTGTTTAAGAAGATGAATTTTAATATGGAAAATATTTCGCTTTACTTAATTTTATGGAAATTATAAATTCGTTTATTGTTTTCGTATTAAGTATTATTGAATATTTGATTTATTTAGAGTTTAATATTTTAAAAGGAAGTTAGACTTTTTATTTTGTTTTTAACGTCTTTTCAGGATATTTAGCTAGTTTATTTATTTTAAGAATTTAAAAAGAAACTTCTTTATTTAATTGAATATTTTTTGTTATTTTAAATTTAATATATGTATATTTTTTTTTAATATTAATTTTACTTTGATTTATATTTATTTAAAAAAAAAAAAAAAGTAAAACTTTTTTTTTTTTTATATAGAAATAATTAATTAATATTTTATATTTGTATATATATTTTATTTAAAAAAAAAAATAAGTAAAAAAAATTTTTACTATTAAATAAAAATGTTTAAAAATACATTTTAATCAGGATTCCTTTCAATATTATATTCAATAGGGTACAAAATATATATTTTTTTTAAATAAACAAATAATAAATGTTTTTTTTGTTTTAAAAAAAAAATATAATAAAAGATCCAAACCTTTATAAATATGGGATAAAAGCAGTAAAAAAAATATTAATTAAAATAAATTCTAACAAAAACAAAAAAAATAGTTAGAAATGGTCACATAAAAAGAATTACAGATTAAGATATCCTTTCAAGTGTTTTAGAAATAATGGGAACTAATGTTTCTACTAATTTTATAACTGCGCCAGCAGATCCGAAAGAAACATTAGGAATAAAATTACCATTTTTAGTTATGATCATAAAGAATGTAAAAAATTATAATAAATAAAATATCAAATTAATTACATATTTAATATAGTTAAAAAAATATTTCACATTCGAAGTATAAGTTTTAGATGATAAAAATGTCAGAAGAAGATTTAGAGCTTCCAACTATTAATCTACTACAAGAGTTAAGCCTTTTATTTGTACTATGTAAGCCCTTTTTTTTTTTTTTTTAATATATTATATAAATTTTTAAAGGCCTATGAGATTAGATGAAGGATGGAATTAAATTTAATTTAATCTTTCTGATTTTACAAGAAGGGCTTATGCAACTAATTATATTGAAACTTTGAGAGTTTAAATTCATGCGAATTGTAGAATTAGAAGAATTTACTTTTCTGATAGACTATATTCTGAAGAAGAATTACCACCAGAGTTTAAATTATTTTTACCAATATAAGTATTTTATTTAGAAAATATATATTTTTTTAAATTTTTTTTAATATTTTTAGGGATAAAAAAACAATTCTTGATTTTTTGTTAGAAATATAAAAATGCTCTATACAATTATTTTTATTACATTTTTTATATTATTTATTAATTGTAACTTTTTTTTTTAGTATTATGAATATTTCTCATTTTTGTTCATTAACATTATTTATATAATAAATATTAAACAAAAAATATTTTTAATATGAAAGTGAGATATTGATAAGATCATTTAAGTTTTATTACTTTATATGTATATAAAATTAATTGTAATAAGGTTTTTTATATAACAAAAATATAGTGTTTTAATAAATTTATAAAATTAATAATTTTTACTTAATTAAAAATAATAAAAATTTGTTGAAAAATTAAACAAAATACAAGATATAAACTTACAAATAAACTCCTTGTTAAATAATAATAAAAAAAATAAATAGAAAATTTTTTATAAGATAATGACTTTGTGAAAGAAAATGTATTTTTAGGAAAGTATTTGTATAAAACGAACATAATTAAATTAAACTAAAGAACATTTCTCTATTAAATAAATTTTTATAAAGTAAATACTAAATAGAATTTTTCAGTATAAATTTTTAAGATAGAAATAAAATATAAAAATTTATAAATAATTTACATATTTATATATACATGTTATTCAATTATTTTTAAAATAAAAAATACGTAGGCATATATTTATTATATGAATATGCTAAAAACGGGAATTTATTTTCACTTTTAAAAAAACGTAAACAAAAAAATTAAAAAATTGCTTTTTCATTATTCTTTTAAATTTATTTAGCAATAGAAATTTAAAAAGAATATTATATATAAAGATTAGAATAATAATAGATAAATAGTATATTTATAATATCCGAAAATTTAAATATATTGAGAAGAAACAAATAGTATATTTAATATAAGTAATGCCTATAAGAATATTTAATAAAAATAATATAAGGTATGTTAAAAAGATATGAAGAAAAAAAAAATTGGCTTTAAATATACTTAAGCATAAATGGATAAAGGAAAATTATAAATTCTATAATATTAGGAAGAATGAATATGATACTAAAGTTAATAAATAGGATTTAGTTTATTTATTAATAAAGAAAATTAAGATGTAAAAAATTATTAAATGTATTATAAAAGTTAAATAAAAATATTAAATAATGATATTATTTGGATATTCAAAAGTCTGTTTTAATATATATTTAAGCTTAATAAGAAAAGGATTATCTATAAAAGTAAACATTTATTGAATAAAATTAAATTAATAAAAAAGTACATTAAAATATTATATTTTGTAAAATGAAATTGGATATATAAAAAATTTTCTTATTGCTTTTGAAATTTTGGATATTATAATAAAAATTATATTTTTGAAAAAAAAATACATAATTATTTTATATTTATATGTATTTAATTATTATATTAATAATAATTTGTTTATTTATATATTATATTTTATATTTTTTTATTAATTTTTTATTTTTATTTTATTTTATTAATTTATTTTGAAAGATAATTTTCGAATTTTAACTTTTTTTTATATTAAATTCTTTTAATAAATCATATATATAAAATAAAAATTATTTATATAATTATTAATAATTATATTTTCATATTTTTACTAATAATAAAATACAAATACAAATTATAATTTATTTTTATATAATATATATAAAGAGGGAATTTTTTTATTTTTTTAAATAAAAATACTGTTTTATTTAGTTGTAAAAAATTAAAATTTTATTAATTACTTATATAATTTTAATAATTTTTATTTTATTCTATAAATATTATATTTTTTTATATATATAAAAATAAAATTTTTTAATTAATTTTTATTAGTACACTTGGAAATATTTTTTATTGACTTTTTATATTTAATTTTTTATTAAAATAAATTTAATTTAAATATTTTTTTTTTTTTTTAATTAAATTAAATTTAATTTTATAAAATTAATAGTTTATAATAATAAATTTATTTTATATGTACTTAAAATAATAATCAATGCATTTTCAAAAATTAATTCTTTTATATTAAACTTTTTGAATTAATCGAAATAAATTTTAAGCAACTCATATAAAGTTACGCTAATTGTATGAAATAAAATATGATAAACTAATTTTTTTTCAACCACAATCAATTTTAGCTACCTTAATCTAAACAAAACCATATATATTGGCATTAAACTTATAGTTAGATGCATATGAAAATCAACTTTTTCTTTAAAGTTCTATAAAATATAACTATATACCTCAAATAAAAGAAGAAATAATCCTTTAAAAATAAGAAACCTTACTTGAATAGCAAATCATGATATATAGTAAATAATTAGAAAGGCAAACAAATAATTTAAAGCCAAAGAATAAAGTACGTATATTTAGAGGAGCAAATAAATGAATATAATAACATTAATTAACAAAACTCTTAAATTCTTTTTAAAAATATTCATCAAGGGAATTAAGAACTTGTTTTTAGCTTTTAGTTAAATATAAAAAAGACAGGCAATATTTTCCTTATAATTTTATTAAAATAATAAGTTATTAAATTCTTTTTAAAATGATAGATTGATTTAATGTTTATAATAATTATAATTTCTATTAATTTTTTATTAGAAGTGTGGCCTATATGGAAAAAAAAAATATGTTTTTATGCGCTTGATAGAAGTTAATATTGTAAAGATTTCCCTTTTTAAATAAAAATGCAATTTTTATAGCCTTAAAAATTATTAATTAGGTAGCTTTGTTATAATTATTTTTGATATGTATTTCTATTATATTTAATATTTATTAATTTTTATCTCTCTCTAATGTTAGAAAAATAATATGTTTATATGTTTTTATTGATAAAAAAAACAAATTTTATTATATATAATATAAGTAAAGATATTTTAATTAAATAAAAAAAATTAAAAATTTAAAAAAAATAAAAATATAGAAAAAATGTTTAAATTATAGCATTTTGCTTTATCTGGATTTATTATTATATTTAGTATATTAGTTTATTTCTTATATATTGAAGAAATCGATCCATCATCTAGCTTTTATTCATAGAGTTGGTAAATATCGCAAATTTTAATCAAAAAAGGTCTCACAAGGTCTTACACAAATGATAATTAAATAATAAAATGGTTTGAGAATCCTTCCCAATTTGATCTAGATGGTGAATCATATGTAAATTATATTGGAAATAAATTGAATGGAAAAGCTAATTTATTATTAAATTTAGAAAAGATGGATTTGACTGATTTATATCAATTAAACTCACGAAATTTCATTCCTAGAATATTTAGAGTAGAGTTTTTAAATAGGTAGAAAGATTAAAGACTGGTTGATGATTATTAAGAATTATTAAATAAATAAAAATTTGAGGAAGATTTTATTTATGGAATCGAGAAGGAAAATGGAGAAATTTTGGGTAATTTGTAAATTTTAAAAGGAACCAAAAATTAGGAAAAAATAAAAAATATTATTGATGAATTTTATGATTAAAGTAAAAAAAATAAAGAAAAATTAAGACTTTTCTTTTAGGTGAAAACATCTTAAAAATTAAATGTATTTCTTCCGGTATTTTTTGTGTAAAATAAAGGTATTTTTTTCAATTAGTAATTAATTTTTGGACTTTTTAATGATAATTTTGAAAACATAGGCGAATAAAATTTTTTAAATTCGCTTTTTTTGAATTAATAAGAAATCACTTTTCGGTAAAATGATATTCTTAACTAGAAGAATATTGCTAATATGAAATTTATTGCAAACTATTGCATTAAAACTGCTTTGTTAGATAATAAAGAAGATTTTGGGTATTCTTTGATTTTATTTTAGTTTTCTTTGGAAAAAGAATTCGATATTTATCGTCCTTATTTATTAAAAGCAATTGTAAACCCTAAATTTGAAAGTGGAAATGAAAAATACAAACAAAATATATAAAAAGCATATGAATATTTATTTGAGAAAATAATAAATTATTAAAACTATGTAGAAGATGAGATATTTGAAGAATAAATGGGAGAAATTATAAATAGAAAAGGACTTTTAGAAATAAATTTTAGATCAAAAAAGGTTTTTGTTGAAAAGTTTGCTAATTTTATGAATTATTTTGAATATTTTAAATATAAAAATAATTATTTAGCTTTTTCTTTGGATAGATAATAATATATTGATTACCAAGGGAACGGAGATATTTTTTTTTCGAAAAAATATCCAAAATTTAGATTTGGAAAAAATGCAGTTTGGGGTATTGATTCAGGATGGAAATATAGTACAAAATATCTATTTTAATATATTTTAGATATATATTAAGATTCTTTAAAAACTAAAGATTTTGATATTCATAAATATATTCCTGAAACATGCTTCTATGATTTAATTTAAAAAGATATTTCAGAAAAAGAAAGTTTTTGTGTAAATAAAACAGGAGTTTGGATATATAAACCGTCGTCTTCTTATGGAGGAACGGGTATTTAGATAGTTCATGATTTAAATCAAGCTATAGAAAATATAAAATAAATGAAACAAATAGGAAATAAAGACATTAATTCTGATAATATATCTCTTTTATAGAAATATATAGAAGATCCTTATTTAATAAATAAGAAAAAGTTTGACTTTCGTGTATTTGCAATAGTTGTTTCTACATAGCCTCTTTTGGCAATTTATTTAAATGGATATATTAGAAGTACTTTATTTGATTATGATTTGTAAAATTCGGATATGAGTATACATTTAACTAATTTACATGCATAAAAGAAGCATCCTTAATTTTAAACTCTATAAAAGGATGCTCATATTTCAATAGAAAATTTTATAAATAAATACTATTTGAAAGATTTTAATGAGTAAAAATTAAATTCTACTTTTAATCATATGAAGGCAGTATGCGCGTTTTCTGTAGATGCTATGTTATCTGAAAAAAAAGACCCGAAAAATTAATTTTAAGCTTTTGGTGGAGATATTATGATTGATAAAAATTCAAATGTTAAATTTATTGAAATGAATAGTAATCCTTATTTCATTAATAGCACTGATGTTCATATTTAACTTTTACCTACACTTTTAAATAGATTCTTAGATTTAAGTACTGAAGTTATTAGATAAAATGAAGAGTTTGGATAGCTTGTTGATACAAGCTTTGTATGGAAAATATGTCCAGAATGTGATGTACTTGTTGATTAATTAAATGGATTTAGATTCTATGAGCATTTTAATTAAAATACTGGGGTTTTCAATTATGAAAATTATTATTATAAAAATGTGACAAGAAAAGGATATTTATTTTGAATTTATTTTATTTTTTAATTATTGTACAAAAAATATTTTATTTTATTTTTCATTAAATTTATTTTTTAATTAATTGTAAGTTTAATATTTTGTTTTTTTTTTATTTTTTAAATTTAAATTTTTGTTATGATTATTTTTACATAAAAATAAATATGCCATTTTTTATTTTTTTGAAAAAAGGATATACATATAAATATTATATCATTCATTATTTTTTGTAAAATTTACTAAATTCATCTTAACAACTAGCTCTTACATTTTTGAGGGAAGGTTTTTTTTATAAATTACTATTATTAGTATTATTTCTTTAGGAATAAAATCCATTTCCATATTCGTCTAAGTTAATTTTATTTGTATTATTATTAGTAACACAATAAAAATTGTTGTCATTTTTATGTAACATTTTTTTCTTTAATTCAAGTTATTTATTAACGATTTCTGCTTTGTGCTCTAAATCAATAGCATTATAATCAGTTTTTAATTTTTTGCTTTTCTTTTAATTAGGAGAAGTAATAGATTAAATGCTTTAAATTCTTGAATGTATTTATTATTATTATAATTATTATTATGTGCTTCTATAATTTTCATTATTAATTTTATTCGAAGATTAATTATTATTTAATACATAATTAATATGAGTATTATTTTTTATTTCTTTATTTGACGGCTGCTTTTTTTATATTATATGGTTATTTTAGTAAATATTATATATATTAATATTATTTCCTTTCTAATCTTATTAAACAATTATTTAGTTTTTAAGATTTTCCTCATATATTTTCAAGTTATTACTATTATGCTCTTTTTTGTCACCTTTTATTCGAATTTCTTTAATCGCGTATTATTCGCAATTTTTTGATATTGTTTTAAGGTTTCTTATTATTAGTTTTATTATTATTACTATTATTACTAAGTAGGCGTGTTTTTATAATATTTACTTAATGTATTAGTTAGTGCATTTTTTATTATTTTTTTTGATAAAGATTTTTCACTTTGTTCTTTTTTGTTTGCATTTAATAGTAAATTTGTACTTTTGTTTCCTTATTAGAAGTAGTTATTTTCATCATTTTTTAATCCAGAGTCGTTTTTGGTCAAATTATTATTTTAAAAGCCTTTAATTTTAGTATTTTTGGATACTCTATCGGTACAAATTCTTAAAGGGGAATTAAAAAATTATAGTTTATTTGGAAGATTTTCTGTTGACTTTTATTTCAAATCTGAGGAAACACAACATTCTTGTAAAATATTATATTAATGTTGAATTTTTTTAAATATTTGTTTGGAAGTCGTAGTTTTTCCCATAAGCTTGTTTACAGGAAAATTCTATTATTTTTTTTTCAAGAAATTAGTTTCTTAAGGACTTTATTCAGTTTTAATTTAACAGGAATTCTCATATCCCTGAATTGGTTTATAAACTTTTTATTAGTAATCTCTTGGCGTATATCCTATAGATGAAACTTCGTTCGATTTTAATATATTATTAATATTGATATTTTAAATGTTATTTTTAAAATTAGAGTTGTTATTGCTTTTAAATACGTTCTATTAACTCGCAATTCTATTCGATAGTTTAAGCTTTTTGAATATATAAGCTAGATTGTCGGTATTTTTTTTGTCTTTGGCTTAACTTTAATTATTTGATGATGTATTTTCGTTATTTTGGGGATGCTGCTTTTAGTTATTTTCGGGTTATTTATTCCTTTCTGTTAAACATTGATGTTATTTTTAAATTTATTAAATTATACATTGCTATACGTGTTTGATTTGGGTTTATTATTGTTGCATTTTTTATGTTATATTGGATTTTATTTATTCATTGTTTATTATATTTATTTTGGAAATTTCCGTGCGATTTTATGGGATTTAATTTTTTGAGTTTTTATGGAAGTTTTCGGGTGTTTTTGAGTTTTTAATGAGAAACTAATTCAAGAAATACTCATTTTCTGTCGGAACAAATTATTCTTTTTCTAACATTTATTCAACAATTTAATTTAATTGATTTTTTTCGTTATTATTTTCTTAATCTTTTTCCTCTATAATAAGTTTTAAAAGATCATTTTCATTTTGTTAAAAATTTTCTTCTTATTATATAGTACTTTTTTTTTTAGAAAAAATGTTCGAATAATAAATATCATGTTCTGAAGTTTAATAGCTGATTTATTTTATGAAATTCCTGTAGTTATCTTCATATTGATAGACTGAATTATTTGAAAAAACAGTCCTAAAAGAGAGATTTGAGTTAAGGATTTTTATAGATTTTTTTAGTGATTTATTTTCCGAGTTATTATTCGAAGATTCACTTGAATTATTCATATTGTGGTTTTGTTTGTATTTCTTTTACATTATGTAGTTTGTTTTTTTGTCTTTGTTTAGGTTTTGGAAGAATAAACATGCTTATTTGTAATTACGCTTTACTATGGCTTTATATGATGTTACTGGAAGTAAGTTCGGACGAGTGTCTTTGTATGATTTGGCAAAAAATTTAGTAAGTATTTCCATTCGGGGCTTTACTTCGTTTCTCTTGTAAAATCGTTTGAGATATTCGTTTTCTTCGTCTATATATTGGTAGTCTTTAAAGTATATTACATGTGGTACGGAGTAACTAACTAATATCTCGTTTATGGATTTTGCAAAATAAAAATTAAATAAATCATAGTATCGGATGTGTAAGTTTTATCGAATGTATATTATTAAATTTTTGGTTTTTTTGCAAAATTTACATTCTTACAGTTGATATTGCTATTTTTTTTTTTTGATATTTATTGGAGAATCTTTCGCGTTGTTTATGTACATATTTTTTTTATATATATTTTTTATTTTTTATATTTATATATTATTATTCTTTTATCACTTTTTTTTTTTTTAAAAAAAAAATTTACATAAAAATTAAATATAATATTTATTTGATATATTAATATTTTTATTTTTTAAATTTTTTTTTTTATTTTTTTATTTTTTATTTTTAAAATAACACTCATATTTTTTATTTACTATATATTCCTTATATAAGCTACATTGTGGCTTATAAAAAAATCTTATATAAGTCTTTAACCGTTAAAATTTAGATTACATTTATATTTAAGTATTTTTAATAAATCATACATAAAGGTGTAGCTTATAAAATGTAAAAAGAATGATTTTCATAAATTGAGATTTTTATATCAATATATATACACATGAATATACAGTTTTTATTATTAACACATTATTTATTAATTGAGTGTTTTTTTTTTAAATATAATAAATAAATAAAATAAAAATATTTGTTTATTAATGAATTAAATTTTATTATTAAAAATAATAAAATTAAATATAATAATAAAAATATCTAAAGTCAAAAACTAATTAAAACAAAATATATATCTGAAAAAGGTTAAAAAAGCAAATAAAAAATAATACAAAAAAAAAAATGTAATAATCTTATACATATTCCTCTCCTGGAAAAGTGATAATAAGTGGAGAACATTCTGTAGTTTATAATAAAACTGCATTAGTAATGTCAATTGACCTTCGAACGAAAATAAACTTAAAAATAGTTGAAAATCAAGAATCAAAAATTGAAATAAAAAACGAAAAATATGAAAATATATAAATAATAAGTAAAAATTTGATTATAAATGCTATAAAAAATTGCGAAAAATGGAATATATTTGATGAAAATAATCCAAAAATAACACATTAGTATAAAATAATAACATATGCATTAATATTAGTAGCATAATAGGTAATTTTTAGTGAAAATACATTAAAAAAATTGGATTTCTTTTTGGAAAAAAATTCATTTTTAGTAAATATTTCATCTAATTTACCTATATCCAAAGGTTTGGGATCTTCAGCAAGTTTTTTAACTTGTTTATCTGCTTGTTTTTTTAATTTTGTATTAGATTTAGATAATATTTTGATAAAGAGTGATACTTTTTTGGAAAATATTAATCATATTTCATTTGATTTGGAGAAAATTTTTCATGGAAATCCTTCTGGAATTGATAATCATATAGCTACATATGGAAACTTATTGTCTTTTAACAAAAAAGAAAAAGAAAAAAATTATATATTACAATAAGGATGGAAATTACCATATGAAATTATACTTATCGATTCTAAAGTGGAAAAAAGTACAAAAAAAGCAGTTTCTAGAGTTTCTGAATGTATAAAAAATGAAAAAATAGGTTATTTATATGAAGAGTTTATCAATTAAATAGGAAAAATAACTGAAGAAATTATTAATTTAGTAAAAAATTGGGATGAAAATAAGAAAAATGAAGATTTTTTTGAACATTTAATTAAATGTAATTAAAATTTGTTGAGAAATTTTGATCTTTCGGTTCCTGAAGTTGAAATTATAATGAGTTCTTGTTTAAAATTTGGTATTCCGTGTAAAATTACAGGAAGTGGATAGGGTGGGTATTGTATTGCCTTTATTAAAAATAATAATATAAATAAATAAGAATTTTTAAATAATATTACTTCTATAGGATTCGATTTTATTTAGTTATTACCGTCTAAGGAAGGGTTAAAAAGAGAAATTTGAATATTTTTTTTTTTTTTTTTTTTAATATTGTTTTTTAATTTATTTTTATATTTTTTATATTAATATTTTATTTTGTTTTTTTTTTATAATAGACATTTTTTAAATTCATATAGTTTTTTTTTTTATTATTATTATTAATAATATATTTATTTGATTTTGATTAAATTCATTTTAGAAAGATATTTTATAATCAACTACTATTTTTATATTATTGAAAGAGATAAATAAAACATAGTATATTTTTTGTAAAATAAATATCTTTTTAGATTTTTTAAAAAATTAATTCATTGATGAGCAATTATTTTAATATTTGAATTATAAAAACAATAAAAAATTATATTAGAAATATATATTTTTTAATATAAAAATCATAAATAGGAATAAAATACATATAATATATAAAAGAATAAATCATTTTTTAAAAAAATATAAAATAAATTAAGAATAAATAAATTTTTTAAATATAAATTATATTGTATTATAAATATTTATTAATATAAATAAATAATTTATTTATAATATATTAATTTTGTATTTATAACATATTAATTTTGTATTTATTTAACAAATTGAATAAAATTTTATATATATTAAATAAAATTTATTATTTTTATAGAAAAGTTATGGATTTTTTAAATAATTATAAATAAATTATATAAAATTCACATATATTATATATATATATATAGATTTATATGTATATATCAAAAATAATTATCTAAATCCAAATTTAAATTTGTATATTTTTCTGATTCATCTATATATTCTTAATTTATATATTACAAAAAATATTTATTTTTAACATATTTTTTATTGATTTCATCCTATTAAATAATACAATCATCCACTGGAATAAAAGGAGGTTTTAACTATTTATTATATAGCAAATCCCACTCTAAATTATCAAACCAAGCATGATTTTTTAAAGATGCGTAACTTCCACCCAACCTTAATTATGGTTAAAGAGAAAGTAGCTAATCAATTAATCTTTTAGCCTTTTTATCTTTAAAATAATCAGGATATTTAACATCTTTATTCAATATTTCTTAATATATTTCATAAGGATCGTTCTTTTCGTTTCCAAAAGGAACCATTCCCGACATAAACTCATATAAAAGTACTCCTATACTCCATAAATCAGCATTAAAAGAATAGCCTTTTCCTTTAATAATTTCAGGTGCCATATAATTAGCAGTCCCAATTATGGTGAAAGTCCTTCCTCTATGCTTTCCTTTATTAAGGATTTTCGACTAACCTAAATCTATTAAGTACATATAACCTTCTTTGTCTACAATAAGGTTTTCTGGTTTAATGTCTCTGTATATAATTTACCTCTAATGCAAATATTCAATAGATAAAATTAAAGAGGCAATGTAAAATTAGGCATCACAAGAAGATAAAAGTCCGATTTCTCTAATTACTTCGAACATTTATTGTCCATTTATAAATGTGAGTAATAGATAAAGGTTTTTTTAGTCTTTAAAAGTCCTTACTAGTGAAATTATGAAGGGAAATTGTATTTATTCTAAGACTAGTTTTTCTTAAAGGACATGTTTTTCTAAACTTAAGGTAGAAATTAATTTTTTTGAAATGCATTTAAGTGCATAGAGGTTCTTAGATTATTTTTTTTAAACCAAATGCACTGATCCGAATTCGCCTTCATTAAGTTTTTTTATATGAATTAAATCTTCCATTTTTATATATGAATAATCTTCTTTTTAGTTTTCTTTTTTCATTTTTAATTCATGTGAGTTTTCGTTTTTTTTAATTACAGTTTCAATGTCTCCACCGATACATTTTTAGAATAGTTTAAATGAAATTGTGGATAAGACTGCTTCTTTTTCAACTATTATTCGATCTTCAAATTATTTATTACAATTAGGCTAAAGTAAGTAATAATCTCCAAATATTTAACCCATTTCGGCTTATATATTGCCTGAATTTTCCTCTTTTATAACCCCTTCAAGGACTGCAATTAAAGTATCGCAATAATCTCCTTTTTCGAACAAAATGGTGCCTTTTTTAAAATTGGAAATTTTGGCTTATATAGAAATTTTCTCAACTTAAATATTTGTTAGATTTTATAATAATTTATTATTACTAAATGCCCATCTTTATCTATTTAAGTAAACTATTTTTTAAACCTATTTTATATAATTATATATTATAAATATGTGTATGTATATGATATACATATATTTATATATAAATATTATATATATTTTAATTTACTTTACCACCCAAAATTTTCTTTAAATGCTCTCTTCCTAAAGATAGTAATTTTACATCATCTTCTGCCTTTATAGAAGCCGCTCTTGTTGATTTAACATAAAGCGCTTATTCACCAAAAGAGTCTCCTACATATAAATATCTTATCATTTTTCCATCTTTCCAAATCGAAACTTTGCCTTCTTTAATCAAATAAAAAGAATCAGCCCTATCTCCTTCATTTGCAATAAACTAGCCAGGTTTAAACATCACTGAAATCAATGCAGAGGCAATGGCATCTTTCTAATCATCGCTCATAAAGAAAAAGAAGGCAACACTTTCCATAAAAGATCGGTTTGCTTGGAAGTCTTTATGGACGATTTCTTCAATTATTTCTATAAATGTAGTTTTATCAATGACCCAAAACTCACAATAACTCAAACATTTAACACTAGCAGTTCTTGAAGTGCAGTATAGGAGTGCTAATTCACCTATTCCAGCACCTGGACCTAATTATTTTTTCTCAATCCCATCAATTTCGATTTAAATATTTCCTTTTTCGAGAATAAAGAAAGAATAAGCATTATCATTTTAACGAAATAAAAATTCGCCTTTAGAACATTCACAATTGAACATTTTCTAGATTATTTCTTCTTTTTGCTCTTATTATAAAATATAAAAAACAGAGTGATTACTAAAAGATTCTGAAATAAAGTTTATTTAATCTTTAGTCGGTTTTTTCGTTGTTTTAATGAAGTTTTCGCTTTTTTCATCTAATTCCCTTAAAGATATATTGACTTTTGATTATAAATAATTTTATGTCTATTACTAATATTATTAGATTTCTTCTTAGTTAAGTTACTATTAACGATGAATTTCTTAAAGTGTGCTTTGTATTTTATTGTCAGAAATAGGCTATTTCATACCTAAAATTTCTTATATCAAAGACTTTCGAGGCTAGTTATGCCGATCGTTGCTATTTTTTTCCTTTATATTTGGATTACTTAGGTCTATATGCTTGATTGGGTTTGGAGTGAGGTTATTAGAGTATATTTGGGGGAGGTTTTCAGGTTTATTATGGGTATCTCTTTTGTTAGGGGAAATGTTTTTATTTATTTTTGATGGATTTTAGATTTGAAGTGAATTTAAGGGGACAAAATTTAATTTTTTTTAAGAGGATTTGGTGGAAACTAATTAGGTTTATAAATTATATGCGCATCCCATTTTTTATATATATATATATATAATTTTTATTTATATTAATCAAATTTCTTTTATGTTTTTGATTTTTATTTTTTCTGATAGCATAATTAAATTTTATTAAAATTTATTATTCTTGTTTAATAGTATATATAATAAAAGCATTTACAATTTTATAACTAAATAATTTTTATTTATATTTTTATATATATTTTTGGTTATTATTAAAAAAATTATTATTATATTAATTAATTTTTATGTTTATTAATAAATAATGTCAATTGATATTAAATTTATTTAAAAAATTTATTTTAAAAATATATAATTTAATTTAAAAATTTATAATAATTTAGAAATAATAAAATAAATTATTTAATGAATTATTTTTAATAATATCTTTTAAATTAAATAGCTTTCATGTCGAAATTTATATATATATATAGTTATTTAAAGATATATAAATTATCAATTATTTTTAATAATCTATGTTTATTAATAAAACCATATATAGGAGAAATTATATTTTTTAATTTTCATTTCTAGAATATTTATTTTTATTTAAAAAATCTTAATTTAATTAATTAAATTTTCTACATAAATAAATAAATATTTTTTTATTTAGAAAATAAATATTTTAAATCAATATACCTATCATCTGATATATTTAAGATATTTCTATTATTTTCTTTATATTTTTATTAAAATATTATGAAAATATTATTAAATCATTTATTTTAAAAAAATTAAAATAAGTAAAATAAAAGTATAAAATATAAAAACATAGATAAAAATCATATTTAAAAAATATAAATGGATTAATATAATTCATCCTTTATGACTGATAACAATAAATTAAATAAATATAAATAATAAGACGTTTCAATATAAGTCTAAAAATAAAGAGAAGACATAATTCTTAGTAAATTTAAAAAGAAAGAAAAGTGGGCAATCGATGATGAATCAATATAATGTTTTTTGTGTAGAAAATTATTTAATATATTATATAGAAGGAAGCATCATTGTAGAAAATGTGGTTAAGTATTTTGTGGAAAGTATTTTTTTTTTAAAAAAAATAATAATATATAAAATATAAATTAACAAAAGATGTTCAAATTATTTCTTGTGTTAATTAGTAGACGAATTTTAAAAAAAAGTAGATAAAGAACGTAGATTATGTAAAAATTGTTTCAAAAAATGTCAAGAATATATGACATCTAAAATTGAATAATAACAAAGTAATGTAAAAAAATATAATAATAATTATAAGTTTTATAAATTTTAGTATAATCTGATGATTAAAAAGAAGAAGAAGAAGATGATGAATAAGAAGAAGAAAATGACGAAGAATAATCTTAAAATCAAGAAGAAGAAGAAATTGATGAAGAATAAGGAAATCAATAATAAAATGATATAAAGTTACAAAAATAAAGTTTATTAGAAAAAAGATACTCATTTAATGAAAAACTAAGAAATTTAATAGGTTATGTATTTAATGAAAATACTCATTTATTAAAATTTTATGAATAAAATAAAGAAAAAATTCATTCTTTTGTAAAATTTTGTTTAGAAAATATTAATATGAAATAAAATGAAAAAACTACAAATTATAAATAAGAAGATGAAAAGAAAAAATTAATAATGAATATAAATTAATACATAATAATAAAAAAATGTGCTTATGAAAAAGAATTTCCATAATTAAATTATATAAAGGGCGTTATAAGTTAAAAAAATGTAGCAAGAAAATGTATGAAAACAGAATTTATGCCTAAAGAAGATATCAAAGCTAATAATAATTTAATAAATAGAAGTACTTAAGAATTTAAAAGAAATACTATTATAAATTTAGATAGATAATATAAAATATAATAAGAAGAATAAAAAATATATATTTAATAATAATAATAATAATAACAATAATAATAATATTATATTAAATGCATAGTTGTTAGTGTTGCAATCGATGTGTTTTCTAATTTTGATGGAAACATAATACCTGATTTGAAGGAAATCATTTCTAAACAAAAATAACATATGTAGAAGATTATCGATGGATTTTAATTGCTTAATCCTTAAATCATTTTTTGTAAGGAAAATGTTAATTAGGATATTCTTAGTTGGTTTGAAGGCTAGAAAATTAGTGTCGTTTAGAAAATTAAAAGTTAGGAAATTTTTAAGATTGCTGAAATTGCAAAGTGTAAAATTGTTGATGATATTGAAATTTTTTTCCCTAATAAATAATAAAAAAATTAAGATTTTTCTAAAAGTTAGTATTTGGGAAATCTTAATTCTATATATTTTAGAAGTTATTAGTCTTAAAATATTAATACTTTTATGTTTTTGGAATCTTTTTAATCTTAATATGTCTCATTGTTGGTTTTTGGTGAAAATGTTAATATTTTGAAAATTATTAAAAAGAAACTTAAAAGTTATTTTATTTTTTATCAATTCTATATATTTTTTTTAAAAAAAGATATACTTAAACTTGCTAAAAATCTCTACATGGAGTGCTAAATTATATATTAAAATGATGAACTTATTAAATAAAATAAGAAAAATAAAAAATTGTATATAGAAACTTTAGAAAATGATGTAGTGGTATGTTTAAATAATTATATACCGTTTATAAACATATTATATATGGTAATTGTTTTATATAGGATTTTGGCAATTTCAATACATTTATAGATGAAAAAATAGGTATTTAAGAATTTGTTTAAAGTGCTGAAAAACCATATAGATATACAAAATATTATATAAACATATAGACTGTTTATAGTTAATAGGCATAGGACAAGAAAAATTTGATAAATATGTACAAGATAAAAACTTAAATTTTCATGAAACAAAGATTGGTTAACTATCATTAAGATGCTCTGATTATGAATTTAAGTAAATAATTTTTTCAGAAGAAGGAGATATAACATTATGTAAATAAAACAAATATATTATAATATAAATAAAAAAAAAAATATTAATATATATAAAAAAAATAAATATTTATTTATACAAATTTAATATTATATATTTATATATAAATTTATTTATATTTTTTTGATATAACAATTTACTTGTAAAAGTGTAATTTTTACGCGAATGTTATTAAGAAACTAGTTAGGCTTGTAAATTATGTAAAAGACCAATGTATAATCATACCAAAGTATTCATGAGAGAAAATAAATATGTAAAAGTCAGTGTAGGAGAAAGAATAGATCCTAGTTAACATAATGAGGATAGTACTTCAATTAATACTGAAAAAAAATTTAAATAAAATCCTTTTAAAGAAGTTTAAACGTATATTTGTTGTGATTAATGTAATATGAATGTTTCTTATTTATAATTTAAGGATTTTCCTGGCTAGTATTTTTAATATTCGTTTAATAGGTTTTTGTAGCATTTATTTTAGAATTATACAGCTCAGTATTTATAATAAAAAAAGGAATTATTAAAAAATGAAAACAATTTGCAAAATATTTCCAGTATTGCTCAGAAATGCTAACATTTAAAAAAATCGAGAGTTTTTAAAATCTAAGATATTGAAATTAAGTTTTCGGTAGGAAAATAAAGTGTTTATGCTTTAAATAAAATCGATTTCAGGACTGATTAGGTTAATATTAATACTTAAAAGGCTGATGAAAAATTTTATAAGGATTAATATGCGTTTTTTAAAAATTCCTTTAAGAATTTGATTGCAGAAAGTGTTTAAAAATATACACAAATTTTGGATATTAGTAATTTGAAAAAATAAAATAAGTAACATTAGTATGTACATTTGGCGGAGTTAATATATTATTATTCAGAAAGAATTAAAGTGGAAGTTGAATATATTTAAAATATTCTCGATAAGTAAAATATTATGAAGTATAATGATGTTATTAATGCGTATATATTAGAATAAAGGATTTATACGTATTTTAATATAATTAATTAGTAATAAAAGGAAATTATGAAAAAGAAAATGAAAGTTATAGAATAGACTGTAAGATATTAAGGGTATTCTTTTATATTTTTTTATTTTTTTTTATAAAAAAAATAATAATATATTTTTTAAAGAGAAGAAAGTATAACAAATGAAAGTTGTGCAATGGACGAAACATTGGAAGATGCAAAAGAGTAAAATAATATATTTTTATTTATTTTTTTAAACAAAATAATAATACATATACATATTTAGGTTTACAGATGATACAAAGGAAAAAGAAAATAAAAAATAATAGTAAAATATCCCTTTAAATGTATAAGAAGATAAATAAGTTGAAGAAGATTAATATTTTGTAATAAAAAAATAAAAATTATTAAATAAATAAAAAAATAAAAAGGAATATATACCAGTTTATAAATAAAATTAATTAAGTATGATTTCTTTTGCTTTGAATTCTAAAAGCTATATAAGATATTTAAAAGAAAATAATATTTACTAGTTTCCTTAATCAATTCATGAAAAGGAATAGTCAATATAAAAAATATTAATGAGAAATCCTTATGAAAATGTTGAAGAATAAAGCGTATAATAAATAATAGACTAAAATAAATATACAATAAGAATTATTAAATAATCAGAATAAGATTCAATAAATAAATATAATAATATATTTTAATAATGTGAAGGAGAATAGAATATAACAATAAAAAATTTAATTAAAATAGGAAATAATTAATAATGTATTGAAAAAGAATAATTCGAAAATAATAATTAATAAATAAATACTATTTAAGATAATAGTATAAATAATAAAAGCGATTATAATCAAAATATAGATGAAAATAATCAAGAAATAGATGAATAACAAATAATAATAATAATAATAATAATAATAATAATAATAATAAAACAATAGTAAATAAGATAATAAATAAGATAATACAGACTCAATAAAAATGAAAATTTGTAATATGTTAAATTTTAACAACCAGGAAAATTAAAATGAGCATAATTCCAGTCAAGAAAACACAGATTAGTAATAATCCGAATTATAAATGGACTTTTAATAAGAAAAAGGAAAAAATAATGAACCCAATTCTCTTTAAAAAAAAACTTAATTAAATAAAATTAAAACGTTAGAAATGAGTGTAAATTCAAATAAACAAACTTCGCTTGTAAATATGAATAGCTATTAATATAAACAAAGTTTTTATTAATAAACTTAATAATAATAATAAATATAGTAATAAAACTAAACACAATTACAACAAATATCCACTAAAATAAGTGATGTTACAATTTTATATGCAAAATAATTCGAAGCTTTTAGAAATATGCATAATATTCCTCTAGAAAGATTCATTTAATCTCTTCGAACTTGCCAGTTTGTGCGTTTACCAGGTGGAAAAACAGGAAGTGGCTTTTCTAAAAGCCATGATGAGCTATTTGTGGTAAAGGAAGTTTCCGAAAAAGAGTTTTATATGTTTTAATCTTTCGCAATTTAGTATTTTGAACATGTAACCTGTAATAAATAGAGTCTTTTGGCGAAAATATATGGTATGTTTGAGGTTAATTAGGATGGGTATTTTAAATAATATGCGGTTATGGAGAATCTTTTTTATGGAATTGATAAGGACAATTGTTTAAGCTATGATTTAAAAGGGTCGAAAATCAATAGGTTTATGAAAACTATTGATATTGGTTTAGATACTAATTTTTTAATTGATTTTAATTCAGAACCACTGCCATTAGATGGAAATACTTTTGATTTATTTTAAAAAACTATTGCGGCAGACTGTAATTTTTTAGCTAATATAAATGTTATTGATTATTCACTTTTATTACTTATAGATCCTAAAAATAATACTATTAGAACCGGTATTATTGATTATTTTAGATAATTTGATCTTATTAAAGCGGCTGAAAGTGAAGTCAAAAAACTTATTCATAGAGAAGATCCTACTATTATTAAACCGAAACCTTATTAAGAAAGATTTTTTAGGGCAATTTGTAAAAAATATTTCACTTAGGTTTGATATATATGTCTTTTTTTATAAATTTTTGTTTTTTTTGTTTTGTTTTTAAATATTTTTTTTAATAATATATATAAATATGTAGTTTTTTTTTTTTTGATGTGATTTAGTTTAAAAAAGTTTTTTCTTTCTTTTTTATTAATAAAGTAATTAATTAATAGAAAAGTTATTAATAAATATATTAACAAAGTTATTAAATAAAATAGTTAATATATAATAAAACATAGAGAAATAAATAATTTTAGAATATATATGTATTAATTATCTAATTTAATAAGAAATTAATTATTTAAGTTAAAAATAGTTTTTTTTTTTTTTAATTAATAAATAATTTAGGCAGCTAAAATTAAAAAGAATTATTATCAATTTTTTAATTAAATAATGTTACCTTTTTTTTTTTTAAATACAATTTAAACGAAAAAAAAAAACAAAATTATTATATTTTTATTTTTTTATTTAACCATAAAAAATATATATAATAAAAAAAAATAGAAAAAAAATAATAAAATTTATCATACCAAAATACGTATGCTTTTTTTATTTTTAATATAGAAAAATTTATTATATAAAAAAATGAAAAATAAAAACAGAATTTAACATAAATATAGACAAAAAAAAATACACTAAAAACTTAAAAAAATAATAAGTAATAAATAAATTAAAATACTTAAAAAAAAAAAAAAAAAATTAAATTTAAAAAAAAAATGCTTGATTCATTTATAAATATTAATATATTTTTTTAGAACGTTTTTCAATATTAAATTTAAGCCTTTGAAAATGATAGTATAGAAACATTAAAATTAATTGCCTATTCAACTCATAATATAAGCATTATCAATAGCGATGTATATTTTAACAATATAAAAGTCTAAGACTAAAAACAATCTTTAAAAGAATTAAACGGGAATCAAAATTTTAAAGAAACTCCTACTTTTTATATATATTAAAAGAAAAATATATTTAATTTTAATAATAATTCAATAAATGAAAGTGATAATACTATAGAAATAAGCTATTTATCTTAAGAATCAATTTAAGATGAATTAGATGACGAAACATAATTTCATTAATTACAAAATTAATATTTAAAATAATAATTTTCGTTTGCACCTATATTAAAAAGATAGAATTTTTGTTAGAGTTGAATTAATTAAAATGTGTATATATATTGGAAAATAGGCGACTTTATTAATTTAAATAAATAATTAATTATATGAAAAAAAAAAAAAAAAAATATTAATTATATTCTTTTGTATAAATATATATATAATATTTAATAAAAACAATATGAATTCTATATATATATATATATAATTTTTTTTTTTTAAATATTAATAAAAAATATTTATTTTATATATTTTATTTTAGATCAATTTCTATTACCATAGATTTAAATTAAAAATAATAAATCATCCACATTACTAGCAATACACTCCATTTTTCCAAATTATTTAATTTCAATTGAGAAAGGATAGTAAACACAATTAATACAATTATAAATAAATTAATCTTAACATTAATCTTTATTTCTATAAGAAATTTAATATTTTATAATTTATTATGTTATTTATGGGATATTAATATTAATAATATTTTTTTTCTAATAAGTCTATTCTATGGTTTTCTTATTTTATTCTTCCTTATATATTTCTAAATCTTGGCTTATATTATTTATTTTCAAATGTCTTTTTGTATAACCAAAAGAAGTAGGCTTTTAATTATTATTAGAAATAGGATCATATATTTATTTTTAGAAAAGCTTTTCTTTAATTAAACCATACATTTTATATATTTCTATATATTTAATATTATTATTTATATTTATGTTATTTTTATTTATATTGTTATTGCTTATACTATTCTAGTTTTCTAACGAAAAGCAATCTTTTGAATTATTATTTCTGTTTATATCTTATAAATAGGAATAATTTAAATTATTATTTGGTCTTTTTTATGAAAATGATATTGATTTTTTCTTAGAGAGAGCTTAATTATCAACTAAAAAAGAAGAACTTTTAATAGAATTGGAAAATGTCGATGGAATTATTTATATTTAAGAAACACTATTATTTCTATTAGAAATTTTCGAAAAAGCATTGGCTGTAGGTGATGGAGCATTGAAAATCTGAGAATTATTATAAAAAAATTATTTTTTAATAAAGTTTAATTATTATTATTAAAAAGATTTTCTTTATTATTAAAATAGTTTTCTTTATTATTATTATTTTATAAAAAATTTTCATTTAAAGAATAATTTTTGTTTTAAGAAATTCCATGAAGGGAATTTTATTTAGAACAATTAGGCATATTAATGATAATTTTTCCATATTTAGGTTATAATATGGGTTTTTCATGGTTATTTTCTTCATTTATTTCTTAAAAAGAGAGAATAAATTCATTTTGATTTAATGGATTTGGTAAATAAGAAAGATTTAAATTAAATTCTTTATATATCTTTGAAGGCGAATTTTCAAAAGTGGTTTCTTTTTTTATTTATTCTTTAATGACTTGATTTATATTTTCGATTTATTTTTATTTTTCTTTTAAACTTTTAAGTTCCTTTAAATTATTTTCAAGTATTTTTTATAATTCTTATTCTTCTTTTTATAAAAAAGATTAGAGTTCTTTTTTTTTTTATTTTCTTATTATTCAAAAAGATTTATTTTTTCAAAAAAGCTCAAATTATTTTCGTCGTTTTTAAAGAAAATTTCATTGAAAAAATCTTTACTTTATGCCAATTTTTTATTTCTAATTTTTTCGTTTTTTTCAAAAAGTTTATTTATTTCTTAAAAAATACTCCCTTTAATATATTTTTTACTATTAAGATTGAAATTTTCATTTAAAAAATTAAAAAAAAGTCCTTAAAAATTAACTTCTTCGTTCTTTTATTCTTACCATATTTTAAACAGTTACATTTTTTCGAGATTTAAGTTTTATATATTTTATTTTTCTTATTAAAATTTAGGCTTTATTTCTTCCAAAATTTAACCTTAAATTATACCAATTTTTTTTTCAATGTTTTTCATATTTTTTTAAACTTAAAAAAAACTCTTTTTTAAATTTTCAATTTAAGAAATCTTCAAGGAACTCATTTTTCGGATTTTTTTTTCATTTTATTATATTTTTTATTCAATCTCGATTCTTTTATTTTCCTCTTTTGATTAATAAATATTATTTTCAAGTTTTTTCTGGTTCAAATTGCCTAAATCTACTTCCAATTTTAATAAAAAACCATTCAAATTTTTATATTCATCCATAAAAGCCTCCAAATCAGCCTCATTAGCAAAAACTCGTTAAAAAATCAAGCTTTTTTAATAAAAAAAAGCCTAAAGATTTTCCAAAAAACTTACTTTATTTTAATTTTTACATGAAAAATTCAACAAAAGTTAATCAAAAATTAAAAAATGTTACACTAAAGGTTCAAAATAGGCATTTTTAGATAAATTTTATACAAAAATAGTCTTTTTTTGGCTCTTTTTATTCAATAAAACGTCTTTTATTTCCTCTATAATTAAATTTTAAACATTTAGGATATTTTCTATATATAAATTGAGATCCGGGATGTTTTTTTATAATAAATAATAGTCAAAAAGTGGTATTATTTTATCCAAAAAACTCGGTAATTATTCATTTTAAAAATTTTCTTCTTATTTTTAATTTAAAAGGTCATTTTCTTATTTATTTAGACGTAATTTAGATAGATTTTCCTTGATTTATTCCATTTATTATTCTATACGGGTCTTTTCTTATTACTTTTTGGATATTTCAAGATCTATATGGATAATTTCACTGTTTTTCTATGAGATTTTTTCCATTATTGAATCTTATTCTTCATTTTATTTTGCTAATATTTTTAAAAGAGGGGATATTTTTTCATTCTTTTAGTGTATATTTTCTAGAATTTATTAATATTCTTCATATTATAGTGCTAGTTCTATTTTTTGGGTTATTTTAGACTGAAAATCTTCCCTTAAAAATTGAATATTTTCTTTTTGAGAAAATTCTTATTTTTTTTTTCCAGTATTTTTTTGAGAATTTCTTTTTGGGAAATTTCTTATTTAAAAAAAACAGATTCGAATTAATTAAATGTCTTTATTTATTTATTTTAGACTTTTTTTTATGTTTCTTCTTATTGTTAATTTACATTGTTTTAATAAATTAAAAATTTAGATTTTTCTAAAAGAAGCCTAAAAGACTAATTTTCTCCATTTTTTTTTAAAAAAGTATTTTCTTCTATATTTTCTTCAAGTATTTGGCCATAAAAAACGGATTTCTCCTTTATATTTTTTATTTATTTTTATATATAAAATATTTCTTATTGATATTTTTATCTATTAGAGGCTATTTTATTCTATTTATAAGTTTAAGTTGAAATTTATTAGGTCCATTTATTATATTAAAGGATGTATTTATGTTCTAAGTCTCTATATACTTTAATTAAAGGGTATAATTTATGAATATTTTGGTGGTTTTCCCCAAACAATATTGTCTATGAAGTTGAACGAGTATGTTTTTGAGTACTTCTTTTACTATTTATATGCTATTTTCCTCATCTTTTTATGACCTTTTTTTTATTATAATTATTATTGTTATCTTTTTTATTTTATTTTTTGATTACCTTTTAGTAGATTTTTCATTTATTATTTTTAATGATATTTCATGTTTTTTTGGAGTTTTTTAATTCGTTCGTGTCGTACTTGTTGATGTTTTTGGGGATATATTTTCATTTATGATTCTACGTGAACTTAATTTGGGAGGTTCTTGTTTTTATTTATTTAATTATATACTAAGTTAAGTCTATTTGAATTTAGTTTTCTGAATTTTATTAATAAAACATATTTTTTTTATTTAATTTGAATTTTTTTTTTATTTATTTAAATAAATAAAAAAAAAAAAAAAATATTTAAATTTCTTTTTTTTGAACAAAAAAAAAATAAAAAAAATATTTTTTTTTTTTCATATAATTCCTTCAAATAAATTATCTATATTTTAATTATCAAAATCTTAATTATTATCAGTTATTTTTTAAGAATCTTAGTTTGTATTTTATATGTCTTTATTTTTGGAAATTTCTTATATTTACTATTCTTCATCTAAAACTAAAGTATTTTATTCATCTAATTTCATAATATTACCAATAAATATATCATTATCATCAATAAAAGTACTCTCGTTTTATTATTTTTTTTATATTTCTATATTTATAAAATCTTCTTTTTAAGTTAGGCCTTATATCCATTTTTTTTCTTGAATTTTTTCCATTTATTCTTAAGAAAGTCTTATAAATAATCCTTTGTATCTATTTAATTCAAAATAAGCAATAAGAAATGCAAAAAAAAAGTCCATTTTTGTAAAAAAACTAAGAACTTATACAATTAATAAAGTAATATAAGGTAAAAATTTATTTTTTATTTTAAAAAAATAAATCTATTCTCATATTCAGGTTCAATAATCCAATTTTATATTAAATAAATTCCCAAAACATTAAAAATACCATAAGAATATAAACTTGATTATATAAAAATTAATGAAAATAATATCTAAACTATAATGTTTTTAAATAAAAAATCAATAATAAATTAAATGCTTCCAAGTTCTTTTTCTTTATTAGTCCCTATTCTATACAAAATGATTAAATTTAATAAAAAATCTAATATGTTTAATTCCACAAATTAACAAGTTAATATTCTATATATTTAAAGGCCATATATTGTTTTTGAAGGAATATTTATAAATATATTTTCTGTAAATATTATCATTTGGTTTATTATAAAAAATAATACATATGTTCTTATTAAAATCTTATTTGTTTTTATTTAATTTTTTATATTTTATTTTTTACTTTAGTAAAAAAAGGTATTTAGTTATATAATGATCTTATTCTAGATATTATTGATATTTTATTTACTTAGTTTGGAAATATGTCTATATTATTTTCTCTATTTTACATTTTTTGTTTTATATATTTGTATCTTTTTTTTAAAGATTAATAATTTTAATTTTTTTTTTAGAAATTACATATTGCATAATAAGTTGTATTTCTAATATATATTTTTGTGTTATATATAAAAAATACTTTTTAATAAAAATATTAATTATATTATATAAATTTAGAATATTAGTAATTGAAATGGTAATATTATTATAAAATTATTATTAAATTTAATAAAATTTGATTTATATAAAAAAATTTTAGATTATAATTAATACAAAAAAAAAAGATTTTAAGAATACAAAAAAAAATACACAAAAATAAATAAAAAAAATCTAAATTTTTCAATATCAAATATATTTTTTTTATTAATTAAAAGATAAACATCATAATAATAAAAATATATATACAACAACAACAAAATATAATATATATAAATATTTATATATAAGATTATTATTTATTGAATTTATTAGAAAAAGTCCTTATAAATATTTAATTCGGGTATTAATATTCGACATAATAGCTATAATAATAGTATATGTATTTTAATTTATATTTGTATATTCTTTAGTTTATAATCCTTACTTCCAACAATAGGTTTACTATCATATTTCAAAGAGCAATATACCTATATATATTTTTTTAATGGACTGGTTTATTATGAGAGCTTTCTTAGTTTACAATTTAAAGCATGTAAATTATTTCTTTATATTTTGGTCAGATTTAAATTATTAAGATTTTAGATATATAAAATTTCCACAAAAAATAATGAATAAAATTGCTTATTAGATTTTTTGGTTATTTGGATTACATATTTTATCCACTTTGATGATATTTTTTGGTATTAAACCCAATTATTATGCTCTTCTTAGTTATAAATATTAATAAAATTTATATGTTATTAGTGGTTTAATTATAAGTTTTTTTGGACTTATTATTGAAATCATATCAAATGAATAATTTTTGCCATTTTAGGACAATTAAAAGTAAAAAAATTATTTATATTGAATTATGGAAATATTTAAGACATCCGAATTATTTTAGATATATGTTAGTTTAGAGTAGAAGTTTCATTCCTTACTTGAGTGCTGGAGAAGAATTATACTGGACTTTTTATGAGGCTGTGATTGTTTTGGTAGTTATGAATTTATATACTTTACTATGGAAGGGTATATATATTTTTTTTTATAATGTTTATTTTTTGTTTAAAAGTAAAATATAATTTAATATATATTTTTTTTTTAAAAAAAGACTCTTATATATTATCTAATGTATTTATAATTTTTAAAAAATACATGTAAAAATCATTATATATAATATACAATAAAATATTATTCTGTAGCTCAATTAAATCAAATTGATGAAGATGTTAATATATTTGGTTTATGTGATGGATATATGTAAATTTATTCTTAAAAAATAAATATAACTAAAAATATAACAAAAAATATAAGGATATGAACTAATATAATATGTATAAGTAAATTTCGTAAATGAATTTACTTTTTTAGAAAATAAAAAAAAAAAAAAAAAAATTGCATTAAAAAAAGTTTTTATTAAAATACCAAAGAAGAAAAATAAAAATCTAATAAATTAAAATAAAAATATGAAAGAATATGATAATTAATAGAATCAAAAGGACTTGTTAAAATAATGCATAAGCAGGTTGTATAGCATAGCCTTTGTTTATAAAAAAATCATTTATATCTCAGACGCAGGAGATTCCAGAAGTATTTTGCATTATATAAAAAAACATCTATTAATGTCAATGAACCACATAAACCGGTAAATTAAAAACTAAAAGAAATAATTAAAAAAAAAATAGAGGATATTTTAGTTTAAATTCTTAATATAATTTTTATATTAGGGATAATTAAAACATTTTCTTGCATTTTTATGTTCGCTTTTTAATATTAGTTAATATAGGATGTGATAATATGAAATTGTATTTTAATTAAGTTTAATTGATTTTTTATATTTTTGGAAAGAAATTATAAAATAAAGATTTTGAAAAATATATTCTATTATTTAATTTTTTTGTTTAAACCAAAAAAAAAAAAAAATTGTTTTATATATTTAAATGATTTTTTATTTTTTTAAAAAAAAAATATTATAAAATATTTAATTATTCTTATTTTATTTTTAAAAACCAAAAAAATATAAATTTATTTAAAAATTAAAACTTTATTTTTTTATTTGAAAAAAATAAAAATTATACTTAAAATTTTTTGATATATAAAACTTAAAAAGTAAAAATATAATAATATCATTATTTAATTTTTTTATTTAATTTGTCTTAATTATCTTATTAGTTAAAAGGAACATTTCTTTTTTCTAATAATTTACTTGGGCTTTCTTATAATTATTTGTCTAGTAATGATAATTCTTCTAATATTTTTTTCTTTTTTTCTTCTAAATTTTTTTTTTCCTTAAAAAAAAAAAAAAAAATGTAAAATATATAAAAGTTTTTAAATACATTTAATTGTTTTTTATTACCATTTCTTTTTTTTATTTAGTCTTTTAGTAATTAAACATAATAAATATATTTTCTCTTAAATCTTCAAATAATTATTCATTAGCTTCTGTTGCAATAAAATCATTTGGTACACTTAATTCACTTAGTACTATATTTAACTATTATTTTTATATACTTTAGTTTAAAAATAAATACTTATTTTTTGTTTACTTTTTTATTCATTTTTTCAGGAATAGGAAGAGGTTCATTTAACCATTTTCCTCTTAAATAACATATACTTTCCATAGGATTATTTATTTCTCTTTTTCCTTATTCTTAAATCTATTTATATAATTTTTTTGTTTATTTTTATTTTAATTATTGTTATTTTTTTTGTTTAAAAAAAAAATACTGTTTAAACGATTTTAACACAATCTTCTTCAAATAAATCCTTTGTTTAAATAAATTTATTTAAAATAAAAATAAAATATACATTATCTTCTCCTATTTATTCTTTTAGCATTTTTTATAATGTTTAATGTTCTCTTTCTTCTTTTCTAATAACTTATTCGATTCTTCTTAAATTTTCAATAAGATTTTTTTCCTCTTCTGTTTTTTCTTTAGTCCTCATTAAATACTTTTCTAATTCGAATTTTCTTATTTTTTCATATTCAGGATCATATTTATAATTATACAAAGGATGTGCCTATTAATTTCTTACTTCAAGCATTTTTCTTGTAACTTAATAAAATCGATATTTCAAATCTTCTATTGTTCTTTAATATTTTGGGTTATATCTATCATGAATTATTATGAATCTCAAATCAAAAGCATAACATAAATCCCACAAATATTTAGTCTCTTCATATGTCCACAATTAATCAATCTCCTATTTTAATTTTTAATATTTAAATTATAAATTTTTTATACTTTTAAAAATTAATTAAATTCATCTTCTGTAAATTTCACTAATTCAATTTTTATATTAAATTTTTCACATGAAAATAATTTTTCTTTATCTGCTAATGTTACCCAATGATAAATTGAAGATAATTATTAATTTTTTTATATTATTTAATTATACACCCATTTTTTTTATCTTGCATCTTTTTCTTCTGATTACTTTTTTTTTATTATATATATATATATATATATTTATGTATAAAAAAAAAGAAATTAAGAAAATTCATGATTTTGTCAAAATTACTTAATTGTAATTATTTGATGTGGAAGGTATTAAAGGAAATAATCCTCCTGTAATATTCCATACTTCTTTATCAACATATTCTTTATTATTTTTTGTTTAAAAATATAAAATAAAAAAAAATTAATTAAATATTTATTTTTAATGTGAATTTAAATTTTGGTTTTATGTTTTTGTTTAAGTTATGTTTACCTACATTCTTTTTTTTATTATCGCTTTGTTTTTTTTTCTTTTTACCAGGATCTGTTATATATGGTAATAATTTTTATAATCCTTCCGCCATTTTAATATATTTTATAAATTAAAAAATAATTATTTTTTTTATACACAAAAAATTAATTTTTTTAAAAAATAAAAATAAAATTTACTAATATCTTAAAAAAAAAAAAAAAACTTAATAAAAATAAATATATTTATATTTTATTTTGTTTTAAACTAAAAAAAATTAAAAGCAATATTTAATAATTAAATAATAAAAATAAACAAAATAAAAAATCATTTATTATTATTTAATTAATCATCCTTAATCAACCCCCCTATCCATTTAATTCTTTTTCCATTAACCCATTCTCCTTTACATTTAGTTGAATCAGGATTATAAAACCAACCAATTCCATGTTAGTTACCTTTAACCCATGGTCCTTCAAATCTCCTTTTATCAGGCCAAGTAAGAACTCCATAGCCTTCTTTTTTATCATCTTTAAAATCTCCTTAATAAAGCCTTCCATCAGCATATAATTACTCTCCTTTTCCTTATATTCTCCCCTCTTTCCAAATACCTGTTATAAGTGAACCGTCGCTTCCTTTAAGCTTTCCTTTTCCTTCTTTTAATCCTTTTATAAATTCACCTTCGAAAATTCCATCATTTATCATATATTCAATACCTCTTCCATGAGGTTAGTCATCTTTCCATTCTCCATCATATGTACACCTTCCTTAATGATAAAAAATACCTTTTCCATGTTTTTTATTATCTTTAAATTCGCCTTAATACCTATACATACATATATTAAAAAATATAGAATAAAGTAATTATTTGTTTTAACATATTCCCATTTCTATATACAATTCTTCCATTTCCTTCCATTTTAGATTTTTACCAAGTTCCTTCATAATAAGATCCATCTTTCCATATCATTTTTCCGAATCCCCATCTAAGTCCTTATCTCCATTAACCTTCATAAATGTCTTGTTTTGTATCTTCTAAAGGCCCCAAAGTTAAAAAGTCCATGCTATTCGGAAGATCTTTTTATTTTTTAAACGGCCCGTATTTCTTATTAATGAATTCCTCGTTTTTTAAATACTTAGCCCATAAAGGTAGACCATTATTAAGGCATCTCCAATTCATTTTTGGAGCATGTTCTTCTTTTAAAAGTGTAGAATGGAATTCTTTATTAATTTTAGAAGGTGAGTTTTATTAGTTAATAAACTAACTTTAATTATTGTTATTATTATCAGGCTTTTTACTTCCAAAAGTACTCATCATTGTATCTTTATCTTTTTGCTCTTTTAACATTTAAATAAAAGAAGGTCCTCCATGTTTTTCTTATACATTATCATAATATACTTTATCCATAACACCTTCTAGTTTACCCATAGATTATTATTCTAAATTAGAAATCAGAAGTTCATTTTGGTTAAAAATCTCGTTTATAACATCTTATAATTCTTTTGATAGTTTTCCCCTTTATTCGCCTAAATTATTAATTGGATCTGTGAATTCATTTAGATTTCGTGTAATTTTATTAAAGTCATGACTTTTCTTTATCTAAATCACCCCATTTTTGGGAAAAAATAAATTCTACTTTTTCGTGGAAACTGCCCACATATTTTAATATTTCCATTTCTTCGAACATGTAATTTTCAGTTGCGCCGTCTAGTAATTTTAAAAGAGTCAAATATTGTGTTTTGAGGAATCTTTCGAATTATAACGATAGTTATTTTTATTTATTTTTTATTAGTTGCAATAATTAGTTTTATATTAAACTTTTTTTATCGAATTAGGTAAAATCTGCAAGTGAGTTTTATAGTTTTATACGAGCTTCTAATGTATTTTCTCTAAAAGATATTAGTTTATTTAATTATTTTTGATGTTATGAATGCAATTCGTTGCAATATCCGCAACATAATCTACGAGGAGCCTCACAATATGGGTTTTTGCAAATAAAAAGAATTTTCTCGTTATTGTGATCTTCTAAATCACATACTAGATTGTTTGTTATTTCTAAACCTGTTAGATGTTGAAATTTTTGCCATTATTTTTTTTATATTATTTTTTCTGATTTAGTTAATTTGGAAGTTATTCCTAATTGATTTTCGTATTCTTGAATATCTTATTCATCGAGGTTTTAGTTGGAAAAATTTATGTCATTGTTTTGGTTTTCGTTGTTTATTACGTCTTCTTCGGGAAGATTGTCAGTTTCTTATTCAATGTTTGGTGATTTAGACATGTTTTATTTTTTATTTATATATTTTTTGTTTAATTATTATTAAAAAATAATAAGTATTTATTTAATAATTTTTTAATTTTTTTTTTTTATTTTATTTAATTTTTTGTTTTTTCATTAATAATTTATTTTTAATGATTTTTCAGATGGATTTATTCTTGAAATCGGCTTTATTACTTTTAGTGTTTTTTCTAGTTTTATTTAATTTATTCTATTTTCTTTTAATTTATCTTTGTCAACATTATTTATATCGAAATCAGAATCTTTTATACTTTTATTTTATTTTATATATATATTTTATATATTATTTTTATATATTCTATTTATTTCACATTAATAGTTTTCCGTCATTATTTATTCTTAAAGGACTTTCATTAATTTTCGATTAAACTCCATATAAATGTATCCACTTAAAAAATAAAAAAGGTAAAATAATATATAAAAAAAAAATACTTCATTATCAAACAAATCTTATAGATGAAATTTCTCGACGTCATTTATTACTAATACGTTTATTTTTTCAGGCTTTTTATTTATATTTAAAAAATTAAAATATTTTTTGTTAATAATACAATTATAGATTTATTTAATTGATAAATGTTTTTAGATAAAGTATCATAAATATCATTTTAATTAACAATAAGTTCAAACCTTTCACTTAAACCAGAATTGTTTTAATCTAATAACCTTACATAAATCTAAAACTAAAAATTATCTAACTATTAGTCTTAATCTAAAAACTCTATAGCTAATTCTGTTTTTTCAGTAATAAATTATTAATTAATTAAACCGTTTTTATAAATTTTTCTTAATTTAAATTAATGTTTTTCTCTAATTCTAAAAAATGGACTTTTTAATAAATTCTATTCTTTCAAAATTATTTATAAATGGTTTTTTAACTATAATATATTCCAACTTAAAAAAAAATATATAAATTAAAATAAATATTATATATATAATAATATTTATATATATATATATATATAAATATATATATATATATATTTATTAAATTTACTTTTTGTTAATAATTATAAATCCTATATCTAAAAAAGTAGCAAAATTATTATTTTCATACAAATTAGTTTATTCAGCTATATATATTTTATTTCGTAATTAATCTTAATTACATGGAGTACCATATTACAAATAAATTTTCCTATTTAATAAATGATAGTCTTTAATATTATTATTTAAATTTTTTATTTCTTTTCCCATTGGGCCTTCCAATCTCATAATGATATTATCAAAATCTAATTTATGTTTATTAGAAATTATACTTTTTATTTCTTTTTCTTATTTTCTATTATCTATTTTTATAAATTCAGAATACAAAGGTTATATAATTTCCCCTTCTTAAGGTAAACAATATTTAATTTCAATAATACTTTATATATCTTCAAAAATATTTAGCCATTAGCTTTTTTATTCATTAAAATTTTCACAAAATAATATTTCTCCTTCTTAAATTTAAAAAATAGATATTTCATATAAAGGATAATCATTTAAAATTTAAAGTAATAACTAGTCTTTTTCTTATACATATTTCCTCAATATTTTAGTTTTATTTTTAAAAAGAATTTCTGTTTTTTCCAATAAAGAATTTATAATATCATTTTCTTAAAATACTATTTCTTCAAAAAGCATGTCTTTTTCTTAATTTTCTTGTATTTTTTTCACATTAAATTCATTATAAAAACACAATTTTAATTTTTTTAATTAATTAACATTTAAAGTTTATTATTTTTCATTTAAAATTTAAGAATTTTCAGTTAAAATTAAGGAATTGGTATTATTTTTATCTATTTAAATTAATTTTTATAATTTGAGTTTTTCTTATTGTTCTTTCTATAATAATTCATATATATATATAGGTATATTAAATTCTTGATTTTCTTAAATTTATTTAACTTTTTAATAAAAAAGCATATAACCATTATTTAGTGTTCCTCCAAATGCTTTTTTTAACATATCATTAATGTCCACAAAGCTAATTTAAGAGTCATTAAATTTATACCAATTTCCATCTTTGAAGTTTTTAATAAAAACGTAATAATGTCCTCCATAAGCACCTCCACAATGCATACAAATAGAAAAAAGTTCATATACATATTCCCCTTCTTATAAATAAGAAAATTTTTTTTCATCACAAAATGCTTTATATTAATTTTATTAGGCTTTTATTTCATTTAAAAATTACTCTTTTTTATCATCTATGCGCTCTATTTCTGTTTTTATCAATGGGGGTGGATTTGGGATTTATTATGAAGGATTTTATTCTATTTAAATTCTAGGATTTTATAATAATGGAGGAGGTTGAGGGATTTATTGAGTTATTTCTATATAGTATTTTTGACCTTATTTATCTTCTGGAGTAAATAGTTAGAATTACATTTCTTCTTCCTATTTTTTTTTTTAGGATTTTAAACGGGCATTTTTTATAAATTCTTTAGCAGATATTTTTTTTTCTTAAGGCTTTATTTCTATTTTTTATTCCGTTTTTTTTATGTTTTTAGATATTTCTTATTGTTTTTAGTTTATTTCTTTTATTTATTCGTTTTCGTTTATAATTTTCTAGATTTTTTGTAAAGGAATATTATCATATCCTCTATTTTTTATTTTTTTTATTTATTTAAAAATGAATAAAAATACTTAATAAAAGTATTCATATTTAAAATAAAAGGAAATTCAAATAAATCATTTATTTTAACTCTTTTCATTGTTTAATAATCAAATCCAAATCTATTCAATTAAATTGTCAAAATAGAAGGTAGTTTTTAAATAAAAGTTCCTCTAATTGCATTTTACTTATTTATTATTTTAATACATATATATATATTACTTATATATATATATATTCTTTTTTTATTACTTTTCCTTAACAAATTTCACAAAAATATTAATTTTATCCCGATAATTATTCAGGTTTAAGAAAATTTAAAAAAGCGTTTTCTAAATTAAAATTTTATGTACCCTCAAAAATATTCTTTATAGTCATTTATATATCTAAGAAATATTCCTACCTTTCATTTTAATTTTAACAATTTTCACATTTAACATAATTTATATATATTCCTTAATACATTTAATTGATAAATTTATTTTTGAATGTGTTTTCTATAGCATCAAATAAAACTCTTAAAAATTCCTAACTATCATGTTATTAAAAGGCTTCATTAGAATTCCAACCAAAACTTTTAACTAAATCTTATGTACCAATTTTTAATTCTTTTTTTCTTGAAGTTATGCAAACAATTTCTAGAGTTATAAAGGAATAAATTACTCAATATTATTTATTTCATTTATATAAAGTCTATTTTTTTTATATTAATTATAGTAAATTTTTTTTACTATTCATTAAATATGTTTGCTCTAAAATTTGGTGTCATAAATAATGTTTGCAAAATACTATTCATATAACATGTAGCGCCTATGATATATAAATATATTAATATATAAATATATAAATTATATATATATATATATTTATATTTGTATTTATATTTGTATTTTTATTTTATATTTATATTTATAAATTATTATCATTTTTTTTTTACTACCTATATTTTATAGACCTAAAAATTAGTCTTATGCATTAAATATTTTTTTATTTAAATCTTCCTTTTATACAAATAGATTTTATTATTATTCAATTTTTTTAATTTTTTTTAATACTGATATATGATGAAATTATTACATTTTAATATATATTGTTTATTTAAGTTTATTTTTAAATTTTTTTATTAAATATTTAAGATTTTATTATATTTTTTTTTTCTTTTTATAAATATATAATTTTATAATTAATTATTTTAAGAATAAAATTAATGGAATTGATTAATAATATGTAAAATTTATATATTTATAAAATATAATTATTATAATAAATATATATATATATTTTTATAATTTATAATATCTCTTTAGATTTATATTAATATTATTATAATTTTATAATCAAAATTTTTATTATTATTATTATTATTTTTTATTTTATAAATTTTTATTTTATTATGCCTAATCAAAAAAGCTTATTTATTCATAATTTTATTTTAAAAAATTATCATTATTTTATATATTAATTATATTTTAGGATTCTAAAGGTACTATAAAGATTTCTAATCTTCTCTTAATATTAATAAAATTGATTATATCTTTAGCATAATTAGCATTTATTTCAATAAAATAGTTAAAATTGAATTATTTTCCTATAAAACTTCCCTAAACGTTTTCTGGTAATAATAATTTTATTTAAATATTGGATATACTATCTAATTATCCTTTTTCGAATTTTACATCCCCTTCACAAATTACATTTTTTACAATTTAATTTTTCCAATCTTTCATATTTTATAAATACTTGCTTTTAAAAGGTCCTTAAAAAGTCGCTTCTTATATAAAAACATACTTTAAATGCAAAAGAGGCATCATAACATTTTCATTTTTTAAGTTAAGTTCAATATTAATTTCCTCTCCGGGCTAATAAGCTTATTTATGACTCTTTATTTACATATTAACCTTCCCATAATCCCCAAATTCATTCTAAAGTAGGCAAAAGCTGTTGCTTTCTTAACTTTTGTTTTCCAAAACATCACAAAGTACATTTATATATGCACATCCTTCTATCTTCTAAACATTTTCAAGCATATTTTTTTATGGTTCTAATATTCCCTTTATTTAATATACCATACTGGCTGCAAATTTATGTATTTTTTAGGTTATTACAGTTGAAAATTAACTTTTTAATTTTTATGGAATTTTATATTTAAAATAATGTTTATATTCACCGGCATTTAAATATTTTTTTTAAGGTTATAAATATATAGTTTCCCCAAACACTTCATTTTCAGTATAAAAGTTGTCTTTTTTTATTGATTCGATGCCACGAAATCTTATTGATAATTAATTAGAAGGGTATTATTATTTTAAATACAATAGCATTAAACCGTTTATTTTTTCACCACGAGTTAATTTTGTTTTTTCTAAGTATATTTGAATTACTCCGTGTTAGTCTATTTATTAGATTTAATTTATTTATGAACAGAGTGTATAGTTTGTACAATTTCCCATATTTTTTGGTTAGATTTTTTTTTTTTTGGGGGCTTTTATTTAATATTTTATTAATAAAATTTTTTAGTTTTTTATTAATTATAAATATAAATTTTTGTTTTAGCAAAAATTAAGTAACAAAAAATTACTTTAATTTTTGTAATAATTAATTATTAAAAAAAAAAAATGAAAGTAATTAATATTAGTAGTAAGAATAAAAAAAAATAAGAAAGTAAAAAATATTTTCTTATATATTTCTATTCATTAAAAAAAAAAAAAAAAAAAATAGTCTGTAAATTTTGTAATAAAAAAATTGGTATTGAATAGTTTTCTGAGTGTATTAAATGTAATTAGAAGGTAATTTAGTTTTATTCATGATTTAAATATAACTATAAAAAAAAGATATGCATAATATGTTTTAAATTAAAATAAGATATTAATGATTTTTATAACTTTGTTTGTTAAACTTGCTTATATTTTTATTAAAATTAAAAGTATTTATATTAAAAAAAAAAAAAAAATTGTTAACTATAAAAAAGGCAAGTAAGAAAAAATTAAATAATAATATAAAAATTTAATTAATAACAAACTATAAATAATGCTCAATAAAACAATTCAATTAAACTTATATCTGATAACTTATCTTAATATTCAATAAATTAATTAAAATAAATAAGAGTTATTCGAAAAAATATTCTTTATATTATAGGTCTACCATAAAATATATCAAATTTTAGAGTAAAAAAAAATAAAAAAAAAATATTAAAAAAATAAATATAAAAAGACTTTAATAAAAAATGAATATTTAGGTCAATATGGATAAATATAAAGAATAATCATAAGTTAAGAACCTTATAATTTTTAATCCGGAAATATTAATAATTAAAATTACTCTGCTTATGTAACTTTTAAAGAGGAGTAAGATGCTTTAGTAGCTTTAATTGTATTATTTTATTTTTAATAAACAAAAAAATATTTTATAAAAAAAAAAAAAAACAGGGTTTATAAGAATTTTAATTAAATGAAAATATAATAAGATGTGCATATGGAACAAATAAATTTTGTAGTTATTTTTTGAATTAATAAAAATGTCCGAATTATGAATATTGTTACTATTTACATTATTTTAATAAGAAATATTAATATTTCTATAAAAAGTAGATTTTAAATAATTTTGTTATTTTTTAATAATAATAAAAGCTAGCTGGAATTGATATAAAATAATATATTCCGTATTTAATCAAATTAAAGAATAATTAATTTTTAGAGAATTCTATATTTCCTAATACTAAATAAATAATAGAAAAACTTATTTAAAATAAAGTTATTGATGATATTAAAATTCTCTAAAAGAAAGAAATTATTACTTATAAAAAAAATATAATTGATTAACCTTTAGTTAATTAATGGAAATCAGATTTAATTCTATCTACTTAAATTTAAGAGAAAGAAATTTCATTTAATTATAAGAATATTAAATGCAATAAAAATATATAATATTTATTAAAAAATATATATAAATATATTTTATATAGATGAAAATAATAATATTTAGAACAATAATAATTTATTAAAAGATATTTAAAATTTAACTGATAATAAATTAATTAGAAAATAAGACATTTTTCAAAAAGAAAAGAAAATTGATATTGATTAATTAATAATGAAATAAGTTATTTTTGGATTACATAAAAAATAAAGATCTATTTTTTAATTTGCTTAAAAAGAATAAAATTAATAGTAAAATGATAGTTATTTAATAAATATTATTTTTTCTTTATAAAAAGGTAATAAAAAAATATATTTATATATATATATTTTTAATAATATTATAATAAAAATACAGAAAAATGATAGTTTTTTTAGATTTTTCTTTTTAATATTTTTAAATTTTTTATTAAATTAATTTATTTTTAATTGGAAATAACAAAAAAATATATATTAAGCCCATTTTTTTTAATTTTAAAATGTTTAAAAATGTTAATAAATTTATAAGATTTACTTAATTAAAAACTTTATTAATATTATATTTTATAATTTAATGAATTATTTAAATCAAAAATGCTTTATATTAATTTATATTGCTCAATTAATATTTGAATTTAAACATTTTTCATTTATAGCATATAAATAAGAATTAAATTTTTTACTATTTCTAATATTTAATTAATATTAAGATTCTTTAATTAACTAATAAATATTTTATAATAATTCGATATAATTTTTTTTTATATTTTTAATAATATAAATCATTAATTAATAATTATATTTATTATATACATTCTAAATTATTATTTATTTTTTCTTCTTATATTTTTATTCAAATTTTCTCAAATATATATATATAAATTTTGCATTTTTAAGGAATTTTTTTTTACAATTTTTTTATAAATTATATACTATATAACTATCCTTTTGATTTTTAATTTAATTTACAATTATATTATTAAACTCTCTTATTTATTTATAATAATTTATATTAACTATATATTTTATAATTAATTTTTTGTTTATTTTATTATTATTAAAATCTAATATAGATAAAAAAAATTATTCATCTTTTATAAATGTCAAATATGTATTTTGACTATTTTTTATTTAATGTAAAGCCAAATCCTAATAACTAAAACTACTAGTTCTTTTCTTTTTATTAGATTTAGATTACAATCTCTAATTATTAAATATTTTAGTTATTTCTTTATTTTATTATTATTGTTTATTTTATAATTTATACATTGATTTTATATAATATTTTTTTTTTTTTATT